TCAATTCATCAGAATTGCATGAAAAATATCAAGGAGGGTATTGTACACCTGAACATTGTCTTTGATAAGTATCAGGGTCATTAAGTGAATATTGAGCGTGAAAATAATATTTGAAATTTCAATATTTTACCACACCCACTTTTGGGGTGACCTTACTTTTGTTTAATTTCTTCCAAGATATGTCATATTTGAACTCAATAGCACAACTTAATTATTTGTAAAGGCTTATTTTGTCCTGAAAACAGTTTTTGAGGTTTTCAGGAAAGGATTATGTAAAAAAAAAAGTAGAAAAACAGCAAATGCCAGGTGAAATATAGGGGAAGCCCTACTTTTAGTTGATAACTGTTAAATTATCAAATGTTTTTTCCTTTTAAATTCAATTTGATATATAATATACCTTTTCTGGTAAAACAGAGAACGATTTGTTACAATCAGTGGTCAAAAAATGTCCTTGAAAAGGCAACAAAATGTTAAATATCCCTGTCCCTGACATCAGTTTATTAATATGAGCCAAAAAAGGTAACCCAACCAAATGTTTGTTAATAACCCAGTCATTCAGCATGGGTTTGACATCATATTTGGCACAATTACCGTGTTCAATGTTCTTTCATTCTACTAAGTGTCATTGATCTATCCTTAATAGTCATGATTTTATGGCCATTTACAAAATGTGCTCAAAATATCGAAATGTGCCTAACTGACTGGACATCAATACCACCAGTTTTTTTTATCTGTGGACCTTTTTTCGATACTAACAACACTTGAAACATTAAAACAAGAGATAAGAATGAAGATGAGAGTCATAACACATGATTTTTATGCTGATTTGAACAACAACGCACGATACGTTCAAGTTGGCCTCCAGGCATGACACCCATATTTCATGGCATGGTATAAAATGGCCATAAAATCGTGACGACTAGAGACCACTGAGACTGGGTAGATTGATAATACATTGACCAAGACTCAATTCTGCCAAATATGACACTAAATCCATGCAGGATGATTGGACTGGATTATTAAGATTTGTTTGGGTTACCTTTTTGGCTCGCCCTGTATTAAGGAAAAATTGTTACTTTTGACTAAGGTGTTCTTAACCGCACAGTGATATTGAGAAATGAAATGAAGAAGTTCAACTGAAGAATGTTCGATTTCAAGATGAAATTCAATACAAAATGATTATGTTATGTTCATTATCAAAAATGCTGCCTTAATTTTGTAATCTTAACCTTCATATATGTGTCTTACTTATAAAGAGCAAAAAAGAATGCTGATTAAATAAGCTTAATACTATTATGTTGTAACAACAATCAGTTACAACCTTGTCTATCACCAGCTTTCATCAGGGGCGGATATGGGAACCAACAAGGGGGGGGGGGGGCAAATGTCAGGCCTGAGAAAAAACTTCCGCGGAAAAAATTTTGGGCCCCTAAAACCCTGAAGTGGGCAAATTTTGAAATATTGAGACCCATTTTCTTCAATTAAAAATAAGGCTTTAAAAGGCCCATTTATGACCAAAAGGCCCACTTTTCGGGGCCTTAAGGCCTTTTTGGGCCCAATTTTTTTTCTGGGCCCGCCCAAGGGGGTGGGAGGGGCCCAGATCTGCCAGTGTTCATATTTAGTCATCATTATTCTCATGATCAGTAATGGAGGTATTTGCACAAATGCCTTTGCATACCTTACATGTCAAAGAACAGTTATTTCATTTTTCTACAAGAACATCTCATAGAAATACAATCTGCCTTACACACACAATGGATGATCTCTGAGAAAGGGGAGCTGCATTTAGGCAATTGGTACATAGTTTTGTTGCTTAATTCCCAGCCCAATTATAATGGAGGCAGTTTATTTCCCTCCCACTCCTGGATCTGATGGTACACTCTGTAACTGTGGTATTCCGCAGCATCAGAAAATGGAGGAAGAACACGGGGCTGCAATAATTCAGATCTTGCTGCTCTCTTTTAATAGAATTATAGAAGCCTAAGATAATTTAGGGTTTCACCATTTTTCCACCATAAATTGACAAAAGAGCATGTTCCTCTGCAATGACAGAGTTGCTTGCATTTCACTGGTTTTCTACTTGTTTACGTTGTAACAAAATATCTGAACATCGAACGTTTTTTTTCTTTATTTCACACATTGTAGGCAGAATTCCCACAATGTTGTGTCACAAACATGTATCAGTATTATATGTTTAAAAGATGTACATATTTGCGAACAAATAGTTCAGAAGACAACAGAATCTTCGATTTAATTCCTGAGAAAAAACATCGTGGGGATTCTGCCTACAATGCGTGAAAAAAGGGAAAAAAGAAATATCGTACTTTCGACGTTTAGACATTTTGTTACCGAAACGACAAGCGTAATCGAGCGGATCACCAGTGCTTTTGGTAATCTAAAAACAACCGCTTGTTTTCTCAAGAACTCACTCTTTTTTATCTGCCTCAATGATAGCCTCTTGTCTATGCCATATATAACCTGAATGCGATGTCACACCCCAGAAAAGAAACAAAATATTGTCACAGACCACTTTTCCCAAAGACAATCTTATTTCATTTATATTCCAACATTTTGTTTCTTGGGTTGCTGCTTTTGGTTCAGGTTTGAAGAAAATGTTGAAGTTTGTGTTTTGTGCATGATAAATGAGAAGCACAAGGAGATCTGTATGAGTACTGTATTTGAGGTTTGGACACTTTGGATTGCAGTTTTCACAATCACAATATCTGCATCCGATTCTGAATGCAGCACATGTACACTCAATGTTTTCCAACCTGACAGACAGAATTACCATCATTCCTATGCACTGAAATTATATTAATGAAAGACTCCCCAGATTATATATCTGAGATTTTAATGTTCTCTGTCAGTTTAAATTCTGTTTAATAGCCATAAATTCGTTTCTACAGCATTATACATCCAATTGATAGTTCCATAGTAATGTACTCTTATGTAATGATTTATTTATCTGATGAATTTAAATATATGCAAATTTTGTAATTGCGGATTGTAATTAATAATTTAAACAATATTAAATTCCACAAAAACTACAACTTACATTATTTAGATAAGCCTAGTATAGCAGTTATCAAATACCCTAATATCAGAGTGGTGATATGTAATTATTCATCAAATAAAAGTGAGGTCACCTTAACATTTCACCTAGTGCAACTAATAATTCCTATTTTTCATACTAATAAGGTATAAACCTTCACAAAACTTGTATTTTAGATGATGACAAGCCTATATAAATGATTTAGATGTCAACTCTAATACAAATGTGATGCATTGTGGGAGTTAATCATCAAAACTATTGTCTCCCCTATAGTGGGCGGGGCAAAACTATGAAAATGAAATAATTTTTTTCTTCCTAAGTATCCTTTATAGAATGCTGACATTCACCAAATATGAAGTTCATATGAAAATGTAACACCATGATTTTTTTCATGCTTTTCTGACAAACTGATCCTTAAATATCTAAATAGAAATGTGATAACATGCCTGTTTTGTGGCCTATTTTGTTATACTTTGGGGTCAAATGACCAATTACTGGTCTCAAAATTGATTAAAATAATATTTTAATTATTTGTAAATATGTGATCTATCATAATAAAGCTTGAATACTTGACTAAAGTATTCCATTTGGGAAGAATTAATTGTTTCCTACCAATACTCAATTTTGGGGTAGGGTTGTAGGGGGTACCTAGGAAGTGAAATTTCATATTTGTCCACTGCATACATTTTTCTATATTTTTGATATGTTTTTCAACTGATATTAATACATAATATAAGACTAATTTAAAAACTGTTGCAATTTTTGGGATGTTTTGGCCTTTTATGAGCCCATTTGCTTGGCCTATTAATTCTGTCTCCTTTCAGCGGTAACAAACTTGATGTGAGCCCCTGGAAACTAAAAACCTATATCTCGGTCCGCTGCATAAGTATAGCGTGTGCCGTGTATGCAATACTCTGTTCGGGTAGAAACTCTTAAAGAAAACACTGGAAGCTTTTTGTCCAACATTGCAAAACGTAATTTTGCACTTATGACATATTATATTATGTACTATAATATATAATTGAAACTTTTAAAATGAATAAGCCTACTCCATCTAAAATGCAACATCTTGAAGAATACGATTGTAACTGGTTTCAATTTGTAGGTGGTGCGATTGCTGTCTTGAAACGGGGGAAAGACAAATCTTCTTATAGAACTCCCTGACTTGGGTTCTAATGAAGTGCGATTTGGGGAAGTGATCCAGTTTGGATGTTCTAATGCCTGTCAGTAGCCACTTTTTACCGAGGTGGGAGCTTTTTTCCAGGGGGAGCTTTTTGACAGTTTTGGCTAAAAAAATTCATGCCTGTAAAGTGTAGGGCTATTTTTAACTGGTCAAAAAAATGTGACTTAAAGGTCAAGGTTACTACAGAAATGATGCATACAGAACATTTACCTTTATTTTCCAATTTGAAATTATTGTTTCTCTCAAGACTCTATAAAATTGGTTAAACTCGGAGCCTGAAGACCGTCTACACCAATTTACAACGGTTCCACTCTAAAAAATTGTCAAACTTTAATGCTATGACTAATTATCGGTCATCCTTGAAAGTAAGAAATATGAAAAGTTAGGCTAAAAGATCGCAGTTGTCGATGAGCTCTGAAAAACAAAGGGTTTTTACCAAGCAGTAAGCAGTTTAAGTGTTAGAATTTAGACTGGTGTTGAAAGGAATTTTCAAAATAAGTTACAAAATCGTGTTTAACCCTGGATGCCATTAGTATGTAACATGAAACAACTGGTCTAGTGTCTCTGCTTCGATACACCCTTTGGCCCGTTGGTGATTTTACATAATTTTATGGAATGATTCCTTCGGTGGTAATCGGTGGTATTGTACAACGTCTTGAAGTTTTTGGATCACCAATTTGGGCATTTCGGACAACTTACCTGAATCTAGGGTGAATCTAACATTATTAGTTATCAGCATATGAAATTATATATAATTTTACCTACCAAGTCTTATCGATGAAGGTTGACCATCAATATCTCCTAGTTTTATCAAGAATGCCAGCACTGTTATTCCAAACTGATATGAGGCCATCGTTGAGACCACAGGTCATCAAAATCCTGCGATCACTTGGAATCTCATTAGAGATGCAATATTCGAAACAGCTAAGTCCAATTCAGTCCCTTGGCTTTTAGTGTTTGTGATTGTTTTCGTTAACATTAATCCTTAATTAATAACACTTCGTATGCTTAATAAAGCTCCATAGGTTAATAAAGCACATGATTTTACTGGAAAATTGACGGCGATTTCCGTTTGGTCGTCTAGTCTACCTAGAGAGACCATCCTATTGGCGCTTTCGCAGTTAGTGCCTTTATTACCGTGTCGGGCGCTAGAACCTTGCTGCAATATCAAATTTCTTAGTTTTTCAAATTGCTTACATGATTTCGATAAACAAGTTGAAAAAGTGAGGTTGGAAAAGAGAAGGTTATCATGTCTTCATGGAAGTCTCATTGGCAACAGATTTGCCGAAAATTAATTCTGTCATATCCAAAGTTGATTTAGTTAGTTTTTCGTGGTAGTCTGCATGTCATATGCATCCACTTAGAGTTCAATGTTGCTACTGTTGCAAATGATTTATAAGAAAGTTGCAATTTCGGATCGCAGATTAGCGCAAATCAGAGATTTGATGTTTTCCTCTTTGGGACGATGCATCGATACTACATCAAACAGCTTGAGCGGCGTCCTGTAAATAAAACATGGATTTGGGGAATTTTCAGGCTCCCAAAGTTACAAGTAACATCCTTTCGTATATCCAATCAACTAGGCTAGGATCCTAACTTTATATTTACCAGTACAACGATTTGAGGATTGGACTTATCATGATGGATTTCAATCTAGAAAATATGCGAAATCCCTGATGAATTTATTTTTATCTCGTTTCTGTTTCTCAATGTTTCCTAAACTCGATAATCTTTGGCCAAGCAGACTCCTTTGAGATTTAGAAAGGGTGTTTGAACTCGTACGGTTCTCTTATAACTGACACATTGGTAACGTTATTATCTTATATCGTGGATCAAATCAAGTGGTATTCTAATATTGCGATTGCATCGGTCATGTGTGTCTACAATTAACACTTGATGAACGAACAAACAAGAACAGTTCATCGATAATATGATTCTCTGGATTGGTATGCGTGGCCATCTGGACCATGGAATTGTCAAATCGAAAGTAAGTTTTAGACGAATACTAATGTATATCAAGAATGGCAATACGTAAATAACATGCGTCTAAGCAACATACGATATAAAAGTATCGTTTTCTTTTTAAATTTCGGCCAAGGACCTGTGGTTTAAACGTAGACCGCGAACGTACGTTAGAATTGCTTGTGCCTAGTCCGAATTCTCCCTTTCGCGGTTCGCTGTTTGAATCAGAACGTTCGCAAATATGTTCTGAAAAAGCACTCAAAAAGGACAAAATTTGATCGGTCAATATTTTCCCACTATGCATTTCGCGTAGCTATTTGCGTGACCCGAAAGTTCTAAATCAAACTAATTACGCAATTTTGTTTTTACACCCGCACGCTAAATAAAACAATGACACCATCGGAAGTATTCTTCTTTAGATTTGCTTTCGGACCACTGAACAGATTGACCTAGATAATAGCGACGCGTCTTCTTTGGTCTATTGCTCAGTTGTTTGTGGGTTTTCAACGTAACTCTATAATGTAATTTGAAGATGAACACTTTTTTTCAGTTGTCGCATTGATGTTGCAGTTTGAAGTGCGGTAAGATTGGCATGAAAGTATTGAAAGTCGAATGGAATTGTTTTTTCCAATATGGCGACTAGTCAACTGATCACGTGACCTTCTCTTCCGGAATATTTTCTCACTTTTCCATCGTCGTTTTCACCACGCTATGAATCAATACAATGAAAAAAATAGCTGTTATATTAAGATTAATAAGAGATCAATCGTTTCTAATAATTTTTTCTGTACTCTCGTACGGGAATATGAACGAATATATCGTTTGAAAAATTGGTGTGAAATCCCCATGTTAAACCTATGAGGGAAAACAAGGAAGTATAAATTTGTTCCTCCGCGAACTGCATCATGGGAAATATTTTGACCTTATAAGGAAAGATTTTCGCGTCTCCTCTTTTGAAGAGGGAACAACGATTTCGAGAATTGTAAATTACGCGTACAAGCTGAGACAAGTAAGGTGAGCACTACGACTATAAATTGCAGTCAGTCAATACCATCTTTGAAAAAGAACTATGACTGAACAAAAATATCTAAAAAATAGACAACGTAAGTATGTTAGTCTCAGTTTTGTTGGAAAGCAGGTCTTAATAGCATTGTGTCCCGTTTGTGTCACGTTGTGTCCCCGGTCTCCCCTACCTGTTATTTCCTATTCATTGTGGCTATAATTGAATAATGAGACGTGTACATAAATAGGCTTTAACACGTTTTCCAAATGGGACATCCGGTTGCCAGACCTGTGGAGAAGGGGCAAGGAGAATTGGAAGCCGTTATTCAAACTCGATACTTCGTTGCCCGGCGTGGAACAATTTGGTAACAATATTACTCATATTTTGAAGACTTGAACGACCAATGAATTTTGAATATAACCATAATATTAGTATATCTTCTTACGAAATACTTGGTCCAAAGAAAATTTTATAGCAATATTTTTACTTTAATTGTTCTACGCCGGGCAACGGAGTATCGAGTTTGAATAATCGCTGGAGAGGGGGTGTTTAACTGTAACCCAATTGTACGTATACGTGCACCCCGATCGCATTGTCCTCTTGGCCTCTTTATCAAGCATGTATATTAAATATGTGTACACAAGTATCAAAGGGAAGGGACTAAAAAAGTTATAACTTGGTAACGAGGTCAGCAATGGCTCAAGGGACATCTAAGCCTACTCTATCACACCAGGCACTGGCTAATTCAGTAATTAGGTTAGTAATCTGACATGTTTAACTGATTAACAATGTGAAATTATTTCACATTACGTTTTGTAATATTGGTTGTAACTAGTCTTATTTGCCTTCATTTAAAGCATTCGCTCTTCAAACAACAAAAATTATCGAAGTCTTCGCAATTATTTAACCATGGCTTCTTACGTTTTGGTTTGTTTTATTCATACGCGATTTGACTAGTGAAAATTATATTTTTCAGTCAAATGGGTAAATTTGAAGTGATTCAGTCTATCGATTCAACTTTAATCAATCGCAGGATTCCAGAGATTTCACTGGAAGTCTGATAATTGGTTATTTTATCTGAAGATTTACTAAGATTATGGTTTAATTTTCTTAGGACGACTGTGCAGTACGTTTAGTCATGTTCGGTGTTCATGGTTTTAAACTCGGTTAATGTGTATAGTTTTCTATTCAATATCTTTCCATAAGCAATAGAAGGTCCTGTACAATATCTCATATTTTGATGAAGTTAAAGTGTTTTGCAAATCATGGTAATATCTGGGAGTCCATACGATGAAACGGTTTATCATGTGGGGGTATTTACAGAATTAATGAGATTCTAACATACAATATTTCTTCATAGACATTCCTGACCGAACTTCAAACCTCGAGGCACCATATAGCGCCAGGAACGTTAACTAACTTAATGTTTTGCTTGAAATTCGACTAAATATTTTGATATTTGATTTAGCACCACGGGAATATACGATTTTGTATTTGCTGTACTAGCAGTTTAACTCTGAATCGTGTCATGCTGATATACAAAAAGATGAAATATAGTAACTTTTCTTAATAAAAAATATTGCGTTCATCATGATTCATAAGCAATATACTTGCCCCACATCTGGTGTAAGAAATTGGAAACTGTGCGAAGATTCATGTATTATTCACGGGTTTCGTCTAATATTCAATTTCGCATGATAGCGACCAATATGTTTGATATGTATCTTTCAAGTCATGGCAAGCGGACAAGAGGTGCAAATTCTGAACGCAATTTGAACATTTTATATATATTCATTTTTAAACCATCTATAACGATTTCTCTGAGTAACTTCAAAGTTCAGTTGAATTAATGATCGTATTTTGGTCCATGCGTCAATGTAGGCTGGTATGATTTTTATGACACCACCACAAGTAGTGACATATTGTTGGTCTCCATTTTTTGTGGACTGTGTTCGGCGGTTGGTGTTAGGTGGTCGGCGTCTGTAACAATTTCCATGTGATGTGGTGACATCTTTCATGTAATTGCATTGTACCTGATTCTGACAAACAGACATCAATCATTTAATTAACCGAATTCTAACGTTGTAATAAGTAATATACTCCATAGCGAGTCCAATACGTCCATCTTTTTGATTTACTATAACTTTTTCATAATGCAAGGATCGCAATAATATTTATGGAATGCAACGATAAATGATTCCCAAGATTTGACCTTCGATACTGAGAGAAACCCATGCAAAAAGCGTAAACAAGCATTGTCAAACGATCGATGCCCGTAATCAACCAATCCATGTCACTGACAAATTCCAAAACAACATCTTATATTTATTCATAGAAATTAGACGTAAATACTGCAATATATCAAAACTATTTGCATTCGAGATTGGAATTGCAATAATTTTTGGATCCGTCATGATTCCAATTGTCATTTCCGGCAAAGCTTTTCTGAACACTGCTTATGTTTTTCCAATGCCTCTCTCAAGTAAAAAGCAAAAAGTAGAGATAATGACATGTCGAAATTGTACGGACAAGGGTGAAATACAGGGTGGACCAAAAAAACCAATATCCAACTTTAAATCAGAATGAAAATAGCTATGTTCAATATGATACATTGATTTATATATCATTTTAAAGGTAATCCATTTTCGAACAATTTGGTATATAACACTATGTCATGAAATTAATATTAAAGTTTTATCATGCTTATTTGGGAGCACGGGTCAGTATTTAAGGTATCCAGATTTTAGTGATAAAATAGTAAATCTGGGGGTCTGGTAAAAGACATTAAACGTATATGTGACGAGGATTTTATTTTCCAACAAGACACTGCCTCATACCATAGATCAAAGGAGACATTGGCATTTCTTTGCAAACAAGGTGTCAATTTGATTGATCTCGATGCTTGGCTACCCAACAGCCCCGATGCTAATGTGTTAGATTACCATACATGGAGCCATCTCGAGGAAATGGTACAATCAAAAGCATACAATAAACAGCATTGATGAGCTGAAACAGAATCCTAAAGTGCTGAAAGGAATTGCAACAGAAATCTCTCAATAAGGCTTTTGATAGATTGCGCGGAGGGGTGGGGGTATATTGAGCAATTGTTAAAATTGTTTATAAATAAATAAAGTGTAAAATGTTATTAAACAACACACTGAAATCCATAAACAACAAATGAAAATTTAAAAAAAACACTTTTTGAAGCTAGTTAAAGTTCACATACGATCGTATTACACTTCGATAACATCGCGTCAGACTAACAGTTGGGCCAAACTTTAACATAATGAGCCTTTTACTAAAATCACAAATTGAACTTTTTTCTTCACGATTTTGGCCTATTTTTCTTCCATTCATTTTTAAATAAAATCAAATTTGTTTTTCCAAGAAAACATCAAGTCTGAGGAGGAAAATTGTAGGTTTAGGGATCTGAATAAACTTAACATATAAAAGATGAAACAGAAAAATGTATCATCAGACTTCACATTTAACTCATAGTATTCACACACATGGGTAATTCCATCTTAATTATTCAAAAATTATGTTGATTTTGGATAATAAGTAGTTTATCTGAAATCAGCATGGACAGTTGATTTACAAATAAATTGATCTATCTACACGAGTTTTTATTCATGCATATCATACTATCATACTAATAATACTAATCAAAAAGGGCACAAGCAAATTGGACTACTTAGGTGACATCTACAATCAAAGTAGAGCAAATAAACAGGGTTAGCCGGAATGTTGATCATCTGTGCAAACCTCAATGTTTCAAGTATAAGTTCTCATCGTTCGTAATTTGAACATTCTTGATAACGAAATAAAATGCATACATCACGTTATTAGCATTGTAAATTACAAGAATGTATAAATACAGGAAGAGCTATCAATAGTTTGAAATCGAAGTGTTATAAAATGCACTGTGGAGGAACTCTAATAGCGAGTTATGACGAAGAATCCGTCTCGTAGTTAAGCATTTCATCCTCTCTAATAGCCACTTATGACGAAGAATCCGTCTGTTTTAGCATTTTATCCTCTTTTCTCATCTTTTCCCTGTTTCAAATTGTTCATTATCAGTAATAAAGTGTTGTATCTTTAGGAACATATCGTGCATCGGTCTTCACCATGATTGCATTCTGAAAATAAAATTATGAAAACAACGTTTTAAGCCTTTCAGGTGAAGCAATCACAAACTATTATTATAGTTTGTAATGATTATTGCTTTAAAACGCTTCGTTATGATATATAACTCTAAGTTCCTAACGAGCGATTATATAATAGTAAAAAGTTTGTATTTCAAAAGTAATGTTATTTCAGTTTGTACAATTATAAACTTACCTGGAGCAGATGTAACTGTGGGTTAAGCAATTTCACAGGACCAAAATTTGGAACGGGCATCCCCTTTCCCCCGAGCTCTAGAAATTAATAAAGCCATTGAAACATAATTGATTTTAAACAGGTTTTATGAAAACCGATATTTGATTTAATATTTTGTTACACATCGATGTATTGAGATACTATGGAACAAACCGTTGAGTTTTGGGATGACGAAAATCCTCAAGATGGTCGAGACAGCGAATTGCAACCCAGCGTCCTGGAAATAAAAGTATTATAATAAAATCGGGTATACGAAAAATACCGTCCGCCGACCACCGACCAGTCAATCTTCACATGTAAATAAATAAATAAATAAATAAATACACTCCCCTCCATAAGTTTGGCAACCTTAGCTCCCCCATTGAACTACGTGTTAAAGCATCTTTACCTTTGAATTTTTATTTACTTAACCTTCGATTAAAATACTTATACTATTAATAAAAACGTAATTTGACTTTATTTCCAATACCTTCACATTTTTTCAATTTTTTCCTCAATTACAATAAGTCGAAAATTGATGATAAATTTAATGAATGTTTGAAAATCGACATTCCCATGTTAACCAATGGGAAATGGAAGGTTTGCCGCAAGTCATATGACAGAATATCCATCCATCCGAGTCCTTGCAAAAAATACGAGTTAGGCAGGCAATTGAATTTGCTAACTTTATTTAACAAAAAATTGATATGTTTCTTCAGGTTCAACAAAGTAATAGGGCTTTAAAGTCAAAATTGTTTTTCAAAAAACCTCTCCCATTGAAATAAAGACGATTTTCAAAAATTCATCAAATTTATCATCAATTTTCGACCTATTGTAATTGAGGAAGAAAATTGAGAAAATTTGGAGGTATTGGAAATAAAGTCAAATTACGTTTCCATCAATGTTATAAGTTATTTCATTGCCGGTCAAGTAAACGCAATTCAAATTCAAACGTAAAGAGGCTTTTACGGCATTGAGTTTACCATCAACTATATCACTGTCCCTGGGGAGTATATCGTTTGTCATTACGCGTCCAAAAAAATAAGCCAATTGTGTTCACACTTACACTTATGTTACCAATGGCCGACTCCAATACACCAATCTTCACCCTGAAACAAAACCATAAAAAACTTTTTTTATATCTTAAATAACTCTAGATCTCCACATGGTACCATTCTTTGTTCCTAAGCTGTTTTATAGTGTTTCATATTATCACGGGCTTTGCTTAAAAATACAATATATTAATTCCAACTATAAAGATGTGATAGAGGTTGAGATGTCTATGAATATGTATTCTATGGTGTAAGCTGCATAGGATATGCGTTTGTCAAATACAATGCCTAGGGATCAGTTGTCCTGTTACCCATTATAAATGTAGATACTCACCTTTGGTGGACAATCTGTGAAGTAACTTTGTTGGTCTGTGTGTTAACAGAAGCATTGGCCACGAGGAACAAACTCTGAAATACATTTGATACAAATACTGTTTGATATGTCTGTCTCTTCCAATAATACGCGAGGTTTCTTCTTTGAAAACTGCATGCTTGGATCTCGCCAGGCATGAGGCACGTGAGGCAACTGCCTCGCCAAAATTTTACAGAAAAATACTAATTCAGACCAGAGAATTCAGACGTTTTTTCAATTGAAACTTTGAAAATGATTTCATATGCTAGTGTAGTTTGCTTTTAACTCTGCCTCGCCGAATAGAATTGCCTCACCAATTTCAGATCATGATCCAGCTCATGAAAGGGCTGGAATTATTTTTAGTTATTTTTAAGCATTTTATTAAAATGGTTCAGTCTCGCTGTATAATCCTTGATATAATTGTTTCTAAGCTCGTTACATACCGTATTTGCAGAGAAAGCATGTTTCTCTACCCCGTTAGGTAGATTCGCCGAGAAATCGATGTTTCCTTGGAAACGTAAATGTACACCATCAGGAGTTATAGTAACATTTGGTGTGGCTTTGCTTGCCAGCCCCAAGGATACTGTCGTATTTGGAAACTTTTTCCCAAGCTGAAACAATTGAAATGCAATGCCATTTGCGACAGACGCCGAACACAATCCACAAAAAGTTGGAGACTTGAACAATGTGTCAGCACTTGTGGTTGTGACATAAAAAGTGAATAACATGTGCATATATATATTCTTTGAAAAATGTATTTGCATATTCCTCTTTGCCATTCAAAAAAGGTAGTTTAAGCTTGCATATAAAATCGAAACGCCAACCTATACGTATGACCAATCGCCCATACAAATGCATCGCTTCAATAACTTGAGTTCGCGTTTCGGTTGTCGAAAACAGTGCAAGCTTAAACTCCCTAATTACTATACTACTGTAACTGTCAAAATGTACATGCGCTGTTGATATGTAAAAAAATCCATTGAAAATCATGCCATATAGTTTCAGTACCTCTAATGTAAGTTTACATCATTGATTAAGTTTATGCTGTCAATATATCTAATTTACTATATTATGTATTTTGCGTACCTCCGGAATTACGCCACCTATACACAGCCCTACGTGACAAGTGGTATTAAAAGCGCCTCTCTGCTCAAGGGGAAACTGAAGAGAAATACAAAACTTAAAATCACTCTTTTACACATTACCAACCATTTCATATTTACTTAAAGTGTCTCACATATTCGATCAAAACTTGCCATGCAAACATGTTAGTCTACTTTACTGGCCCCCTTGCTGTAACAAGGAACCTAAAACACATTAAAACGTAAACATAAACCAATTAGTCACTTCACTATGAAAGTGAGGGGTGTTAATATCAGTGGTCATTTACTGTGTCAACTTTGTAACCCTTGCATATTGTGCTCACTCAAGTATTGAATAATTTTTTTATGATCTAAATGTTTGTGGTTTATAAAGAAATGTGATATATTTTAGTTAGAAATACATTAATTAATATATTCATTCAAACAGCACTAGAATGCGGGAAGAAAGAGCAATGGTGACAAAATGCAGACAGAATTTTCCGTAAGGGTTTCAAACATTTCTGAACACAATCATACGAGGGGTGATCCAAAAGTCTTGGACGCCCTGCTATATTTTTGTTGGTTTTTGATAAAATTACTTTAAACTTTCCAATAATAAAGTCCAACATCTTAACTACTTTGTGTAATAATTTCATAGAGAAATGATATATTTTATATAGTTTTCTAGATAGTTTTTAATGCAAGGACCCTGCCACCCGGAACGGTTTCGCACATTGCAACTTTCAGCCTTAAATCATTTCACTTGTTTCGCAAGTCTTGACCACTATATTTCTTTGAATTTTGAATATTAAACCATGTTAGTTTACTTCCTTTGTTACTAAGCAACCAGTTAATTGTGTTTTAATTATAATGTCAAATATGACAATGGCCGTACATGTCAAATTCTAAGAAAATGCCATCAGACAAGCAACCCTCATTCTGGTATCATTTTTGCTGCAAGATGGCTGCTGAAATGCAGAGACGTGTCGCAAAAAGCTCGCGCAGGCATTGTTACACATTTTGTGGCGTAATCCAGAGGATCCTCGCTTTTAACATGATAGAATGTGACGTTTTTGAGAAAAATGAACACTTATGGAAATCCTTTCGTCCTCCACATTTGCCTCTATATCTCAAAATATTTAAGGCGAATAAATCTGATATTGTATATGTATTAACAATGGGTTAGGAGCATCATAAAACACGAATCAATGGATATTTTAGGTGAAATAAATATACGTGTTGCTGTGCTTGAAAATAGGCGAATGGCGTAAATTAGCCCTATTTTAATGAATTTTGAAAACCTTTCGTCCTCCACTTTTCCACATACAACCGAAAACACATACTTTTGTGAACAAAATCAACTATTTATTAATAAACTAGAGTTTAGGAGCAAAATAATCATGTATGATTTATTAAAAATTGATCTCGTATTTTTTGTTTAATGTACACCTGAAAAGTTGAAGGTACCAAAAAATGAGCAAAAAAGGTCGCTGTCAACAGATTTTATTTTTCAGACTCTATGACGTCACAATATGGGACGCTTACTAAAATTCATCCTTTGAAATAAAACTTCCATCTACCTTTATCAAGACGAAAAATAAGTATAATAGTCATATATTGTTCGAGTTATGAGCGTTTAAAGACGAAAAATAATTCAAAATGTAACGTGTCAACATGGGATATTTGCCAGATGTTTTGTTAAAAAACTCTTTTTTAAAAACGAACGCGCAAAAAATGTGAACGGAGTGTAGTTGATCTAAAATCTTCATCGAAACAGCTTTAAAATGATATATAACTTTAATTAGAATATTATCTTATAATCCGGGGAATCAAAGTTACATTCACGCGATACCCTTAAAAAACAAATGCACCACCTTTTTGCGACACGTCAGAACACGAAAGAAATCAAAGTGGAACAAAGAATACAACAAGATATTTTCACTTTTATTGACCTTGAGCAGCTACCATGTTCACAATACAGTCTATATATGGCTTCGTGTGATTTTCGTCCTTTTCTGCAAGTTGAAAGGAGGTTTGAAATGTTTTGTTTACTCATTTGATGAGGTTTAGAGTATCACCCCAGCAGCATTTGTATCACATAAGCAATGGTAGTGTCATAAATGTCTTCCATTCATTGGTAAAGCGGTATGAAAAATATGTTCTAATTCGTGGAAAATATGTTGAAAAGTAGGTCTTAATATGTGAAAATGATGATGGCAGATGACACTCAGATTGACAATCGAAAATTCTCTCATATCATGGCTTGTTTAGGTTGTGCACCTGCAACTAAAGTATTTGCCATATTATAACAGTTGTGACGTAATTTGCTATATCTATATACCGTTCCGGGTGGCAGGGACCCGGTATTAAAAAATATTTAGAAAAGTAGCTAAAATATATTATTTTCTGCTGAAACTTATACACAAAGTTGTTCAAATGTTGATCTTTATTATCTGAAAGTTTCATGTAATTATATTAGAAAATATCAAAGTTAGAGCGGGGCGTCCAAGACTTTTGGATCACCCCTCGTACATGTACTTCATGACATGTGTACTGTTATTTTTAGTGCTGTATTTATAGATATGATTTCACGTATTAAAATCATATTTTCCAGCAATGACTTCAAATTCGGAACCACACCCATATCACATTTTCTTCAATAACTCCAAACATGTGTAAACATTGACCATGTGCATATAAATTCAGATTTCACGAGCTCTTTCCTATTCGAGTACCTCATACACCCCTGCATGGATTTGAGTTGGATTCGCCTTTTATACGTGAGCCGACACACTCGCAAACGCTGATTGGATAAAGATTGCGAGAATCTTTAAGTTATTTCGAATATTGAAATGGAATACAAACCGAAAACAACTCCATGTGGGAAATATTTTGGTTTTTGCATAAAGCTATACATCACACAACACCCCAAACCCTAAATGATAACATAAATTATGATTAGGCAACACTTTCACATCTCTCTTATGAAGAATACTCACATCTTTAGGGTTTACTTTTTGCTGCAATATGCCATGGGTCTGTGCAGTGTCTGCTAAAGTACGTAGAACATAATCGGAAGCCCAGACGTACAGCATGCTTGTGCTCTCTGTGCTATCGGGAAATGGAGCGGGTCTCGAGGCTGAACTTCTCTTCCCACCTGTTGCCCAATGAACCTCTCCCTAAAATAGGTTATATTTAATGCAAAGGTTAACATCACATGGGGTGAGTACTACCCAGTGTGACCCCTCAATACCGACGACATGTATATGGGTACAACAGAATTTTGAATATATAGGTTTACACAAAAAATGTCACCCACAAAAAAACACGTCTAAATCGTTTGAAAAAACACGTCCGGGACAATCGATCTCCACTGTTAACACTTGGTCACCGTGTAATTGTTACATAACTTTTCGTCTGCATATTAATTCTGACTTGTTCTTGGAGACATTAAAACTAAACTCTATGGAGCAACTCGAAAAGAAGTTTCAGATGACTATAAGCTCAACTAAATGCATTCTTCCACAAAAATGGCTCTGATTTTTCTGATGAGCTTTATCTTCAGGTCTTCTATGTGGTTTGGGATCCTACGTGCAATGTTATTGACGATCTCTCTCTCTCTCTCTCTCTCTCTCTCTCTCTCTCTCTCTCTCTCTCTCTCTCTCTCTCTCTCTCTCTCTCTCTCTCTCTCTCTCTCTCTCTCTCTCTCTCTCTCTCTCTCTCTCATCATTGCAACGTTTATTTATAGGATCCGAGTTAGAGGTCGTACCACTTTAAAACAAACCCACTTGTCGATTTGAGGTGCATCAGATTGACTGTTCGAACCGGTGTAAAAGGGTAGGTGGTCCTATCAAATTTTGGTCCTACTCTCTATTGATTTATATGGTGACCTAATTACAATTATTTCCCTTATTATTTATACACAGTCAGGGCCAGTAAGGGCCGTAAGGAAAGGGGACCATAATCCCCAGGGGACCATAATTTCTTTTACACCAGAATAATAGATTGCTTTGTACCTTGTGATACGTTTCCATGTGATCAGCTGCGAAATTCGGAGCAGCAGTTAGTCCGTAGTCCAACATCATTTCATTATGATCTCCAAGTCTAACACTTACTGAAATGATTGGAAAATTGCATAAATGATCTAGGGATGTGTGATAAATCAATGAGTTTGGAAGGACCACCGTTTAAATAAGGCATCTAGCGAGATGTGTTGATTTTAAGAACTCCAATAGTTTGTTTTGCTTCTTCAAAACGAGTGCTTCATCTAACTGTACTGGGCTCTTAAGTAAGGTTAACCTAGTACTAGATATAGTATATTAGCCTAGATATAAAAATCTTCCAGATAAATTAGCAAAAAAGAATAACTATAAAACAGTAATAAAAAGAATATCATTTATTTACGTGGTATATGCGAAAGGAAATCCTCAGCTTTTTTGTCCACAGCTCTTCTTGCTTCACGACAAATCTACAGAATCATATTCATTTGTTAGACTGCTTTTAGAATGGACAAGTAAGATGGTTTACTTTAGAAATATTCGCTTTTAAGTCATATGTGTTAGCAAGCGCGTGATTCCTTAATATCCTGTTTCAAATATTTTCCATGAATAAAGATATGTTCAACTTACAATATCTGTCAACTCTTTTTTGAGTGTTTTCTCGACGTTGTGCGAGAAGAGATTGTAGAGCCAGCTGGCACCTCCGCTAAATCTCACTCTAGCTCCACCGACATACGCGTTACAACTTGTGCTTTTTATTGTGAGATGGCCCTGAGGATCGTGGTCTAATAATAATACAGATCATGAAAATGTAATAGTGGACATTTTCTGGTTTCAAAATCACAAATCCATTCAAAGTGTGCTGGCAATCAGTCGAACGGGATGGGCAGGATGGCAATGATATTAAGGCCAAAATGAAAAGAATAGCACTCGTCACTGCGTCAAATGTGAAATTCCAAGCAATTTCTAGATGTGCAAAGATAGTCTAGGAACTCCGCGTATCTAGAGATTCCAAGACGTGTCAAGAGGTGCAAAGACCTCGCGTGTAAAGAGCGTGTCAAGAGTTTTGATATCTCTTTGCACAGCCTTATCAAAACAAACAGTATAATTAGACCGGCCACATGTTGTTATGCCCTATAGTCGCGCTTAATTATACTTTACTAGGATTGGAATATAACAATCATTTTAATTTCGTGTTAATAATAATTTGTGTTTTTTAAATCATTATCAAAATAAAATTAATTTAAAAGTATGCGTGTGCGTGTAAGTATAGGCAATAGCTTAGTCGAAATGAGTAGATGTGTGCAGATGGAGATCGCCTATGTATTTTGCTAAATCTGACAGTTTTACAGGATCATGTTAAAGATCAAATGAAAACAAGAAATGTGTTTTTCTTCGGTTTATCTACTCTAGATATTAAAACAGTTTGAATAATTAACAAAGTCCACTTTGAACCGTGTCAATCAAATTGTCAAATATGTAGATAGCACATGCAGGCCCGAATACAGGGGGGATAGATTGATTCTAGCGACCCCCCCCCCTCCATGACCAAAATTGCATTTTTTACCCCATACTGAGCACCTTTTAAATTATTTTGCTCATTTTTGAACTAACATTGCCAAAAGTAAACTCCCCCTGGAATTTCTTAAAAAAGTAACCCACCCCTTGGCAAATCCTCGCTATGGGTCTGAAACGCCTGAAACATGCTCTGATATAATGAGGCATATTCTGTGATCTGAGCATATCAGATGGGAAGAGTTATGAATGTCAGTAAGTGTGATTGTTATCATGTAATCATCTACCTAATGTCAATACATTACATAATGTAGTAAGGCATTGTACATGTATTTAACAACAGGCACATCCTTCTTCAAAGGACTTCATTTATACTTGTAAAATACCCTTCCAGCGAGGATGCAACAGGCACAGTTACACAAGTTTTATGACCCCAATTAGATGAAATATGAGCTGGGATGAAAGATCTCAAAAATCAAGGGCTGGGAAGATTTGAGATGTCATGGTTTACTATCATGACGCTGAAACATGTGTCGCTTATTGTCACCTGTATTGATCATGATGGGGCGACGGCAGTGCCCCGAGTCTTTTTGATCTGTTTAATCTTATAAGTTACTATTTAAAATTGAATAATTTAGGACCCCGGAAGCAAAACAACTCTTTGTTATGAAAGGAATACACCATGGACAGAACCCCTCATGTAAACCATCTATAAATACCTTTGAAATCAATTTGATTTTCGATCTACATCTGAATCTCAGATGGAGAGTACTCTTTGACAAGATCAACATTTAAAAGTGTAGGAAAGTTTTGATAAAGATGTTTAATAGCTAATTATTCAGACATATTGTTCTTTCATGTTGACGATCATCGAACATAATTGCAATCAACTTCCATGATATTTGCAATTTTGAATTTTGAATTATTTTGAATGCAAATGTACTCAAGTACTATATCCTGAGTTCTGCCCGGATCCCCGAAAACGTTTAAAATCTTACTCGATTATTTAGCTAGACTTCAAAATAAGGGATTCAATAGAAACATGAAATCCATATCACTGTATAAATTGTGGAATGTCTAGTAATTTTTAGACGTGCTTAGCCGGTCTAGAAACTCTGCGTATCTAGAGATAGAGGAGGGGAGAGAGGGCTAATTTTATAGCTGAAATTAAAAATAGCTTATGATCTATAAATATAATATATGGTTGTTCTTATAATGAACAACTATTGGTTTAATATCTGATATGTGGACGGATATTTCTTGATTTGGTTTAAAAAGAAATTGAATGTAGGGTTGCAAAAATGAGAGAGACAAAGACGTTCTAAGGGTGGGGGTAAAATTTAATTAAAATCAAGCTGAGACAGAATGAGAATAAACATATCTGTTAGTTGCTCATGTAAACGAAAACAAATTGTCGAAATCGCTGTTCCCTCTTCAAAAGAGGAGACGCGAAAATCTTTCCTTATAAGGTCAAAATATTTCCCATGATGCAGTTCGCGGAGGAACAAATTTATACTTCCTTGTTTTCCCTCATAGGTTTAACATGGGGATTTTCAAACCTATTTTTCAAACGATATATTCGTTCATATTCCCGTACGAGGGTACAGAAAAAATTATTAGAAACGATTGATCTCTTATTAATCTTAATATAACAGCTACTTTTTTTCATTGTATTGATTCATAGCGTGGTGAAAACGATGATTGAAAAGTGAGAAAATATTCCGGAAGAGAATGTCACGTGATCAGTTGACTAGTCGCCATATTGGAAAAAAACAATTCCATTCGACTTTCAATACTTTCATGCCAATCTTACCACACTACAAACTGCAACATCGATGCAACAACTGAATAAAAGTGTTCATCTTCAAATTACATCATAGAGTTACGTTGAATACCAACAAATAACTGAGCAGTAGACCAAAGAAGAAGCGTCGCTATTATCTAGGTCACTCTGTTCTGTGGTCCGAAAGCAAATTTATAGTACTCGTTTCCGAATTTTGTTGTTCATTGTACAATCTTTTATTGATTAAACTCGGTATACTGACTATTAAAGCAATGACAAAGAAGAATACTTCCGATGTTGTCATTGTTTTATTTAGCGTGCGGGTGTAAAAACAAAATTGCGTAATTAGTTTGATTTAGAACTTTCGGGTCACGCAAATAGCTACGCGAAATGCATAGTGAGAAAATATTGACCAATCAAATTTTGTCCTTTTTGAGTGCTTTTTCAGTACATATTTGCGAACGTTCTGATTCAAAGAGCGAATCGCGAAAAGGAGAATTAGAGGGTTCATTAGCACCGCAGACCAGATTTGCAAAATTGGGGGAGTGCATTTTCCCAGGATTTCAAACAATACTATATCTAAAATGTTGCCCCTCATATGGCTGGGTCATATTTGCTCCGATTCATCGGCCGGGGGCCGGCCGATTGAGTGTTTTTTCAAACATGAAAACAATTTTAAACAAAATACTCAATCGGCCGGAGGCCGGACGATGAATTTGAGCAAATGTGAACCAGACATTGCAAATTCCTTCAAAATTGAACTAGAAGTTTCAAATGAAAGCCATTCAAAGCTCCTTTCTTCTTCCTTCTCTATTGGTTAAGCGGGGGGGGGTGCGATCATTCACGAATCGCGACCCCCCCCCCCTGGTTACGCCTATGTGTTAAAACTTTACACAATATCAATATTTAAAACTGTATCGTGTAAGTGGCTTATTAAGCATCAGATCAATCACTAAGAACCCCTCTTATCTGCCGTTTGCGTTTGGAAGGATAAAGACAAAGGGGACGCGGCTACATGTATATCGCGATAACGTGAAATCTTTATGACATATCCCTTCACCAGGGCCTACACCAATATTCTTAACACCACTTATTAAAGGATGCATACATCAAGGGGTAGACATCATTCAAAAGACATAAACATGACCGGGTCGGTCAGGGGAAGGTTTGCATACGATGCAATTTGTACATGCAAGCTCATTTTTCACATATAAATTAATAAAGTCGATTCCTTGGGAATACGTTATTGGGTTTATAAGCGTAACGAGGAGAAGCGGTGGGTTCGCACCCCCTCCTACAAGCAATAAAAGGTACCATAAGGTAGAGGAAGAAAAGAGCATTAAATTGATTTTTTGTTTGAAGCTTCTAGCTCAGGTTTGAAGGAAGTTGCATCATTTTCGTAAAAATTCAAAACAAATATTTTTTGCCTCATTTATGTCACGATCGCACCCCCCGACTGAAAACCTAAAATATTTTGGTGATTGCATCACCCCTCCCCCCGACTGAAAGCTGGATACGGCCCTGGGGTTTTATCGAAAACTATATCGTCAACATTTTATCATTATGCGGAAGTCCAATATGAAATCTTAAATGGTAAATATGTTGCATTTATGGAGGGAATTCCACTGTAAACTATAATGTGAATGTTTGATATGAATACTTCCATACAACCATCAATATCCATTCTTTTGAAATAAGATGTTACAACAAAGGGAATATTGAAAACTACAGTGGTAAGAGCATCTTTCTGACTGCTAATTATGTGTATCAACATTTTGATTGCACCTCAGCTGGAGATTAAATCTTATAATAATTTGATCAAAGGGATTGTAATTTTCCCCAATTCGCTTATCTATGTTACAATCTGTATACTTGTTATATTGTGAGCGGTATGTGTTGATAAACCAAAAAGATATGTTTTTTGGATATCAACATTTAGAAAAAAGTGTAAGATACCATTCTATAGTTTATCTTAGTGTTTAGCATAGGTAAGAATGGGGGATGGGCTGGCGGGGGTCCGTCTTTGAATAATTCCAAGGGGTTCATATATTATCACAATTTTGCTACAAAATCACTTGGAAAGTGCATGATTTGAAAGATTATTTGGCCAAGGCGTCCGCTATTAACATGAGTATGAATTTTATAAAAAAATTACTTGAATCAAAATCGAAGAATTCCTTGCCCCGTGTGTTTACCATTCACCCCGGGGGTTCACACTCGGCTCAGGTGGGGTACCTTTTTTACATTTGGTATGTCAAGCCAATGGACCCACATTTTAAGACAGATTTTTCCATTTTCTGGTATAAGAATCGGTGTGGAAAATATGTTACCCCTCAATTGTGGTACGGCATTGGTCCCGGGGCATTGGTCTAGTTGTTACACATATCCTTCATTTGAGGTTGTTTTAATTATGATCATTTTACTCAAAGATCTGCCTTCTTCTCGGGGCATTCGATATTTCGAATGGCCTTGGTCTTATATTCTGGATATTTGGTACCCGGGGGTATGGCATTGGTTCTATATTTGGATGTTTGACATGGCATTGGTCTTGTGTTTGGACATTTGATATGGCTTTTTGGGGTTTATTTTAGTTTGTATGAGAACACATTTAATGCCACCCCCCCCCCCCCAAATTACAAATCTACATCTATTCTCTCTATCCCAAAGGTGGATCGGAAGCATGTAAAACAGATGCAGACTCGGGACAGTTGCAAGGGGGGCTATAATGGAGAAATTCGTTTTGATTTTGAGTCTAACTGAAATATTTTGTCACAAATATTAATTAAATACGCAAATAGCCTGTTTTATTAAATGAGACTAGGGCAAAAAATCTATTCATTAAATCTAAAGCCTAGACGATATATTCTGTAATCAAGGTGGTTTTGGTACACTTCCGCAATTATAAAGACAAAAACATAGACTAAGTTATTAATCTTTTGTTATCATATCAGATTAAGTCAGTTTTGTCTCCGATTGTTATGCAGGTGTGTGTATCGACTCCAGTGAACAACATTAAGTGAATCAATCCTTGAAATTCCCAAATTCATTCCAAATTCTGGCCGTTAACCCCCCCCCCCCCTCCCTCATGTCTCTTAATTACATTTATTTTGCAAATGATATATAAATTATAGATTAAAATATTTCATTTTCGAATTGCACAAAGGGCAACATGTGAAGATAAAACCGCGATCCTAAAGCTACTTGCGAAACAAAGTGGTTTATGGTCCCCAATATCATTATTATATTAATACCAATACAATGTACCTCTATGAATATCATAAATTCACTCCTTTTTAATATCAATAGTCAAACAAATTAAGCAGTATGCTACAGTTGGTTATCAATCGGAGTTCACGACCTATTGATTACTCTTTAATACAAAATTTAACCATTTTAGAATGGGTAACTCACACCCCCCCCCCCCGTCCATGTCCATGAAGTGCGTAGACTGACATAATAGTGTCATTTATTAATTAAACATCACTGATTTATGTTGAGACATTCAGTGTGATTATTTCATTTCTTTGTTCAAAAAGTTAAAGCACCAATTAAATACATATTTTTATCACACAAAAGGGGCAGAATACTTGACCTTGTATCAATTCATATCCCGATAATTCTTTACAAGGGAATGTTTCTTATTAAAACATAAGCAGCGCCTAGGCGTCGATTGGGGGGGGGGGTCAATCCAGTGTTCTCAGGCTATGTACAGCCAAGTATCCTGTTTATGTAAAAACCCTACGTTCCCGAATCACAATCAGACAATTAATTAGTATATTTGCTGTGTCTAGCAATTGATCATAGAATTAGATGTTGCGAAAACTATGGGAACTTGTACCTGTCTGTTTATGGATAGGCTGGGAAAGAACAGCAGAGAGAATGGTACATTCGATTGAATATGCTTGTTTTGCCCAATTGTGTATTAAAATGCCCCTCATTTATCATATGTATGGTCACAAGTTAAGTCGGCGATAATTTGTATTGACTTAACTTGAAACAAATAACTCCGAAATCCAAATACTCATCGAAAAGTAAGGTTATCTTTATATTAAGCTAATACAAAATAAATATATAAATAGGCCTGATGTATCAGTGTTTTCAAAGTTTATTGCACGTTTTATCCTTGAAACGCCTTTCTTTTTCTTATTATGATATGTATTTCCTTCACTTAGGATCAATGCGTCGATTAGCATTGCCTGTAACTTATTTATATTTTCAAAAGGCGGCATGAAATTGCCAAAATGTTTAAATAAGTCAATGTGTCAGCGTACATACAAAATAGTCTGTTTAATATTTGCTACATGTACTTGTTCCAAACAGTCTGCGAAAGAATGATTAAAAAATATATCAATTAAAAGTATCAGAGAAAATACTCGCAATCGTTAAAATACTGTATGTATTGCTATTGGTAATTAGGTTAGTTGTTTACACATAATTATGTTGTTCAGTGTGCCAAGAGCGTGTCAAGAGATTCCATTAATTGTCACAGGGCGTGTAAAGACTTTTTGACATGGTCTTTACACGTCTTTGCACTGCGTGTGCCAAGAAGTGCAAAGAGGTGTAAAGAGTTGAATTCATCGCGTGTCAAGAGGTGTAAATAATTGGCACGTCTAGAAACCCGGCGTGTAAAGACCAGTTTCTAGACGTGTCAAGAGTTGGAATCCCATATTTCACGCAGTGCGTCATAACGATTGACATTGTTTTTAGATGAATTAGGAAAAGAAAAAAGGATGCTTATATTCTATGAACAATGAATTTCTTACCGAGTGAGACGCCCATCTTAAATCTCACTTCAGAAACAGAAGCCGTAAAGGTACCATGATCTTTGATCTTGAAGCTAGTAAAACAAATACAGTATATGTATTAATTGACAAAAAAACTTCTAGCTGGGATCTGTTGAACGACACCCTCAAGACGCAGGGCTAGAGACGACATCACCCTCTCCTCCGAGTTCAGTTCCTTCCTCCTTTCTGAGATGGAGGGGACTTAGTGGACGATATCTGGAGGCCTACTCCCGGAGTATGGTTGAAGAATATGCCAAAATATATCAAATGAAACTGGTTATAGTTTTTGCTTTTTAAATAGTGATTATTATGTGTTCTAATCTTGGTTTAACATACATTTGGTAAAACTTACATCACTCTCACTTCGTATCTCCAGTCGCCATTTATGTTAATGTTGCCAATATTAGCTGTCCACTCCAAACCTCTCCCTGCTATAGGATGAACTTTAGTATCAAGACCTGAGAAGCCATCGAGTTTCATTCTATAACATTACTATTTATGTCGTAAACCAATACAATACAAGTAGAATTAACTTTTGTATGTATAAACTTATTGAACGACCCTCGCATTTTCATATTCTTTGAATTAACGACCGGAAATCGAAAACATATCATTTATGGTGTGATATCCCGTAATCACAAACTCCGTTAACTGAGACTACACAACCATTCGCCATGTTATAGTCAAAGTCTTATCCAAAGGCATTGTAAATTGTAAATTATATATTAATCTTACCCAGTAAAACTGTATTTCACTTTGCCAACTTTAATATCTGCTTCGCCAGAAGCATCATTTATGTGCATGCCTCGAACTTTATCTCTGAGAATCTTCACGGCTACGCTGGATACTGAAGTGTCACCAAATGATAAATCACATATTTGGCATCTAGGATCAATATCAGGGATGATATTAGAATTAGCGGGATGATATCAGATTTGATCGATATCATTTCGCTAATTCTGATATCATCCCGCACGGGGAAATCTTTTGAGACTTCGTTTCGCTCTTTTCACATTTACTTCATCTATTAACTTTCCAAGTTTTGACAGTCATAATATGAAATACATGTAACGTTAATATTCCCAACATTAATTTACTGTTTTCTCATCAAACAGATGGTTTTTGAGGTAGATATTGCTCTTGTTGACCATCACCTGTCGGGATGATATGGGGAATATCCCTTGGATGACTATCGATATTTATATATTGATATCATCCTTGTGATATTCTCCATATCAAATCCCTCCTGGTGAATAACCTCTTTTTATTCGTATGGTAATTGCAAATGATGACAACACTGGTGGTAAAATGAGGCTATACAAAATGAGGCTATACAATTAATACAAACAGTAAATATTTTTCTACTTACTTCCTGGTTTAAAAGACGGTTTTTTACTTTTGGAGAATTTGTTTTTCGGAGCATGACATTTTACAAAAAATAACATGAATTTAGCAGAATTTATATTTTTAACTCTGCAATTGATCCACTTAACACTCAACAAGGTCCTGCACTTTTACCAGGAAATGTTTTTGAACTATTGTTTGTAAAAATTGTGCTTGAATGACTCGATATAATACTGTAACTAATTATTTCTCTTATACTTCTTTTTATAACATGTTCTGCATGTACTTACCATAATCCATCCCCTTTGTTGTCATTCGTGCCCTCAGCCCCGGGGGTGTCGGCTGTGCCAGGCATAGTCCTATCAATGTCACGACTAGCAACTGTAATATTGTTGCTCCCATCGTGCAGCTTTGCAAGGTCTATCAACGTTTTGAGGCAACTTTAGTTGACAAAGTCCCTTTACTTTAATTAAGCAAATCGGAGTTGTATTTTTTTTAAACTTGTGTTTTACGTTGCAGCTCTGAAGAATTCTTTTAATAAGTGAGTAAGTAGAGGTAATGTTTATCAGGTGATCGTCGCTGACAATTTAGATGGAAAACCTGATTATTCATTCCTTCCCCATTGCTCATAGCTTATTCTTATCTCATGTTATTCCAACTACACACTTCCTTGTCAATAAGGAAAGTGAAGTTAAAAACATTAGCTTGCTTGCCTTCCTATATACACTACATTAAAGCTTTTACGCCGAGCGACAGTATTTTCAGTTTCGTTTCCTTTAATTTTCATGGATTTAAACTTCCTTGTCTGCATTCACTTTTAAAAATCATTTCGATCAATAACCATACATCGCTTAAAGTGTGCGATAAAACTGGCTTCTAGCACCGGAGGAATTAGAATAGACGATGTTAGATTGAACGTGTAAGGTCTATCAATTTAAGCGTTGTTTCGTTAGAAGTGTTTATCGTTGGTTTGATAGATACATCATTTTTTAAAACGTGCACTTGAAATGGATAATATATTGCTTCACTAAGTACACAATACAAAACAAATAAATGCTTTTGAATGCATTGAATATTGCACTATGATAAATGATATTGATTGAAAACAGGTACATTCAAATGCGCAAACATCTATATAGTATATAACATAACAAAACGTCCTCGCTAAGGATGAGGCACTCAAAATTATAGCAAACTATGTCTTTTTGCTAAGTAGTATAACGAACGAAGTGTTTTGAAGGAACGAAGTGTTTTGAATTAAATTATCCGATATTTCAGCTCTCGATGGCTTTTTTACAATCGGAACCTTATTAGTTGACTTAAAGTTTAAGCATTCAGATTATACTTAGCTAAGCTGATCATTGTTGACTACATATTGAGAAAATACCCAGAAATGGCGAAACTGGATTTCCACTAAATGCGTGTGAACAACATTAGAAAGAGATACAGTTTTAAAAAATATATAATTATTTACATTTTCTATATCAGGAGGGTTTTAACTTTTAACAGTGCAAAAGATGATATAATTATACAAATAGAGAACAAGTTCTATAAGTGCAGTCAGTTAGCAGTATAATTGCACTTGCTATATATATAAAGCACCATTTTTTGACCAACTGACTGCAAGTTATATAGATTGAGTTGCTCATACACACATCGTGCAAAAGGATTTTGTGTACGAATTAATTTAGCGTCCAATATGTTATCAAACTGTCCATCTCAATCTCGAGGGATGCCACTAACATCGGTTTTCACCATGATCGCATTCTGTAAAATAATAAGGAATAATACAAGACTCCTCAAATTTGGCTAAAGCAATGGGCTTTAATATAATCTGATTTTATATAATAACAATGATATAATATATTATCCTACACTTAGTGTACTAAATGCATAATAACATTAACAAATAAATTTGATATTTATTGGCAAAATCAATATCCGGAGGATATCGTAACGATATACTCCGGGCGGAGGATATCGTGACGATATACTCCGGAAACCCCAATATGCGGAGGATTTTGTGACGATATACTCCGCTTGTTGATTTCCCGCCAAATTGACTCTATTTGGCATGGAATTCATTTTGCAATTATATTATACATTTAGTACACTCCTTGTAAGTGTAGGATAATAAGAACATCCTATGATTTTTTTCAGAATATCATTTTAATCTACTCGGTGATATTGATAAATGCACTCCTTCGCTTCGCTCTCTCGTGCAGATATCAATATCACCTCGTAGATAAAAATGATATTCCTCAAAATCATAGGATATCCTATAAATATAATATAATATGATATGATATGATATCACTATCTAATTATGTATTGAAACTGGTTACCTGGAACAACTGTAGATGAGGATTCACCAATTTCACTTCACCAATATTTGGAATAGAAATCCCCTTTGCTCCAAGTTCTAAAAACAAATTCAAAGCTGTTTGGAATGACGTCTTCTATGAAAAAAAATCTAGGGAAAAGCCTATCTGTTACGTACAGGGTAACGTGTTGTTTTTAGGATGAGGCCAAGCCAAATTGTACTTGAATTTAATTGTTTTTACTTTTGACAAGGTCATTCTACAGGTAAAATAAGAGAACAAACCATTTAACTGCGGGACAACGAACATGTTCAATATGGCTGCGACGGAGAACTGCAGGCCAGCATCCTGGAAAAAGAAAAGTACGAAAATAAAGTAGTCCAAATGTTATGTCGACTTGCATCATGGTCAAACACAGCAAAGGTATGTCGGGCAAGTCCAATAATCTGTCGACATTCATAATCATGGTGAAACAATGCAAATTACACTAGGTCTGATAGATGATCTATAATCTGTCAACTGCTATCCTGGTCAAATACGACAAACGGTTGGGATCCACTTCGTATAATAATTACACATATTGTGAAATTTTTAGTGGTTTCGATTATCAAGGTTTTCTTTACACTTACATGTACGAACCCTATGGCTGAATCTGCCACAGCTATTCTCACGCTGCAAACCAAAAGTATGGCAATTAAACTCAAACAATATTTAGGTATCGAATTGTAATTGCAAGGGGAGCGCACATCAATTTTTACCTAACGAGCACGGTTACAACTTGACTGGCCATATTTGCAAATTCCTGATGCTCAACAAGAGAATCTAATGTTTATAAATTGATGTTATGAAAATCATAATTTGGGAACATTTTATGTACTCACCGATGACGAGCGATCTGTCCAGTTACCCTGTTGTTCTGTGCATCAATTGATGCGCTGGCCAAGATGAATAAAGTCTGAAACAAAAAATATATAAATTAAGTCAAAAGTAGGTCTACGTTTTCACAGTCCAACAAAGTGGTCAAATTGACATGCCAATACTTTTAAGATGTAATGTACTTATCATTCGGACTTTAGAATAGTATCTATCTTTTTATACACATAAGTTACGGCAGAAACAAACTGATCAATCATGACATACCACATTTGCAGTGAGGGCATGCTTCTCTTCACCAAGAACATTTGCCGAGAATTCAATGCTTCCTTGGAAACGTAATCGCACGCCACGGGGGGTTATGGTAACGTTCGGTGTGACCGAGCTTGCCAATCGCATAGACATTGTCGTGTTTGGGTACGTTCGACCAAGCTAAAACATATAAATTATGAGTGATAGTTGAAATGCATTCATGTCCTATATGTCTCAATCATTTAAGTAAACTAAACTAGATTTTAGCAGTGGTATTATTAACTGTTATGCCATTCTTTTTAATTGATGCAATCAAAGATGTTGTGAGTATCATATATCAAGATCTGTAAAAATAATCATATGTATGTCATTTTGAGAGAAACTGTCTAAACCAATAATCTTAAAATCAACTAAAAACCACTTATTGAAAGAACCGGAAGCATACCTGTGCCATTGCGCCACCTATACACAGCCCTACGTGACAGGTAGTGTTAAATACGCCTCGCCTATGAATGGGAAACTGAAAAGTATAGAAATATGTATCAGTCATATCCATATAAATTTTAATTACACTCACACCATATAACCATACTATATCGTAGAACCGTGCCATTTGAATTTGACAAACACAATAACCAATCATCGTATTTATAAATCTCTATGTACCATATCTCTAAATTAAGGCCACCATTTCACAGAATATTTCTAAACTTTACTCACGTCATTCGGATGCAGATGTCTCTGCAGTATGCCATGTGTTTGTACAATGTCCGCAAACGTACGTAGAACGTAATCGGAGGCCCAGACGTATAACATGCTTGAACTCTCTGTGCTCTCGGGAAGCGGAGCGGGGCCTCGGACTGAGCTCCTCTGCTCACCTGCTGTCCAATAAACGTCACCCTGAAAAAGTTAAAAACAAGACATTAACATGCAAAATGTCACCACCTCCCATTTGTTACAGACGCCGAACCCCATCACAAAGAAGTTGGAGATCATAACAATATGTCAACATTTCTGGTGGTGACATAATAGAGGTTATTTCATGGGCATCATAACACGGAGGTAAGTATTTCGGCCACCCTGATATGGCCGTCCTTATATATTTGCTTTTATCAAACTGCACCTGACCTAATTAATTCTGTTGAGTACCTTGTGATACGTTTCCACATGGTTTACAGTAAAAATCGGCGCAGCAGCAATGGCATAATCTAGCATCATTTGGTCGTCCTTGCCCAGTCCAACACTTACTGAAATCATGACATCATCATGAAGAAGTGTGCTATTGTACTATTAACCATCTATATTGTGGCAGTATCTACATGTACAACTATGATTTATATATTTTCTACCAAACACATGTAATGTTTGTTGTTTTGAATCTTTCAGTGGTGAAACAAAAAATGATAATGATAGCCTTGATGAACGACTTTTGGACTTATTTAATTTGCATTCTCGTGTAAATGGAAGAAACTGAGTACATTGGATCCGTACTTTGAACGCCATGAAGAGCCATATGTAAAAATAAATATCATGGTACTCACGGTCAATACGCGAAAGGTATCTGTTTGCGTCATCGTTGACAGCTTCTATTGCCTCACGACAAATCTAAACACAAAAGCATGAAGTTTAAGTCACATATTAGGGAGTTTAAGCTTGCAATGTTTTTCACAACCTAAACGTGAACGGAAAATATTTAAGCGATGCATTTGCATGGGCGATTGGTTATACGTATAGGGTGCCGTTTCGATTATATATGCTAGCTTAAACTCTCTATTGTCGTTACAAAGCAGATAGAGGTCCATGGTCAATGACTCAGTCGATACATTGACATGATAGCTAGACATCTAAAGTTTTGGTTGATATCTATAGCTAAGTAAAACAAGGATATGTCCTTACTATTTCTTTCAATTCGTCCTTGAGTAAATCCTCGACTTCATCTGAGAAGAGATTGTAAAGCCAACTGGCCCCACCGCTAAATCTAACACTAGCGCCCCCTACATTAGCGGAACAACTACTTGAGCGTGCAGTCAGATGGCCCTGGGGGTCACGACCTAACAATCACAGGGGTAAAGTAGTGATATAAACAAAAGTGTAATTACAAAGTGCAATGGATAGTATTTTAAAGCTAGACATTTACAGATTAAATGAAATATAATCAAAGAACCTGAACTAGAAAACAGAAGCCGATAAATGATACCCTCAATTGTTTATAATCTTGAATGCTTACCAAGTGAAAGGCCCATCTTGAAACTAACATCCGAAACTGAGGCTGAGAAACTCCCATCGTCATCGATATCGAAGAAGCTTAAATGTAAAGATGTAATTACAAGTGTATTCATGGGAATGCATTTCAAAATCTTCAGTAAATTGATAGTGAACACTCCCCCACCATCTCTTATTACTTATAATTTGGATACCGTGCATGGGAGGGGGGTGAATCACTGTAAAACTTACAATAATTCCAATTCGTATTCCCAGCCTCCGTTAACACTTAGATCCCCGATATTAGCTGTCCACTCCAAACCTCGTCCCGCCACTGGGACAACCTTGGTTCCGAGACCTGAGAACCCCTCAAGCTGCATTCTAAAATAAATCAAAGGATTAATCAGATTAGGTTAAGAGAGGAACTTTTCAAATTGAGAAGATGCAAATTTTATGTACATGTAACCTTCTGATTTTGAAAATGCGAGGGTCGTTCAATAAGTGCGCATATTATAAAGATTGGGCGCTCCTCATATTTTCAAGGTCGTTCAATAACTGTGCGCATATATATACATTAATATCATTCTGCTCAAACAGCACTACATAAACGTTCATAATGTAGGTTTCGAATTTACCTTGTGAAACTGTATTTGGCATCGCCTATTCCGATATGCGATTCGCCAAAGACATCTTTTATACGTATGCCCCGAACTTTCTCTCGGAGTATCTTTACAGCTACACTGGATACTGAAAATTGTAAACGAAAATGGGAAGATATGAGAATAATACTTTGAGCCCAACATTTAGTAATTGGTCTATCCATGGGCGTTCAACTAGAGTTGAAAGCCCATGTCTAGTTGAAAGCCCATGGTCTATCTAACTGTCCCAATACGTCATCTCCATTGAAGTTCTAGACTAGTGATATGCGAGAGTACCCATGTAAAAAAACAATCCAGGACATGGATACAGATCCTTCGAGGTCGTGTTCAATTGTGTATTAAAAGGCTGGCAAACGAGTATAATACTGTACGAGTATAAGTGGTAATTTTGCCTCATCTTTTAATTTGTCTCTTGCCTAATCTTTGCCAGGTTCGGAAAATTAAATGTCGGAAATATTATCTTCCAATGGGAAGTTTCTTGTCAAAAGGAAAATCAAAATTAGGAAAATGATAAAATTTTCTCGTAGGCAAATTAAGGTGCCATGATACTTAACAGGAAATGACAAAACAGGAAGTGGCAAAAAACTTTGCATTTTCTAGGGTAGAGATTAAAAGGTGGATTGGATCGAGTGGATTGGATTCATGTAAAAGGTGGATTGGATCGGGAATCTTCAAAATGTGGAATTACTTATAAAAAAATTTCTGTTGATCTCCCTCTAAACAATTTCCCTCTACAGTATTACAGGTCCCTTTTGAGAAATCAGAACAAAGCAATGACAAATACATACTCCAATTAGTTCATGGACACTCTTAAGTATTTAACCGCTTTCCCTTGTAAATCAACTTTTGTAAGACATAGATCTTTAGAAAAAGAAAACATGTCATTCAAATTAATGTGTGAATGTTCACAAAACATTTCTGGTATGTTCAGTTTGGATTGAAAACAGATGATATGGATATTCAAACCAGTCTGCCTTATGATTTATGAAATGTCTCAAATAACACTTGGAATAATAAGATCGTGTATCAGAAAGCGGATACCAGGTCATCCTTCTAGCCCACCCAAGCAAAATAATATTACATCTATTATTTGACATTGTGCAAGTGAAGAGAGCACCAATCTTCCTAAAGGAATAGAATTTTTTAAAGGAAAATCCATATTTTGAAGATACCCAATCCAATCCACCTTTTACATGAATCCAATCCACTCGATCCAATCCACCTTTTAATCTTTACCTTTTCTAGACATTTTTTGAACAAAGATAACAGAGTTCTATTTTGCGACCTATTTTGTCACTTCCTGTTTCGTCATTTCCTGTTAAGTATCATGGCACCTTAACCACTCGGATTAAATACCACTCATCCGGTATTACTACTATAGGAGAAAAGCACTCCTCCCTACTACACTTGAAGAGTAGTTAATATGAGATGCAACACTGATTTGAAAATACGCATACGTAATGAATACTCACCATAATCCATTCCCTTCGTTGTTATTCGTGCCCTCAGCCCCGGGGGTGTCGGCTGTGCCAGACATAGTCCAATAAACGTCACGACAAGTAATTGTAGAAGGGTTGAAACTATTGTATCTCCCATTATGAAATATTTAGAAACACTTTGCAACAATCTTGCTGTCTTTAATCTAGCTGAACCAACAAGTAAGCAAAGCAGCTAAGTAATCCTATACCTGGTGTTTACTTCCTTATATTGGTGTATTCTGTTGTTCTAACCGTCACAGTTGTTTCAAAGCAGGATTATGTTACATACAATCGTTCCTAGAAGGTGAGGAAATTTGGTTCTTGATTCATACATTCTTTCGTGAAACACTTCCTTGTTGAAGACCATTTGTTTATCATTTGGTTTTAACTTGAAGTGGAAAATGCTTCATATTCTCTTGGTTGTAAACACGTCGTTTTATTTGACTTTTTAATAAAAATCTGTGATTGAGGTTTCGTCCATGATCTGCAGGCCTGTATCCCGTTTGAACATCAAATTGACAAACGCCCGGGTATTTTTGCAAGGATGACAATGTTGACAACATCACTGTTCCACAACTAGTTACTTTGACGAAACGTCAATGTAACAAAATGGATGAACTTCCTGGTTACGAGTTTTTTGGTTTTCTCAATTTAAACCTACTTATGAGTCAAGTTGCAGATTATGATTTAGCACAAAGCTAGAAAATATAGTCTAGTTTTAATAAGTTTCTTCGACTCGAAATTTGTTTTGTAAATGAGTTGCAATTCATATGTTTAACAAAAGCGATGGTCTAAATGCATGAATAACAGCTTTATTGAAAATCAAATTCCAAACCGAGAGCATTTCTAAAAGCTACACTATATTGTCTAACTTTGTGCCAAATGATAATCCGCAACGCGACTTGTATGTAAGTTTAAATCGAGTAAACAAAAACTCGTATCCAGGAAGTTCATCCATTTTGTTACATTGACGTCCCGTCAAAGTAACTAGTTGTGGAACAGTGAACATGAACAAAATCATTTTTATATTTATGGACTTCCAACCCCATGTTATATTTAACAAAGAACATATTTACCAAGAAAAATCTCAAACAAAATCTTAGTTTTTGGGTCCCAAACAATCAAATATCATGTTATCACCACTGCTTGAAGGATTTTAGGGGTCTGTGAAAAAGACTTTGGCTCCATTCGATAGTACAAGTCAACATTTCATTTAAAAACTATCATCAATGTTTTGCCAGGGGCAAACATAAACAACAGTTGTCGCTCCACATTCAATGTCAAGAGTATCAGAGTATCCCCGCAAAAATACTAGTCCATTCTAGCTTTAAACAACAATCCCGGTATAGGCCCCACCTACTATATGGTGTTGTGTTGCTGAGGTTAAACGACGCCAGATTTCTGTAAACTATCATCTTGGAAAACTTGATCATTTTTCATTAATTTCTGACTTGTTTATTTACTAAGTATACAATTAACAATAGGCATCTTATATGGGTCAAAATAAAGTATATATGATTTATTATGATTATGTATTCATATATGTACATGTACAAATTATGTTTTGATTCAATGCTAGATAACATACTACATGTATATAATAATCTTTGAAAATTGTATTATAATTCCACAGATCTGCCTGCAATATATAAAAATACAACTGTTCTGTACACAAGGCAAGAAGTCTAACAAAAATACTTCCAAATATCATACATTAGTCTTGCATCGAGCACTTGTGCTTACCTCACTAATGTAGACGCATTCAAAGCCATAAATGGATAAACATAAGACAGACATCTGCCATATACCATCACAAAAGGGGAATTACTATCAATTAGGACGCAGCTTTAGAAAAAAGTGTGTAGTAAGTGAATCATGAATAAGCAATACCATGGCCAGTTGGAGTAAGGGACCAAACTATGGGACGAAATGCTCGATGCAAGCTTACAAATAGTAGTATAGTATTGTTATAACTGCTTTGAGGACTGCAAATAGATGGTGAAACATTCAGTGGGTTTAACTGCATGGCAACCCCAAAACAACAATTAGAGGACTGCCATCTATATGAGTCCTCAATAATACCGTATTTAGGTAGTTGTGCTTTTCATATTTTGTTAATCTTTTTGTAAAAAAACATTCTTTTCTAGTTTCTAATATGTAAAAAATGAACTTGTATTATGCGATATACAATTTTTATTTACAAGTATTACATGTAATTGATTTATTCTTCTGAAATTATTTGGCACAATAATATATTTACAATAAAGCACATTTAATTTTTCAAAAGGATTTCGTCATACATGTATATCGTAATAGATTTTCTTTAGCAATATCTTGCTTGTTGAACTGCAATTATATAAAATTTAAGAGTTTGAGAACAGGCTCTAATGGCAAAACATGTCGTTTTGAGGGGAGAGGCATGGGTTTTATATTACTAACATCCCACACTTTTTGTTGTCTTATCTCGTATTTCTTTTTTTCTTATTTTTCAGGCTGTTAGTTCCATATTCCATGTTCAATGTTTTCCATTCGTCATATATCACATTTTTCCAGATCGTATTTCACATGTTCCATAATTTCATGCCACTCATATTTCCTCTTATGTCACCCCCTCCCCTTTAGGGTTTATACGTTCTAATATGCCTTGAAGCATATCTAAGTTGGTAAAGAACATGAATGCTAAACTAAAATGACCAGTTTAACAAAATGTGTTTCACTACATTCGATATATTAGAGACAGTCCTATTATAACTATAGGGACATGGGGACACACACATATAAAAATATGGTTTGATATGGTTGCCATTACATGAGGAATGTATTACTTGACATGTATAATAACAGACACAGCCCATAAAGCCATTCCTCCGTTCAAAATTACTATGTATTTTTATACAAAAAGTGACTCCTGTTATAAGGAAAATAGTACAAAAGATTTCAAGAAATTGTCAGGTTATCTAATCAAACATGTTTTGGGTTTTGGGTGCTAAACTGTTGTAAGAAGATTTTGATCTGAGGTATATGAACTCTGTAAATATCTAAAGAGGGCAGTTCTTTCCTCTGTGGCAATATTTACAGCTAAATTGAGTCTATTTTCGCGAATAATCACACAATGTTTCTATAATAGGCCTATCTTTTTAGAAAATGGGAATAATAAGGAATGATATGAGCAAAAACAAACAGCAAACTGCTATATGTTTCTCTTTTACACCTTATTTTCCCTTTAAACATACACAACCTTGCATATAACTTCAACCTTGCATAAATGTATCTTCAATCTTGCATAAATGTAACTTCAAACTTGCACAAATGTAACTTCAACCTTGGATAAATGTATCTTCAATCTTGCATAAATGTAACTTCAATCTTGCATAAATGTATCTTCAATCTTGCATAAATGTAACTTCAATCTTGCATAGATGTATCTTCAATCTTGCATAAATGTAACTTCAATCTTGCATAAATGTAACTTCAAACTCGCATAAATGTATCTTCAATCTTGCATAAATGTAACTCAATCTTGCATAAATCTAACTTCAAACTTGCATAAATGTAACTTCAAACTTGCATAAATGTAACTTCAACCTTACATAAATGTAACTTCAACCTTTTATGAATGTATTACATTAGGACTTATTACTCTAGTGTCTGCAGAAAATGCATTTTTCATAGCTCATCTTTTCAGTTTGTTCCAATTGCACACAGATTTGAGATTATTAAACATCAGTTGCATCCCCCTCCTCAACTAGTGTGGCTATATCACTATCTGTCTCAATATTACTCGGACTAAACTGTTTCCCAGATGTTACTCCATTCGTTCCTGCTTTCCTGCGTTTAGGAATCTTTGGCGATTTTTTCTGAGTTTGAGTCCCTGGGGTGTCATCTATGGGGACTGAGGAGAGCAAAGGTGGGGTAATAGTAATGGCTGGACTGTCTGGAGTTGTTGGTTGCTTCCCAGGTAGGGTATGAATCCCACTGTCTAATGTGTCATACATTGGGTTACTAAAGTTATTTGGATTCTCTGGCTCCTTTACAGGGTAAGCAGGATCCATTGGCCCAGGCTGGATAAACAGAAAAAATGTATGTTATACTATATCTGGTACATGTACTGTATTTCATGTTATGACAAAAGAAGAAATATTATATGTGTCTATAAAAGGGTATCATGAGAAATATCTGATATTGTGTTCATGTGTTCATCTCATTCATGGATATAACTGAACAAATATGTACGAAAAATTAGAATATCAAATGAAATACCACTACATGTACATTTTAGTTATTAGAATAATCTCCAACATTTAGAGTGTAGTTGGATTCCAGCTCTTGACAAGGGTAGATAACTTCAACATCTACTTACGAATCCATTGGTGCCCTGTGGAGGTGTATCATACATGAAGACATTGTCCCCTTGGAAGGAAACCATCCCAGGAGCTCCTTCCCTGAACTGCCCTTTCTTTGCTTGCTTTTTCAACGTTGGTAGAGATGGCAGTGAGGGGAGGGTTGGAAACCTAAAACATAACGTACCCTCTGTAAAACTTATATACATTTACATTTCTCACAAGATTTTACAGTATACAGGTGTATGTGCCTGCTTTTATTATACGATCCACCAATTTTGTCATCTGTGTATTATATAATTTTTTTGTAATTATTAATAGGTTTATTGGTCTCTTGAACATCTAAAGTACATTGAGATATAAGTCCAATAAAGCAAATAGCAAATAAAACATTCATGCATGACAAAGTATTTTGATTCATTTTCACTGCCAAAAATTAGCCTTTTCGTCATTACAATATTTTCTGTAGAGTAAAACAAATTACCCTCTTCTCTTGTAGTAGAAGAATAAGGCCACTGCACATATTACTAAAAGTACCAAGAGTAGCAGGGGCACTAAGATAGCAGTCACTCCTAAAACATACACAAGAAAACATTTATTGAAATGATACAATAGAACAAATATACAATGTAGGGCAAGAAAAGTTTGAACTTTTGGGGTGAATCCATATCGAAGTGACAAGAAACCCCAAAAGGAGTTATCAAATTGTTTGGTATTGTATCAATGAGAATTTTCCATGTAATCAGTATAGTGAATGACATGTTAGATGATAGCCATTAGACTAATTTTGTATATTGACAATATAATTTCAATTTGGTCTTCTGTAGTACATGATGATATACTGGGGTTTAGCCATTCAACAGGTGTAAGTATGAACTTTGTATTCCAGATTTCATGGCAACTTTACACTCTTCAGACATGAAGGCAAGTCTTAAAATAATGAGGTCACATAGACTAAACTGAAAGGTTTTGCAATCGTGTTCAGATCTGTCAGCCAGTTCAGGAAATCTTATTGCCCCCACAGATGCTGACATCCAAATAGTGCTATCAAACTGCAATACGAGGGTTGTCCCAGAAGTAATGCACTATATGCTCTAATTCTCTTCAATATTCATGTATATTATATATATTATATGTACTAACGTTTAGAGCTAGCAGAGAGTAGCGGTTGAGTTGATGCACCAACAGCTGTCTCGCAAAACTCTCCCTGATATCCAGGCATACAGCGACACTCATACTTCTTGTCATCTGTACTGCTTGGTATACACAGCCCACTGTGGTAGCATTTACACTGACTCGGGCTACCAGGACCCCCTTCAGTAGCTGAAACAATTTAGAAACAATATTTACTATTGGGAAAAATAGGGGAAATTGTGAGATGCCATTATTGTATGTAAAGACCAGCAACATCATAAAAGAGCAATTAAGTAAACATCAAAGGAGTTATTGTTTATTTACTATTATGTAATCATTAAAACCTGTCAATTGTGCTATGCTAGTGGGGTGAACTACTGTGTCACCATTTCAACATGCTAAATGTAAATACACAATATATGGAATACGTACGACTATCACAATTTGTCTTGTTTGAATTGACAAACTCCGAGTGGTCCGGACATACACATCTAGCGCCACCTGGCACTAATACACATAGCGGCCAGCAGTCTAGTTTATCACAGGGGTTCTTTGCTGGAAGGAGACAGAAATGACAATCGATAATTTGTATGTACGGGAATTATTTCAAATGAGCAACAAATTCAACATTTTAAATAAATAAAAGTCATGTTAATAAGGAACTTATATAAATTCAAGTAATCTACATTAAAATATTTTAGAAAATTCATGAACATATTGTATTTTCAGTTCAATAGTGACAATAACATATACAAAGCTGTCCAACATTCATTCATATTTTTCAAACCGATCAAGACAACAGCCTCATCCTCGATAGAATGGTAATATCAGGATATCTTTAGAGAATATTTAATCATATCCTGTAAATACTATAGTTGTTTGATTTGTATTTCAAGTACTATTTTCATAAAAAGCCTAAATCATGCAATTTGAATTATCAACCACCATCCAATCATTAGGCATAACTAACATTTTGAACATATTTGTTTCCCTCACATATAATCTTACATAATTTAATCAACATATGTAAATCATTATCAGACGTGAATCAGTGTTGAAGATTATTACATAAGACAAAGGGCAAAGCACAGGGTGTCCCAAATTTACCAGGATTGGTACTGGCATTTTGTTATATTTGGGACACCATGCTTTATTGTACTGATTTAGTGAGACTGAACATCATCTAATCAATGAAAAGCCATTTTCATTCTTTGTGAATCATTTCATATTTGCTGTTTTTCAAATACTTTACCTTGCTCTATATCTGTCTCTAGAATATTTACAACACAATTTTAATGCAATAGAGAATGTCAAATAATTAATGGAATGTTGCAAATTTCAAAACACAAAATACATTAGAAAATTAATTTTGTTTCAAAAAAGTTTTTTTTCTATTTCATGTAAAAACTATGAAATCTCTAACAATAATGCTCTAGCAATTGAAGAGTTCACATTGAAAATTTTCCTATAAATCAAACCTAAATGAACTTAATGATGAAACTCACCATTCATAGCATATCTCAATGGGTGGAATATTTTGACGTCACTAGGGAGCATAAGGCCTGCTTGAACTGTGGAGTTGATGCCACGTCCAAACTTATCCATTTTCATAACTTTACCATTCTCACGAGACACCCAGTAGAGGCTTTGTTCAAACACATCCAGGGAGAATGGGTGACCAAGACCTAGGATATAACACATGCTCATTATATTAAATCAACTAGAAAAGTTGACACAAAAGAATAAGTCATTAGTATCTGTTTTGTTAATATCAAATGTTTTTTAATTTTTCTTAAACTAAGAAACATTTCAGTCTATCATTTTGAACATTCACTCAACCTACTATGTGTATAAGTCACGGAGATCTAAATTTAAAATCTAATGTTGAAAACATTACTACTTCAGGCTAAGTAATAAGCTGAAACTTCTGAATGACCAACATCTAAATAACTGATATGTATGAGCAGTAAAACCTGTGAATGACTTGTACCTTGATTCACAACTACTACTCTATCAGAGCCATCAGGTTTCATGGACTCAATGAGGTTCTCTTTAGAATCACACCAATATATTCTGTTGTTCATGCCATAGTCCACTGTTATTCCAGTAGGGCTAGAGAGCTTTGTGTTAACTAGAACTGTGCGGTTGGAGCCATCCATCCAGGCTGCTTCAATACTAGGGGACCTTGAGTAGACATTGGTCCAATACATCCACCTGTAAAGGAACACATAGAATTTTATAGAGGTGTTCATAAAAAAATTGAAGACATGATTATTGCCCTTTGAATTGGCGCATCGATATTACATAAATGGAAATATTTTCGCTCAAATTCAACTAATAATTTTGGTTTAACTCAGAACTGATTTAATGCACTAAAGACGAGGGTATTAAAATGTAAAAGAATTTTTTTCCCAGTCTCCTCTAAATCAAGGGGATTGGATCCCACCACTCTTTGGACATGTTTTCAAGTGAAAACCAAAGAATGGTTGATGCTATTTATTGCATGCCAAGATGACTGACTGTAATTCAATAAATATATTCAAAAGAACTAATATGAACCAATGCTGTTATACCTTCTTGGTTGTTTTAAAATGTTTAATATAAGACCAAATCTTATATCAATCAGAAATATTGAAGTGATAAAATGGTGATGTACTTTTTGACCATTAATGCAACTTTATATATAAAAACCAAAGTTTATGTCAGTTTAGTGATTTTTCTTAGGATTTCAGTGGTTGTACAACTTTTGTAGAATAGGTATGTGACATGTTAATGACTTACCCCAATACAGGATTGACTGCAATTGATGCAGGACTAAATTGTTTCTTCTGCAGAATTGTCTTTACATAGCGGCCATCTTCCTTTGAAAGATAGATGGTACCCTTCTTGGCATCTGTCCAATACAGGATACTGAAATGGGGAGTTTAAAATCATAAATTACATGTATAAAACGAAATTAAGAATAAATAGTTAAATACTGAAGAGCTGGCTTTTATTTACTTTTTGACTGACTTATGAATATGTCTAAAAAGTTGGGTTATTCATAGCTATTCAAAAAATATATGCCAAGTTACAAAGTTACAAAGGATTTTTACATTTTAAACTATGGTTTACAAGAGTTATGCTTTACATGAAAGTTTAAATGTGAATGCACGTGGTGCAGGCCTTATCCAAGATATGTGTAGGCCATGCTTTAATCAATATTTCAATTTGATTAATACCAGGTTAAAAGGAATAAATATATTATCTAGTGTGCCCTTTTTTTGTTATGAAATAAACAAAGTATTTACATGACAAAATGTTACCACTTACAAGTGTAAGTGTAACATTTGTTACAGGCACCAATCCAAACACCGAATATTAGTCGTAAAACTAAGGCTATAACAATCTGACACAACTTCTAAAAAACACTTACTGGGACACCCAATCTATAGCTATTCCATCAGGTTGTTCCAAGCCACTAAGCTCAAGATCTTGAGGGTACCCAAGATGCTTGGGATCATCAGGAATTGCAGCACGTTTGATTGTCTTCAATGAAGTATCGGTCCAGTACACAATACGGCGAGATGGATCTATTGCTATTGCTTGGATACGACGCTCTGCTATGACGGCATCAGAGTACTCAAAGTTTTTGGCCTCTGGTATGTATTGTCTGATTTCTGGCCCAACAGCAAACATGATTACAGGTGAGCTACCTGGAAATGAACAAATTAAGGAAGAGTAATTAAGAATGTTGCGGTGTTTAGTTCTAGAAGGACTGGGGCATGGGTCTTTGTATTTCTCTCATGCATTTATGTATTTCTCAAAATTCTGTTTATTACATGTTTCATATTGCTATAATCATAACATAAAGTATATCAGACTACAAGCTAGTTTACTACTAGAACATTTCTGATTGTGTCGATGTTTTCTACCTTGGGCTGCACAGGTTATTCCTTTGTTAGTTTCATCACTGAATCCCACATCACACTGACACTTGTGTGTGCCTTTCAGGTTGTAACATTTCTGAGGGCAGAAGTTGCCCCATACAGAACACTCATCAATATCTGCAATACACAAACAATACACTGAATCCCACATCACATTGACACTTGTGTGTGCCATTCAGGTTGTAACATTTCTGAGGGCAGAAGTTGCCCCATACAGAGCACTCATCAATATCTGCAATACACAAACAATACACTGAGTCCCACATCACATTGACACTTGTGTGTGCCCTTCAGGTTGTAACATTTCTGAGGGCAGAAGTTGCCCCATACAGAGCACTCATCAATATCTGCAATACACAAACAATACACTGAATCCAACATCACACTGACACTTGTGTGTGCCCTTCAGGTTGTAACATTTCTGAGGGCAGAAGTTGCCCCATACAGAGCACTCATCAATATCTGCAATACACAAACAATACACTGAATCCCACATCACATTGACACTTGTATGTGCCATTCAGGTTGTAACATGTACTAGTCGCTATACATACAGAACTCAAGTACAGAACTCAAGTACAAGTAATATTCAATTCAACACACATGAATCAATTCCATTCAAGATCCTCCAAAACAAAATATCAGTTATATCTATGTCATATTTTTACATTAAGAAAGTCAATGTCAATTATTGCAATTTTGGAGTTTTTGTTAATTTGACTTTTACCTACCTTGGCATGTTTTCTTGTCAGATTGTTTTATAATGTATCCTTCCATGCAAGAGCAACTGTATCCACCTGCAAGGAGAGTTGTACAATTGTGTTGGCAGCCACCATTCCTATCTGCACAGCCAGCATAGTCACCAGTCTCTTTGTCTACAAATAAACGTGTAGGCTGGTTTAGTTTAATCACTATACTAGCTAGTAGATACAAATACACATACTCTGCAAGGAGAGTAGTACAATTGTGTTGGCAGCCACCATTCCTATCTGCACAGCCAGCATAGTCACCAGTCTCTTTGTCTACAAATAAAGGTGTAGGCTGGTTTACTTCAAGCAAAATGTTTATCCTGATCTCATATAAGCTAGTCACATGCCTCACACGCATACACACACGCACACACAGGCACGCGCTGACAATTAAAGAAGAGTCTGATTTTGATGTTGTTCTTAACATGTTGATCTTGAATGTAATTTTCATGGCCTTATGTTTAGTTTAGTTTTAATATTAATAATGTTAGCTACTTATAGCCGGAAAATACATTTCTCACTTTTTATGTATCCATGTATGCGAGATACAGGATCTCTACTTCGAAGAAACGTTACAAATGACACTATGAAAAAGGTAAGATGTATTTTTAAAGATAATTAATGAAGTAGTCTGTAAAGGAATAATAGACTGACAACAAATTAGGTTTAGTTAATACTTACGACAGCCCATCTCGTCAGACATGTCTCCACAGTCATCAATACTATCACATACATTAGCCCCCTCTATACAGTTGCGATTGGCACATTTGAACTGTGTACGTGAGCAAACTTTAGGTCTTGGCATACCTGGAAAATGTTACAATACACCCAATGTGAATGTATACCTATAATATATTGGTCAAGGGATAATCAAAATATCAAGAACCAGCTATCGAATGATCTGTCTGTCTAATACTATGTGTTCTTTGTGCATTCATTAATAATTAACATTTTCTCAGGGTGCCTTAAAATTCTTGGATAATGTTTTAAGTTCCAATGGTGTCTTTGATTCTTTTTCAACTTACAGTGTGTGTGAATATCCTCATCAGAGCCATCCCCACAATTATCAACCTTATCACATAGCCTCCATCTTGGAATACACTTGAAATTATTACAGTGAAACCTTGTCTCTTCTGGGCAGTCAATCTGTTGACAAACCTTTGGGGTCTCATCACTTCCGTCACCACAATCGTCATCTCCATCACAACGCCAATCTCGTGACACACAGATTGTATTAGCGCATTCAAACTGATTAGCAGGGCAGTAGCGACCTCCAGGGAATCTGGTCGTGCAGTTCATTTCATCAGATGTATCTTTGCAGTCTTTTTCCCCATCACATATTGATGCTTCTGGGATACAATGGCCGCTAAGGCAACGGAACTGGTTAGGGAGACATTCTCTAAATTCTACAAAAGATAAAGGGTGATCACTAAGTCCTGTATACTTTATTCTATCAGGTTGTGAAACATTTTCAGGAAATTCATCACAACCTTTAGTTTTCTAACTTTACACAAACTTGAGTAGAGAACATATCCAGGAAAATACATGTTTCAATATTTGTTTAACCAAAAATATTGCCCCAAATGGATTTGATATCTGCAGAAGTGAATATAGAAGATAGTGAAGACATCAATATCCACAAGTGTAGTTCCTTCTACCACCCACCTATTAAATATAAGGGATAATGTGTAGAATTTAGTGACACATGATAACTACATGATTGTATGCTTACCACAATTTTCCTCATCTGAGCCGTCACCACAATCATTATCATGATCACAGCGCCATCTGCCAGGAATACACTTGTGGTTACTGCAGCGGAATTCAGACTCAGAGCATTGCCGATAGAGTGGCACTAAAATGGAAGAAACAGGAGTTATACAAGTACATTATGTGATTGTGTTTATCTTCTTATTACACTATAAAATCTATGTACATTAAACACAAATGGAGCCACAAAAATGTGTTCACTGTGGGTAGGTGTTCACTGGAGAGGCAATTCTAAACAGAAGTCAGTGAAGTTTGTGTTGAGAAGGGGCATTCAGTAGACACAGGTGTCCATTTGAGAGAGGTGTTCATTAAGACAGGTTTCACTGTAATTGTTATTCATACTGCCAAATCATATATTAACTGGTATAGTGAGAGACTGTATGCTCTCATATATGAGGTAAAATATGCTGAAATATTTCTTGATGCATAGATGTCTTACAGCACATTGCAGGATCTTCATCAGAGTTGTCTGAACAGTCATCATCAAAATCACACTGCCATCTTTTAGGAATACACCGCCCATTAGCACATTTGAAGTCACCTTAAATTGAACAGAATAAAATCTAAAACCTCATTTCACAGTTTCAATTATAAAAATGTCTAAATCAACATTTTCAGTAAAAATCTCGTGAGGCAGCACAGTCTGGCTAAACACAGAGAACCAAACAAATACTAATATATGTATATTTTACCAAGTTTTTTTATAAAGCCACTCACATGATATTTTTTATACGGTTCTTATCGAATCAAACAAATGTGGTCTTCATAATGAGAAACTAATGGAAAACTGACATCTTAGAGATAATGATCTTTTCGAAATAGTGAAGTACATGTATGTGTGTTACCTGTTGCATGACATGCAGGACAGTTTGCAGGGTCCTCATCAGAATTGTCCCTACAATCATTGTTGCCATCACAATAGGCCCAGGAGGGCACACAACGATAGTTTGTGGCACATCTATTCCAACCCTCTGGGCAAGGCTGGTTTCCTAAAACACAGGGCGTTTTAAATGTAATGCATATTCTATATATGTATGGCAACCTATTTATATGAAATAAGGTTGTTTTAAATGAAATGCAGGTTGTTCTACATGACATACAAGCTATTTATATGAAACGGGGTGTTTCTTGGGAATATGAGGTGTTTTATATTAAGAGTTTATAATGTGATATATTGATATTCCTTTTACAATCAGTGTACCTTACATTTGCTAGTAATCCACTACTGAAACCTGTAACATTTAACAAATATTAATAATATTACATGGGGATATGAACGCATGAGGCTGAAGAGGCAACTGTCTCAATAAACTGAAGATACAGTATACATGTATGTGCATACTTATCCAGACATTGTTTCCGTATGGAAATGAAGTCTGAATGTAGTAATCAACTTCTTTTTGCTTAAATTTGCCTTGCCTATTTACATTTGCCTCGCCAAATGCGCAATCTTGGCTACACCACTTACATTCCATTACCTTCCATTGGTTGTTATAATCTTAACACAGACTTATTCAAGGTTTTACACATCTTGGCTGTTACTAATACTACACTGTTGTTTTGGTTTTACACATCTTGGCTGTTACTAATACTACACTGTTGTTTTGGTTTTACACTACTTGGCTGTTACTTACTACACTGTTGTTCTGGTTTTACACTACTTGGCTGCTACTTACTACACTGTTGTTTTGGTTCCTCATCTGACCCATCACCACAGTCATCATCAAAGTCGCATTTCCATGTGTTTGGCAGACATCTTCCATTGTCACATGCAAACTCATCAACAGCGCATGTCTTAGTCTCTGAAATATGCCATAGTAAGTGAATACCCTCTAACATCATGTAGTAGCCACACTACCCTCTCACTATTACAGATGATTTTAATGCTGGTAAGATATCATGAACAATCTAAAATGGAGCTATCAGCCTTTTGTGGGAGTTTTATTGAAAGCTAGTGTTAGCTGCATGTTAGCCAGTATCTAAATACAGCAGTCCAATTATTTCTCACTAGTCATTCTGATTAAATATATACATAAAGAAAAAAACATACGACAATCCTCATTTTGTGGAAGTTCATCAGAATTATCCCCACAATCATCATCATTATCACAGGACCAGCTCTTAGCAATACAGCGCCCATTGCTGCACCTAATAAATACAAAGTTAAATAGATTATCATTTCCAAAACTATGATACAGTCAATTTTTTGCCTCACACCATATCAAATTATTACGATTGAAAATATGGGATATATATATATACAAATAGTAAATGAAAAATAAACATACCTGAACTGCCATGGCTCGCACTGACGACTATCACAGTCTCTCTCATCTGAGCTGTCCCCACAGTCATCTGTCTGGTCACAGATCTTGAATGGCATTGTACAGTTCAGATTGTCACACTGGAAGTGGCCCACTGGACAATGACGCATTGCTGCAGAGAAGACATTTTGTTAAGTCTGAGAAACTGTACCGGCCCGTAGCCAGCTTTTATTTAATGGGTTCACTTTTCAAAAATTACTTTGGCCCAAAATCACTGGAAAAGTGCTCAAAATGGTGAAAAACTGCAAGTTTTTGAAAGAATTTTTGGGTTCGCTCAAATCCTGAACACTCATTGGCTAGCCATCTGCTGTATTGTTTGATTTCACATTACTCAGGAAAGATTAATATCTGAAAATATGTGATAACTTGTCCAGAAATAGGTTTAATTTAAATTCTTCATATTTAATGAATCATTTTTAACTCACGACAATCTTCAGGTTCGTCCGAGGCATCTTTACAGTCTGGTTGGCCATCACATTTCCATAGCAATGAGATACAGCGATCATCTGTGACACCACAACGGAACTGGCTTGTTGAACAATTAGCAATGCATGTTTTGTCATCTGGCGCTAAGAGGAAGTAGTCGGGACATAGACAGGTATAGGTGGCACCACCAGGTGCAATGACGCAGAGATGGCTGCAGCCTCCATTATCGCTACCACATGGATTTGTGCCATTCTCTTGTAGCAATGGATGTACAACGTGAATATCCATAGGCCGATGTGTGATGTTCACTAGTATTTGCTTATCTTCTCCAGTGAACCTAAAGATTACAAAATAATTAATGTTCACTGGTCATTCTTTGTCATGGTCTTCTCATAGTCTCTTACATCAGTTTCATCTCTTAAAACAACGTGAACATATAAATTAGTTGTGTCAATAGCTTAAATTATCAATCTTGAACTCAAGGTTTTAATTTGCAAATTGTATAACTTTTTTAACATGAACTTTAATGCTAACCTGTTTGCTTTCTCAACAGCCTTGTGATTCCAATCGACCCAATACATCCACTCTTCAAACAACGTCATGGCAAAGATATGCGCGACACTGCCTGACATGACAGTCTTCCTGTTTTCACCATTATAGTCACAATAATCTATATAGTCAAGATGCGCATCTGCCCACCACAGACGATTGGTTACCTAGAGAGAATATTCAAATTAACAATTGGGTGAATGTCTTATATCTTTTTTCTTATTGTAATCTAATAAAAAATGTACTTGAAAAATGTATGTCTCATATATATATGGCTCACCATCAAATTCTATAATGATAGCAAATAAGTCCCATTCAAACAACTTACAAGGTCAGATCATGTATTTCCAAAATGTAACAATACTCACCAAGTCAATTGTGAGAGCATTGGGCCAGCCTAGCTTTTGTGTGATTATCTTAGAGCGATTTGTTCCATCCATGCCGATTCGTCCTATATAAGGTGCTAAACCCCAATCTGTCCAAAAGAGGTAACCCTTGTGAGGGTCTGCGACAATTGCCCTTGGGTTGGATATATCAACATCAACTAGGATCCGTCTGCTTGTGCCGTTTAGTTCACTAACATACATCTGTTCATTTGTATAGTCCAACCAATAGAGCTTCCTGCAATGGCATGATCATCAAATCACAAATACAATTGTCTGAATTTGAAAGAGCTACAAGCAGAACTGGAGAAAGTGATTAGATAATGATAAAGTGTGTTTACCAATAATAAGATTTTAATTGGCTGATCAATAGGGGTGAGACGAGTCGAAAAAATCCGATTCGAGTCGAATCCGATTCGAGTCAGAAAATGACGATTCGAGTTTCGAATCTGTTTCGAGTCGCGCGAAGTGCGAACAACATCGCTTTTGACCGTTCGTATTTTTAATGCGTCAATGGTGGAAAGCATTCGTAAGTTTATTCTGATTTTATTACATATATTCTTTCATTTATGTGTACATACAATATAATAATTTAATACAAGCATATCCAAGTCATTGAAACTTATATATTCAACGCAATATCGAATAAAAACATGCATATTGACAGTATTTTTCTGAATTTTTTTATTTTTTCGAATTTTTTTCTCAACTCGAAAATGATTCGATTCATCAACTTCGACTCGATTCGACTCGACTCGAAGCCCCAAACCCGCGAGTCCTCGACTCATCGGGTTGTCGTCTCACCCCTACTGATCAATGTTGAATAGAAAGGAAATGCTGATTGGCTAACCTTCCTATCCAATCAACAGCTAATCCTTCCCCGCCAGGGACATTATGTTTCACAATAGTCTCAACCCCTGTACCATTAAGAAACATTCTCTGTATCCGTTTAGCCACAACATCTGTGTAGTACATCATCTGCCCATTATAGTCATAATCTAGTGCAACAACGTTGGAGAGACCCTGATAGAGCAATGTGTAGTATTTACCATCTGTGGAGATTTTCCGGATGTAGTAACGGTTTGTGAATATGAGGTAGGGATCAATATCTGGAATAAATTACAAATCTTGAGTTTTGTTTTTTACTAATTGGAAATTACACTTCACCTCCAACTAGGATTGACCCTTTCATTGTTAGTACATTAAGAGAACACAGAGGAGCCAAATTACAATTTCACATACAAAGATTATGCTTTTTTGCTATATTTACTGTTATTGAAAATTGTATATCGGATGTATGTTTGGCCCTAAAAGGGCATCAGTACTAATAAAATCCTATTATTATATACATACTGTACAAGAAGGAAGACATGCTCTGTCCCACTCATAACTAGTTTATCAGTTATATAAAAAAATGTGAGAACCCTGTATTTAACTTACTATCATTGTGTCTGCATGTTTTTCCATCAGGTTCCTTGAAGTATCCATCTTGGCACTTGCACATAAATGATCCAGGACTGTTTTCACAGAACTGCGTGCATGTGTCCTTCACCTCTGTACACTCATCAATATCTGAAGTAAAATTCAACATTAAAATGTCACCCTTTTCAATTCCAATTTTGGACATTATTTCCACTCACTTGGTTATTTCTTATGCTAAGTGTGCAGAATGAGGCAAGAATAGAAGCTGGGAGCAATGGTGTAAAATACCAGTGTTGCCCCAAATAAAATGGATATGAGCAATTATTAAGACAGACAGACAGGACAAATAGATGGGCAGATTGAATGGAAAGATCTATCAAAAATGATTATCACACTTTTTTGTACAAGCAATTACTCTTCACCACACACCCACAAGTTACGTAATGATGTTCAGTAAGATCTATAATCTGTAAATACCTCTACAAGCCTTGCGATCAGTCATCAATGTGTAGCTTTCATTACAGGCACAATGGTAGCTTGTGATAGTGTTGATGCACTTATGGGCACACTGATTGGACCTGACATCTTGACACTCATCCACGCCACAGTGTTGTTCGTCGGAGTTGTCTCCACAATCATCATTACGGTTACACACAAACTGATACTCAATGCAGTTGCCATTCTGACAGTAGTACTTACCCCCTGCACATGTGGGGGCAGGGGTCACTAAAACAGAATCAGAATCAGTGCAATGAATTCAAACAATGAGTCTCCTGGTACAATATGATTTATATTTCAAATCTTGGCGAAATTCACGGACTACTCTGAAAATCTTATTTTCAAAGTCCCATCTTTGTCCAGCCAAAGTGAGCTCAAACGGTTGTATCAAAAGGATTCTCACATATTTATGTACTTACAACAGACATCTTCCTTTTCATCACTGTTATCACCACAGTCATTGTCAGCATCACAATGGTAGTCTTTGAGGATGCATTTGCCATTATCACAGGTGAAGTGTGTAGCAGGGTTGCATGTGGGATAGACACACGTGTCAGGCTCATCAGAATTGTCACCACAATCATCATCATGGTCACAAAAAAACCTGACAGAGAAATAATATGGTAGGTTTCAAAAATATGAGGAGATGCAGCTGGAGGTGATATTAAATTTTTTCTTGACAATGGCCGAGAAGACATGTCAACAATCAACCACTTTATCTATATGGTATATGCTCATGTATATAAATACAGATGGGATAGACACATGTGCCACAAATCATCTGATAATATAAGGGACATATCATATAGCACTGTACCTGTTGGTAATACACATGCCAGTGTTGTTGCATTTGATTTGATCAGATCTACAGTTTCTAGGTGGGCAACTCTGCATTTCATCAGCTTGATCCACACAATGGGCCACTCCATCACAGACATAGTAGTTGGGAATACAGCCATAACCTCCTGCAGCACGATCCGCCTCACACTTGAAGTGATCAGGAGGACAACCACGCTCAGCTGCAAGCAACATGTGTAATCATTTATTGGGGGGGGGATAACAAGGATGTGACATGAGCACAGGATTGAAGCAAGTTAGTTTCAGTGTGGACAAGCTGATTATGATAAATTAAAATGTCTAGGAAAAAAAAAAGACAACTGGTCCATAATATACATTAATTTTGACCAGTTTTTCCAAATACACACAAGTTTAAGTTATCAAATGGCAGGAGATTGTTGAATCAAGTGTTTTAGCTGCTGTCTCTAAGCTTATCATTCGCTTGTGTACAGAACAGATTGTGGGGCTCATATGATAAATCAATTGCAAAAACTCATACATCTATTGCAGTAAAAATGTAACACAACCTGGATGCAAATGCTAACACTGAACACTTGACAAAAAAATGCAGCTATAAACATATGCCTGAAAAAAGAAAAAAAGTATATAGGAGTAAAATAAGGAGTTCATTTTTCTTGCAAAGCATGAATTAAATTGTGACTTACAGCAATGAAGTGTTGAATGTTCGTCACTTCCATCTCCACAGTCATCTTCACCATCACAAACATAGCGGTCATACAGACAACGTCCATTCGAACATGTGAACTGATTCCCAAAACATGTCCTATTTGGATGACTGCACTCAGCTTGTATTTCATCTGAACCATCTCCACAGTCGTCATCGCCGTCACAATGCATAGAGGATGGGATGCACTTGTGATTGGTGCACCTAAAGTCATCACTCGTACAGTCATGTCGACTACAGAATGTGGGACTTTCATCAGAGTTGTCTTTGCAGTCATCATCCCCATCACAAAGCCAGCGACGGAAAATACACAGATTACTATTTGGGCATTTCACTTTCAAAGGAGGGCACGTTAAATCAGTTGGGCATCCAACTTCATCGGAGAAATGTCCATCGCGACAGTTGTCACGTCCATCACAACGCTGAGCCGCATCGATACAACGGAAATTCCTACAAGTGAACTCGCCTGTTGCACATGCTGGGTAAGTACATTGTGTCTCATCCGAGTTATCTCTACAATCATTGTCGTGATCACAAACCCAGGCTGTTGAGATGCATCGTGAATTGGCACAGACATAATCAGTAGGTCTACAAGTATGATCTGCACACAACTTTGGGTCCTCATCAGTTCCGTCTCCACAATCATCATCTGTATCACATTTCCAGCTATCAGGGAGACATTTCCCATTGAGGCACACAAACTGGTTACTGCTGCAGTTGTTATTAGCTTGAATACACATCTTTCCACCATTTCCAATCTTCAATCCTGACCCATCAGGGCACGTGCATTCAGCTTGATTATTACTTGAGGGATGGCAGCCATGACTGCAGCCACCATTGTTGTTGGTGCAGGGGTCTGGGCATTGTTGTTGGCGGTCTGCAGCATAAACATGGATGTCCATTGGACGACCACGTAGTCCTGATATCAACCGGGTCTGGTCACCTCCTGTGTGTTTCATTGCACGGTATACAGAGCCTGCAATACAAAGATCATCTACAATTAGTAAAACTACATAGACAAGTGAAACCTAAATATGGGAACACCATTCTAAAATGAACACTTCCAACATGAAATAGGAAAAATTGTTCAGGTTCCAAAATATGACCACTAAATTTATTCCCATGGTTCATTTTAATGCGAAAACCTCTCGGGGTGAACACTTTGTGTTGATTCATGCATTGTTTGTTTTAGTTAAGTTTTACTGTTTATACACGAAACTGTTCTGAGGCAGTTTATTGATTAGAAGCTATTTTAAAACAAGTGAAAAACATAAGTTGAATATCGGAGAATTATCATACAGACAATTTCCTAAAAAATTAAAGTATCTAAGGTAATGTTATATACTATTTTACATATTTTCTGCAAAGCTATAAAATATATGCCTCTTAAAATCAAAATAAAACAAGTATTTTCTTACGTGTGCTCCAGTCAGTCCAGTAAATGAAGTGACCATATACAGTCATGGCAAATGGATGAACAGTTGTCTCCACTATAGTCTCCCGATAATTTCCGGTCAAGTCAGATCTTTCTATCTTATCTCTAAGAAAACAAAAGGCTATGTTACATGCAGAACATATCGTGAGTAGGTACTTTTTGACAGTGTAGTAAGTAAATTATTCTACTACGATGATAGAGAGTAAATTAAATTTATAAAGCATGACAAATCATCCACTGTAGATTACAGGCTTGGTTATTCATATATTACACAATATTGCAAACAGACAAATAGTCTGTCAAGTATCATTTGATGCTGAATACTCCATCTTGAAGGAGTACTAATATGACATGATGTAGAGAAGGAAGTTTGTAAGACTGTATCATGGGTTGGGCCAATAGTAATATGATAATTAATAAAAGTAAATTAATAATATAACAAGTTTACCACTGAGCCAACAAAAGATCTCTAATTAAATATAAACTCTTACAAGGCAGCATCACACCAGTATAACTTGGCCTCTCCAAAGTCTATGGTGAGACCATTAGGCCATCTTAGTCCAGAGCTTATAAGTGTTTGTTTGTTGCGTCCTGCCATAGTGGCTTTTTCTATCTTAGGTGACCTCCCCCAGTCCGTCCAATACATCTCACTGAAATATAATAGGGCAAATATGTATACACTGTATGTGGGTAAAACCTCGGTCAGTTTGCACTACGGTGGCTGTATGGCAGCCTTACCTTCACAAAATCGATATAGGAAATCTATCATATACTGCTTATCCCTATTTTTTGCTTAATATTTCTCTCAATTTTGGGAAGATTCATTTATGGTCGCCATACAGTTGCCGTGGATCAAATGTGACTGAGACATATATTACATGTTATTTACGATATCGTTTGTTCGGTTTTGTTCGGCTAGAGATTGTTTGTTTGGTCTTTTTTGTTTGATCTTGTATTTTGATATTGTTTGCTGGGTATCGTCCGTGGGGTGTTGTTGTAGTATGTTGCTACCTATTGTTTGTATGATGTTGCTTGTTATGTTGTTTATGGGATGTTGTTTGTTAGGTATTGTTTATCAAATATTATTTGTTGGGTGCTTTCATGATATTGCTTTTCGAATATTTGGATTACATCCCAAATTGTAAATCATGTGATGTGATGTTCACTCACCCTTTACATGGATCCAGTACAATAGCACTATGTAAATCATGAAAGATGTTCACTCACCCTTTACATGGATCCAGTACAATAGCACGTGGTTTATCAACTCTGACAAGTGTCACAAGGTGACTCTTATCTACATTCATAGAATATATTCCATGCAGATGCGAATCAGCCCAATACAGTTTCCGTCCAATCCAATCAAATGCAATGCCATCTGGTGACACAATATTATATGTGTTGCCATCCTCTGCAAGAAAGCACAAGTGATTTGTAGAACAATTGCCTAGGTGGACCATATTATATATATATTCTGTACATGTACCCTCATTTCACAGGGACATAAAAGAAGAGTGTTAGACAAAGGGGGTTTCCACTTCCAGTTGCTGGAAACAAAAGATAAGTACGTATGACAAAAACAAACAATATTTAGACTCAACTATCAGATTTCACTCAGAACATAACACATTTACATTATTTTCATTAGTAATCAATTACAAACTAAAAATGTGTGAACATATATTTGAAAAGGCTTACGTGTTCGATTTTCTTTAACGAGTAAATCATAAACATCCTTCGAGTCGAGACTATAGCGACTCAACTTATCCGCTCTCACTTGACTAAAGTAGAGATATCTGTCTGAGTAATCGAAATCAATTCCAACAGCTTTGCCTAGATCAGTGATAGGTGCAAAAGGCTCTCCGTGGTCATCGGGATCCAAATGGAGGCTTCGAATCTCAGTTTCCACAGCATATATCAAATACTCATTTACCTCTAATAAAAGAAATGTGCATTGTATGAATTGTCAAATAATCACCTTTTTGAACAGAGATCAAAGCATAATATGATCAATCAACAAGTAGAAACAAGGCAGTACATTGTTGTAAATATTTCTCAAACCTAAACATATTCTTGTACATGTACAGTGTATTCTCTTATACATTTACTAGAACATTGTTTTTTGGTAAATTCAAAAATATCTTTATGATAATGGTATAATACCTTCGCATGTTTGCCCATCCTGAGCCAGCTTTCCAAAGGCACATTTACAGGAGACCCCTTGGTTGTCAGGATTTGGGAAACAAAGCTGTTCACAACCTCCATTATTGGTTGTACATGCACTTGTACCTAAAAAGCATTGGCAGCCACCTTTTATGCTAATATCTCTTACATTGATATCAATCATGATCATAAATTATAAGTAATAATAAACAACAAAACATAATCTTTATGTAAATTTTGGTAAATGGTTGAAATGCAAAAACTTTATAATCCAAAAACAATTACTGTACGTAGAGAAATTAGTGCTACTCTCTAATCTCATGACTACATACCAGCTGGTTGAACAGACTGATCGTAAACAGCAAGGCCAAACATCATATTTATGTTGGTCTTGAACTCTACAGCAGTTGTAACAGTTGGCTCCTTTGAAGCTTTGAATATGGTCTTCAGGTTCCTGTCATTCCAATATAGATCATTGCCAAATATTGCAATGCCTACTGGGTTAGGCAAGTTGGTTCGTATGTACTCCCTGAAGTGAGACATAAAATGGATTATTATATGGTGTCAGATTAGCCTATTTAATCATATAAGCTGTCATGTAAACAAATGCAATGTCACCTTAAATTGATACCCAGGGACAGATACAAGTTTATTAATTGGATTATATTTTAACACCTTTTATGACGAGCAATTCCTTGTTAGGAGGGCCATTAGTAGTCACACCACTTAAACTGGGAATTGAATCTGGGTGAACCCAGGGTCAGTTATACAATTAACTAAAACTATTACCTATTCCCTCCTGAGAAAGACATTCTCTGTATTGCATCTATCCTATTGTCAGTCCAGTAAACATTGTGAGTTGTGTAATCTATTGTAAGGGCCCATGGACGAACTATGCCTGCTGAGACAAGAACTGTTCTATTCGATCCATCTAACCTTGATCGCTCAATCTTGGGGTGCTGCCCAGTGTCTGTCCAGTAAAGATAGCTAAAATAAAACAAAAATTGGATATACAGTGTATCTATCTACTAGCATGAAGTTTTTGGGACATGTTGCCTTCAATGGAATTTGTTAAGTGCACTTAATATCACAAGAGTTATTATTTGTGCAAAATTCATACAAGTTCACACATCGGTTCCAAAAAATCGTTGCCATGAATACCCAAAACATTTGGTATTACTATATAGGTTCAACAATATTTCAGCATTGACATGGAGTTTCAAGACCTCTTGAAAGCCCATAGTATTTATTTTTCTATATATGATCGATGACATGTCTGAAATTTAATCGGATGAGATTGAATCTTGGAAAAATTATCTGGCCAAAATTATGCACTGTTTAAACAGACTGAGGCAATTTTTCCCCATATACATGTATATTGCCAAAAATATCCTCTGCTTCATTCACATGCATCGTTAACTAATTCGTGTTTTGGAGCTTACTTTTTAAATGGGTTGACAGCAATAGCCTTTGGTAGAGACAGTCCATCAGTGTCAGTCTGAGAGTTCTTAAGAAGAGCCAACCTCATGGAACCATCTAGCTTACATACCTCAATATAACCAGTGAACCTGTAGCCATTTGTGAAGTACAGGTTACCTGTAATAAAAAGTAAACAAAATAATTTATTATAATACAGTATACATGTACTTGAAGGGACACAATTGTGAGAAATGCTTTACATGCTGTGTCCTTTAGTAACTTATAGGTATGAGTATTCATTGAATTAACATATTAATATCCTAAAAATATATGTTACAGCAATTTTTGGATATTAAATCGGAACAAATAAGTGAACAAAAAGTGACTATAGTTTTAAAACTGCAGTAGATACATTACATGCTGATAACATGCATGTAGCGATCAAGGCTAAATGTGAATATGGCTAAAATGAGAGTACATCAAAATAAAATATTAAATCCATCTGTGCTTAAGTTCGAGCCATATCCATACCATTAATCCAGTCTACTGCCAGGCCATGTACCCCACTTAATCCAATTCCTCTGTCCATTAAGTCGCTATATTCAGTGCCATCTGGTTTGACCCTACCAATGTTCGTTATGTTTGCCCTTGTGCTCATTGAGCGGTAGTCAGTCCAATACACAAAACCCCCTGACATGTAAACGTCAATGTGTTCAGCGTACCGCTCTAAAATGAAATGCAAAATACAGTACAATCTAAGAAATAACTGCCATGATACAGTATTATGAGCTCTTTAATGTTTAATTCTTCCATAATATCAATGAAATAACAAATTCCATCTACAATTACAAGAAAATAAACAAAAGGACATGAACAATGATCTATTACTAATTACATGTACATTGTACAGTATATACATGTACATATTAGTGCCAAGAATTTTATTATTCATGAAGATAAAAATGATCAAAACTGACTTGACCCTCCTACAGGTACCATAGCATCGTCATGTTCCCCTGTGAAGCTCAGTCCTCTGACAGCCTCATAGGTTGAGACAACAAGGAAAGACTCATATGCTGAAAATATAAGAAATGTAATGAATGTACTCTGAAGAATGGCCCACCAAGCTCATCCTTTTCAAAGATGAAATGTGAAGTATAAATGTATGCCATGTGACTTTAGTGACTTGAGCATCAGCAATAGACGTTTCCGATAAATCATGCCATCTTTTGATCCATCGGAGAAACCACAATATATTGGCTAGATTGATGATGTCATAGGTTGTACTTTTATAAAATTAGCAAGAAGTTAATACCATTTTTGAATGGGCAGTTTGCTACCTACAATCAATGACATCATCAATCTAGCCAATAAGTTATAGTTTCCCTGATGTATCAAAAGATGGTACGATTTATCGGAAACGTCTATTATCATTTAGATTTTTGGTTTATTTACCTTTACAAGAGATGCCATCCGTATCTAAAGTAGATCCAGTTGAGCAGGCACATACTTTGGTGCCACGGCCTGTTGGCAGGCAGAGTTGGGGACATCCGCCATTGTTACTGGAACAAGCGTTAGTCACTCCTAAAAATATATTGAACTTCATTTAGCTCTGAGCTCAGAACTCTTATGAGGTATGAATACATTACCAGCTAGAACAGGCTAAGGATGCAACTACAGGTTTACACCATTACAAAAATAGCATTTTGTCAAGTTATTATCAAATTAAAAGGAGCAGTGATGCCAGTCTAAGTTCTCCCGAGTCAATCTCATGTCTTAACTCCCAATCGCTATGCCTTAAGTCACCAATACACACCATCGTCCACCATGCCTACATACTACCATTATGCCTCAACTCAACATCACTATGCTTTTTAACTCACCATCATTATGCCTCTCACTGTAAGCCTTCAATACGTCCAGTCTATTGAGATTTGTCCTTAATATCTTTGCATTCCCACCATCAGCCAAGTCTACTTCTGTGATAGTCTCATAGGACCTGTCTGAGTAGTAGAACTTGGAGCCATGCACGGCAACCCCCATTGGGTTATGCAGGTTAGCAGTGATAAAACTTGTCCTGGCCCCAGTCGTGATGGAATATTTCTCAATCTAAAGCACAGTACGATGACTCAGTTTCTGTCAACCATTTACAAGGTTATTTTGCATTTTGTGAATTCCTTATACTTTTAGGCTAACTACTTGTATTATATTTATTTCCATCGAGACAAATACAAATAGGTTACAACAGTTAACATTGTTCTTCATATTATTAAGCGTATGAATAATATATCATTAAAAAGTTCATTTCAGCATATTCTAAATATGGAATTAATAAATAGGAGTTATAGAAAATTTATCTCTAGGTTATATATAAAGATCAACAATATATAAAGATTTATTAAAATATGGCATATAAGATTTACCTACCGTTTGTTTGGATGCATCACTCCAGAACAGAGTTTGGCTTGCAGTATCAATTGTAATGTACTTCAATGAAATCACATCAGTCTTTATAATTATGGCAGCCTCACTGCCATCAAGATTCATCTTGGCCACTTTCTTTGGGACACCTACACCTCCTGCGTCCAACCAATATAACTTCCTAAATAGTCAAATGTTGCGCAATGTATGCTAGTGCCCAAAGACTAGTTGTATTGTAAACCTTCTGGACTAATACAGTGCAAAAATATCACAATATAAATGTTCAATTTGCACATATGTAATTGACCTTTTTCCATATAAATGTAAAAAATAGATGGCATCATGGGTATTGGTATGGCTATGGTAGGGCTAGAATACATGTAAATGTATTGCCAGAGTCAGACACTTTATCAAAGGAGAACCTCAGAATTTGTACATAATGATCCACTTATTTGTGATAAAGCTTACCCTTGACCTGGATCTACACACATGGAGATGGCCTGCCCAACATCAGTCTCATTACCCTGGTTGCTCAGCAACACCTTGCGATAATTGTTCTCACCATCAAGCTTGATTACACCAATGAAATTAGCTTGGACATTACTCCAATAGAGGTTTCTAGATACCCAATCTATGGCTATGGCATGAGGTGCTCCAATAAATGCACTTGGTAAAAATGTGGTCCTGTTCTGTCCATCCATTCTTTGCCTGTATGTTACACCCTGTAATATAATATAATTTAATATAATATATATAATATAATATAATATAATTTAATACAATATAATATAATCAATATAATAAAATATAATCAGATACACAATGATATATAATCATAAGTTAATGGGGCACTGCTGTGTAGAATCACAAATGTATTTACGCTTGTGGGCATACATTGATACAAGTCAATGTGCTTTGTTCCTAAATTGAAGTGAAAACTTACCCTATTTCCTCTGTTTACTGTCCAATAGATCCACCCATCCCTGCTATCATAGTCAAAGTCACTGATCTTCATTCTGTAGCTTGCTAAGATTGGCACTATAGTCTCCATGGAGTTGGGATCATCAGAGTATGTGATGCCACGGACATACATGTTATTTTTTCCATAGAGTAAGAACTCGGTATGATCTGAAGACATATTTTAAGGCTCATAAAAACGAACAACAATTCTTGAACCTTCTTTTAAATTCCTAAAGAATTTTGGCATTGAACCCAATCTTCAGCAAGCAATCAACTATTGAATAAACAAGTTATGATGCATAGAGTACCTTACTGTATATATAAAATAAAGCGATGCCAATGAAAGAGAAACAACATAACGCGGTTAATACATTGTAAAATGCATTCAAGAGATCAGTTGAGTTTACCTTGGACACAGCTGAGTTGATCAGAGTCGAGTTTCATGGCCATTGGGCAGGCACAGGTGTAGCCACTAGTGCTAACAGGTGACAGGAGACACAAGTGACTGCATCCATTGTCTTCACATGGATTGACAGCTACAGAAAATTTAAATATAGTTTTATATAATAAGCATTACTTGAGCCTCAGGAAATCAAGACAATTTAGACTTTTTTACTTTACAATTTTCATACCTTTAGGATGTGATACATTTGTAATATTTATGTATATACAACTAAACTTATGTACAATAAATGATTATTCTCTTAATTATAGTAATTGTTGAATTTCTGTTATTTTTGTATTCTTTGGGATTTTGGCAAAATATCTAATTTGGCAATTTTTTCATGCAAACCAAAATTATAAGTTGGTATGTGCAACATTAAAACAAATAGGTGTTATAATGTATTGTGCTGAACTTATAATAAAGAGTGCATGTTGATTAGGTACACAGAAAAAGTGTTAGTTTAATTATACAGTGCATGTACGTGTACGATGGATCCTAATCAATATTAAAACATTTCAAATTGTTTGCATATTTTTGCAGGAATGAGGTTCTCAGAGTATCATTCGAAATTAAACAATACAATCAAGATGTATGAAATAACACATTATAATTGTATTAAAAATGCCGCGAGACGAGCTAAACACAACTATGTGTATCTGTATTTTTATTTGCATCGGAGTAAATTCAAAAATAAATTCTTTGAAAAAATACCATGCAAATTCCTACACTAAATTGCAAAACCTACAACCCTTCTTATTTGTATTTATTAGCCCCAAATTCTGTGGCAGACAAGCCCAAGCCCCTGATTAAGTGCCTCCACCACCACCTCCAGGCAATTCAGATGCCATCCACTCACCCATGGGTTTGATACTTGGATGGATAATCTCAAAATCGAAAGTCCATAACCAATGTCTATGAAGCGTCTGATTTGTACATGTAAACTTATTACAGCTCTTCATTTCACCCCATCTCCTCAGCCCAACCCAGAAAACCCTGTCCTCAAACACTCGCAGGCTATAGGGGCTTCGCAGGAACTGTTGGTAATGGCATGCATAATAGTTAAACATACTGCAACAGGATATGTTTTTAATGTTTTACACCCTTAGAGGCATCTCAAATGCATTATTCAATTCTTGTTTGAAGTGAGTTATTGACTTGAGTAGACCATGGCTAGACAATCATGTACAGTGAAACCTGTGAAGTGGAACACCTGCAGAAGTGGAACACCTCTGTTTAAGTGGAAAACTTTTTAGAGGTACCAAAGGTGTTTCACTTTTACTGTACTTGCTGTGACTGTGACTTTTTAGCATTTATCAGCTGAAACTGTGAAATGTATGTCCCATAAGAATACTTTATTCTCTTTTGGTTTAATAAGTTTGCCTTGCCTATTTTTAGATTATGGCTTCTTTTGTTTAAAAAACTAAGATTGAAAGAATGACACCCAGTCTCTCAGAACTCACTTCAAACTGTACAACACTGCAGCTATGTGCGACAATACTATAGCTGTACTACTATACTATAGCTGTACTACTATACTACAACTGTATACTAAAATACTACAGTTGTACTACTATACTACAGCTGTGCTACAACACTACAGCTGTATATTAAAATACTACAGCTGTACTTCTATACTACAGCTGCATACTAAAATACTACAGTTTTACTACTATGCTACAGCTGTATACTAAAATATTACAGCTGTACTACTATACTACAGCTGAGTACTAAAATTCTACGAAATATTCACAATAAAGCAAGCAATTATGATGTACAGCAAAGTATATGGTGTTGAGTACCAACTACAAAGTAGAACATCACCTACATTACTGTTTATGTGTTAAAAGTTACTTAAAAACATTATCATAGTTGCAGCAAAGGATAGAATTTTCAATTTCTTTAGACATTCCCCTTTTTAGAATCATTACCAATGAAAGCAATTTCTGGATAATTGGCATGAAGTCAAGTAAAAAAACTCAAAATAGTTGTTCTATCCTTTGATCAACTTATTTCTTGAAGAAAGTTTCAAGATTATCCCCAAATAGGTTGACAAATAATAGATGGTTCTACAAGGAAAAACACTATATAAGTATACCCGGTTTTACCATAGAGTCATGCAAAAGAAGCAACACTCATAGCTGAATAAAAATACTATACATTCAAATAATATCTTTTGCTAGAATTACCACCTTTTGGTCCATATCATAGTTTAGGTCATTATTGTTCCTTTCCATACAGTAAAAATGCTACTATGCCGTTGGGTGCATCGACAGTACTTCACAGTTTTTAATTAATGACAACTATGATATTATTACTACAAGGTAGTAATCCAGTCATGCAGGTAGACACACACATTGACAATATGTTTTAAGGGTAAAAACAAATGCCTTGCACTAAATTCTATACATAATCCATTTTGTTAACTCCATACGAGATAACAAAAGTGGGAAATAAACTTTGCCATGGTGATTACTCTAACATAATTAATGAAATAGTCTTTTCCATCCATCCCATGAAATAAAACCAGTCGCAAATAGGATCTAGTGCCAAACATATGAAAGAAACATACAAATACTCAAACCATAGGAAGCATGCCACATGAACCACAATGCCAGCTCTATGACAACAGTTGCCATGGTAACTCACCACTGGGTTGGAGGGCAGGATGTACCATAAACATAGCTGAAGGATAGTCAGTGTTAGCGCTCATAATATTCTGAGCTTCACAGGTGTATTTATTGCACCGTCTTAAACTGCTCTTTCTGCCCTTCTCTTTGTTAGCCCAATAAACAAAGTCCTCGAAGATAGTGATGCCCCCTCTAGGATCTCTCAGAAACTAATCAAAATTGATGAATGAAAGAATGAAACATTTGAGATTTTGGCTGTCCTCTTGTGCCATTTCACCATCTTAACAGATAAAAGTAAATCGACTTTCCCAACAGGAATATTCACTGCGGATGCTTCAGTGTTTATTGATTTTCATTTCATAAATTCTTCATTGCAAAGCAGAAATCTTGAATGTATCTTATTTACATTATTTTTGCTGTTTGTACCACTCTTATTTGGGATTACTGTTGTACAATTTACAGTTTTAACATTGAAATTATTTAAAGTTTTCTTTTAATACATTTAAGCCTACTATAATATTGTATGAAGTAGAATCTCAGCTCAATATATATAGCATAAGACAGCATGCAACTCGACACATTTGTTTTAAAATACGATAATTAATCTAAAAATAACATGAAAGTAAATATTATGTACATGAACCATAAAGCAAACAAATTTTAAGCAGCACATGATAACTACATGGCAAATCCTAGTGAACATATTTACTCAAATCACTATTTTCAAAGGATTTTCCATCTGACAATAAAACTCATTTTGGGGTAGCAGATTCTAGACAGAATCTATACAAGGCATTAACATGACAAAATGTCACCACCTAGTTGCTCACAATATTATGAGTTCAAACTTAAGTCAGATTTGAATTTCTGAGAACTTGTAAAGTCAAATTTGAACTTCTGAAAAGATGTAGATGATTTTGAAAAAAAAATTTGGTCAATTTGAAGCAAGTTGAAAACAGACCTTTTTGACCTTTTTTGACCTTGAGAAGGTCATTAAAGGTCAAATGTCAAATCTAAAGTCAGATTTGAATTTCTGAGAACATGTAGATGATTTTGAAAAAAAAAATTAGTCAATTTGAAGCAAGTTGAAAAAAGACCTTTTTGACCTTTTTTGACCTTGAGAAGGTCATTGAAGGTCAAATGTCAAATCTTAAGTCATATTTGAATTTCTGAGAACATGTAGATGATTTTGAAAAAAAATTTAGTCAATTTGAAGCAAGATGAAAAAATACCTTTTTGACCTTTTTTGACATTGAGAAGGTCATTGAAGGTCAAATGTCAAATCTAAAGTCAGATTTGAATTTCTGAGAACATGTAGATGATTTTGAAAAAAAAATTTAGTCAATTTGAAGCAAGTTGAAAAAAGACCTTTTTGACCTTTTTTGACCTTGAGAAGGTCATTGAAGGTCAAATGTCAAATCTTAAGTCATATTTGAATTTCTGAGAACATGTAGATGATTTTGAAAAAAAAATTAGTCAATTTGAAGCAAGATGAAAAAATACCTTTTTGACCTTTTTTGACATTGAGAAGGTCATTGAAGGTCAAATGTCAAATCTAAAGTCAGATTTGAATTTCTGAGAACATGTAGATGATTTTGAAAAAAAAATTTAGTCAATTTGAAGCAAGTTGAAAAAAGACCTTTTTGACCTTTTTTGACTTTGAGAAGGTCATTGAAGGTCAAATGTCAAATCTTAAGTCAGATCTAAAGTCAGATTTGAATTTCTGAGAACACGTAGATGATTTTGAAAAATTTTTTTAGTCAATTTGAAGCAAGTTGAAAACAGACCTTTTTGACCTTTTTTGACCTTGAGAAGGTCATTAAAGGTCAAATGTCAAATCTAAAGACAGATTTGAATTTCTGAGAACACGTAGATGATTTTGAAAATTTTTTTTAGTCAATTTGAAGCAAGTTGAAAACAGACCTTTTTTGACCTTGAGAAGGTCATTAAAGGTCAAATGTCAAATCTAAAGTCAGATTTGAATTTCTGAGAACATGTAGATGATTTTGAAAAAAAAATTAGTCAATTTGAAGCAAGTTGAAAAAAGACCTTTTTGACCTTTTTTGACCTTGAGAAGGTCATTGAAGGTCAAATGTCAAATCTTAAGTCATATTTGAATTTCTGAGAACATGTAGATGATTTTGAAAAAAAAATTTAGTCAATTTGAAGCAAGTTGAAAAAAGACCTTTTTGACCTTTTTTGACTTTGAGAAGGTCATTGAAGGTCAAATGTCAAATCTTAAGTCGAATCTAAAGTCAGATTTGAATTTCTGAGAACACGTAGATGATTTTGAAAAAATTTTTTAGTCAATTTGAAGCAAGTTGAAAACAGACCTTTTTGACCTTTTTTGACCTTGAGAAGGTCATTGAAGGTCAAATGTCAAATCTTAAGTCAAATCTTAAGTCAGATTTGAATTTCTGAGAACACGTAGATGATTTTGAAAAAAATTTTAGTCAATTTGAAGCAAGTTGAAAACAGACCTTTTTGACCTTTTTTGACCTTGAGGTCATTGAAGGTCAAATGTCAAATCTAAAGTCAGATTTGAAGGTCAAATGTCAAATCTAAAGTCAGATTTGAATTTCTGAGAACATGTAGATGATTTTGAAAAAAAATTTAGTCAATGTGAAGCAAGTTGAAAAAAGACCTTTTTGACCTTGAGAAGGTCATTGAAGGTCAAATGTCAAATCTAAAGTCAGATTTGAACTTCTGAGAACATGTAGATGATTTAGAAAAAAATTGAAGTCAGTCTTAACAGTATTTGTTAAGTTATAGGAAGTTGTAAGAAATTGTTACAGACGCCGGACGCCAACCGCAGGACGCCAACCACCAACCGCCGGACGCCAACCGCCGTCGCAAAAAAACGGAGACCATAACAATATGTCACCACTTTTGGAGTGGTGACATAATAAGACATTATACGAGGTGGGCCAAAATATGTCCATATTTCTTAGTGTGCTATTTCTTAGTTTTACATCCAGGAAAACAGAACTGATTGGCCAAATTCTGTGTGAAAAAGAATAACACAAATCTTCTATTTTGGTCAGGAAGATAGCAACATTGAAAGGGCAAGTTTTACAATCTAGCACCAGGTTGATCTTCCTTGTCACAACTAAGACCTCTGAATAGGTTTCCATTTACAAGCCAATTTTCCCAATCACTTTTAGTTTTATTTATGCTGTACCAGCCTTTCTTTATCTTTCTCCATCTAATTCAGAAACCACTTAATTGTATTGATCCCATTTCATAAGCACTTGTAAAATTGATTCCTGCATCTCCATCAAAATACTTTCAAAATATATGCATTATTGAAAAAGTTATTGCCAAATAAAAATATGGATGTTTTTGGCCAGCCTGTATATGATTGAATATTTAAAATAAATACATCTGATTTGCATAAAATAAAAGCATATATTTGACCATGTGTTGCCAATAGTTTGGCTTACCAGACAACTATCAACCAATCAGAATGCAAGATTTCAGTAAAAAGCATAAAAATTAGTACCGTGGGTACTGGGCTCACATGGTGACAGAAAAAACCGGATATAATTTTTTGCTGATTTTTTGTAACAAAATTATTTCAAGCCACTTGCCACTATTTTGGACTGACTGAGAGACAGATGGACAAATCGATGTTAAGTAAAATGGCTGAGAAAAAAAACGGATATAATTTTTTGCCAATTATTTGGAACAAAATTATTTCATACAACTACTCTTTACAGTGACATGGCTTTTTGCAATGCAAGACACCTGAAATTATTTGTAAAGCTAGAAAATAGGCCAAAATTGAATTTCGCGAGACAAAAATGGCGACCATTTTGAAATCAGGCAAGCTTTTGAACCAGGAGTCATAGGGGAGTTTTTTTGTATTGATGTTGAACGAAAATAATGTGAAACTGGAATCCTATCGACAGAGGTTTTAAGCAAATGGTTCAAAAGAGGATTTCGCAAGACAGATGGACAAATCAATGTTAACTAAAATGGCTGGAAATAAAAAAACAGATATAATATTTTGCCGATTTTTTGTAACAAAATTATTTCATACAACTACTCTTTACAGTGACACAGCTTTTTACAATGCAGGACAGCTGGAATTATTTGTAAAGCTAGGAAATGGGCAAAAAGTGAATTTCGCGGAACAAGAATGGCGACCATTTTGAAAATAGGCGAGCTTTTGAACCAAGAGTCATAGGAGAGTTTTTTGTATTGATGTTGAACAAAATTAACTTAAAACGGAAATCCTATCGACAGAGGGTTTAAGGTAAATGGTCCAAAAGTGGATTTTGCGAGAGAGATGAACAAATCAATGTTAACTAAAATAGCTGAAAATAAAAAAATGGATATAATTTTTCGCTGATTTTTCGTAACAAAATTATTTCATACATCTACTCTTTACATTGACATGGATTTTTACAATGTAGGACACTTGAAATTATTTGTAAAGCTAGGAAATGGGTCAAAAGTGAATTTCGCGAGACAAAAATGGCGGCCATTTTGAAAATAGGCGAGCTTTTGAACCAGGAGTCATAGGGGAGTTTTCTGTATTGATGTTGAACAGAAATAACTTAAAACAGGAATCCTATCGACAGAGGTTTTAAAACGTGCCACTGTTATTGACGGAAAGTGGATTTCGCGAGTCAGATAGACAAATCAATGTTAACTAAAATGGCTGAAAATAAAAAAATGGATATAATTTTCGCTGATTTTTTGTAACAATATTATCACATATATCTACCCTTTACATTGACATGGATTTTTACAGTGAAGGACACCTGAAATTATTTGTAAAGCTAGGAAATGGGTCAAAAGTGAATTTCGCGAGACAAAAGTGACGGCCATTTTGAAAATAGGCGAGCTTTTGAACCAAGAGTCATAGGGGAGTTCTCTGTATTGATGTTGAACAGAAATAACTTAAAACGGGAATCCTATCGACAGAGGTTTTAAAACAAATGGGTCAAAAGTGAATTTCGCGAGACAAAAGTGACGGCCATTTTGAAAATAGGCGAGCTTTTGAACCAGGAGTCATAGGGGAGTTCTCTGTATTGATGTTGAACAGAAATAACTTAAAACGGGAATCCTATCGACAGAGGTTTTAAAACAAATGGGTCAAAAGTAGGGGTGAGACGAGTCGAAAAAATCCGATTCGAGTCAGAAAATGACGATTCGAGTTTCGAATCCGTTTCGAGTCAGATAAAGTGCGAACAACATCGCTTTTGACCGTTCGTATTTTTAATGCGTCAATGGTGGAAAGCTGGAAATATAAACAAACACAATTCGTCGTAAGTTTATTCTGATTTTATTACATATATTCTTTCATTTATGTGTACATACAATATAAGAATTTAATACAAGCATATCCAAGTCATTGAAACTTATATATTCAACGCAATATCGAGTAAAAACATGCATATTGACAGTATTTTTCTGAATTTTTTTATATTTTCGAATTTTTTTCTCAACTCGAAAATGATTCGATTCATCAACTTCGACTCGATTCGACTCGACTCGAAGCCCCAAACCCGCGAGTCCTCGACTCATCGGGTTGTCGTCTCACCCCTAGTCAAAAGTGAATTTCGCGAGACAAAAGTGGCGGCCATTTTGAAAATAGGCGAGCTTTTGAACCAGGAGTCATAGGGGAGTTTTCTGTATTGATGTTGAACAGAAATAACTTAAAACAGGAATCCTATCGACAGAGATTTTAAAACGTGCCACTATTGTTGACGGACGGACAGATGGACGGACAGACAGACGGACAAGTGAGTGATTGCAAAAGCTCACCATGTGAGCTAATAATCCTACACAACAAAATACACATGTATACATATGCAAATCAACACTCAAATGGTTATTTCTGCATAAAACATAAGTGCAAAAATGACAAAAGCAACACCAGTTTACCTTTCTCCTCCAGCCTCCCATGGTCCATTAAAAAAGAAAAATATGTCTTTACACTTTAGGTAGGTATACACTCAGCTATAACAGGGTGCCATCTTTTGACAGTGTATAACTACCTTAACTAATGATATACACTTGTAGCCTATTGAGAGGACGTATAAATCCAGGAGGCCTTTAAAAATAGAGGATTGAATTTTGTATTTTTTTGTTTATTCAATGATGCAACGTAGAAGACATCTCTAGTCAAAAGTTCAGCATTAGCCTCATCTCATAAATTACTCATTACATGAAACCATGTTATATACAGTATGCCTTGCTGCTAACTTACCAAATCACTCTCGATTACTTGATGACGTCCAGTTCCATCATAATTCACGAATGCAATTTCTTCCGAGTGGTAATCCATAAAATAGACTCTTCTTGTAGGAAGGTCAATTGTCACGGAAACTGGGTAATAAACCTTTTCAGTGGTTACAATGCGTCTGTTGCTTCCATCCATGCCAGCGGCCATTATGGCTGGATTCTGCCCATAGTCACCCCAGAACATCAGACGCGCACTAAAATAAAACGCATCAAACTTAAGATTTTTTATTTCAAGCAATGTATTGTCAATGGGAAAGTAATACTGGTATGTAGTTATGAATAGATCTGAGTACAAGAATACATGAGACTTAAATAAAAATAAAAAATAAAAAAGACATGTAAGCGAGAGGTGAGCTACTGTAGGTTTTCTACTTGTGATGGAGATATTAGTAATTGTAAATCATCTAACCAATACGATCTTAATGATTTCTTAACTTTTCTCAATGAACTATTTAAACAAGGCATATTTCTAGCTAATAAAGACTGTATGATCTTAAAACATCAAATTGCAGATCCAAATACATGTAGTTTTATCATGATGACATACTCTAATTGAAAATAAGAATGATCACACTCTAAGTATCTCAATTATGTCAAACTTTTGCAAATGGTAAAAAATTATGTGTTAAAACTGAATAAAATTCATATATAAAATCTTCTTGGATATCACTCACTCTTCTCTTGGGTCAAGAGCAAGGCCCCTGATCCTGGTAGCATTTTCTTTGAACAGCATGGTGCGGTAGGTTCCATCTAGGGTAGCAACATTGATAGTGTCTCCAAGTGAGTCAAGCCAATACAAGTTGCGTCCTATCCAATCCACTGCCAGGGCATTGGCAAAAACACCATGCTCAATGATCTGTATGAAAAAGAATCCAGAATATAAACAAAACAACAAGTCCCTTTATTTCAGTCACACTTTATATCAAAACACAGAATGACCTGAGTGGTATGGTAGGGTGGGCACAAGAAAGAAGTTGGTGTCTTATATCACTGATAAAGGTAGTACTAGGGGACATTGGGGATGAAGTCCCCAAAGTTGCTCATAGGTTCAAAAACGTATTTGAACTGTTCTATGTAAGAAGATCTTGATCACTTAATACAATACAAATTATCAAATGGACTGCATTGGACATTTTACTCCTTTAATTTTGAATGATAAATACTAATAAACATACCATCTGAGGGTTTGTTCCATTGGACAATGCGCTAAAGATCTGCATCTGCCTCATGCTGGTTGATCTAACATATTTTGTGTAGTAGACTTTGTCTTCCACATTATCGTATGTCATTGAATGTATAAACCCTCGTATAGGTGTTGAACTGAAGCGATTTAGTGCTGTATTGCTACGTATCACTCCACGGAATGATGCGGCAAGAATGAAAGCAGTGCCATCTTAAAAAAATAAAAACAAATATATGATTACTATAATGATACTATGCTATCTAACAATACATAACATTTGATTGGGGGATTGTAACAATGTATCTGATTGGTCAATATTTTAGCATTCTATTGGCTAAGATGGCAAATCGAAAAAGATTGTACGAGGGGTGATCCAAAAGTCGTGGACGCCCAACTCTAACCTTGCTATTTTTAACATATGAACAATAAATGGTGAGATGTTTTACTTACTTGCAGCTTTACATGTTGTCCTATCGGGCATTAAGCTGTAACCCTCGTCACAGCCACAATAGAAAGAACCTTTGGTATTAAAGCAGGTCTGGCTACACTTGAACTCAGCACACTCATTCTGATCTAAAACATTAAATAACATGCACATTACTATAAAGTTGTCATGGTTATCATTTTTTGCACTCAATTCTTGATGATTAATTTTAAAGGGGCAATGTGCCATTAAGAAATATATTTTCCCAAGACTTCCCAGTTGTTACAAACACAGTTGTCCACAAAAAGGTGGTGACTATAACAATATGTCACAACTTCTGTTGGTGACATAATAATATATAAGATATATTATTCTCATTTTTCCAGATCATTTGACTGCATCTCATCTCAACTATGATTGGTTATTGAATAATCGTTGCTATAGCAACAAAAGGCACAACCCATGATACATTCTTACCGACCTCCTCCTCTACATCATTTTACCTTTATGGCTAAACTTCCTTCAGAAAGGAGTTCCAATGGTCTGATTCTCATTCGATTTTGAAGAAACAAGACTACCATGTGCTAGGATCTAGACATAAATCAACCCCAGTCCCCTTTACCCATCATGACATACCTATACAAGTTGTTGTGTCATTAAGGATGTAGCCCCGCCTACAAAAACATGTAGCACCAAATGGTGTGTTGCGGCAGATCTGGTTGCACCCACCACGGTTAGAGGTATAGCAGGATTGCTCATCTGGAAACAACATAAACATTGATTGGAGGTTATCTTGCATGTAAATTCAGAGTAACAAAGTATTTTAATGACATTTCAACTGAAAAGCTGTGTTGCAATTGGTTAAATTCCAGTCACACAATTCACCATTTGCAATCTATGGCCATATATAGATGGCCTGATACACTCATTTTGGTCTGCTCATCCAAGCAAGGTTTTATGGAGGACCTTTAGTATGGCAATCCTCCTTCTACCAGGTATAAATTGTGAGTGTGAGCCATTTTAATAACACTTACTGCACACAGGACTCTCATCCAGTCCTTCAGGGCAGTCAGGGTTCCCATCACAGACCTGGGTCCTATTGATACAGACTCTATAGTCTCCTGGACATTTCCACTGAGACCAGCTACACCTGAATGGTGGAGGAGCTACAAATAACAAATAATCCTTTTTCTAATCATCTATCATCAAGGGCAAATAAAAAACGACAAAAAGATTCTGTATGTAAGTAAAACTAAATAACTGATCAAAGCAACCATATAAAGGCATCAATACAATTACTGCTTGGTTTTATGATAGGGTGTCAAATAAGTCCCATCTATCCCTCTTTGAATAAAACTATTATACAATGGCATCATGTGTGATATAACATTGGACAGAACATCCACATTTACATCAACGTAACTCATTAATATGCATGTTTGATAATATAGTCAACTTACGACATGTCAAAGCTTGATCTTCATCAGTTCCATCCCCACAATCATCATCTCCATCACACATATAACGTTTCCAAATGCAACGTCCATTCCCACACTGGAAAAAGTTGCTTGAACATGTTCTTTGACCTAAAATGATGAATATTTGTAGGGTACAAGATTGTGCACAAATGAGTTGTTCTCCATGGTAAGATTAAGCTACAGTTGGCGGTCAGTATTACATTTAGATCTGTACTGTGATCAGTATAATGTATATACAAGGACATATAACTTCAACCAATCACATCACTTTGATCTGTAACTTGATAAATAAATTCAATGATGTTTAAACATTATTCTGTGCAAATTTTATGAGGATTGGGTAAAATCTGAAGAAATGCCAGATACTTTTACCTTATTTATTGATCACCCTATGTAGATTACAATATGGATAAGTTCAGTGTTTGCTAAATGTATATTCATTACTTTATTCATATCTATCAGGATTTAACATAATGGATCACTTACGACATGTATCAGGTTCATCCGAGCCATCTTCGCAATCCTCATGGCCATCACATTTCCAACTTTGGCGGATACATCCCTGCACAGTGGTACATTGGAACTCATCTGGTCTGCATCCACCAGGAGCAGGTGTGGCTATAAAGCAACTTATTAATAAGTAATTAACTAAAACACAGTTTCACTAGTACATATGGTGTTCCAATGGCACTGCCAGGATCAAAAATATGGTGAGGCAAATTAACACCAAAGAAAGTATAATACTACTTTTTGACTTCATTTCCTAGTTCACAACTTAATAAAAAAACTTTAAAACATGCCATTGGACCAATAGTGGTATGAGCCTAGGCCCTTTAGAAGCAATATGTAAATCAAATGCATTTGCATTATTTTCTAATATTAAAATATACACAAAGCATGTAAATATGTAAAAATTGAGAAAATGGCTTGATTCAAAGAATAACAACACCAATTGTTGAAAACTTAAAATAAATATCATTTTGTCTACTGTATTCATGATAGATTTATAAACACTTAAATAAGAAGTTTTGAGACAACGGATTAGTGTTTAACTTTGACCAAGTTAGCCAAGGTGTCACAGAGTCATTATTAATTATACATGTATAGTATTGAAATAGATAATTTCAAGGGAAGCTGTCAATAGATAAACAGTGCACTATGCTATTCCAGAGCCATAAAGACTAATACATAAATATATGTTATCAAATCAATTTTCATGTTTAAACATGGCTTTGCTTAACTAGTTGAGATTGTAAGACTATTGATGGCTTCCCTAAGAGATGCAATAACATGTTTGTGACAATCACAGTACATAGACTTACAACAGTTAGCTTCGTCACTGTAGTCTTCACAATCAAATACTGAATCACATACTCGTGTTTTAGCAACACATTGCTGCTGTGATTTGCAGGCAAAGAGGTAGTAGGATGAGCAGTTTTTAGGAGGACAGTTAGCCTCATCTGAGGCATCATAACAGTCGGGATTGCCATCACATTGCCATTGGAGGGGAATGCAAAGCCCATTGCCACATTGGAACTGCAGTGTAGGGTCACAAGTAGTGTCAGCTGTCAATCAAGAGCAAGCAAGCATGTCATTGGTTCATTTATTGATTAATAGAAAGCCAGCATGCAATTGGTTGGTTTAATCATAGGCATATGTCTCTGGCATTGCTGCATGCTTGGATTATTTGTTGAAGTATCCAGGTCATTTTCCAGGTCTCTGCATTTTCAGTCAAATAGAGACACAAACTTTGATCACCATAGAGCCACTGTCTGTTTGTATCCTTTGATTCAATGTTACAAAACAAATATACCAAATTGTGATTTTTGAAATAAAAGATTCAGTGAGGTTTGAATTTTATTTCCAAGAAAATGAATGTTTGAGAAAAATCATTCCCTAAAAAGCTCTTCAAACATTTTTCAGATCAGAACTGATTAAGTACCTGATTTCATCTAAGTCAAAAGCTCAATTTATATCTTCAAATTAAATTTTACGCTGGGCTTCTTAGGTGAGGATGTTTATGAAACTTATTAATCGGCAGAAAAATTATATCATGCATATCTTGAATCTGCAAATTAATTAAAACATCATTTTAATAACATTTAAAGCTGCCAGTGAACACTGTAACTGTTCATTTAGCTGTTGACACAACAGGAGCATAATTGAAGACATTTTCAAAATAAGTTCAGAAAATTATACCGGTTTAATCAGAGAGTTTTTCTCTGACACAAATACCAATAAAGCTGAACATTTTGAGAATAATCTTTTGCATGTCAACAAGGGTGTGCCGCTGGATTACACAGCACTTACGACAATTTTCTTCGTCAGAACCATCATTGCATTCAGCATGGCCATTACACCTGTAGCCCCTATATATGCACTGTCTCTCCCGAGTGCACTGGAAATACCACCGTGAACAGTTACGCACAGAGCATTCTGGGTACTCATCTGACCCATCGGAGCAATCAGCACGGGAATTGCACTCCCAGAATTGTGGGATACATGCACCTGAGTTGCAGCGAAATTGACGAGGTCCACATGTCCTTGCAACTGGGAAAATATCAAGAATAAAAATCCAAAATCATGTTCATGTAGATTCTCATCAGATGCAAAATTACATACTGGACACATGTCATCTCTTGCTGAAATTCTGTTCAATTTTGGGCAGCTAGGGGTACCTGAAATAAACCTTACATCAATAGGGGGGAGGTTGGGAAATGTGGCATTATCCAAGACGTCATGGTGATATTTTTCATAGAGGAGTTTTATAGTTTTTCATTTTTCACCATGACATCAAAGAAGTGAGCCTAGTTCTGCACAATGCAAAATATTCAACTACATCTATTATGACATGGTGCTAGTAGATGGGTGGCATATGCAAGCGGGTCGCAGCCATTTAAGAAAATGGCTGACATGAGAACTTACTACAATTGAACTCATCAGATCCATCTTGACAATCGGGAATTCCATCACATGTCAACCTCTTAGAAATGCACCCTTTGATCACTTTACAAGAAAACTCCCAACTCTTACAACTCATTTCAGGACAGTTATCTTCATCAGAGGCATCTTTGCAGTTGATGGCCCCATTGCAGACATAGCGACTTGTAAACAGACACTGGCCACTTCTACATCTATGCCCATACGTTGGACATGTCTTCTCCACTATGTATAACATGGCAATTAACAAATATGGACATGCAGCACTGAAGCTTTTTGACTTATATCCAAAACATTCAATTCAAGTTTAATTGTTTTGTTCATATCCAATATGGACTCATCATAATCATATTATCATAATAAAGACCCTTGAACATGTTGGATGTTGATGTTGGGGAATATATTCTCTCTGAGTGTGCTATGCAGCTGGTAGAATCAAACATTCTGCACATAAGGCACATAGCTCAATTTGCATACATTCACTAACATTAACTGCTCTATGTGCTCATTTATCTATGGTTGATGATCAAACATACACACTACATGTACAAATTAAAGACATCAGCATGTTCTGCCTGTAAACATCGTCTCAATTTGGGTATTGTATATATATAACATTTTATTTCATTATATCCTAGATACTAAAAAAAACTCTCTTCAATAATATAGAATTATATTTTAATGAACTACAGTTTGTTCAACTATTTTTAAGAAAATTAAAACCAAGTGAATTTTATCACAACATGAAATTAGGCTAATTAATTTTTCCGAAAATACAAAGTATATTTACAGCAATGTTCTCCTTCATCAGAGCCATCTCCACAATCATTCACCGTATCACAGAGGGCGCCACGGGTCACACAATTGCCATTAGCGCACGTATGCTGCCATCTGCTGCAGTTTCTGGGGGCTGAAGGAAATAAAGATATTTAATAAATAAAAAGTTTTTTCATTTCCCAAATGTTGCCTCTATTTGTGTTCTATCAAAATGTTATGTTGTTACATAGGCTGTGAATTATATTTTCTATATCTTAAGAAAAATGAGACAAACATTAAAAAACAGTTTTTATTTTACTTGCAAGATTATTTCGATATGATTAACTCATTGCTTTTAAGGCAATTTTGGTATAAATAAATGGTATACTTTACTTTTAACAAGCAGTCCTGCTTGTATGAATAATGTTAATGTAAAATGAAATTTACTAACACAACATAGAAGTAATACGAGTTATAATTCAAAGCTAAATTCAAACAAGAGCATAAGAGCACATAGAGTTGAAGAGATTGTGTCCAAATGCTGACAGTTGTAGAGAAACAAAGTTAATTTTAATATCAACAGGAGCATCTTGCAAATATAACCAATATTCTGGTTTGCCAGTTCCATAAGTGAAGATTCTTCAACAATGAAATTTTCATTGCTCCTCCCCCTCCTCTCTCTCCCCTCAAACAAAATGAACTTTGCTTCTTCTACAACAGATACTGACAGGATTCCATCCCTAATAAGTTAATATTAAAAGAGAAAGATAAGGATGATGAATACAATTGGAGGAATGTATCAAACCTGTACAATAATGTAAATAAATAAATTCAAAAATGGATGTTAGAATAATGCACACATTTAGAAGCTGTAAGTTATGACCTATTCCCAATAGAAAAGGATGGATGCATCAAAACTACTGTATTATAAGATGATGATAAAATAAAGCATTCACTTAAGCAAAATGAACCCATATCTATTACTATAGTACTAACTGGTTAGTTACTATCTATCTATTTGGATACACTGTCCCCTTCACCGGCACCAGAACCTTTTCCCAGAAACTCCTACTTGTAAGTTTACTCACAACAATTCACAGAGAGTTCATCAGACCCATCTTTGCAGTCAACTCTCCCATTGCATAGTGAAGTGTTTAAAATGCAGTGGCTTATGGGACAGCGGAAAGTGCCTTCTGGGCATGCTGGGAGGGCAAGAAAAAAGGTTCATGCAGATTTAATTATTATATTATCTATATTTTGTGGTGGATAAGACCCTTCCAATAAATCCTGACCCATTTTGGTGAACCAAATAATTGCTTATGATGTCAAACTATGCATGCAGCAAAGTTTGTAAACAAAAAATAATAACTTTTTAAAATCCAATTTCTGCCCTGAAACTGTAAGGATGACATCATAAATGGTGTGATGGTGTGATAGATTGGATGGTGTGAATCACTAGACTGGTCTACTGATACAGTTGATCATGGAACCCAAAGGAACAACTTAAGTGCTATACATATGTAAAGGTTACATGAACATATATTATCCTGATCCACTCTTCCAACTCTCTGTTATTTAGAGATCACATAAAGCCATGGTTAAACTACTTATTTATTAATCAATAGTTATCTCTCTGAATCTTTCAGAAAGTGTCATAGCTATAGTCCTTATACTTTTTACAATTCTTTTAATTTTAGTTTTTCTGAGCATGTATCATTTTTAAAGTGAAACAGGATAATAAGTGTTTACTGTATAAACATTGGTGAAAACATGAAAAGCAATTACGAGGGAGGAAAGAGGGTGGAAATATAAGTGAAATGACATGGAAAGTTACATATTCTAACCTGTAAATATAAGCAACATAAACAAGCAAATAACTCAGCCTGGATAAAGGCATCAAAAGTGATCCAGAAAACTCTGTATAAAATTCCAATTGGACAATATATGACCATTAAATGCATTATTTATACCAACAATCTGCCTCTAGAAGAGCATTTCTGATACTTTTATCCTAGCTGTGAAACATCATATTTGACACTACCCTTCTTGAGAGTGTCACTCCATCTACACTCTTAATACAAGAGATGATTTTCTGCCTTTAAAATAGCCAGCTTGAAACATTCATTTCATAATCAAACTTTCATAAACTTCCATAAAAGGCCATGAAAGCTACATTTGCAATATCAAAGAATCTCGCCAACATCAAAACTATAGAATCATCTGCAATCGTCAAAAGGTAGTGTTCCTACTCCATTAATTAATGTGGCATTAAATCCAATCAGTGACCTTGACCTACCACAGTCAATCTCATCAGAATTGTCACCACAGTCGTTATCCCCATCACATCTCCATTCCAAGGGGATGCATCTGTGTCTACCATCACACGCAAATTGGTGAAATGAACATCTCCCTGGCATTGAAAGATAGTGATTAAATCATTTGAATCAATTTTGTTGATCTGTGCTGTTTCAAAGCTGAATGTGTTGGTGCTGTACACTGCTAGACAATTATTAATCTTCCTCAAGGACTTTATCAATATGTATCAATGCATTCACAAACACAATTCAACATGTTACTTTTTAATTACTAAGCAATGTTTGATAAAATTTTTGGAACAAATCGGTCTTGTAAAACGTAAATAATTTTGTTTGTGAGTGCACATTATTTACACATATTGATCGTGTCCCTAAATCACAAGTGCAATTAATGGAATCAAGTGTAATTATTACTTTAAGGCTGACCCACATCCAAAGTTGATCATTCCTTGAAGATTTGAAACAATTTACTTTGGAGCTATGGAAACATGATATCACTTTATTCTCCTGCACTCATTTTGACACATTTAAGGACCTAAGAACTTGAATAGCATATGAAATGTGCACAAAGAGAGAATGCTCTCAAAATCTTCAAGAAATGTGTACTGTGAATTCATTTTCAGATTTTTTGACATGATACAGCCGAATAAATAGTAGATCTTTTATGATAAAATTCATGCTTCAAGGAATGCACTTCATGTAGGTCAGCTCCCACCACCAAGCACTCCTTAAATCAAAGGGATCCTTGTTTAATCAGCATCAAGGACCCAGGTATATATCATCTCAATTGTGCCTCCACTTACGACAATCTGCCTCATCTGAACCATCCTTGCAATGGCGCCATTTAAACATGTCACATCTGCCCCCATTCCATATACATTGGCCTGAGTTGCAACGCCATTGCCAATCGTATGGACAGGCTATATTTGAGAAATGTGAATAAACCATATATCATTGTGGGTTTACTGTGGCTGATGACAGAATGGTGTCATGTGTAATAATAGACAGTAAAATAAATGCTTAGATCATATATCAGCACTTGATTCAGGTACAGTTCAATGCCTCAAAAGTAGCCCAATTGTGATCTTCATCTCTGCAAGTAATTCTGAGAGATATGCAAAATGATTTACAATTGCATATCACAATTTGGCATACCACTGAGAGACCATCAAATTGTTCATTGATTATAGTAGATTCCTACAAAACAGAAATATTTCTTCAGTTAAACCTACAGTGGTTTTGTTAGTTTTGTTTGTTCTCTTGCAGATGTAAAGCTTGATATTCTTCCTCCTATTTTCTTTGTTGGTCTGTCTTGGTTCTTTTTTATGTTTCCCGTGCTACAATGGCCATATTAGTTGACGACTACACATTCAAAGGCACTCTCTGGATTTCTTTAAATGGGTGACTCATGAGAAAATTGGGGAAAGGACAGGGAATAAAATTGGGGATTGAAAATGCGCTACCATGCATGACATCACACGTGGTCATGCCTTATATGGACTTACGGCAGTTTAGCTCATCAGAGCCATCCCGACAATTGTTACGTTTGTCACATTTTAAATATCTTGAGATACATTGCCCAGAGTTGCATCTCCATTGGTTTGATCTACAGCCTATAAATCAAGATTTAAGGTCAACATTTCAACAATATTTACTATATTAATGTAAAACAATAGTGAATATGAAGCAATGAACTTCAAAATTGGACAATTGTAGAAAATACAATGCAAAAAGATATATTCTTACATGAGATCATTTTTTAACACTTATATGATTGATGTTTTCTAAATGATGAATAAACCTAGATAAGACTGAAAAATGCTTGAAACTTATGCACAAAACACTTCAGAAGTATAATGTTAGTACTCACTTGCTAAAGTACAATTTCGTTCATCAGATCCGTCTAAACAATCAGTGTCTCCATCGCATTTGTAGCGTCGACTTATACACTGCTGATTATCGCATGTAAAGTAGTATCTAGCACACGCAGGTTGAGGTTGCTCATCAGGATTTGCTATACAAGTGCGCTGGTCACTTGTGTCTATCTTCATCCCGTAAGGGCATCCACAATGACGCCGTGTTAGAGTATACTGACTCAAAGATGACCCAACTGCGACTGGGAAACAAAAATGACTGCAGTGTCCATTGTTTAGTGCACATGGATGTGAATCTGAAAATATGATTTAGTTTTGTGATGTAACCGTGGCAATACTCATATAAACAATGTAAATTTGTACTTTCACTATTGATTAAGTTTCATGATATAACCATGGCAATAAGTAAATAAAAGAAAATAAGTTTTATAATATATAAGTTGAAGATTCATGTGGCAACCGCCCACCCTCCTGATGTCTAACCAACCCAACATCAAAAGACAATGGCAATATAGCACATTTCCAAAGTGTGATGAAAATGATTACATTTTACAATGTAACTATAGCATAATATGTGTAAGATGATTAAAAATCATAACAACAATGTACATTTGTAGTTTCACTATTGTTGTAATAAATGAACAACTTATAATAAGATAATTTTTCAAAGGGTTTATTCGACAAATGCTTTTGGGATAGATGCACATTCAAAATTGAATAAAGATACAAAAGCATACATGCAGGAGTTATAGTGACAGTAAAATACATAGGTTAATATATAGAGATTATCCTATATGAGGTTCAGGATATTGGGATTATCCCGAGGCAAATATAACATATTTGCCCGAGGGCCGCAGGTCCCGAGGGAAAATATATAATATTGGCCAAGGGATAATCCCAATATCCTGAACCGACTATAGGATAATATGTTTATCCCATACCAATCTTGGTCATTTGGTTCACATTGTTCAATCGTGGAAATATTTTAGAATATTCATGTCCAGTTTTGTTTTCTTGGCCGTGGGCGGATTTTCCTGTTCCCTCAAATATTCCCACATTTATTTTGATTGATTAATTGGATGCTCCTTCCCTTTTTTAAACTATCAAATTGATCCAGATTGTCTGTGTTTTCATCATTGTCGTTTACAGTCATTACGCGAACGTTACAAATTATGAACAAATATGTGAGCGGCGATTATGACGTAGCGGGCAGATATACTATATCTGCCCGCTCAGAGCGGGATGTAAAGCTATATCTGCCCGCTGATGAAAATATAAGTTTTTACAAACCGGCTTTATGTACCTGCAACACGTCCAAGTATGGGATAAATACATATATGGCTCTGGTTATACTTCAACTGAGTTTCACAATGTAACTATATCGATAGTCTTTCATAAAAGACAATCGGATTACAGAATTTGAAAACTTTCATGAGAAGAGAGAGGGACATAATTAGCAGTTATGTCCCTATCATTGAATATATGCCTAAGGTCTGTCACCAATATAGCCCGAGCTTGCGAGGGTTATATTACGACAGACCGAAGGCATATATTCAATGATACGGACATAACTGTTGTATTACATACTTTTATATCATGGTTACGTTATATCAATGATGCCACGTGTCTGTGTGCGAGTGAAATTAGGAAGAAATGAAACATGACGTCCCGATGACGTCATAAGATTGTCATGGTAAAAGGTTTGGCGGCTATACAGGAATATATAGCCAACCTTCAGCTCCATTGACTTCAATACAAATGCTGGGTATGTAATACTATTCCTTATAACGTATAATTGAAGGTTTGCATATATGATCCAACAGTGATCAGTGTTTAAAGGAATTCCGGGCGATAAAATTAACAAAATATTGCTTCTGGGACAAGATCTAATGACTTTGACATATTCTTTACCCTACCTATTTTGTAAATAACAATCAACACATACCATATTTCAGCAGATATCTGACAAATTCATAAAAATATTTGTTGATCGATAAAATCATTGATTATAAAACCGGAAGTGTTTTCTCTAAGGTTGGTGTGGGAATATTTTAATTATTTCAAATTTTGCCGTGGATTCGATTTTAAATGCTTCTAAATAATCTTCAAATGTTTACTATGATTTCTATTTTTAATGTTTTAAATTTTTTTTTTAAAATAACAAAAAATGTTTTAAATAGAACAACCAGAGAAGGTTTTAAACCATGAAAGCGACTCTAAAGCCAAAAGAAAACTTTTTTGAACCATTTTATCCCCTGTGAAGTAGAGTGTGCCTTTAAGTTTGATCTACTTCATAAAATCTTTTTTATAATGACAGTCAAAGAAGAGGTAATGTGTTGTACATGCATGTAAAGGGTGACCCCAAAAAACTGGGACCAATAATCTCAACTCCCATGCTATAACCATAGAGTATGCCTGATTTCTATTTGTCCACAGCATCATGACAAATTTTATTAACATAATAATTTGAGTTCTACTTTCTGGCACCCAGATTGGAGAATGCATGGTTTAGAAGTTATTTGACGTAATATGAGGCCAACCTTTTGGGCCACCCTATTTTAATTTCTGGGTATAATGCAAATGTAAATATAAACCTTTTAGTTAATGGACCATTACATGCAAGACAAAAACTAAATGTTCTATCAACTACTAAACAACTGATTACTTAGCTATAGCAGACATACCAAGGGACCATTACATATCATGATAATCATTTTCAAATGTTAAGGGAGGGAAGGTCATTCTCTTCCTATATAATACACCCCAAATCCCCACAGTAAAATCACAGTACCATACCGTACATTAAGAGTATGGTACCGTACAGTACTACTTGAGTATGATGCCGAACACTGTTCACAATAGTGATTTGTACCATTTTAGTCTACCATTTTAGGTACCATAAAGTACCATATTTCACTGTACCATACAGTACCGTAAACAAAACAGTACCGCACGATACTGTTGCAGATTGGCTGTGTATTATTAGTTGAGATGCTAAAGTTTGTTTTATTGTGCTTCACAATGTTCCCTTTAGTAACTGCATCATTTATCATACTGGGGATTTTCCCTTGGGAATGGTGTGTATATCATAATTGTCATGTTGTACATTATTTCTGTTACTAGTTTTGACTTATCCCCTTTCCTCACTATCCTTCCATCATTTCAATGATTTTTGACGTCCTTATTATGGTACAGTATTTGTTTAGGCAACAAGCCAGAGATTACTTGAACAAAAAGAATTTGCAGAAAACCTATATATGTACATTGGAGAAAATGTTCTTGGATACTGAAAAAATGAAGAAGTAAAGCAATATGATATTATATGAGACAGGATTTTGATTATGCCAAAATAATGCCAGAAAGAAATGGATTAAGATAACCATCGGAATTGATAGATATAATACAACACCAAAATTAAAAGATTCAGAAATAGACAAAGTGACTTTGCTCACCAAAATGTCAAAACCATCTTTAAGATACTGGAAGGAATATGAGGAGCTTCTTGTACATGGGAACAAATCAGAGTTTGATCTGGACAGTGAACCTATGAGTAAATACATACAATATTTAATTGAAGCAATACTTTTCTTTTGGATCTGTGGAGGTAATTTGCTTGTCATTATGGCTTATTTGAAACATTCTCCATTGAGAACAGTTACAAACTTTTTCATTGTACAACTTTCAATTGCTGATTTTATAATTGGATGTATGATGCCACAACAGATAGCAGTTACACAACTTACATTGTTTACTATGAGGGGATTTTTTGTGAGTGCCCTTTCAAATGCATTGATATGCACATCAATGCTGATGTCATTATCGTTGCTAGTTGCTGTTACTATAGACAGGTACATTGCCATAATCTGGCCTCTGCAATACCCCAAAATCATGGACTTGAGAAAAGCCAAAACAATATCAATTTCTCTTTGGTGTGGTGTTATCATAATAGTTCTTATAGCTATAATTGAATGGAAGGTTTTTATGGACTCTGGAGGGTATCTGTATTGCATTGGAGAGGCTGAAAATCCCAGGATCTTACATTACACCTATGGCCCTGTTGGTATCATGATATGTATGTTCCTAACTGTTGCATACATTAGAATACTCCATGTGGTAAAACAACAGAGTAGAAGGACAGAGAATCATCCAATTCCAAACAATAACACCACTGACAATTTCAAAATCAATCTTAGGGTACTTAAAACCGCAATAATTGTAATAGGCTTCTTTTTGATATGTTGGTTGCCACTTTTTATAGTTATCATATTTCAGGTGTATGGTTTTCAGTTTTACAGTGCACTTCAAAATGAAGCGCAGGACAATATTAGGTTATTTTGTTTCATTCTTGCTGTATTTAATTCAGGATTCAATCCTATCGTATATGCTTTGAGGTTAAAGGAATTCAAACATGGCTTTAAAAAGGTTTTAAGAATCAGGTCCGAATAAGGACATTGCCAAATGATACACTTAAGCTAAATGTACAGACTGCAAAGGAGAAATGGTAGTTGATAAGGGAACTGCATCACCACAAAAAAAAGATTATTTAAGACATTTTTACACTAGAAGTAGAATAAACCAATGGCATAGTTAACAGAGATAAGATGATTTTTTCATAAAAGATTCTGAAATTGAATTGCGCTCTTTCTGCCTCAGATTCTACCTTTAAATAAAGAGCACTGATGAGGTCTAATTGTATGCAAGGTTGCTGGGATACTAAATGCAGGCAGGTAGAGGTAGATGACATTAATCCATTCAAACATTAAGAGTCACTTATTGACTTTTTTTTATTAATTGCTAAATGTTATACCTTTTGTTATTGAATGCAAATGTAAATTGAACTGTTCCTTCTGATTTACTAAACCCTATTTTATGTACCACTTTAGGAAGAAAAAGTGGCAATGTCTATTGTAATGGGAACTGTATAAATATATAAAAAGGATTTTTTATTAATTTTCACATGCCAAATTCAGTTTGGAAATATTGATTTCAACAAAATAAATTGTCTCTCAAAGTTGTATATACCAAAGTCGTTAAAGTCTATTTTAATGTTGTATTGATACAAACTGTGGTCAAGGCTTGCCCTGCATGTGATACCAGAAGTGGGGATCAAAACTATGACTGTTTTGATACTGACAACCCAGTTGTTCAAGATTGTAATAATACAGCATATGTACATGTATTATTTTATTTCTATGTTATGTTTGTACCTCTGGGGTACTACTTGGGGAACATACCACTTTTGCATGCGATTCGACCTATTTAGTAAAACAATGGACTTTGGGGTAATATATGTAACAAGGTTAAGATCCATGCTATGACAAACACTCAAATGGGGCATCCATCCATGCTAAAACATTAAGTATCTCACTATTGAATATTTGCTCATTTATATCATAGATCTTGGCATTGTACATCTGTTTTATGCCTTTTCTCATCAGGACTTGTTTTGATGTGTCTGTCATCTGTATCCTTGAAAGGGCTTCCATTCGCCAGTCAGTAAAGTAGATATATCCTGTAGTGAAAGTAGAATGTTAATCATAAAGATCAAAACAATAAAGGCTGACGGATGCCTAGTGGAAGGACATAGCATAAGATGGATAAATTGAACTCAATAATTTCAGATTTTATGTAATACTGGGGAATTTACTTTTTGAAGAACACTAATTGTATTGTTTGAAACTCAACATGACAAAAATGTTGAAAGGATATATTGAGTTTACTATTCAAGCCATCCCCTGCTATGCCTCATCCTGAGTAGCATCAGTCAACCATAATAAATAACATGCTTACTAGGTGTTTCCTGGTCATCTATGTCATAAACTCTGACCTCATAAGGCCTATACAAGCCTTTACGTAAGTGTACAACATCTTCGCCAGGGTTGGATAAGGGTAACCTCATCAGAGATGATATCCTCCAATCCAAAAAGTAGACAAATCCTAAAATGTGGCGGAGTATTACTCTAAATCTCTTATCAGAACATTGATTTGAACATCTCCTGATAGCAGTCTCAACATCCAAATCACATTATCCCTTTCATCGCATGAAAGGAGACTAATGAGTTACATATACCTGGTTTTGAGGATGGACATTTAACAGATTGAACTTTCTATGTTAAAATTGTAGGTGGGATTGCAGGACATTAAGATAGTTTCTAAAATAGTGTCAAATTAAAAAAACACAAGTAACTGACAACAGAATAACAAATAAATCAAACACTACTATTTGTTATTAGGTACTTTTTTTTAACATCTATGTTAGACATAAATGACAGTAAATTAAGATTGTGTTTTCACTCATGGAATTTAATTTGACTTACTAGTATACCATAGCATCTAAATTGTATCATGAATAGAACAGCATTATTTTGGAACTAATAAACTCACTCACTTCTATTAAAACATTGCTATCATTCATACTTCAACAACATTACAAGTAAAGAAATAAACATTTGTTGTACTGTATACAATCAGGAATCTTAACTTTGAATAAAATAAATAAAACAATCAGAACATTTACTTTTGGTAATGTCAATAAAACATTTAGCTGCAATATTACGATTCTGAGCTGTATATTTTACCATTAGCGTACATATTAAAATAATTTTTACTATTTGTAATCATAACCATAAACATGTTCTTCATGCAAAACTACCTTAATGTAATATGCATATTACCTTTGTAGACAGCAATTCCAAATGGATGTGCAATTCCAAATGTATGCCTTGTTAAAGTCTGCACATCGCTACCATCAAAGTTACAATGTTGAATCCTAAAATGATATAATGTATGACTTGAAGGAGAGGTTATGATTTGTTGAATTAATTTCCAGATTCTTTGTTGTTAAACCTGTTATCGAAAAAATCTGAAAAATACACATCATCAGTGCAATGGTCCTCTTTTGAATGGTAACAATTTAATTTGAAAAACATTTATATCTTTTTATTGATATAGAAAACCTATTCAACAGTATTTTGTTTTTGCTACCATATCAGATTCCTAGGAATGAAATGAGACATCTATCCAGCCCTCATTGGGACAAAATAACATAGACACAAGGTACTCAGTTCTCTCAATGTTGTACTTCTACAAAAAGAGTTCTCTTAAATATCTAATTATAAATATATATACCGATATATATATTAGTGTGTACCTGTCAAACATAGCATCGGTCCAGAAGAGTCTGTTGTTCTCATGATCAATACTAAGGCCATTAGGCCATCCAAGCTGGTGCTGGCGAATATATGTCACATTCGTACCATCACCAAGAGCACGCCCGATCTTAGCCCTTGTCTGTCTTGTTCTCAGCCACTCAGTCCAGAATATCCATCTGAAAAATATCTCATATTAAAGACTGAAATAGTCAGAGGGTAGAGAAATTAGCTGATGGGGATATAAAGGGTATGTAAATGATGTATGCAAAAGGGTCAGATGCTCAAGGGTATATATGTCAAAATGCTGTATACTTAAGGTATCTATGCTCAATTACATAACTTTAAAATGTACCATTATTTCAATAATTATGAATTTAACTATACATATAAATAAGCTTTTTTTTATATATATTCACTCATCTGTTTATCATCTTACCCTTTAGTTACATGTGCAACTATGGCCCTGGGATTCCCCAGTTGAGATAAAATGACACGTTTCTCCAGGAAGCCTGTACTCTTGAGTCTGACACATGTGATAGTGTCCTTGACATTGTCTGTGTAGTACAGGATCTTAGAAATCCAATCTATGGCAACACCCTCTGAACTGTGAGCACCATTCACAACTACTGCCTCTTTACCTGAAGGATTCAATTGTCAATGAAATGTAGCTTATACAACACAGACCTTCTTTTTGAAAATATAACAGCTTGAAAACAATTCCTCAACTAGTTTAATAAGTAGGACAATATTATAAATTGAAAAAAACTACCCATAACATTTTCAATTTTTAAAGCCAATTAATTCATTATCTTCATGAAAAAATGGGAAGACAGTGTCGACATGATGAAATATAAAATACATACCTGTTCCATCTGGATGGATGCGCCAAATCAAGTCCTTTCGGGTGTCAGTGAAATAGATGTACTTTTCGTGAGCATCAAAGTCCAAACCAACAAAGTTTGATCTATCTCCTAAGACAGGTGTCATGGCATCAATAGTATATCCAAGTGGGTCACCCAGAGGGATACCCCTGATACTAGTCTTAGAGGAGAATATGATGAACTTTTCAATTCCTAAAAATAAGCAAAAAAAACATTTTATTTTTGATGATATAAAGAATGAAAGGTAATTCTTGTCAACGAATGCTGAATTGTCAATTTTAGCTTCAAATGAATATGAGATATTTTTCTGATATTTCCTGTGATGGTATCAAACACTTTTACATTACTTACTTTTACAGGTTTTCTGATCATCATTGAGTTCAAATCCTGTATCACACATACATCGGTAGCCCAGACCATTGTTGGAGCTAATGTGGGTCAGCACACACATGTGGGAACATGTCGCATTAGAGCATGGGTTACGCACTGAGAAAGAGAAACATGAGTAGAAAATTCAGAAAATTATAGATGTATAGAAATGTTTGTATAATATAATGATTGTGTTGTGGATCACACATTTGTCTTATTCTGTATAAATGTTCTTTAAAATGTAAGCACTATAAGCAGAATCAAGTTACCAATAAAACTTCTGGTCAATTTAGGGTAGGAATGTTTTTACGACTTTTAGATCACATATATGTTTGTTTTAAGCACACCAGTTGAACTGCTTTGTTATTTGTATCTTTACATTCAGGATATGATGTATTTAACACAATCAATTACCTTGTGGCTGTCTAGCGGGATGGAAGACTTTCACCCCCATAGGTTTACTTGTAGTATCCATAAATATCTGGCTGACTGTGCTCTCATTGTTGTACTTGGTAGAAGTCATTATGCCCATTTTGGTCCAATCTGCCCAAAATACCATGTTCTCAAACATCGACATGTCATAGGAATGTGGGATATTCAGACTGCCAGAGATCACTGTTCGCCTAAATATAAACATGGGTGTATGTAAAAAGCTATTTATACATTGTTTGGCAAAGTGAAGGACACTTCATATGAATGAAGAATCACAATTATGACAAGAGTGTTATAAAGGTGCTACCCGAGGACCTGGACTTAGTTAAAAAACAACATTGCAACAAGTCCATAAATCTGTGATCTGAGATCCTTACAACACACACTGTTCCAAATTGGTTCAGAATTTCTAATGGATGTACATGTCTACCTTCACTTAAAATACACCAATACAGAGGCTATTATTCTGTTATGCTCTTGGTTGTTGACATGCAATAAACCCAGGAGAAAAACCCCACAAACCTGTTCTGACCAAAGTAGTCAACAGTTTCTATCATATCATGCCTAGCATCTGCCCAGTAGATCCGTAGGTTCACAAAGTCAATTGACAAGCTTACTGGCTCTAGTATCTTCTTTGAGACAATGGTATGCCTATAAACAGAATAAACAGAAAAATAATGAGTACGAACAAACAATTGCTATCAATATAAAAGCTTGGATTGATTTTACTGAAAAAATTCTTTAGTTTTCTCTAGTTTAAAGGTGTTCAGTATGAATAAGGCACACATAGAAATCGTCCCACAATTATCATGCACAAGGTGTGAAATGACACAAGTTAATCAGAATACCTTATACTTCCATCCATTAATGCTCTCTCAATTCTTGGTTTGTTCCATGCATTGCCTGTTGACTCCCCACATGTTAAAAACATGTATCTGTAAATTCAATAAAAATGCATGTATCAAACTTGGTATTCATTATTCAGAGACTTATACTATAACAAACAATTATGGTCCAAGAATCACAAGGTGCCAGTGTGTGTTAAATGAAGAATACCGGGGAGTATTTAATCAAAGGGGTTTTACTGTATAATTACCTTTTACCCTCCCACAAGTGGAAATACCTTCAAGTTAAACAATTACATCGATATCTAACCCCTATGTGAAACAAATAACAGTCTAGGCCAAGAAAATATCATTTAATTTGAAAAGGTGTTCCAATCTCTTACCCAGTTGTTGGATCAAGTGCCAAACCTCCTGGAATGCCTAAGTTGTCTGTAATGATGTTTCTCTGATGGGTGCCATCCCAGGTTATTAAATTTATACGACGTCCTGTTTTGTCGATGAAATAGATGTTATCAGTGATCCAGTCAACGGCAATTGTACGTGGCGCTGTAAGGCTTTGAGGGGAAATTTCCCTTTTATCCTGACCATTAGCACTGCTGGCTGTATAGATCTAGCAAAATTCAAATGTACAAATATGTTTTTATTTTGACTGAAAATATGCACCTTTTGAAACAAGATGGCATACATTATAGAAATAAATAGAAAAGTCTACTCGGAACAACTGGTATATAAGGTACATCTAGCATTGTTCACAGATAGCTAGGCATGATATATCAAATTCTAGCCAATCAGAACACAGTATTTAAAATATTATCCATTTACTAGTAATTCTTTATTTTATAACAAAGTGACCGGCTTCAGTTAAATTGACTACACTCACGAATTTCAGAATCTAAAGTTGACATTTGAGTGAAAAACTACAAATAGTTTCATAATGAATGGTAGGGTATGACCTTTGCAGGTCAAATGTCAAAAGGTCAAACCGTGTACATTGTTAAATTCTTGCAAAAAAGTTTCTGGTTGAATTTTAATCTTTAGTATTACATACTGTATACAAAATATTTTGCAATGTGTGAAAAGAATGTAAGCACATAACTCAATGAATTTTGGCTAATTTAATATACTCGTGTGTTGTATCATTCCAAGCCCTTAAATTCAGGTCTACCATCTTCATTCAAAATCTTGACATGAGTCATTCATGCTTAAATCTTTCACAATTTACAATTAATCAATGCAATTGATCTTCAATCAATGCAACCTATATCATCAAATAAAAACCCTACCTTTTTAGTTGAATCATCCAACCAAACTACCTTCTGTTTTTGAATATGTAAGTCAAAGCTCACTACACTAGTGGCTGAGACAACTTGTGTGGGTATTCCACCAGTTAGACCTATCTGCTGAATCTTCTCTTTTTGAGCAAAATATACTTTGGCAGTATCTCCTGAAAAGACAATATTTCAGGATTTTCATTTTGCTCAAACTCCTCTTACTGCTTTCCTCTTGATAATTAGAAAAGATAGAGGTATAAAATCTTAAAGAAATCTTTCTGGGAAAGAGTCCAGGAAACAGAATATACACTGTTGTCACATTGTTTATATTTTTCTGTATAGATGTCTCAATTGGATTTTATAGTTTTACTCTTTTACTGTACTAAGATTTACTTTAAAACCTTTGATTGAAAATATTAATAGAGAGTGTTACCCTGTACCCTTGTCAGCTAGTCTCACCATCCTCTGACTATTATAAAATGTTTACAATATGAATGACAATCTTAACAATCTCAAATGCAGGAGCTTGAATATCTAGAATCTTGATTTTCTCATTACATATTATGATATAGGTATAGGCTACCTAAAAAAACGACAATCCAAAGAGTGAAGATAAAGGAGAGAGTATTGTAATTGAAAAACAAGGCATTAACATGACAAAATGTCACCACCTAAAACAATTTGGTCAATTTAAAGCAAGTTGAAAAAATACCTCTTTGACTTTTTTTGACATTGAGAAGGTCATTGAAGGTCAAATGTCAAATGTAAAGTCAGATTTGAACTTCTGAGAACATGTAGATGATTTTGAAAAAAAATTAAGTAAATTTGAAGCAAGTTGAAAAAAGATCTTTTTGACCTTGAAAAGGTCATTGAAGGTCAAATGTCAAATCTAAAGTCAGATTTGAACTTCTGAGAACATGTAGATGATTTTGAAAAAAATTAGTCAATTTGAAGCAAGTTGAAAAAAGACCCTTTTGACCTTGAGAAGGTCATTGAAGGTCAAAGGTCAAATCTAAAGTCAGATTTGAACTTCTGAGAACTTGTAAAGTCAAATTTGAACTTCTGAAAAGATGTAGATGATTTTGAAAAAAAAATTTGGTCAATTTGAAGCAAGTTGAAAACAGACTTTTTTGACCTTTTTTGACCTTGAGAAGGTCATTAAAGGTCAAATGTCAAATCTAAAGTCAGATTTGAATTTCTGAGAACATGTAGATGATTTTAAAAAAAAAAATTAGTCAATTTGAAGCAAGTTGAAAACAGACCTATTTGACCTTTTTTGACCTTGAGAAGGTCATTGAAGGTCAAATGTCAAATCTAAAGTCAGATTTGAAGGTCAAATGTCAAATCTAAAGTCAAATCTAAAGTCAGATTTGAATTTCTGAGAACATGTAGATGATTTTGAAAAAAAATTTAGTCAATGTAAAGCAAGTTGAAAAAAGACCTTTTTGACCTTGAGAAGGTCATTGAAGGTCAAATGTCAAATCTAAAGTCAGATTTGAACTTCTGAGGACATGTAGATGATTTAGAAAAAAATTGAAGTCAATCTAAACAGTATTTGTTAAGTTATAGGAAGTTGTAAGAAATTGTTACAGACGCCGGACGCCGGACGACAACCTCCAACCACCAACCGCCGTCGCAAAAAAACGGAGACCATAACAATATGTCACCACTTTTGGTGGTGACAATAATAATGATGCTCATTACTCACTGTCATCTGCCCTACAAGTTCCTGTCCCTGGATCATTGGTGTAGCCATCTACACATGAGCAGTTGAATGTGTTAGCCATGTTTGTACACCATTGATCACAAACACCCCATATAGTACACTCATTATAATCTGCAAAATAACAAGTGCAAGAAGCTGTTTCTGTATAAAAATACAGAAGTTAAAAGATCTTAAAAACATGAGGTGAAATTCACCATATACTTTCATGTTTTATATACCCATATACCAATTCTTGACATCCCTCCTTAGTAATTTCTTGATGTAAAATTCTAACTAGAAGACAAAAAAGCTCCTGAGAGGAACGAATTCCATTGAAAAAAACATTGTATAAAATCACTAGTCATTTATTTAGACATTATATTTGAAATAACCAGTTAGTACTTAGTAGTATTGAAAGCATCAGCTCACAAAATCTGAACTAAATTCATTAACTCTTGGAAAATAGCAGCCATTTTGAATTGAGCAGCCATATTGAAAATTCCTTCTCAAGCAGAGGTTCTATTAACATATGGATAATGCATCAGCCTGACAAATTTGAACCTATGTATGGCTTCTCTATATCCCTACTTGAACTTCATTCAGTGGGAAAATTATGAATATGAATCTTGTAAAGGATATGATTGATAACACTTATCAATTGTAACTCCCAATTATTCCAAAGCAAAATCACATATTTCCGATATTAAATTCATGAAAAGTGATATTGAGAAAATTCATTTTCCAGCAAAAACAATGTTTTACAGTATTTCATGTACCTATACATGTCCTGTTATCAGCAGAAGAGATAGTCCAGCCAGGTCTACAGTAGCACAATCCCCCAGTTGGAGTAGGACGACAACTGTGGTCACAGGACAGACTACCACACTGTGAGTTACCTGCAATCAAAATATGTAACATAAAGCTAGGTTTTAGATGAAACTCTGCTCGTATTCATACAGAAAGGCACAGCTTGCACGAGAGATCCACAAAAATGGTGTGAGCTTGTATATAGATCAGTAAACAATACAGGATCTATCTTTATCCATAAAGTAAGAAAAATACTAAAAATATGATCTACAACTTAACCATTAGAAGTCAATATCATAAAACTGGATTTGAACTTGTGATTACCCAAGGCTGGATGATTAGTTATATGGACAAATTGATGAAAACTATTGATCACAAAATGGAAGATAGCATTGATAGGGCAGTAACAAAAGCTCTCGAGAAGTCGAATGTGAGACTTTCTAATCTTGAACGTGAGAATTCTAAGTTAAAGGATGATGTTCTAAACCTGACCACTAAGTTGGATAAGATAGTATTAGACGTGAACCACAATGCTCAGTACTCGCGAAAAAACACGGTGAGATTCCTTGGAATTCCAGAAAAAGAATCAAAGGCTGAAAGAGACAACGAGAAATGCGAGGAATCTATCTGTGAGGCGATCTCAGCATACATGCCCGGTGTTATTACCCCTGATGATATAGAGATCAGTCACAGACTAAGACCCTACAAACAAGACGATCGATATCCTAGATCTGTGATTGCCAAGTTGAAATGGAGAACTGGAAAGGATGCAATATTATCCAACAGGAAGAAACTCAAAGGATCGAACATTATTGTCTATGAGGACCTTAGTCCCATGAACAGAAAATTACTTCAAGATGTAAAAGAGCACCCTGAGGTAGAACAGCAGTGGTCCAAAAATGGTAAGATTTTTGGGAAACTCATGAACGGTGACAAAGTGCTATTCAACATTTGCAGCGATGTTAATGATACTATCATAGAGCATCGTCTTAGCAGTGCTAGTGCACCTACTACAAACACCAGCCGACAACAGCCTTCTGCCCCTCGTGGCGGTCACACAGGAGACCGAAGGTCTTGAGTACATTTGAACTTAGTGAACAACGTGACGCTTGTGGTAGTATAATTGATTTCTATTCCACTTTCTAGCCTAACATATTTATAAATTGACATTGACTGTCGTTTAATAGGCTATCTAGCGGGTTCATCTGTACCTATGAACATTCTACTGCATAAAACAGTTACCATCCCAGTAGTGAATTTGTATATTCAAAGTGATCATTAATATGTAATCTCGATTTTCACTTCTCCATCATAACTGATCATGTAAACACAACCACGTGTATTTGTTTATAAACAATAAGGTCATGCAAGTGCGCATGTGCGATGACACATTCACTATTCAGTCAAATCAGTTTCAGTGCAACAGTTGAAAGTTTTGCAATGGTATGACACTTCTCAGGGAATATGATTGGCATATGCGATAAACAGTGCTGTAATAGTAAGGTCTGTTATTATTTTATATCTTTTGTAGTTCTTGAAGCTAGCTCTTTGACTAAAGGCGAATGTGTTCTCAACGTGTACATATATATTTTTTTCAGAGCTTTTTAAATTCAACCAGGTGCAATAGTGCAGTCATTTCTGTTTATATGTTTTTATACTGTACTCTCAGGGGGATTGTCAATGTTACATTGATATGAATGTATGGCCTTTACCAACAGCATTCATACACAAGCAACTAATAATGTTTTATGCGTGTGCTTCCAATCCGACTTATATGGTCTATATTTGCAACACGGTACAATGTTTTGATTATTAGGTTAAATTCTTACTATTTTTATACATGAACAACAATTCAACGATGACTGATTACCCTGCACATAACTTAGCGGCTTTCTTATAGGAGCTTCTAAGCACTATTGATTTTGAAACTTTAACACTGACTAGTGATTGGCTGTCCGAAGGAAAGCCCTATTTTGTCTGCAGAGTTACAGCCCAGTTGTTATTAAAATATGAGAGGGTAGTGTGGATGAACTGAAATTTGCATTATTTTTATTTTACAACTGTTTTCACAATGTAGCTTTATCTTTGGATAAGAAATTTGTCTCATGTAATGTTACTAGATCTATTAAGCAGTATTTAGACTGACAAATTGTGTTTTTTGATTGAATTTTAGCGGGTCTTTCCAAGCTAGCTAATATTTCTTCTCATTATGACGACATCTCGAATTACAACTTTAATTTCTGCCTTTATGATTCTTAGGAATATTATCTGTCATGCGATTCTTAAAACTTCAGGCAGTAGTTTCAACTCTGAATATATCTGTTATGATTTGTTACCCCATGGGCCACCTTTTTTGTCACTGGTGCAGAAAGTAAATTGTATTTGTAGTCCTGCAAGAGATGGCATTGGATAATGCCTTTTAGTTTAGAAACTTGGAGATCAGCAGTTGGGCTATTTAATTCTTACAAAATCAAAGTTTCCTTCTCAGAGAAGATACAACCAGATGCCTATGGTACATGTATCTACGATGTCCAAATGTTAATTTTAACCCTCGTACTAATCTATGTAGGGTTATACTGTTTATTGACAAATAGCTGCTCTACTTTTTGTAAATATTTAGTGTTTGCCGCTATTTTTGCAAGTCAGGTTGTAAATGTATGCCTAAGTTTCTTGATGTTGTTAAGCATATCAGAGAAACTATCAGTATCACATCGAAATATATCTTTAGTCATTGCAAAAGCATCTGTAGTACTATTAACTCTGTGTTGTGTTCCTGGAACAACCTTGTTCTTCTTTAATCCAAGCAACATATGTCAACTTCTACTTCTCATGTCTGGAGATGTTGAGAGCAACCCTGGGCCTAAAGACGATTTGAAGATTTTATTTAGTAATATTAATAGCATTAAGGCAGACTCATTAGCACGGCTGGAGTTTCTTAAAGAATATGCGTTAAGAGAGAATGTCCATATATTGGCACTTTGTGAAACAGGCAATGTTACTCCTGAAGATCTTGAATCTAATATGTTTAATATAAGAGGTTTTGGCAAACCAAAATATTCAACTAATGAGGGTAGAGGTCTCATTCTATGGGCCCATGATACTGTACAGATAAACATTTGTGATCTTAATATGTCAAATGATTTAGGTAATTGCTGGATTACTATTAAAGTTGAACATAAGATTTTCTTTTATGGATTCTTTTACCGTTCACCATCACTTACTGCGAATGAGACTAGACTATACTTATCAAGGGTCAAAGACAATATTTCTAATGTTTTATTGCAGCAGAATGATGGGATCATTATTAATGGTGATTTTAATGCTAGAAACAATGCCTGGTACGTTGATGATATTAATAATATGGCTGGTATAGAATTAAACAATATTTTGACTGATCTTGGACTTCAGCAACTTATTTTTGAACCAACTAGGATTACCAAACATTCTAAGTCATGTATTGATTTATTGATTACAGATTCTGAACATCTTATTTCAAGTTCAGTTGAACCTCCTTTAGGTAACTCTGATCACTGTGCTATCATTACTAAAGTTCGAGTCAATATTCCCAGGGAACCATCCATTAAGAAGACAGTATGGTATTATGATAGTGCTGACATTAATCTGCTAAATCAAAAAATCGCTCAAACTGACTGGAACTTTATCCTTGATACACAAGTCAATGATGCTGCGGTTAGATTTGTTAATTCTATTTTATCAATTTTCAAGGAAGTTGTTCCTAATAAAACAGTCTCCTCAAGGTTTGATGACCAACCATGGTTCACCAGTAAAATCAAAAAAGAGATATATAAAAGAAACAAATTGCATCATAAATTTAAATCTACAAATAATCCCATGTTCAGAGAAAAATATATTACGCAAAATCAACTAGTCAATCAACTAATTCATGAGGCCAAGGCAGAACATGAAATAAAAATAAAAAATAAGTTAGATAATATATCAAAAAATTCTATTGACTACTGGGTACTAATTAAAGAGCTTCTTGGAAAAAACCAAGTCTCCTCTATACCCATCCTTTTCAACCCAACATCAAATTCAGCAGCTGTTAATAGTATTGATAAAGCTAATGTAAATATTTTGTCAATAAGAACATTGTAAATATCAATGACAATTATATTCCCTTTTTTAGACCAAGAACTCAAAGTATCCTAGCTGAGATGTCAACCTCACCTGAAGAGATTTTACATCTAATTAATGATATTGATGTCACTAAAGCACATGGTCCTGATGAGATATCCAATAAAATGCTCAAATTATGTGCACATTCTATAGCAGATCCACTTTCATTACTATTTAACAGAATTTTTCAAGACAACATTTTTCCTGACATTTGGAAAGAGGGTACAATAGTTCCAATATTTAAAAAGGGAGACAGAGCACTAGTTACTAATTACAGACCAGTTACTCTTCTAAGTTCAATCTCTAAAATCTTGGAATCTATAATTCATAAAAGACTATATTCTCACCTCGTGCAACATGATCTTATTTATAGGCTTCAGAGTGGGTTCTTACCCAAACATAGTACTGTCAATCAGCTTATTAATATAGTTCATGATATTCATGAACACACTGATAATAACAAGAATGTAAGATCAGTATTTTTGGATTTAACATCAGCTTTTGATTTAGTTCCACATAAACTATTAATTTCAAAACTTAAGGGATACGGTTGTAATGATAAATTTATCAATTTAATGTCCTCATACTTAGATAACAGAAGAGTAAGAGTCCGCGTGAATGGCACCCTTTCAAAATGGTCTTCAAATAATATTAACAATCAAAATGAACCTAATGAGCAGTCTGTGAACTATACCATCAATGCTGGAGTGCCACAAGGGTCTGTCCTTGGACCGTTACTATTTCTAATTTATATAAATGATTTGCCAGATGAATTACTATCAAAATCGTTCATTTTTGCCGATGATACTTCCATTTATTGCCCATATGACAAAAATACAGTGTTTTTCAATATTCATCAACCAATTCAAAGTGATTTGGACAAGCTTGCTCTCTGGGCTGCCACCTGGAAGATGCAATTCAAAGCTCAAAAAAGCGCCGACATCATTTTCTCTAGAAGAAATATTCCTTTTGACCCACCACCATTGAGATTAGGTGCAGATGTTATTCCCAGTTGTGAGAATCACAAACATCTAGGGCTTAATCTTGACAAACACCTTAACTTCAATTACCATATTGATCAGATTATAAAAAGAGTTACCTCACTCCTAAGACCAATGAAAAAATTGAGCAAACTTTTAAATAGTATGCACTTAGAGATAATATATAATACGTATATCATGCCACATTTTGATTATTGCGATGTAATTTACAATAAGGCTTCAAATTTGAAACTACAAGCTCTTGACAGACTCCACTACCGAGCAGCCTGTTTGGTATCTGGTTCTATTCATGGCTCCAATACTATTAAAGTCTTAAATTCTTTGAATTGGAAATCCTTATCCATTAGAAGAATCGAGCACCTAAAAATGTTTGTTTTTAAATGCAGATATAATATCAACCCCCCGTTTATTTGTGATTTACTTCGTAAATATGAGCATATACCTGCCCGTAATTTAAGAGATCAAAGAGATTATTCTCTTCCAACTCGACTGAGCATGTCTTCTAAAAGAAGTACCATATTTCAGGCTATAACATTGTGGAATGATTTGCCACCTGATACTAGAAGGGGTCAACCTATTTCTAGTTTTAAAAGATTAGTGCGAGAGTACAAGAGCCCTGTCTCTTTAATCCCAACTACTAAATTAAATGTGACCTTACCCAGACATCTCGAAATAAAACTTAATAGACTAAGATCTGGCCTCTTATTAAAATCACACCTTTATGCTCACAACTTCAAAGACATTACTGATCCTTTGTGCCATTGTGGTGTACCAATGACAACCATGCATTTTCTTTTAAAATGCCCACTGCTACAGAATGAAAGAAACAACCTCATTGCAGGCCTTCGTACTTACAACTTAAGTGACTTGTTCAATAACTACAACTTGAATGACAAATTACAATTTTTACTGTTTGGAAGCACTAACCTGGATGCTACTATGAATGAAGCTTTAATTCATATTGTTAGCTATTATATACATACAAGCCTTGTTTTATTATCTATCTAGTAGTAATTTGACAAGTCCTTTTTTCTGCAATGACCGAATTATTTTTCAAGTTCCGTTAACATCCTGGCCCATGGGATAACCTTCAGGTATTTTGAAATAACCTTAACAAATTTATCTTATTTCATTATCTAATATCTACATGTATATATAATATATATATTAAATTGCCGCTAATGTTGCAAAACCTTGGCAATTAGAATTTGTAATTGAATGTAAATGTTTATATTAGAAATAAATTGATAACATGAAAAAAAAACAAAAAACTTGTGATTTGCTAACTTTCAATGGAATGTGTTTTTAGTCCATTAGCAGACACCAGAGAAAAGCTAATTCTATTGATTGATAATAGCAAACAAAATACAATACATGGTGGTCAAAAATGTGCAATCCTGCATTTTCCTCATAGCATGTTGTATAAAGTTCTGTAACAATGTGACTACCGGTCCGATGATCATGATACATGATAGGCTGGTAGAAAATTGAATGATGTACAAAAGCACCAAATATCAGGGTGTAATCATCTAAAATGACAGAGATACAAGTAAAATGTTTTTTCTGACCACCCTGTAAAATCCATTTTAAAGCCTTACCACAAGTTGGCCCTTCATCTACACCACCATCACAGTCATGGACATGGTTACAAACATCAGAGATAGGGATACACTTGCCATTGTTAGGGCAGGCCCATTCTTGGGGGTTACAAGCATAATCGGCTACAAATTAAGAATAATCTATTATACATTCTGCTTTTATCTTACATGAAAAAGGTTCAAATTGATATAAAGAGTATTAAATAACTTGATGTAATAAGTTTGATGAAATATGCTTTTGGCATTGTTAAGGACTATCAAGGGTTGACATGCTTGAAAAACTTGGACAAAATATGTGAAATATGTACTATTTGGGCATACTTATAAATATTAGTGTATATACAAATTGACTAGGCATTAAGCATCACAAGAGCCCCAGTATATCATATTCAGATGGAATCTATTTCCAAATATAGTCAATGGGATTAGTACTGTCAATTGTCAAAGAAATGATTTCTAAACTTTAATTTGATTCAAATGACATCTCCCTGATGTGTCATTAGCAATGTGCTTAATTAACTTACTGCAACCCTCTTCATCTGAGTTATCTCCACAATCATCTGCCCCATCACAGACCCAACTTTGTTGGACACATTGATCATTCTTACACTTAAAACCATCAACAACACAAGCTGCAACTGGAACAAAATGCAAACAATATACAGTATATTAACAAAATGTGATACAATATTCAGCATTTTTCCATAAATCTAATAAAAAGTATGATTATCAAATTAAAGCATATGTGAGATTGACTATTCAAAGGAAGTGAGGGGAGTAAAGTATTACATGAGAAAGGACCACCCATAGATAGAGATCTCCAGTCAAACACCTCATGCAGCCTCAACTGAGGGATATTTAAAAAATAAATTATAGCTAAGCAACAGTTGACTATGATTGACTTTGGGAGATTTACAAATTGTCATGTTAAGAGAATCGAATACATATCACCCACTCAATCTTGAAAAGGGTAACTGCTCATGGCATAAAGGGTTAAATGTTGAAAATATAACTACAGTAGGTATAAATGATACAACTTGGCAGAAAAAATGCAACTCAAGTGGAAATTGCAGAAATCACAACAAGATCAAGTGGCACTCAAAACAGCCAAAACAGTAAAAACATAAAAGTGCAAATAGGAGAGTATAATATTGATGTACCTCTACTTATTAAACTTATTATGAAAAATATAAGAGATATTTATTTATGAGACACATGTATATTCAAACCTGTCTCATTGGTCTGCTTGTTTGTGTCATTTGTTTACATTTCAAAGGATTTAATAGCAAGATATTCTAGGTATTATCAATAAAATTTACTTCTAGATTTTAATGTAATTTTTTAAGGTTAAACCCATTAATTGAAATCCTTGTATTATATTGATGGTCACTAATTTTAAATCATTTAGAGACAATATGAGAATATGCTTATAGCCACCCAAGTAAATGCACCCTTATTAATCATTCAGTATACGAGTATGGTATAAGGTATTCAAAATATGGATGGATGCACTCAATGGCTATGAACAATAATCATCAAAAGAATATAAAACAATTACTTTCACAAGTGATGTTGTTGCTAATACATCTACAGTCACTGCACTGCAATTCTGAACTTTCACAAGAATTACTACACTCTGGTCTTGGAGTACCTACAATGAATCACCAAATATTACTACATAAACCAAGAATTACTATACAATGGTCTTGGAGTACCTAAAATGAATAACCAAATATTACTACAAAAACTAAGAATTACTATACAATGGTCTTGGAGTACCTAATGAATTACCAAATATTACTACAACCAAGAATTACTATACTCTGGTCTTGGAGTACCTAAAATGAATAACCAAATATTACTACAAAAACCAAGAATTACTATACTCTGGTCTTGGAGTACCTATATGAATAACCAAATATTACTACATAAACATTTTACATACCAACACTTTAGATGAGAAAGATTTTTTTAGTTATCAGTGACATAATCATATGTGAACAAAGGCAAAAAATGTGCACACCATGAAACAGTTCCTCTCTGACAAATAAAAAGGCTAACCACTGAACCTAAATATCAATAAGTACTCTTGTACAATTATTGAAAATGTTCGGACTTTGGCAGAAAATGTAAAATCAGAATTCATCTTCATGGGGTTCTCTGTACAGGACAACCACTTGTAAACCACATAGCAAAGAATTATGAGGTCGCTGATTAGTGTAAGGTGCCATGTCATTCTGCAGTGAAATATCACCAACAAATGTTTTCTCATAATAAGTTCTCACTTGCTAGGGGATAAAGGTTATAATAACTCTATAGACTTCTGAAACAACACATTCTCTGGCATGTTGATCATTCTTGAGGTATAACATACATAGTATATGTTGTAAACTAGTTTCCATAAAACTAAATGTTTTTACAGGTTTATTAAATGAAATTCATGATAAGAAAATTGTAAATGCGCATGTAGGATCTAGTGGGTGGTAAAGTAGATTAATTACAACCAAGCTTTTAAATATGAGTTAACACTTCTAAATTGAATTTGAGTGAATGTAGATCACTTTTGAATTTATGATTTGAATGCAGTTTATTCCACAAAAACACAAACATTCGTTTATCATGTCCCAAAATATGGAAAATCCGATATTATGTTCAAGTAAGCTAATTAAATTGGACATAATTCCATTTTGAAAAATTCAAAATGGCCACCATCAAATTAACCAAGCATGCTCAAGATCTGACAAATTTTTAATTTGAATACCAAATTGTATCCCTGATAATTTCAAATCAATGCATGAGATGGCTTGACAGGAAATGTTTTCTGTGGATGTTTCCAAAATATAATTGTTAAAAAGGTGGCTTTGGAGAAATTCTTGAACTTACAGATGGACAGACAAATATGCCAATTCGAGGTCATTAAATAAGACTCTACCCTTGTCCTCAAACTGGCTGTTTCAAAAGGAGACCCCAAATACCCTGAATCTGTTAGTGCCATGAAAATTTTAGATAAATCTGACCAGGTCTTAACAATCTTAAATGTATCTTTCATTGTCATTTAGATGCAGTTAGTCACATGTCAACTGGTCTTTGAGCTATAAAATTAGATAACATAATTAAGAAGCATCTCTGATTTTTAAAGATTATTTTTGTAGTGAGAATATTGTGGTAGGTGGACTCCAGGTGGGTTAAAAGAACATCAAAGGGTCTAGGTCCAACAGGTGACCTCCCATCATATTAATTCTGATGCAATAACTGTTACTGAAAGCCTCCGGTATAAATCTCCTGCTCTTAACTAATTAATTACTGCCATTCCAGGGACATCAGATCACCTTGAACTTGAGTAAGACTCTACCTGTCTACCTGGGCAAACATACCTGTCTATTATGAGTAATAAGTATAATGAGTAATTTATACTTCGAGTACTGTGTATTTATACTTCGAGTACTGTGTCTTGTATAATGAGAACAGTGTATTTGTATACTAATAGTATTTCAAAATGAGTATTTCTTACGGAATGCATATGCTTTCAGTGTTCTGAAGTGGGCAATCTATGGAGTTCTTGGCCAGTAGACAATAAACAATTTTTAGACAACTGTTATCTGGGGTGTTTTTGTTTTTTTCAAGTTTGTGATAATTTTTGATAATTAACTTCAAAGGAATGCAATTTCATATAAATATTGAACACACTGCCTGAAGAATTTGAGATAAAATTTCATTGGTGAGAAATTATTTATCAGAGTCTATCATCGATTGATTTAAATAAAAATAGATTGCTATCACTGAAGGTATGTGGCTTCTATAGTATGTTATCATTTCAAATAGTTTGATTTGGCTTCTTAAAAGTGAGCTTCATCTGCCTTATTTACTCACTAGGCTCTGGTATGGGGCAGTGGCTTGAGATCCCCTCTTCTTATAAATACGAGAATCATCAATATGTAGTAACTACAGTACTGAATCTCCTTACACTAACTACAATCCTTAACTGTTATCTTACATCAAGCCTCTGCTTTCCATAATGATTATTGTAGAAGGTTGGGGGGCGGAGGGGGGTAGACATTAGACAAGGGACTGATGGAAAACTACCTCAATTGGTATAATGTATGGGGTAGACAAGGGACTGATGGAAAACTACCTCAATTGGTATAATGTATGGGGTAGACAAGGGACTGATGGAAAACCACCTCAATTGGTATAATGTATAGATCATGGCTTCACCAGAAAACAAACAAACATAGGACTTAATTCTGTGTATCAAATTGAAATTCATGGAACAAAGTTTTTTATAAACTACCCTTTTCAAACAATTGACTTCATCTACACTCTTAAATAGTAACTGATTCTTTGGTCTGACCTAATATAGTCATAGATATATGACATTCAGTTCACATTCAAAACTAAATCACATGTAACTGTCAGAGAATAGTGTGGCTAGCCTATGTGGTTTCAGGGTATTTATCAACTTGACTTAATCACCACAGAAGGTTACATTTAACAAAAAAATGTTTAAAAACTTGTGGTCAACTTGTACCTTTAGGAAAAGACACCAAAGTATCTCTACCCTTTTCAATAATTTAATTTTGCTCCTTTATAAGAGAGCCTCATGTGTACAATATACTATGCTCTGATACCCAGGGTAAAGAAGCTATTTATGCAGTTCCACGTTACTACATTCACAAATGATTTGCCAAAACAGTTTACTCAAAAACAAACTGGTTCTTGCTCAGTGATAGAAAAACTGCTGTTTATGATAGTCCCTGAAAAATATGTCCCGTTCCCTACTTCTCGGTATCTGCTTCACATGAGTTACGAAAGAAATGAAACAAAAATATAAACACATATGGCACATGACATTTAGTTGCCATTCATATGAATGTGACTATCTGATGTAACATGTAAACCACAAAATTTCTGCAAGGGAAGCACAATTTTCAAGGTTTACCAAATTACCCATTTTAGCCAGTACATATACATAGAGCTTAGATGGGTTTTATATCTAGCTATATGTAATACCTATTACTAAGATAACGGCATCAAATTTAGGAAAACATTCTCAACAACATTCTGTAAGAAATTCAGGGTCACGATGAACTGTAAAAAAGTGTAGAGTTTGATAGAGTCAGCTACCAAAGTCTGCTGGATAGAATGCCTTACTTGCAGATTATTACATAATCCAGAATTGAATCTAAGATACATTTCAAAAATGAATTATCCAAATTGCCATTCAAAACAATATACGAGTATGTATGTACTAAATGTGCTTATGTAAATTCCTAGAACTATTTTGCACATAAATAGAACATCTAATGACTTTTGATAGCCAAAGGCACAAAACAACTTTCTCATTGCGGAAACAAAAAATATCTCAAACAAATACATGAATAATTAAAAAATATAAATTCAGCCTCCTTCCTATAAAATAAATAATAATGAATGATTTGTAAATACATATATATAAAGACAATAACATTTATTATCAACAGAGAGCTTTGCAACTTGCTCTAGAATCCATTTAATCTGTCCTGCTATTTGGTCAAATATGTCAGCTATCTGGAGGATTCATCCCTTTCTATAATAAACATGAATAATTTAATCATTAACAATAAATTTGTATATTTTACAGAAAACCTAATAAGTCAAAACGTTTTTAGATGTTTACCAGAATTTAATTGTTATTATGTTAAAACCATATTATTTCTCAATGAAATCAGTGGTATTTAGGAAGGGATATAGGTTACCACATGTGTTCTTATAAGAAAACACTCCCCCTAAATCCACTATAACCACTCACTATCATACAGCTAAATTACAAACCTTCTGGAGCCTGGGAAACAACTCCAATGAGAACTAAACTGCAACAAATAACAAATTTAAATCCTAAATCCATTATTATCTTATCCTAATCCTATATGACATTTATTTATCCATGTTATATTGAGTTTTTATATGAGCCTTCTGCATCAGCAGCTGAGTGTAGATTCTTAGGACTAAAACTGAATAGTGTGAGATGTATGATCAAGATGCAGTAGCTTGGCCCCAAGTGTGAATTTTAATGCAGAGATAAGGTGGCCAACTTTAGCCTGTTTTTCTTAAAGAATTGGAGAGCTCCAAAAGTGTATCTTACAAACGTGTCAACAAATCTTCGTTTTTCTTGATAAATATAGTGAACTATGTAGAATAAATAAAGAATAGTAAACAATCAATACTCAAAATAACTTTAACCATTTAAGAATAGGTATTTTGTTTAGATATTTCATCAAAAATCGTAAAACTTGATAATGTCACCGACATTTCCTGCAAGGGTTTGTTAGGTCTGTCAAAGAGACTATGGTTTCACTTACAAAACAGGGGGTATCACTTTCAATTAGCAATTCATGATTATCACAATCTAGCTATCACTTTACACAATCAAATATTCCTATCCTGAATTCTTATAACATCCTTGTTAGCTAAGACAATAGATAGCATTTAATTTATTAAGTGTCATAAAGCTTAATATCTAAAATAATTGAAAATCACTGCATAAATGCATTGCATAGCACGGATATATAACCTGGCAAATAAACTTGTTTCAGAGTTATTTCAACATCTTAGTGAAATTGATGAATCTTGAGATAACAAAACAAACTTCAAGGAAATCAACAGATACTGTATAAGCAGGATATTCATGATTTAGAGCCTTTATAATTTATGCATGCTAAAATTTTCAGAATATTCATTGTTTTCAAAAGTTGTTTCTTTTATATATTATAAGTTTGAAACTTTCTAGGAAACAGGCATTTTAACATTAAAGGAAAATCCATTTTCATTTTCCTGTGATGAATTCCATATTATATATTTGATGCCAGTGATGCCACTTTCACAATGACAATACTGTTAAAAAACCTTCAACTGTAATTTCTTAAATTGTAGGGTACCTTGTTTTAATCAAATTAGAAAATAGACAGAAAATCTTTACATTTCATTTTCTACATGTAAGTATCTTACACTCACATCGCTTAAAAATCATATCACTTAAAACTCTCATGAAGGCCTTAAAAGCTAGAAATAAAAATCATCACTCATACTTAGAGGGCATTATGGACAGTTGCTTCAGTCACATTCAGGGTACATTTCACCTGACCTTAACCATCCAGTGGTTCTGTTGCTCTGGTTGCTGTAGATAATGCATAGTTCAGGGCCTAACAGTGCCAGTCTGTACAAGATATTCCACTACAGGCTTGGATCATGTTTCCATTGATACACTGATACCCCTCTCTCTACTATGACAATCTCTGATTTATCACCTTAGTTTTTCATACATTGGGTCAGGGATAAATTAGTGATGTGATGAAAGATCTAGAATAGAAATGGTGTTCACCCTAGGATGGATATCTTGGATCAATATAGAAAGGGAATACAAAGATTAAGGGGGGGGGGGCAATTTGACCAGTTTTTTTTACAAGCCAGTGAGTTTTATGAAAAGTATTTTTGCAGTTTTAAAAATTGTTTGAATATTTTCCATATGCCTTGAGTTGGTCAACAGGTGGCTGTTAGATGGTTTGTGTACCACCATGCAATGAGATTTAACAGGCCCATAGCCAGAGCCCGTAGCCAGAGCGGAAGCTCCCCCCCCCCCCCAGCCAGAAGTTCTTTCAAAATCATGCAGTTTTTCACCAATCTGAGAATTTTTCGCATGATTTTAAGCCAAAATTGTGAAAAACTCCCCCCCTGGAAAAAAGCTCCCCCTTCTGGTAAAAGCTGGCTACGGGCAACGGTTCTCAACAGATGTTTCATTGCTGCTGAAATATGGGGAACTTAATATATAAAGATATCCATCTTAGGTCCTGATGAAGAGTGGTGGAGTCTAACCCTCCCCCAATGGAGAACAAAACAAAACAAAAGAAAAAATTATAATGTATTTATATGAATAAAATGTTCTCTGTAGATACCACATTAACTCTCATTATCCCCCTAAGGTGCCTTATATTGGGCACATCCCCTCTCTGCCAAAATCACACTATGGGGCTAACCATTTAAAAACATCATCCTCATACTAAGGCAGTAGAAATACAAGAATTGTTCCAGTTTAACAATTCAGGTCAACATTGTTAAAATATGATAATTGAGTATGTTAGAATATACACATTGCTAGTCTGACATAGTTTGTGTCCTTGTGTTACTAAATAAGTGTTTCATTCAACTATGTTAAAACAATAGATGTTTCAGCTGGTCAGAGTAAACAGGTCCTTCATCCATCAAATCTTGGCAACTCCCACTCCATACTCTACCATACTAGTCTAGCTAAAGGCCCCTGTGACCCCCTACCACTAAGTAGGGGGTCAAGATTTTTGAAGCAAGACTCTCTAACACACGCATCTACTAAGCGTCAAAGAGGCTTGATGCAACAACGAATTATCATGAACAAAAAAAATACTCAACAAAAACAGTATCCAATTACCTGACATCATTACTATTGATGTCAATCCTAAATGACATCCACCCAATGATGTCAATCCATGAAAACACCATTTTAAGAAGTGTCAGTATATCATTTCAAATTACATACAAAAAATATCAATATCACAAGAAACATGCAGACAAGTCAAAAGTTTTTAAGCAGATTTCATTTCATTGATTTGAAGATAAAATATGACTAATAACTAGTTTGGGAAAACTGATACTAAATGAGTCCTAGATTTGGTGCGAGTGCTGAAGATGTTATTTTGTAGACACAGCAAATTTAACTGGGTACATAAATAGATACTGTATTCATCTTTAGTTTGGCACTACATAATTTGGTGATTTTGGGATATCAGAAGTATTGGCTTCTATTTAATATCAATAGTAATATTTCTTATGACTGGCTGTATACCCAAATGAAAAACATGTCAAATTTCGACGAAAATTTGGCGAAAATTTAATTTGGTGATTTTTTTGATTCACCAAATTAAAACACTCACCAAATTAAAGGCAAATACAGTAATGGAGGGATAGAGGATTGAAACATTAAACTTACGAAAAGTTTGGTTTGGGATAAATGAGAAAGGTGATGAACAAAGGATATACATATCATCCATTATAAAGTTGTTTCCCCTTCCTGGGGCAACTGGATGTAGAGTTTGTTACAAGACCAATTGATTTTACAACAGAACACTCAACTTACCTAATACTGTAGACTACTGTATAGGAAGATAGGGAATGTTCTCCTGTTTCACACCTGAAATCAGAGATACCATGCTGTCATTAATTATACATTGTTAATTGAATAATAAACATGCAATCATCTTTAATCTTCTCAAGATGCAATATTCAGGATAAAATAAATTAAACAATAGGGTTTTAAGTGTTAATAATATTCAAGTTAAGTGTGATATTATAAGATTTGAACTGATACGACAAGGCACAACAAGACACAAGGGGATGAATTAGTGAAATGTATATAATTAATGTTTGCTATAACCAACACCAGGGCAACAGTATTTTTGTGTCACTTTGTCCTTAAGAATTATATTTATTAGAAAACCTAAACAGATTACTTCATTTGGAATGGAAATGGTATTTATTCCTTCATTCATCTACTGGCATATAAACCAAATAAAGTCACTAAAAAGGCATTAACATGCAAAATCTCACTACAAGTCATTTGTTACAGATGCTAAATGCCAACCACCAACCGCTGAATGCCAAACATCAATCTCCAAACACCGAAAACCATTCAAAAGTTGGAGGCTGTAACAATATGTCACCACTAGTGATTTTGACGTGAAAATAACATACATGATTTATTCAATTTATACTCAATATTAACCTGTTATTAGTTTTTTCTGGTTTCACCATCCTCAACATGTTAAGTCATGACATCTCATTTCTTCTCGCTAGCACTGAAATGTTTCAGGTGAAACAGAAAGATGCTATGCGTATCAGAATGCACCATCCTGAACTCGGGTGAATATTTTTTGTCTTACTGGCATTCCATTCCAGAATAAATCTGAAAAATAGATTGTCAAATTATCAATACAATAAAAAACAGTTAACTTGTCTTGTCTTGCTTGAAGCCTTTGAGACACACATATCACATACTATAGTAACGAATGTAGGTGAAGTAGATAGAGGAGGAGGGAAGAGAACTGATGCAAGACTACACGTGAACAGTCAGTGGGAAGAATATTTGTTTCCAATAAATGGCAATTTGCAGGCTCCATATTTTCATTTGATCCACCTAGTATAACATACATTTATTTCAATAATCAAATCTTCAATTTGAACAAATACTCACTAAACAACACAAAAATAGAAGCATAATCAAAAAATTTATGATATTTGGATAATAGAAGCATAATCAAAAAATTTATGATATTTGGATAATAGAAGCATAATCAAAAAATTTAGGATATTTGGATAATAGAAGCATAATCAAAAAATTTAGGATATTTGGATGGATATCCATATCCATCCCAACATCCTAATTCTTTTGATTATGCTTCTATTTTTTGTATTGTATTTAAAATGGTAATCTAAGCTTGTGACATCATAAGTGTCACAATTTCACAAATAAAATTTCAAAAAATCACTCCACTACTTTTCCAGTTAAAGCAACAACATGAAATAGCATACATAAATATGGCCACCATTCAAAAGGGCCACTTACTAGCCAAATTGTCATTAGAAAATGTAATGTAATAATATTTATCCTATGCCAAGTAGAGTTTTAGGGAGATAAGTTGGTAAGATATATCCCGTATCCTGATTTTGAGGTTTCCATATCCAGAACCTCCATATCTCCCACCATATCTCCCGCTTCGGTGCATATCTTCCCGCTTCTGGTAATTTCACTTCACTTTTTTTTTTTTTAAATTTCAAAATCTTTTTTCAACATTTTTTTTCAAAATCAAATTTTATTTTTTCAATTTTATTTTTTTACATTTTTTTTGAAAATCTCGCAAACTTTAAGACCAAGAAAACGCGAACCTTAAGTATGTTTTGGAATTTTGGATCTTTATAAGGTATGATGTACCTAGAACCTCAGTAGGTATGAAATACATCTGTTATGCACGGTCGGTTTTGGATACATTTATCCTTTTGTTACATTGTTTAACAACACTTTTGTATTTCAAAACCTATGGTCCCTCAGGTAGATATGCATATCTCCCTCTGGATAAACCCCATATCCAAAACCTCCCAGTACATAACCCTTATTTATGCTACTAAACAGTCACATATAACATTTAAAAAAATCGCTCCACTCCTTTTCAAGTGAAAGTCAAAAATGTAAATAACACACATATAAATGGCAGCCATTTTGACAAATGGTCACCTACTTGCCAAAGTATGAAAGAGACCTGACCCAAAAATACACCATTCTTTTACCATGAGATTCAGTGTACAAACAAAAAATGTAACGAGATAAAGAAAACAAAAAAAGTTATCCATTACATGCCACATATGTAACATGTCAGCATAATATTTAAATCAATTGTATTCAAATATTTTCTTTGTCTTCAAGCATAAACAATTCACCTCATGAATTTTAATGTTGACCTCATAACGTTATTTGGTTCAAATTATGCGTCTGGGGTAACTTATGTACTTTCTTAAACTTGATTGAATTTTCTTAGTAAACATATGATTGACCCAAGAAACAAAGGATTAGATATAACGTATAAGTAAATATTTTTTGGAAGCTAAAAGTTAATAAAATTTTAAAGCAATATCTTATAAAAGGCCAATTAAAATTTTTATCTGAAAAGGACTGAGATCTGATCAAATATGAAAGTTATCAAAGACTAAAGAAGCAGACACGTCCAAATGCATTAAATTTAAATAATGTTTAAATCTGAACATGATCATTGAAATAACGTCGGAACTGTTGGAAAATAAGCGTAACGTGGAATGTTGTAAACAAAGAATATTGTAACAGTTTTACAAAGTTCCTCTCAACTCTCATTGTTAATGAATATCTCATACTTCCTGTCACATTAAGGATATTTGTTTATCTTTTCTGCTGTAGGGAAGGATGACTGTAGAACTATATGTAGTTGGACATGGAAAGTAAGCCATTCCCCCTCCTTTTATGTATATACACTAAATATAAGTAGAAAAACAGCAACTCTAAGGAGTAGCAAATCCAACTGAACAAAACATATTTTGGTATTTAGTGGCCATCTTGAAAAAAAAATTCTTGAGCAGAGTTCCAGCAAGTAGCAGCATATAAAATTTGAACCAAAACTGTCAACTGGTATTTGAGTTATCTAAGTTATAAAATTCCCTCTTGAGCAGAGGTCCTACACCCATAAGGCATAAGCCAATAAAATTTAAATCAAATCCGTCAACTGGTATTTGAGTTTTCACCCAGACAGATGAACGAACTAACGGACGGCTTTCCTATATCCCCCACAGACTTCTTTCGGTGGGATAATTAAAGAGGGACTGACTCGTTTTGTTCCCCAGTTTTCTTGATCTTTTCTTCATGACAATGGCGCCATCTATTAATGATGCAAAATGTCTATTTTATACAAACCAGGAAGATATTTAAGCTCTAAAAACGTGCATTTATGTTTATGACAGAACAAAGAAGATAAGACATTTTTCTAGCATTTGAGATATGTTTGTAGAAACACTGCTAACGTGACCTTATATAAACATACTAGGGGATTACCAGGTTGTGTAATGTTGAAGTAACTTAGCGTCTACATTGAGCTACTTTGGGCTTTCTGTTTGAAATCAGGCATTCAGACAACTAGAGGTTTTCTTTTTGAAAGCGAATTTGAAGTGTTTTATCAGATAAGACTGACTCAATAGACTAGATGCGAGTAGAAATGATCTTGATTTACGTCATTAAATATTCAAAATTCAAGTTCAAAAGTGATGTCATATTTGAAATCTACATGTAAAAATACATCTAAAAATATGGTTTCGATAATTGTTGATCAACTTTGAAAATTTAATATTTTTTGAAAATGTGACTTCTAGTTCGGGGTTGATTCCCCATAGACCCCATGTTACAAAATCACAAAAAGTGAAATATCTTTTCTTGAATTGGACATATAACATTTTCTTTTACTGGACATACTTTAATTTGCATAACTATTCGATACATTATAGGGCTATATGAAAATTGAACCACTAAAACAGATGTAATTTACTTTCTACTATACCCGCCATGCTATCTGACCCGAGCGAGCCACCTGGTGGTGAAACTGGTAACTACCTACTCGCATTTGCGTTATTGTTTTGGGCACATGAATAATGGATATGCTCAATTGTTTCCACGAAAAAGTTTGGGAGAAATCACTCAGATGTATATAATACGCCAACAGACAGATTGATGGTAAGATAAGAAAAGGCCAACAATATGACCCCACTCTTTGCAACATAAGCATACAATGTGATACAACAGTATAATTCACCTAACTATACATATGCTAACGCAATTTATAATTCAAATTAAAAATGGCAAAATGTGTTTTATTTAAAATACATCACAAATGGCATTAAAATCTTAATTTGGACAAAATCCTTTTGGAGTTCAATATTCAAATATTTAACAACCTACTGTGATACTACTACATTAGTTAGTTGAATAATATTTATTGCATTTGATTTTGATTCATGTAAGTAATGTGTCCTTGTATGCTGAAAATCACACAAAAAATCTTCTCCAATACTGTATTTGTCTTAACTCATACAAATTAAAGACAAATACAGTATATAATTTATGGACCAATTAAAAAACAATTATGCTATATTTGAGAACATGTGAAGTGTAAATAGGAATTGGATCTGTCAGATATTCTCTTACACAAAAATATCCTGCTCAACAGTATATTTCAACTATATAAAAAATGTACACTTCTAATATCTCCACTTTGTCTCATATTTACACGCGACATTAATTCTTCAATCTTGTTCATATCCAATCAGAATGTAAAGTAAGATCATAAAAAATACATTTCTGTCTACTAATATTCATTCCACATATAAATCCATGTCCATATTGCATTTGAGATCAATGTGATCAGTATCCAAAATGTACAATTATCTGTAATAGTCAAACAGTTTTATGGCTCGCCAACACACTGTCTGATGGTGTACTCGGATTATATTCCTTTAATTGCTCATTTTCTCCACACACTGCCCGACGATGACTTGGATTTCTGGACATTGTAAATATTTCTTTTGATCCGGTCCTCAACAGAGCTTTGTGATGCATGGCTTGCCATCAAAGGCCTGGAATAAAATGTAATAGTAAGGTTAAAGGCACAGAAAATATTTCTTATCTGGCTCATTGAATAGAGAAATTTCATTCACATTATCCTCTGAGTCTGAGATTATGTTGTTTTAGTTGATGTTTTAAATCCAACTCATAAAATGAACAATTTTGTACCTGAATTTAGTTTGGGATAGATTTAGTGGATGTTTACTTTCAGACAATAATCATGCAAAAAGTCGTTTATTCAAACATAGCTACTATACACCCACTTGAGATTTTGGTAAGTCATTCTCCTACTTGAAAACCTAACTGCAACAGCTTAAATATTGATTCATTCGGATCAACTTGTGACAGGACAGTGAGAATTTACAACCCACTAAAAATCCTTTGAAGAACTTGGGAGAAGTTAGATGGTATTAAGTTCACATTTCATATCTTACTTGACAAAATCAGCAGCTGATTGGGTTCTGGTGGAGAGATCATCTTCTTCTTTAGAGTCTTCTTCACGATAGCGTTTCACATTCTCCGCTCGCTGGTCATCTCGCCATTTGGCATTATCCATCATTTCACGCAATTTCTCTTCTTTTTCTGCTTCTGTCAATTTGCTGGAAATTAAATGAAATTATTAAGAAATAGAAAAAATAATTAAAAGAACTAGACTAGTGTGTGTTCTTTTACTATATCACAGGGACATGATCTTATTATCACTCTATGACCCAAATGAGGTGTTTTGTATTTTATTTACCTTGCCACTGATGGTATCATAAAGTTATAGTAAGTTAAGTTATAAGTATTGAGTACAAAATAATGTTTTTTCAATCAAAAGCAATGAGAATTCTTTAAACTATCTAGATGTAGAAATGTACTTACCGCTTTTGAACAGCTTTTTTGGCAGGTTCTGGTTCCACCTTCTTTACAGGTTTGTAAACTGGGGCAGCCGTACCAGGTGATCTCTTTTTCCCACCCTATGAAAAATACATGAAATGTTTTATTCAAATAAATACATTGGGTTTAGTGATCAAACTTAATGATTGACTGCCACTGTGCACTGCAGGGCTTCCTAGTCAACTCGTACCCAAGACAACTCGTACCCAAGACAACTTGTACCCAAGACAACTCGTACCCAAGTCAACTCGTACCCAAGACAACTCGTACCCACGTTTATTTTCTGTATTATGGGTGCATATAGGAAAACAAATTGAGTCTGTGTCAAAATGTTTAATGTTATAATGTGCCTCAATATTTATCCCACCGAACGAAGTTCGAGGGGGATATAGAAAAGCCGTCCGTCCGTCCGTTCGTCCGTCCGTTCGTCCGTCCGTCCGTTCGTCCGTTCGTCCGTCCGTTCGTGTGTCCGGGCAATAACTCAAATACCGGTTGACGGATTTCATTCAAATTTTATAGGCTTATGCCGTATGAGTGTAGGACTTCTGCTCGAGAAGGAATTTTCAATATGGCCACTTAATTCAAAATGGCGGCCATTTTTCGGAAAAAATATAATCTTTAATAACTCAAATACTAGTGGATGGATTTGGTTCAAATTTTATATGCTGTTGCCTTGGTACAAAGCAGCCTTGCTAAAGAAAACATTTTCAAGATGGCCACCAAATTTCAAAATGGCGGCCATTTTTCGTAAAAAAAACGTTATCTTTGATAACTCAAAGACCATAGAATGGATTTGGTTCAAATTTTAGATGCTGATGCCTAGGGACATAGGAGCTCTGCTCGAGAAAGGATTTTCAAGATGGCAGCTAAATTTCAAAATGGTGGCCATTTTTCGTAAAAAAACGTTATCTTTGATAACTCAAATACCATTGAATGGATTTGGTTTAAATTTTAGATGCTGATGCCTAGGGACATAGGAGCTCTGACACAACCCTCTTTGTTAAAGATTTGCAATTGTTAGAGCATACTTTAGATGATACAAACAAATTTTACTTAACATCGGGACTCAGACTTAACTTGGAAAAAACAAAAGCAATGTGGATCGGAAGAAATAAAAATAATATTGAAAAGCATTTAGAAATCAGCTGGGAAGTAGGTGAAAATGCTAAAATAAAAATACTGGGGACATACTTTTCAAACCACAAACCAGCAAATTTAATAGAATCAAATTGGACTGAAAAAATTGATAAGATGGAATGTTTAATGAAAAATTGGAGTAAACGCAACTTGTCACTGGTTGGTAAAGTCTGTGTTGTTAAAAATTTGATTGCATCACAATTGTTGCATATGTTAATGGTTTTTAAATGTCCAGACAAATATTTAAAACAGGTCAATTCAAAAATACACAAATTTATATGGAGTAAATCTGGTAAAGGTTCAGAAAAAATAAAACGTAAAGTGTTGAGACAGCCTTACTTAAAAGGTGGAATCAACATGGTTGATATATTTGTTAATCAAGAGGCACTTATTATGTCCTGGGTCAGGCGTTTTATCGAGGATGAAAACTCAAATTGGAAAAACATGAGTAAAATGATGTTATCAAAGATTGGATTTGATTTCAGTATTTTTCATTTCAATTCAGACTTAAAATTTATAAAACCTCAAATTATTTGGGGGAATACAACCATCTTCTATGAATTCCTTTTGAAAACTTGGTTCAAATATAAAACATGTGATGATGTCATATTTGATAATAGCTATATTTGGAACAATCTAAACATAACTTACAAGGGAAAAGTTATATTTTTTAAAAATTGGAAAAATGCAGGTATCAATTTGGTAAATGATGTACTGGACAATCAACAGAAACTAAAGAATATAAATATCTTCAAACAAATGATGCCTAACAATGCAGCTATCATGCTTGAATATTTTGTCATTCAAAATGCATTGAAAAACAAGACAATTGCACTTGGTCAGAATAAAAGATTGTACAATAATATCATTATAAAAATATCAAAGTCGAAAGATTATAAACAATTAATTATTAAAAAAGAAAATATCATACCAGGAGCTTGTCAACGATGGAATAATGAATATCAAAATATTAATTGGTCTGATATTTGGAAAATGATTCAAAATATTACTGAACTGAGATTAAAGAGCTTACAGTACAAAATATTGCATAGGGTATATCCCACAAATATTCATCTATTTAAATGGAAAATTGAAGGGACAAACTCATACAATTGTAAATTTTGCAGAAATGAAGAAGACTCATATGCTCATTTCTTCATCTCTTGTAAAAAGGTAAAACATATATGGAAAGAAATAATGAACAAAATAAATGCAAAATTTGGATGCTCTATAAAATTAACAGAAATGGAAATTTTGCTTAAATATACAAATAAGAAAAAATATATTGAGAATTATGTAAATAATATTGTATTAATAACAAAAAACTGTATTACCAAGTATAAATATGGTCAACATCCAAATTTAGAATACTTATTAGAACAAGAGCAATATATAAGAAAAGTCATGTAAAATTATTGTGTACTATATGTATGTATAAAAAAAAAAAAAAGACAGGAGCTCTGCTCAAGAAACGATTTTCAAGATGGCAGCTAAATTTCAAAATGGCGGCCATTTTTCATAAAAAACATTATCTTTGATAGCTCAATTACCATTGAATGGATTTGGTTCAAATTTTACATGATGATGCCAAGGGACATAGGAGCTCTGCTCGAGAAGGGATTTTCAAGGTGGTAGCTAAATTTCAAAATGTCCGCCATTTTTCATAAAATAACGTAACCTTTGATAACTCAAATACCAGTTGACGGATTTGGTTCAAATTCTATATGCTGATGCCTAGAGACAAAGAAGTTCTGCTCAAAAATAAATTTTCAAAATGGCCGCCATTTTTGTAAAAAAACGTAATTAATGATTAATCAAATACTAGTGGATGGATTTGGTTCCAATTTTATATGCTGATGTTTAGGGAAAAAGGAGATCTGCTTCAGAAGAAATTTCAAAGGCGATAGCTGAATTTCAAAATGGCTGCCATTTTTCATTAAAAAGTAATCTTTGATAACCCAGATACCATTGGAAGGAAATTCTCTGCTAAAGAAGAAATCTAGAGATGACAGCTGAAATTCAAAATGGCAACCATGTTTCATAAAGACATAATCTTTGATAATTCAAATACCAGTGGATGAATTTGGCTCAATTTTTTTTATCAAAACATGTTTTGTTCGGTGGGATTTGCTACTCCGTGGAGTTGCTGTTTTTCTAGTTTTTTCTGAATTTAGAAGACATTTTTTCTCAATGGATTAAGCAAAGCATTTTGTTTTTACTTGGATTACCTTTGAAGTGCTTTGAAGGGCTTGTTCTCTACTTTTTTGTAATACATATATATAAATGAATATAATTACAACAGTAACTTTTCAACAAATGAATCAAACAATTAATTTAGCTTAGTGCATTCAGAGAAAATTAATAAGGGAACTTTAATCTGTTAATTTCTTTCCATTTTGAACTTAATTGGATTATATTTGAACACATGCATGCAAAGTGTATTATATCATGTATGAATAAGTATCAAAATAATATTTGATATTCATATTATTTAGAATATTTTTTATTGCTAAATTTTATGAAGGTGACTTCTTAGAATTATCATTCTTTAATCTGATAATATGAAATCCTAAATAGATTATCTGTTTAATAAGAAATAGGCGCAAGTTTTGAAAATCTTTATATTTTTGATAATACCATATTTCAAGATGAATTAGATCTGATACTTGTTCCAAACACTCATTAACATACAAAAATACCACTAATATTGTGAACAATGATTATGAATATTATGTGGAATAAACATAAATCTCTTCCCTCGAACATCTGAATCTGTGACCAATATATTTGGTCACAAATTTCAATCGATTTCTTCCAAAAACTCTTCTACATACTTCAAACTATTCTGAACTGTATGTAACCATTATAATATGTATATCTATACCCATTCCCAGCCCAACACTTGATTCAAAACAAAACATATACTTGGGTACAAGTTGTCTTGGGTACGAGTTGTCTTGGGTACAACTTGACTTGGGTACGAGTTGTCTTGGGTACGAGTTGACCAGTTACCCACTGCAGGCATACTACTTGAGCAATGAATATATGTGACCAATTCTCTTAAAGCAATTACTATTCAATCTTTTACAAGAGGGGCACTATCATTTCAGTTCCTAGATACCTGAAATCAATACTTCAGAGAGAATAAGGGGAACTCATATTCTCTTAGTAAAAATGTTTTTAAACAATCTGTCCTCTATAATGTTTTATAGCAAACTCTCAGATACATATTTGGGTCCATAACTCATTACTTTTTTTCTCAGTTAAAAACAATGAAAAAGTGCTTGTTTTTAAAATGTTATTCCATGCAAATGTATTTTATTCATTGTTCTTTAAAAGGTGAATGCAATTATTTTATTTTTACTCTGTATTTAGTGTACTTACAATAAGGCCATACTGCAGCTTGGGTTTATCTTGTGTCTGCTCCCTCTCATCCTCACTACTGCTATCACTATCACTTGAATCTTGATGGACAGTTGGGTTTCTTTCTGGACTTGATGAATCATGTCTTGTTTTCTTTATATTAGGACTTGACAAATTGTGTTTCTTTAATCTCAAATCAGAATTATTGCGTCTTTTTAGCCTATTATCAGGGCTTGAAGAATCATGTCTTTGTCTTTTTAAATCTGTGCTTAAAGATCTTTTATGTCTATTATCAGGGCTAGATGAATCACGTCTTTTTCTCCTTTTTTCTGGACTATTGTGTCTTTTACGTCTGCTATCAGGGCTAGATGAATCATGTCTTTTTCTCCTAATGTCTGGGCTATTGTGTCTTTCACGTCTATTATCAGGGCTAGATGAATCATGTCTTTTTCTCCTAAGGTCTGGACTATTGTGTCTTTTACGTCTGCTATCAGGGCTAGATGAATCATGTCTTTTTCTCCTAATGTCTGGGCTATTGTGTCTTTTTCTTCTATTATCAGGGCTAGATGAATCACGTCTTTTTCTCCTTTTTTCTGGACTATTGTGTCTTTTACGTCTGCTATCAGGGCTAGACGAATCATGTCTTTTTCTCCTAATGTCTGGGCTATTGTGTCTTTTACGTCTATTATCAGGGCTAGATGAATCATGTCTTTTACTCCTTTTTTCTGGGCTTTTTTGCATTTTTCGTCTATTATCAGGGCTCGATGAATCATGTCTTTTTCTCCTAATATCTGGGCTATTGCGCCTTTTATGTCTAAGAGAATCTGGTGATCTATTTCTTCTAGATTGAGAATATTCATGTTTAGAATGCTGATTTCCATGTTTACTTTCATATTCAATGAGTTCACTCTGCTCCTTATTTCTTTTTGAGTCTTTGATTTTGTGTTTATGCTTCTTGTCATGTTTTCTATGCTCAACTTCATCCTCATCACTTGACTCAGACTTCTGTTTTTTTGATTTTCCCATCAATGCAAGGTATTTGTTTAATAGTTCATCATCCTCATCCTTTCCCGATTTCTTCTTTTTCTTCTTGTGTTTTTTCTCTTTGGATTTTTTCTCTTCAATCTGGAATTACATTCAGAAAGAAAAATTATTTCGCAAATAACTTCTTGACTATGAATTCTTCTTTATATTCTAAAGCATCATTATCAAACTAGATAAAAATATCATAAACTCATAAAATTAAATCAGTCAGAAGAAACATGATTACCAGCCTGGCAATCCATCAATAATGACCAAATTCATTGCCATTAGAGTAGACGGTGCCCTGATACTTTTTTATCAGTAAGGCATGTATTTAGTTGATCATATTATATTACAACATTACAAGATTTAAATCATACCACTTTTTGAAGTTGCTTCATTTTCACCGGGTTATTCAACAATTTGCGTCTTGCATCTGCTTCTCTTTCCCTGTATAATGAAATAATAGTAATGACTCACATAGAGATATTGTGTCGAGGCAAAAGAGATTATAGTCACACAATTGCCTTTTAGTCAATTATTAAATTACCGGTAAAATGATATACATGTAAAGTGAAACACCTCGAAAAGTGGAACATTGAAAGTAACTAATGTTAAATTCACCAGCTCTATAAGTGGAACATCTCCTGAATGGAACACTTTTTAGAGATACCAAAGGTGTTCCACTTAGACAGGATTTATTGTATATAATGGAAAGATTTCATCTTACATTGAGCAGGGGCAATACATGGCTTTAACTTTAACATGTTCATATACTATACTGGTCAAACATTAGTCATATATAGGTTGTATTGTTGATGGAAGAATCTACCTGATTGCATAGAGAGGGTCCTCCCTCATCTTCACCCCCATGTCAATCTTAGCTCTCCCAGCAAGGTTGTCATCTTGGAATAGTGCCCCAATAGCTACACTGTCTGAAATAATATATGTGTGCAATGTGCAATGTGGATATTGGTATTTGAATACAATACAATACACTATCTGAAATAATATATGTAAGCAATGTGCAATGTGGATATTGGTATTTGAATACCCTGCATCAGAGCCTAACTTTGTCCATAATCTTTACATCAGTCACTTTTTTGTGGAGTCATAAAATCACAATATTCCTTTTCTGCATATTTAGTCACTTACATTCATTTTACAGTCACAATAAAGGCATGTAAATATGTTCCTCAGCCTATTGGATGTAGACTAAACAAGAGGAGAATGGCACTAAAAATCTGCAACACACACTAGTAGATTAATGAGTATTCGAACATGACTGTATTCACGCCTTCTATAAACTGTAAACGAAGTCAATGCTTCAGCTGGGTTATATTCGAGATCAATAACACAGTTAATACGTGTAATGTGTGACGTCATAACGGTGGGTCGTAGTAATGGCGGACCATGATGAATATTCGAAACAATTTGGTGGGTTTTCATGTTCGAATCGTAATATAGACCTCAGAGCAGGGTTACTAGTTTCGAATAACACCCCGCTGGTCTCGGCACAAAGGCTTTCGAACCCCTCACTCCCTTCGGTCGTTCGGGGTACAGAAAACGTTTGTGCCGAGACCATCGGGGTGTTATTCGAAACTAGAAACCCTGCTCTTTGGTCTATATTTCTTAAATATAATATGATGTTGCGTAGTTTAATATGGAAATATTCAAATGACTTTAGCCCAACCAACACACATGCTGCTATCTATTTATCCAACTACTAGCAAATTCTGAAATTATACTGAAAAGTCTATCATTGGTCCTAAATAAAGACTATCAAAATATGATTGAAAGCTCTTTAATTGTCTTCTATCTTCATGATGAAGCATTTTTTAAAGTAATTACCATTTTTTGGTTCATTTTGTTGCTCATCCTCATCCTTGTAGTATTTGTCAATGCGTTTTCCCAGTAAGTATTCTTCATTGTCTGTACGACTGTTCTTATAAAGAAAGTCAACCTTTTCATCTTTCTTTTCCCTGCAAAGATACAACATATTTATATTGAGCCCAAATATTGGGATCGGCTAAAAAGCAAGGTGATGTTATAGGAAAAACATGAATTGTCCGAGAAATAATTATAAATGTAATTCTTTAGGAATTAGATTTCATGATTAAGTTTTCAATCTATATAGTATGTACCTTCCTTGCAGAAGTTCTTTGATCTTCCTTTGCTCATCAGCATTAAGTTCTCCATTCTTCAAGGCTCGCTCTAACTCTTTCAACTTTGATGCCGACATCTTATCTGAAAATTATTAAAAATATACAACATTTATATATGAATTAATATGTTTTCACCAGATGTTCTCAATATCTTATTTTGAGAATGTGCAGTACCTCACCTGTCAAGTCCCGATTTTGGTCAATGAGATTTTTAAGTCAAAACCTTTATTTTCATTAAAAACTCTCAGATGAAAACTCCAAATTTTTTAGAGACACTTTTTTTACAAAATACACCCATTTATGTATGGACAACATTTTTTTTAAATAAAAAGACAATGTTGAATCATCTACTAACAGCGGACTTTCACCATTGTTCTGTTTTAATATATAGAATATAAGGGGAGGGTGTGACTTCCCATGAACTGTCCTCTATTTCAATGTTTTATTTTCTTCATTAAAACCTTAAAAATAGAAAGCGCCAACTCCAGTAAAGAAGCAACAAACAAAATTTTCATGAAACTATATATGTCTGGTATAATATTTACCATCTCGTCTACCCTCAATTTGCAGATGATAAAAGACAGAAATGCATAAGAATTTCTATAAATTTAAGCATTCTGAGATAATTTATTTTTGTCATGAAAAATCCTGAATGTACAGTTTGTGAATAACTAATCTGACTAGCTTTTGTAGATTGTAGCTATTATGTACAATTAACTGGCAATCATCTTATCATTGTTTTGATCTCAGGCTTGAATGAATACCATAACTGGATAATCATGATAAAGATGCGTATTATCTTTTTGAAAAATATCAATATTTTCTCCTGAAATTACTTTTGTGATCTCTTGATCCTTGGATTAATTGCATAGGCCCAAAAACATGTTTAATTAAGTGAGTCTCAGACATAGTGAACAGAAGCGAAAAAGTTGTTTATCCTATTTTTCTTTTTTCGAGGTCTCCTCTGCCAAAGGCAGCGCAAAGTAGGAGCGTAGGGATTACTTTGCGGGAGACTTTGAACCATTGATCACATTTGCTCCTGTAATAATTCTCTTCTTCACCTCCTTCCACCTTGATTTAAATCATTCGATAAAATTTCCGGATTTTAACCTCAAATAAAAAGATTTTTTTTTTTTTTAAATACTGACTCATTATTAATTTTTAAAAGTCCTCAACATAACTTCAAATGAAGGCAAAAATGGCTCAAATTATGCAATGTCGTAAAATGGCGTGATAAACATTCAAAGTCATCTGAGACGTCAGACATGTATTGCCCAATCAACAACTGAACAAACAAATAATCTAGACCAAAAAATAAGGGAGGAGGCTTCTGTTCACTATGGTTTCCAGTCTAGGCTAGATACCACGAGTTGATACCAGAGGTTTCACTCAATAGCCTACAGGTTCCTGTGAACTGCTGCATCTGTGACAATTAAAGTGGAGAACCTCAACCATCAAAAGTTGTCACAATGAGCTAAATTCTAAGTTTCGTGTCTCAAACGCTCCTAAGTGGTAGAAAAATAATTCCCGTTCACTTTAAGTAGCACAATAAATGAATCCAAAGCTTCATACCTGCAAATGATGGATAAATCCCTACCAAATCGAACAAATGTTTTTATGAATCGCCATGTTTGTGATCCAAGGAGGATTGACTCCCACAATGCAACATCAGTTAACCTTATTTACTCGTGACAGGTTCAGGCCTGTCAACTTGGGAACACCTAACATGAGTGACTTGGAAATGTTGAACACCTCCCCTCTAAATGTGGACACCTTGGTCCAAATCTGGACACCTTGATCCAAATTTTGAACACCTTGTTAACTTTTATTAAATCTTGCCAAATTTTCAACACCTCAAATTTTTCGCGCTCGCAATGCTCGCGTTTTAAACATCCACCAACGGGGGGGTTGGTACGAAAAATTTCGAACGGAATGCGTGACATATACGTGATTCGCGTGAAAAGTCCGAACGAAATGCTTACGTTTTTTTCGGCGTTCGTATTTTTGCTGTGTAGACGAACTTTTTTCGATTACCAGGTAAAATGCGTATTTGCGTGACATTTTCTGTCACGCAAAAATAACTGGCGTGACTTCAAATTCTTCAGCAAATGCGTGACAAATACGCAAATTGCGGGACAGTTGACAGGCCTGCAGGTTTCAAAATGACGGAGCGGCATTTTGAAAGGTGGCACGTGTCATGTTGCATTCTGGGAGCCTATCCTCCCTTGCAGCATTATCGGGGTCCAAAATCACCTCAACATTTGAAGAGTCAGCATTAACATGTGAATATCCACTTCAACAGTTTTTAAGTTCTTATTTGTCATTTTGGACACAAATTCTACGGAGAAAATAGAGCACTGAATACACTGAGGCATGGGCTTTCAACTAGAAGGGTAGGCAACTTCCCATATTTCATACATAAACATTGCCATGGGTTTTCAAAATTGGAGAATGTGCACATTCCAAGAAAATCTTATTTTGTACTTTTTATTGATGATTAAAAGAAATAACTCAAAAATAAAAACATGATCTTCTACATACATCTTGATAATTTAATGAAAATTGGAATTCATCTATAATTATGACAATACAGAAAGTGAACATTCTCCCACAAATTATCTTTTTATTGGAATGTGTTCTTGAATAATTACCCACAATGCAATACTCAAAGAGAACATCTTGATAACTCTTATTCTTATTGGTCTCTTTTGTTTACTTTTATATGATATTGAATATATTTTATGCTTAAATCATATTAAAAATTGATTTTTATTCAAAATAATACTAAAACATATACATGTATCTAAAACTTTTTGAAATATTACCATAAAAGGGAAGCATGTCATTGCTCATTTTGAAGGTCTCATGTTATTACATAGAGTTGCATACCCTTCTAGTTGAAAGCCCATGACTGAGGTAAGAATTTATTACATGTGCGACAGCAATACGTTGTTACAGTACTGTACATCAGAATACTCACCTTGACTAAGACTAGAATCTATTCTATGAAGACTTCGATCAGTGCACTAAAATAACTTCAGAAAACGTTAAATAGTTGTAAAGATGTGTAAAACATTTGAAAAACTAAGAAATCAAAACCACACACGAATTTCACTAAATTTCAAACTCAGTGAACGAAATCACTCTTCTGCACATTAATTGATGACGTAGTTCTCAAGTGGAAATCTGGTAAACAACACCACGTTGCAAAGTAGGACATTCTTTAGCGTATTTCTCAGGTATTTCAGTCTTATTTGAAAATGGCATCTACTGAGGAGAAGGACCTTAAGGCTGGGCATCTCCCTGCAGGTAAATATACATATATAATGTGATTTTAATGTGTTTTTACTGAAAAAACTTCTCTCAAAACTCATTTATTTGGTCAATTTCTGTCCTTATGTGACATCTTTACTAGTTTTAGGGCCACATAGGGACAAATACTTGTACTTAGGGTGAAAGTAAATTTTTCTCCTTTGAGATACATTTTAATTTGACACCACGTTGCCGAGGAGGACATTCATTACAAGTTCAAATTATAATAAAATTCTCAAATCTCAGCCCATCGAATCCTTGCATCTTACTCGAGTCTGTAGCCAATTCTTGGAACACTGTGAATAAATTTAAGTAATATTCTAAAAAACCATCATGTTCATGAATTGAAATGGAACTGCCTGGCCGCTGCATGGGCTCCTTGATGAGATATTCCACGATTTCGTCAGGATTTTGTCTAAAATTAAGGTCAGGGTGCATGAATGGGAAATTTTCTGCATTCCTCAATTGAGTCACATGTTATTTGTCAAACAAGAATCACTCCTTCCCCAGAGAGTCTATATCTTCCAGGTTTGTACAAAGAGTGCTCTTATGTGCCTAGAAAAGACTTGTGAGAAGAATGTTTTGATAAAGTGTATAAAAAACAAGAAAATTCAGTGAAAAATTCCAGAAAATTTTCAGAAATTTTTTTCACTGAATTTTCTCGTTTTTTATATACATTTTACAAAACAAATCTTCTCACAAGGCTTTTCTAGGCACATAAGCGCACTTTTTGTGCAAACCTGGAAGATGTTGACAATGTGGGGAAGGAGTTATTCTTGTTTGAAAAATAACATGTGACTCAATTGAGGAATGCAGAAAATTTCCCAACATGCACCCTGTCCTTAAAACAAACGGCTCCAAGCAAAATGGTGATATTCGAAAACTGGACTAAATGTCACTAACCTCTGACATTAGTAACTGGCTGTAAATTCTAAGTTAGCGATCCAGAAGATGTGAACAGTTTATCAGATGGTACGTTAGACAATAGTTGGTTGGAGGTCGGTTTACAGTCCATTGCAAGTCAGTCTTGACGATGTTCAATTTGTAAAGTTCAGTCTTCAGAGTTTAGTTGAAAACAATACTAACCAGCAAATTACATGTTGAGGGCAAAGGAGATCATTTCATTAAACTCTCTTGAAGTTGGCATGTAATCATACAACTACAGTACATGTATACCCTGAACTAATAAAGAAACATTAATCCAATGTATGAGTTAGTAGAGACGGTTAGTAAGCCTTTGGTCATGTGATATCCATTCTCTAGCAGCTTGCTAGAGATCCAATGATAATTTAGGATTCTAGCCGATCTAGGATGAAGTGCTACTTTTCATCATAATATGGCTGATAGTAATACATGGATCAACATATGGTTTTGAAAGATTATTTCTACTATGGATTTTGATTCAGTGTGTTTCTCAAGTTAAAGTCGTATAATTATCCACAGAACATGGTTTGATATAGAGAAGACATCTGTCCATCTCTTTTTCCATCCATCTATACGTCTGTCTGGATAATAACCTAATGCCTGTACATATTTTGCCAAAAGGAGACAATACTGAATACTATGTCACTATGACTTGTTTAAAACTGAGTGATTTGTTAAAATATATCTTGTTTGATGGTATCTGCTACTCCTGGGAATTGCTGTTTTTCTAGTTTAAATGTAATAAGAAAGAATGTTTTAAAGACTTGCTTTAAATATTTTAGAGAAAGCTGGTGGTATGAGGATAGTGCAGAAGAAGAAGCTCCACCCAGATGAAAAGGGAGAGCCTGTCACTGCTGAAGAAGAAGAGGAATATGGGAGGTAGGTTATATACAGGTTAAATGTACAATTATATATTATGAGGTTATATAATGGTTGATTCCGTATATCGTGTTTATACTCAAGTGAGTATGTGATATATTCACGAGTGACTGAAGGGAACGAGTGAATATATCATATACTCACAAGAGTATAACGATATACAGAATCAACCATTATATGATCTTATTATCCCACCCTAATATGTAATCAATAAAAGGTTAATCTAAATTCAGCAGTTGTATATCAAGTCGAAGAGTTGTATACGCTGCCCAGGAGTTGTATACACTATCCAGGAGTTGTATATCGTTCTCAAGAGTTGTATACGATGAGTGTTGGTTTTATATCGCAGTTATACAATGCTATTATACAATCATATAAAGCACTTAGGGTGGGATAAATACAGAAATACTTGGATTTTCTTGATACAAAGTTTATCCAGAAATGGAAATACAGTTATCCGCATAGATACCTCAATATGTATGGGATACAGGGTGTATCATTATCAATGTCACTTCTATACAACAGAAACATTGGTGGTTCTTAATGAAGAGAAATGTCTATATATTTCGAGGACAGCAAGGTACATGTACATTTTGGATATGGGGTTTATCCCTCGGTAGTTATGGAATACATATTTATTCAAATCCCAGCATTATATTGTATCCAGTAACTGATTTGTCTCATACTTATGAATATATTTGAGTGCCCTAGCCCCCCCCCCCCCTCCACTAATTCAGTTGTTGTACCTCTTGATATTTTTATATGGAAAAGTGTGAGTCGTGTTTGTTTTTCAACTTATAAATAATGGTAAAGTCAGATTTTGGTTCTTTTTACAATTGGCAAAATTTATATTTTGGTAGATGGTGAAATAATGTTATATCTATAATCTATGATATTTTCTTTTACATCTCTGCCATTCCATTCATAAATTGTCAAAAAGAATCCAGAACATGTATTGCCCAAACTTTACTGTGAGATGTTTGGAGTGATGTAAATATGAATTGGCATTTTTAGTTACACTTGTTTTTTATCCCATTGAACGAAGTTCGGAGTGATATAGGGAACGCCTCCGTCCATCTGTACGTACGTCCGGGCAATAACTCAAATACCGTTGGTCCGATTTTGTTCATATATTGTACACATATACCCTATAGGGGTAGAAGTTCTGCTCGAAAGCCGATTTTCTAAATGGCCACTAATTTAAAAATGGCGGCCATTTTAGTCCTGATTTTACAGTAATTTAGGTGCAATATGTAAAACTTTAATAGCAATATGTTTTAAATGTAAAAAAATTATATAGGACATTAATAAAGCTAGAAATGTAGATATTAAAGCAGCACATGGCAGCCATCTTGAAAAATGGCGGCCTTTACTCGTTATTTTACGATTTTTGCTATAACTCGAAAAGTAGTAGAGCGATTTTGTTCATATTTTATATGTGAATAGAATAAGCATGGCACACTGTCTAATGACACTTTTGGTAGAAGGCGGTCATTTTGAAAAATGGCTGCCATTTTATCGTATTTTACTATAACTCGAAAAGTAGTGGAGCAATTTTGTTCATTTTTGGTATGTGAATACTATAAGCATGGCACAGTGTCTAATGACACTTTTGGTAGAAGGTGGCCATTCTGAAAAATGGCTGCCATTTTTGCTACATACTTTGTTTGTTAAAATGTCAGCCATGGCTGTTCGATGGGATTTGCTACGCTTTTGCGTTGCTGTTGTCTAGTTCATTTAAGAAATGCTTATGGGTTTACCGTACCCTTTGAAGTTATATATAAATACTGCTCAATCATAATGTCATATTTATCATCATTATCAATATAAAGTAAATATTTATTTATCAAAACATTTATTTTTATTCATATTTAATCACTGTTGTGTCAGTTTGTACGTAATAATTATTAGTAGTACGAGTATTTCTTGTTTTCTGTGAAGTTACAGCTACATGTTTCTTTTAAAATCTATCAAATTCTAATAAATATTAAATCAGGGCAAACCTTTCATAATAGACTTGACATTAGTTTTGATTAAAACATAATATGAAAGCAAATAGAATAGTACTGTAGTACTTGCAAAAGTAAGAACATGTCATTTTGACTGTGTATGTGTGTCGAGGGACTGTCATGTGATATCCACATTTGTGTTAACATGTATTCTAATTGTATCAATTGTTGTTTATTGACTTGAGGGTACTTGTGTGTATTTCAGTAGTTGATTAAGTTATGGACAAAAAGCCAAATGATGTCAAATTAATATTAGCGAACATGAATAATATTTTCATACACTTGAAAAACTGTACATTGTTTTGAAATTAAACCTATCCTTCTAACCATGAGCCTAACATTCTCTCTTAAAGACCATGACTTTTTTGGTCAATCAATTGAGTGATTAACCAAAATATTTTCTACACATTTGAAAAAAGTTTTGAAATTCATAACATGAGTAATTGAGTTATGAGTAAGCTCAAAGTTAAAGAGCAATTACTTCAGAGCTTATGGGAAGACCCTTGTAACCCTCATCTATGTAGCCACCGCCACACTAAATATCACTTCACTGCATTATTGATAATCAGTGTTTATATGAGAACATTTTGTTGTTGCAGCCCTCCTAAAGCTGAAACCACACATGATGCAAAGGTGTTGATATCAGGAGCTCTGACACAGGTAGGTCTGGAAGTAACACTCATAAGATATCAAGAGATTGATTGATTCACAAACTGCTACTTGGAGCACTATTCCCCTCTGTCACTGCATTCCTTTGGGAAATATTGATATCATCCTTGTGATATTACCCATATCAAATCCCTCCTGGAGAATAACTTTTTTTATATCTACTAGAAAATTACTCATGATACTTGACCAATTACCTTAAGGGAGAGTAAACCTTAATAAATTGAATGTACTTAAACAGGAGGAGAAGGCTTACCCCCCAGAGGCCATCAAGGTGTATCATGAAAAGCCAATTCCAGTGCATGAGAAACGACCCAATGTCAACCAACAAAAGCATATTCAACAGCCAAGGAAGCAGTAGACTCAACATACTGTATAACTGACATATGAAAGCAGCATGCTCACTAGGTTTCTATACTTTTGCACAATACCTTATCCTAATTCACGTTCTCTTGCCCCATGCTGAATATGTATGTGGCTGAAGGTGCCTTTCCTCACTCTCGTATCCTTAAAATAGCAATAAAGGTGTAAGTGTGAAAAGTTTGAGATTGTCTTAAATAAACATGTTCAGAACTTCTGATTTTTTGAGTTTAGAAATCTAGTGAGCATTAGTGGATTGGTTTCATAGATTTTACATGATTGAAATATCTGAACGTTAGCTGCAATGGATGTATGTATAACATATATGAGTTTAATGTTGATAATTGTGTCATGGACTTTGTAATTGAAACTGAAGGATGCAATGAATTGGATGATGTAAAGTTTATGGAAGCAACCATGATGACATATTCCAGTCAAAAGCCTATTTTAGGTGAACATTCAAGATTTTTGGTGGTGGAGAGGTGATAAGTTTCCAAATGTGTATACAAAGTGGTACTTACATGTATAATATATGAATATATTTACACTTTTAAATGAAATAGGCTATGTCCTCGTGGATGATGTCATAGTGTTTGAATGATGTCATAGTGGTCATGATGTCATAGTGGTCAATATGTCATAGTAGTCATGATGTCAAAGTAGCCATGATGTATGTTTGGTTACCTTTTCAAATTGAAGTATCAATATAATGTGCATCTTTGAGATTGTACTTGCTTCATCTCTTAAGAATTTAGCACTAATTTCGAACCATTGTCATTCTATTGCCTTTCCATTTCCATAACAACCATTATGACACATATTCACGGGGCATCAGTGCATAAATGAATTAATTGCCAACAATTATTGTAGAATCAGGATTTTTACATCATATGATAGAATTATATTTAACGATTAATCAGCACCATGACTAGTTATTGTATAGAATATAATAAAATGATGTGTGTTTTGCAATTCTGTTTAATATGCTGTAAATGAAATATCTGTAGATTATCTAATATAATATATTGCACTGTCGTTTCTCAAATATTATGATGGTCTTGCACACATGAAAACGGCCACTTGCATTTTTTGACAGTGTTAAATTAGATTTGTTAAATTAACATGTAAAATGGTTGTTTTACACACTCTACGAGTATGCTTTACAAATTGCAATAAATATTTCTATTTTGTGGTCTATGTTGAATTGAAGTTGAGAACCTCATTCAAATAACATACAATTAAAACTACTTTACAAAAAATCAACTTTAATGTTGTAAAAAGAGCTATCATAGATCTTAATTGTTATTTTCATTCATAGTGTGTTGTAGGCTAATTCACACTTTAAAAACAAGAAGCACAAAATTGTACTCAAGTTCTAATTCCCAGAATTTAGAATATCTGTTTTTTATTTTTTGTTCTGTTTTCAAGAAACGAATTACTGTAACAGTGAAATATCAATTTACGTTTATTTTATGCTTATACGGTTTTGGGTGTCTCCATTGAGAATGAGTGTAATAGTTAATTATGAACTTTATACTTATCTTTATTTTTGATTAAGCTTATTACCTTTTCTTTAGTTAGAAGCTTTCTTTTGGTGCCATAATCTACATGTGTGTATTGGTGCAATAAACCAAATATAACAGAAGAAAATATTTCAATATGTATATACATTATGTGATTGACAATGTAAGATCTACTTACATTTTCCAAGTGCAAGCAAGAGTGTAATTATTACTGCACAACTGACCTGAGGGTTGGACATTTGTAATACACGGTGCACTATGAGCTCAAAATTCTCTAGGCCTATGATTTATCTTATGTTTATGGTCACATGACCAAAGGAATTCTGGGTTTTGTCTATGTTTAATATTCACACATCTTGAATCTGTGTCCTGTAAGTGGCCTACTATACTAGATTTGTATTGGCATTAAATAAATTGTTCAAAAAATGTATTTATTTTTGTCATGATTCTTTTTGTCTCCAGTATCTATTTCTCTTAAGCTTATGCCACACCCTGAATGATATTTTACTCACTGATAGAACCAGAACAACGCCAACGCCAAAGCGTAGCGAATCCCATCGAACAGCCATGGATGGCATTTTTACAAACAAAGTATATAGCAAAAATGGCAGGAATTTTTCAAAATGGCCGCCTTCTACCAAAAGTGTCATTAGACCATTTGCCATACTTATAGTATTCACATACCAAATATGAACAAAATCGCTCCACTACTTTTTGAGTTATAGTATAATACGTTAAAATGGCGGCCATTTTTCAAAATGGCCACCTTCTACCAAAAGTGTCATTAGACAGTGTGCCATGCTTACAGTATTCACATACCAAATATGAACAAAATCGCTTCACTACTTTTCGAATTATTATAAAATACATTAAAATGGCAGCCATTTTTCAAAAAAATTTTCAAAATGGCCACCTTCTACTAAAAGTGTCATAGGATAGTGTGTCATGCTTTTAGTATTCACATACCAAATATGAACAAAATCGCTCAACTACTTTTCGAGTTATAGTAAAAATAAAATACGTTAATATCTACATTTCTAGCTTTATTAATGTCCTATATAATTTTTTTACATCTAAAACATATTGCTATTACAGTTTTACATATTGCACCTAAATTACTGTAAATTCGGCACTAAAATGGCCGCCATTTTGAAATGAGCGGCCATTTTGAAAATCGGCTTTAGAGCAGAACTTCTACTCCCATAGGGTATATGTGTACAAAATATGAACAAAATCGGACCAACGGTATTTGAGTTATTGCCCGGACGGATGGAGGCTTTCCCAATATCCCTCCGAACTTCGTTCGATGGGATAATTATCAACCCAAGGCTACATATGTTGACGTGATATGGCCCTAATTTCCAGCAAGAGAAGACTTGTGGTACAATAGATAGATCTACTAGGCAAACATACTTGGTTGCCAAGCAATCAAAGGTTTCTTTGGTACCCAGGGATTAGTCATCCAGTCACAACTCTAAACATAAATTGTATCAGCAGTACTCTTATGATCGAGAGAAGGGGAATTCCAAGATAAGTACTTTCTTGCACAGATTAGTGGCTAATTTATTATGCTACAATTAAATAAGCTGGTGAAGCCATTACATTATGAACATGGAATTATTTTTTGACATGACTGAACCGTTGGCAGAGTAGGGTGTGTATTGTCCAGGGCTACAGTTCTTCAAAAGGTTTTAATTGTGGGTAATAGCATATTCACTACACATTTAGACATCAAATATACAAAAAACAAGTGTACGATTTCAACATATATTTTATGCACTAACTTCTCAAAAATATTATAATACAGGGTAAGCCAAAAAAGGTAGCCCAAACAAATGATACTGACTCAGTCGTCCAGCATGAATCTTAACTCATATTTGTTACAATCGATCCTTGTTCAGTGTTCTTTCAATCCACTAAGTTTCACTAGTCTATTTCAAAAATTCATGATTGTATGGCCATTTTACAAAATGTACTCTACCTGCCGAACCATACCCAATTCCCCAAATATTAACCCCTAGAATTTATGTTTGGGGCCTATTTAAAAAAAACAACAATGTCTATACTAGCATCCCTAGAAGCATCAGAGAGTTGAAACAACAGATTAGAAGGAAAATGAGAGCCATTACTGTCACAAGATATTTGTGAGTGTGTAGTCTGACCTACACCACCCGATACATTTGAGTTGCCTCTATGGACAAGGCTGGCATTTTAAGATGTTCTGTAAAATGGCCACAAAATCGTGTCCATTTGGAACAGACCAATGAAAATAGAATGAAAGAACATTGGACAAGATTCAAGTGTGCCAAATATGATGTTAAACTCATGCTGAATGACTGTTTTTGATTCAAATTTGATCGGGTTACCTTTTTGGCTCACCCTGTAGGAATATGTACATGTTTATAAATATTTAATTGCACAATCATGTATTTTCTAGTCAAGTTTATTTCTACATATATAACAATGAAACAATGAGATTTGTTTGTTGAGAGGAACATCTACTTTGGCAATACTCTTAAATAATTTTCATAATAATGTCCTTTACACTCTGCTCATGAGGGAACCGACTAACAGTAAAAGTACTGATTTCTCATGAATTGACAAAAATAGAAATGTACCAATTTGGCCAAAATAAATACAATATTGGTGAAAATCAGAATATGTTAAAAAAATACAATTTTCATTTTAATTAAAGTTGCTACTAATATGCAGGCCTTGGGTTTGATGGGATATAAACATAAGGCTTGGAATTATTGGATTACACAACTTGCAAACAAAATTGACTATGTAAGGTCAATGAGCTTTATGTTCTTTGTTTCTTCATCCATTACAAAAATATTTTCCATTTACAAGAAACACACAATCAACATCCACTGGCTTTATTCATTTTGACAATGGCACGAGTTTTCAGAAATACTCATATATGACCACATGTAACAATTCACAAGTACTTACTAGCTTACAGTTTTCATAAATAGGATCTATTGTATATCAAATGATCAAACATACACTTTGCGAGAGATGGTCTTGATCTAAACTCTTTAGATTATTTGATATGGCATATATTTCAATGCATGTATTTGAAAATCATGTTATTATGTAAGTGGCTAGAACATTCATTTCATATTTCTTATAATTGGAAACTGTTTATTAATTGTTAGACACTAGTCAGTGGGTTCAGATCACATTAATTGAGCAGTAATGATTTCATATATCATTCGTTGCCTGAAATATGGCATGTCCTCTTGCGTGAAAGATATTGGCGCATTTCTAGTGATGTATTCAGAAAATTTGCAGGCAAACATGCCACAGTCACTTCCATTCTGCTGTTGAGGTATATCCTGAAATGTAAAAAATTAATCTTTTATTCATTTTTCCTGAACAAGAACGATATCTCCTAAAATCAAGTTTTATTTCTCAATTCTTCAGGCATTCAAAGAATTAAAGGACTTGGGGAATAGTGGATGACTTGGATGACTTAATTTATTTCATGGCAATATAAATGTAACAACACAACCAACAACAAACACCATCCACAAAAAGTTGGAGACTCCAGAGTGAAGTCAGTTCTAGATTTTCAAACCAAGAAACATTCATGATAACACCATATCAATCTATCAAGCATTTTTTCTTGACATAAGCAGAAAAGAGAAGTGAAAAGCAGCTGCCACATCATTCCCTTTAGGTTTGTTAAAATGTTGATGTTTTTGGACTACCTTGTGAAAGTAATTACATATATGTATTATTATACTTCCCAATTGTCATACCTTTTCTATAACCATGGTCCATTCACTCATATCAAATGTTTGTTTCTTCTTATCCAAACTCTCTGCTAGAAGGTAGGACCTGAAGACACACATGGGTTTTTGGTATAGCATGTTAAAAATATCAGTAAGGGGGTATATCATATCACCCTTTTGCAATACCTATGCAACGTGAAAAATATGGAATTACATTTATATTCTTCAAATTATGATATGTTAATATTTTGACAAATACAAATTTAGTTCTCGTAATGCAAATAAAACACAGAAACACATTTTTAGTGCCTTATACCATGGGATTTCAAGAGATGCTTATACAGTAGTAACAAAAAGACTCACTTAATAGCTTCAAGACATTGTATATTCTTTCCTCCCATAGAGTCAAAATAGCGCAGTTGTTTCTTGGGAAAATCCACAATCTGGAAAAAACAACAACAAATTATCAGCATTTTCCATTTGAAATCACTCATATTGTAACCTACAGCCATACAAACATGGTTTGGAATTAAGAACATGTTTTAAGACTATTAATGAAACACAGTTAACTTTCAAAATTTCAAAGCATAAGCAGCTTTCTATTATCATAAATCCTTCCTAAAAATTATCTTATTTAATCTATTTAACTAAATCCAGTTATAGTTAACTGGTGCAAAAACAAAAACGCCAAGTACAGGTTAATGGTAACTTACAGCAAGGCACCAATGCATTCCAAGATGTACAGGAACCACAATGTAATCCATTGAGAATAAATCAATCTTTCTTGTCCATCTGCGTAGCCCCGAATGGCCCTGGGACATTAACTTAGGGTAGAAGAACGTGTTGAAGGCATGAACACTGGGCCTGTTGTCTTGCTTCCCTCTTGCCATTAAAAGCTCCATGTAGAAATTGATTACCTGTGAAAACGTGGAAATCACATTTCAGTAAACAAGGCATCAACATACAAAATGTCACCACCTGCCATTTGTTAATGACAATGACCGCAGTGCTGAACAACACCAACAAAAAGTTAGAGACTATAACAATATGTCACAATTTCTGGTGGTGACATAAAAACTAGAACATCTCTGCAACTGGAATACCTTGAATGAGGAACATCTTTACATGTGGAACACCTCAAAAATGAAGTTTTTCGACATCTCATTTTTAAAACACAGTGACAATGGTAGTTTAACAATTGGCCAGTCATCCAGTTTCCAACTCGCAATGAAAGATCCACATAGAAATATAGGAATCACAGTCACTTGATTGTTATTAAACATTTTAAGAATCTTCATTAACTGATAATTAATCAACGTGCCACCATATGAAGTCAATCTCTTGAAGAAATGTAATACAAAGTAAGGTGGTATCTATCATCTATTGATGCTACTTAACAGGGTGGCTGTATGAGTACTGACACTGACCTGGTCATTTAGCCAGTTGAGGCCAGTGAGAGTGGCAATATCTCTACGAGTCACCTCAAGTCTAAAGGCATCAACAAGCACTTCATTAGGGTTCCTAGAGCTCAAAGCATTATTGATCCTAGCTTGGATTTCATCAGTAAGCTCTGCAAGAAATAAACAGACATGTATCAGATAAACAAATGAACATGCATTAAATTAACATTTCAGAGGAGTATAGAGAATTAGCAGTGTGTAAACATTTATTCTAACATTGCGTTAATTAAGTTTTAACTGATTGATTTTCTCATGTTCTTGGACAGGTACAAAATAGTCCTCTAAGTATCAAGGAAATTCTCACCATTCAATTCCCCCCATTTCCTCTCTAACAGGCTTAAGAATTACACAGGAGGTGACCAGAGACCTTTAGATATAAAGACAACTATCAAACAGTGCTTGTTACCTGGCAACTCCTCTGCTTCATCCTCAGACTCTATGAAGATTTCCTCCTCAACTGCTGGCTCCTGCTCAGAGATGTAAATACGCTCCTTGATCTGGAATAATCAGTCAAACATGTACACAAATGAAAACTGACCACTTAAATACAATCTTAGTGGTTAATATATCTATTACGCTAATGTTGGACAGTATGAATTATGCATAATATGATCAGATTATAAAGTTGGATTACAATGAGTAGGTTTAATAACAATGGAAGGTTATAAGATAATTCAAAGTAAGTCAATGTTATAGCACAATAAAATGTAGGTAATAATGTCTTTATCTATGAAAGTAGAAAAATGACTTAGTCTAAAACAGAAAATGTACTCACTCTTTTAGTTAGATCTGTCTCCCACAATTCACGCTGGAAATCAACACAAATCATAATTACATATCACATACATGTACTTGACATATCCATAAGTGCGATATGGAAGATGGTAGAGACTTCTTGCATGAGTAGGTGGTGGAAACAATGTTTTTACACTCAGGTTTCATCTACATTATACCGAAGATGGCAATCTACGACAATGACAATGTTTATCGTTAAGATCAGGATGTTTAAAAATCTTTTTGAAAAAATATGATCGAATTTGGGTCATAAGTCATAGACTAATGTGTCAAACTAAGTTGCAAAAATTGGTTTGGAAACAAAAGGTTATAAGGGATAGTCAATACTCAGAGTAAATTTTTGAGAAACTGATGCAGGAATATGAATCAAGAGGCATTAAATGGAGTGGAGGAGAAATAAAATTAGTAATTAAGAAGAAAATATTACTGTATTACCTTCTCAGCATATACACTACATTTGGAGGTCTCTTCTTCTATCTGCTTCTGGCGTAATCTGTGTGTGTTGTCATACTTTGATGTTCTGGAATAGATTAATAATGCATGATGTAATGCGTTATACAAGTATATGTACAAATGAGCAAAATAAACACTAAAGTCACTGAACTGAAGATTTCAGTACAATAAAAGGAAATGCGCAATTATTGAAATTAGACATTGCACAGCATTCTGCTCTATATTTAATACGACCCAAATCAACCTATGAAGTTCATATGCAAGATCGCAAATCAAGTGATGAATTGGCCCATACTGTCAATGGTTAAACTATTACTTCAAACAATAATCATACATATGAGATTATATTCAAGGTATGCTTACATGCTGTTTATGAACTCTCCAGATACACTTTTCTTCAGCTCTTCTGCGAGGGGAGGAGATTCATCATCATCTATCACAACAATTTCTGCAAGCAAAAACATACTTCATTTCAGTAGGAATAAAAAATGAAGAGAGACACAGAGACAACAAAATTTTACAAATAAACCTGCATGGCATCCAAGGGAAATGCAAATCAACATTTTTAGATCTTGTTATATTGGGGGGGTTACTTAAAGGCAGAATCAGCTCTAGCAATTACTTTTGAGCTTCACCTTGAAGAAAATTGTTTCAATTTTCGATAATTTTGGCCTCATATCATTCCTTGTCATGTCTATTTTCTAAAAATACCCCAAGTATATACTTTAGTTGAAGAAAACAGTTTAGAAACTAAGTAAGTTAGGATTTTTACAATAATGCAATCATTTGTCTATAAGGTGTTGTGAGATTTTGAATATTCCATTTTAGTACACCTACCACTTTACAACTTTATTTCCAGGTGTTATTTTACAGGTACATGTACATACCTTCAGATTTCTCAGATTCCTTCTTGCCAGATTTTTCCACTCTTGAGCTGAACATTTGTTCATCTGGACTTGCACGTTTCCCTAGTCTTCTATTTATAACACCATCTTGATCTGCTCTCTGTGTTCTTTCAACATTGTTAACAAAATTGTCTCTTTGACTGATGGGTGATTTGGCTTTTGCTCTTTGTGCCTGTATGTTTCCAGGTAATGGTCCAAGAGCAGGCCCCTTTTGAGGATAATGTTTGTTAATCTGTACAGTCTGTTTATTTGGGGTGATTATGTCCTTCTGAAATGCCTTGCCCTTAGGCATCTCCACTGGGGGTATATGGCTACCCAGGATGGATGTATTGGCCCTGGATAGAAAAGAATTAACATGGGGAATTCTGGGGCAATATGGAAATGGAACAATAGGAAAGATTACACTTTTTTCAGATACCATATATCTGTATTTATCCCACCCTTAGTGCTTTATATGATTGTATAATAGCATTGTATAACTGCAGTATAAAACCAACACTCATCGTATACAACTCTTGAGAACGATATACAACTCCTGGATAGCGTATACAACTCCTGGGCAGCGTATACAACTCTTCGACTTGATATACAACTGTTGGATTTAGATTAACCTTTTATTGATTAAAGATTAGGGTGGGATAATAAGATCATATAATGGTTGATTCTGTATATCGATATACTCTCGTGAGTATATGATATATTCACTCGTTCCCTTCAGTCACTCGTGAATATATCATATACTCACTTGAGTATAAACACGATATACAGAATCAACCATTATATAACCTCATATTATCCCACCCTAAGTGCTTTATATGATTGTATAATAGCATTGTATAACTGCAATATAAAACCAACACTCATCGTATACAACTCTTGAGAACGATATACAACCCCTGTATAGCGTATACAACTCCAGGGCAGTGTATACAACTCTTCGACTTGATATACAACTGCTGAATTTAGATTATAACCTTTTATTGATTAAAGATTAGGTTGGGATAATAAGATCATATAATGGTTGATTCTGTATATCGTTATACTCTCGTGAGTATATGATATCTTCACTCGTTCCCTTCAGTCACTCGTGATTATATCATATACTCACTTAAGTATAAACACGACATACGGAATCAACCATTATATAACCTCATAATATGCTATTCTTATCTGACTTGTTAACTTCGTAAATATCAACTATAGTCTAATTTATATTTCTCATAAGGATTCAACATATTCTATCTAATTTATGGACACAATAATATCAATGTCATCAAAATCATTATATGAAAAACTGCATTGCCTCTGTGAAACTTACGTATTTCCATTGAAGAGAGGTCTCTGTGTTTTGATTGGTCCGCTTCCAAATGTAGTGCATGGTGTGGGTGCAGTGGAAAACTGGGACAGGAGATCTTGGTATCTGTTTCTCTCATCTAGGTTGATGCACTGAATAAATACGTTAAAAACACATTAATCACAATAACAATATGAATACTGAATCATATCTTACTCAGTAGTACTATACTTCTCAGTGCTTGCATTAGGTTAGAAAATTTGTGAGTCCCAAGGACGCAATTTTTTTTAAAAAGTGTGTCCTTTGAAAAAAAAGTGTGTCCCCTATTTCTAGCCTGTTTTGAGGTATAACTTTATTTTAAAAGCATTTTTTACCAAAACACCTTTCAGTTTTTGATTTCTTGCCGCGAATTTAAAACGGAAGTACGGACTGAATAAATGCATGTTCGTTCATTCGACAATGAATACATTTTATTTCATGAATAACCTAATATTTGTTTCTGAATAGGAAAAACTGTGGCGTGTCATGGTTTCAAATCTAAAAATAAGAAACAAAGTCGAAAAAAATTCGAGAGAATCATGATTATTTGTAAATATTCAACATGTTGAGCCTTATTTACGATTCAAATAAAGGTGAGAGATCTTAATTATTTGTTTTTGTTAGGTATCGTTGTAAACACATTGTAGTATTGACCTAAAAAAAAATTGCGTCCAAAAAACGGAAATATTTTCAATTTTTGCGTCCTCCAAATTATTTTTGAGTCCTTAACATGTACGGGACGCCGTTAATGCAAGCCCTGTTTCTATATTAAATATGTTCATTAAACATGCATAAAGTTTCATTTCTTCAATTAATAATAATGCATGATCCAAAACGACACAAGTACGGACTCTTGAAATATTCACATTATAATGGATTTCACCCATTTATCCATTTAGGATAAATGTAAGTACGACATGAAATTTACCTAAGCATGCCGACAAAGGCTAACTTTGGGAGGACCTATATCTAGTAACTTAGTAAGTAAGGCATATTTGAAATTTATTACTGTGATAACTTTATATTAATAATTATATCACACATATATGAGTAATTAGTAAGAAATGACATGCAATGTACATATCTGGCGAAATTAAATCGAAACAAGGCATTGACCTGACACAATATCAGCATCCGATACACGGGTCACAAAAACAATTTCATTCTTACATTTCTAACTGTCGACCCCTTCTGCCCCCTTGATAGGCACCCTCCCATCTTTTTTCTGAACACACTCCTACTCTTGGGGATGGCAGGCGAGTAACGTGACGTATTCTGTTTATAGGATATATTCACACCAGGGTTGTTTGCGGAGGTATTGCTAGTGGCAGTAAATATGAAGTCAGGGGTTGGTCTTGATTCACCTGGCTTTAATCTAAAATAAGAGGAAATACAAAAACGAGTAAATGACTAAACTGCTTGATTAGTTGCATCACATATTCTGGATTTGTACCAATATGTACTGTATTTGTATTAATTTGGCACTACTTTATTTGGTGATTTTGGAATATCGGACATATTGACGTCTTTCTAATTTAGTGGTCCCTGACACCCTTTGGTCTAACCCAATTCAAGATACTCAATGTCAGTGGTGTGTTTCTAAATTAAGAAAGCCCCGATCATCTTGGTATATTTCTTATAAGCGGAAGTGCACCAAATGAAAAAACATCAAATTCCCAGAGATTTCGGCAAGTATTTAATTCGGAGATTGTTTTAATTTGTCAAATCAAAACGCTTGTCAAATTCTTCATTGTAAATGAATAGAATCTGTTTCTAGTGAATTGTGACATCATAATCTAATTAAAAATTGTCGTAACTACTATAGCATTAAAGATATGTGACATACTAATACATCTTATTAAAGCCTTAAATTTCCAATATTTCTGGTATTAACACATGGTTTATCTCTGTGGAGTGTACTCTGTGAATCTTTTTTGAGAATGATGCAGTGTCCCATTCTTTATAGCCCAATTTCAATCATAATGCCAACAAAAAATTGGAGAAGGGAATAATTTCTTGTAGTCTATCCATCATACTTTAGAAAATAAAATGATCTATGAATTTCAATTCATCTTTTTAAAACTTAACCAGATAGTTCTGTCCTGCAAAGAACATCACAAATTTAACATTAGATATTTACCTATGTGTTATATTATTCGTGACTGGGAGTTTAAATGTATTTGTATCTTGGTTTGTTTTATCTGGTGGATTTGATATTGCAACAATTTCTATATCATCTGCTGTCTTATCTTTAACGTTGCCTCTTCCTAGCATGGTGTCATCAGTCTTTTTTTGCAGTTGTCTCTTCACGGGTGTTTTATCAACTAAAAGATATTGAATAAAATCAATATTATTGAAAAGTACCTTCATGTTATGCCACATTGTGTACCTGAATAGTGCAACATAAATTAGTTCCAAAATTTTTTAATTCCCCAAGAAGGACTTGCTCTAATGATTTGGTTTTGATAAAGAATCAAACTGAAATGGGATCATTGAAATCTATCATTGAAAGCTAAATCCAAAATCTTTAATGTCAAATATGTTCTAAATTCGCCCCAATTTTATGTAGTTAAAATTTGGAACAAATGCTTTGTTTGTTCATTTGTTTGGAAACACATCAGACATAGTTGAAAGAAAAATTTGATTAAAGCTATTCCATTCACTCAATCACAATCTGCAATTTATGTACAGTACATTGATTTTACCATGGATAGCCTAAATATAATTTTTAAAATGGGGCTACCTGAGGTTCCTGTTGTACCTGAGTGTAAGTAAACCCTATCTGTGTGCAGGCCTCTTGACATTGGAGCTGCAAATGAGTCACTGTTATATTGCTGAAAACAAAATAGGTATATTATGTGTATACTGTATATTATGTGTATACTGTATACTATTAAAGTATTTGCATATGTGAAGTAGTATGCATTATATAATCTAGCTTGGAAATGGAGTAATCAATTGCAGTAAACATACAGCAAAATCTATATTTTTATTTTACTGGGTATATACAAATATATGTGGACTTAAACTTAGAATGAGATGTTCAGAACTACTGATTTCATAAACAAAGTACAAGATGTAACTGGGTAGAAAACTATTTATGATTTCTCAACAGGGAGCAGTGTACACAGTCAACTTGTCCATTGTTGAAGCAGTAAAAAGCAAAAGGCAAGTTTAAATTTTATGAAAGAAGATGTTTTTATCCAGGTCTTATTACTGTGAAATAAATATATGTATTTGGTCAAATCAATTATGAGGCTTACCAGTACAATATCGTCTTCTTCTGGTTCAGTCCTAATGAACCTTTCAAAACGCTCCCGTAGCCTTCTAGGACTTGTATGTTCTCTGATGTTTGTCACAATTGGACTGCTGTTGATGATATGTCCTGTTCTTACAAACCACTCACCAATCTGATCAAGTCTCAGATATTGAACTTAAAAAAGAAAATTTAGTGTTCATGTAGGCAGAAGTATACCAATATCTTTTAGCATATTTCTAGGTCCTGTAACATATGATTCAAATATGATATATGATTTGACAACATGATTTGAACATATGATTTGACAGTAGATCACTGCAATAAATATTTTCTAGCATCTTGAAATTAAATGTTACCTCTTGAGTAACCTGACTTACTAGGGGATCTTTGACGTGGCTCAACCTGTACCTGATTGAGTTCACTTCTCTTTCTTTTCTTAGGTGTACCTTGTGTCAGATCTATCTCTTCTGTTTCATTCCTAACAACAACAGTACATACAAATGTTATTCTTCGATTTAATTGACAGGGACACAAAGTGGGGCATGACATATAACAACTCTCTTGAAAGCCCATGCATATAATAAGTGTTTTATGTCTCTGCTCAAAGTAAGTTATTTGAAATTTTCAGTGGTTTTCAAGAGTATGCAATGATAGGACCATTTCCCACACAGGTGCAAATATTTTCGAAACTAATGCTTTGAGTGGTACATTAGCTTCAATTTCTCTGATTGTGCTGTACTGTCGTTTGAACTCGTTTGTTGTAGTACCTTGCAATAGTTGGTTTGGTACTAGGAGGTTGGGATCTCGGGTCTATCATGATAAGTTTAAACTTCAGAGCTAGATGGTCACTTTGGCCGAGTGGTGCTTCATAGCTTATATCACTAATGGTGTTTTTCTCTTTACGAAATGCGTTCGCCGTTCGGTATTCAGTATCGGCATTTTTTAAATAACGGTTTTTAAAATTATCAACAAATTGACAATCACGCCTAATGCGTGAGGGTTGACAGGGCTGATAAACACAATATCCAAAATAAATAAAATGAATAAAAAAGGAAATGTAAAACAGACTTGCTAAGCCTAATTTCCAGAATTTGGTCGGATTCTGAATAAGAATATTAGACTTCAGTGTAGAAATGAGAAAACTGACTTTTGATTTCATGTATTTTTCAGTGAGAATAAAGTAGTGTGAGGACGTCCAAAGAATATAAATGTTCATTTTCCTGTCCAAAGCCGGCCTACATGTATCTTCCAATCGCTGATCTTGACTCGAAAATTTTAAAAATCGTCAAAAAATCAAGAATTGATTATGGAGAACCACCTACCTTTCTAACCTTCGTTTACGATTCTCTGGCTTCTCTGGAGCTTTTGAGAGGAATAACTGCCTAACCTTCTCAAATTGGTCCTTTATGACATTCATTTGGAAGACAAAAGTGGAAACAAAAGCGAATTTTGGTTTTCCCGGCAATATGGCGGTTCATTCTTGAGATGACTTGGAGTAGTACGTTTTGGTAAAGATGCATTGATTATACGAGCGATCATAAATTCTGAATGGATATGGTTCGTATTTTAATCATTTCCTACTGATATCTTCACTCTCGCTCTTCTCAATGCATTTTATATCAATCTTAGCTCATAATAAAATAGATAGCCAATTCCACTTGACAGTCATTATTGATATACATATGTAACATGGATGCCTTTGAAAACCAGATTTACTTGTACATTTATATTGAGGGTGGAATTAATTTATGCCATTCACATTCAACATCAAAGAAAAAAATCTCATTTTGGAATAATCTATCTTTATGTATTTTTTCTGTAACCATTAAAAGATGATTATCTGTTAGGAAGTTTGATGGGCATGATGGGAGGTTGCTATGTGAAATCAAAGAAAAAAGCATCGAAGAAGACATCATTAATTGAACCATGAATGAACCAAAGGGGCAGAGTATGTTGATCATAAATCATAGAATTTTTTGTCAATACATCCTGTTGTCCAAAATTTTAGAGTAATAAGGTTACTATTCTCTATACTATTCTCTGACTGCCAGCCAGCGCTTATCACAGCCTTTGAAACAAACGTTCCAAAAAATGAGCTTAACACAGTCATAAATATTCGCAACTCATGCAAAACAATCAGACAAAAAGGTCTGTCAATCAAATACTATTGGGTTCCAGGACACGTTGATGTCAAATGCAATGAACTGGCTGACAGTCACGCTAAACGGGCAACATTAGTTGCAAAAAGCGGAAAATACGCTGAGGCTAAAATAAACAAACAGCACATATACAGCCTGATCAATAAATCTGTCCAGACAGTGGCAGAGACAATTATAATAATTCCAAAAAAGTTAGCCACATACAGCGATCAATAGAAAAAGTTGGAACCAGAGCTATCCTGGGAGAGAAAAACAGGAAAACATTCGGTATCACAAACCAAATGTTAAGTGGCCATACAAAGCTCAATAGCCACCTAAAGAAAACCAATCCCATACTCCCTTCAGACAAGTGCCACAACTGTGACAGGATAGAGACCATTGATCATTTCATACACCACTGCTCCAAATACAGCGAGATTCGTGAGAGACTATTTTATGAGGCTTATAGTATTCTTCTAGAAAGTGAACATAACCCAGAATTGGACATCAAGACTCTGTCAGGTCTGAACAAAACTCTAAAACCAGACATCAACAAAAGGTTGAACTACGCTTTTACAACCTTCTTGATGAAAACAAAAAGATTTTAATTGTCTATCTCATATAAACTTTAAATGTAAATAAGTTGCAAGCTAAGGAAATTTAGTGATTTTAAGAAAAAAATAAAATAAAAATAATCTACAAAAACACTAGAGACAGTCACAAGAGTAAAGCACCATTGAAAAAACAGCAACAGAGACTATTAGGTGACATGATAGCACCGTATATATGGACTTAACCAACCAACCGTTTTTGCTTATCTTTCATTGTGTCATTACTCAAAGACCAGCCAGGAAGTGATTATTTAGATAGAAGACATGTCAATCAATTCTCCCCGGAAAAATTACATGAGGACAGTTTTGAATCCTATTTGAGGGAGGAGATAAAATGACCCTCGCTACTGACTAATAGTTGAAGGAGCAAGTTAATCTTTACTTTGAATTTTCTTTGAACTACAAAACAACTACATACTTTTCCACTGCTGAGCCAGTCAACTTATGTTGTTATAGCGATCGATTTCTAGGTTTTTTACCTCACTGATGTCAAAGGTCCTGATAGGTGGGTATCTTTGTTTTTGACCACTGATTTCCAAAAGTATTAAACAGAATTATGTTATTAATGACTTAATGATCAGTTTGGATTTCTAAATTGTGAAACATAAATGGTGATTTAACACTTCAATATAAAAAAAGAACAAACAAAACTAAACAGTTGCTTTTAATGATAGATACAATATTTTGTATTTAGTTATTACTAATATCTACACTACATTAACTCACAAAGAGCTGAGTATAAATTACATGAAATAAAAAAGGTTTTGTTTTCATTTTTTAAGTATGACAGGCACATAACCAATTACGACATAAAATGTGAATTCATAAATTCTTGTGCAAATTAAGGTTTATATCTAATATCAAAATGAAAAAACTGCAAAAACATGAAAAACACTTGTTTAATGAATACAAATGTAGCATTTGTCAGTTTTTTGAACCATTTAGTTTACACAAAAATATAATTATGAAAAAAACCAGTGAAATAAATGTTGTACATACTAAAGTACATATTTGATAACAAAAAGGAGTGTATGAATTTATTTCTCTCTTTGTAACACAATAATCAACAATGAGAAGCAGAAATGCAGATGTGCCTAAGTGTCCTGGACAGTGAACTGCTTAGAGAGTACATACCCTTATCGTATACAAATATACTACTTAACATAAACTGGCATTTGCTATGCACATATAAAGACTGAAGTTTTACACACAAGTGTTCAAGCAGGTTTCACTGTAGAAAAGATTCATAGACGCATGCATGTACTAGTTTTTCATAAAATCTCTCTCTGAACACTATAAATATATCAAAACAAACAAGACAGTAGCAAACATGGCAGAAATGATTGTAATGATGGTGGACTCACATGACACACGTCGAAATAAAATATTTATATACATTAGGCCTATTATGTAATTCTACATCGAACAATCAGTCACACAAACTGACATGTAATGCAATTTTCTTTTATAAATTACATGCACTTTCTCATTTAGTTCTTGAATACTCTTTTCTAATTTATGATATAATGTTTAATTACAAAAGCATTATGTCCTGCAAGAATGTTGAGTTTTATACATATATACAATTTTTATTTACATGCTGCATTTGAAAGTTTAGGGGTCATTTCCAAATATCATATATCACTATTTGTGAAAAAACAAGGGGTCTGATAATGTTTGTAGCAGTGTAAATGCGACAAACAAAAAAGTTCAAAAGTGATAAATGAGAGTAAGGGGATGGAGGAGGTTTAGATGGAGAAAACTGTTGAAAATATTTGGATATGACCCCTAAACTGAATATATCTGTGTATGAGACTGTGTGTGTGCCAGTGTGTGTGAATGTTCCATTTAACAATTACATACCACATATATCATGTATCTTTAACAATCTTAATAACAATGACTCATCCTTCAATGAGTTATTGCTTATTATCTATATAAATAATAAAAACTCATCTACTGTAAATGTAGTTATCTATTATATTTAACAAACACTCATACGTTTTTTTAATCTGCAACAACTTTGGATCAACCACATGATTCAATGGTCCTGTTGCCTATAGTTACGATATTGTAAAATATCATACATAATGAATCACTTCTGACTACAGCATACACAGACCAACATTGTCAATTGAGCATCCAACCATGCTATCCACATTCACAAAATAATTCAACAGTTACTGCACTTTACAATTTTCTTCATCAGTATTCTGGGTACGTGCTCCACCACGTCTTGGTTGCTGTCGGACATTTTCTGGTGATTTTTTCAAGCTCAATGAGCGGTTTGAAGATCTTGGTACACGTTTTGGTCCTCCTGTTGTGGATGATGTGGGTGGTTGTTTCTTGGGACTATTCGTTAGTGTGGCTAGAGCTGTGGACTGAGACCGCTGAAATTTAGTTACAGTAATAATTATTGAACACTGTTTATGTGGCACAGTATATTATAAGTTTGCATGTACACATGGATTGTCACCAGACATAAAAGGTTTGTCGATCTTACAGATTCATTCTCAGTCACAAGATTACAAATGTAAAAAAAACAGTTAGTTGATTTATCTCAAGAACTTTAGTTATTCTGAACTTTTAACCGTTTTCCAAACACCAGTTTCATTTAGGACAAAACCATACTAACAACTATCCATGTTACTAAATATGTTCAGGGTAATGCCACAACATTTTCAAGTCAGAATTCCCTGACCAAAAGCATAGTTTTTATTGACAAAAAAACAAGTAAAAGTGACAAATTACATGTTCACTGAACTCATGTACAATATTCATGATTTTATAGATAATATGTATTTAATATAGTTTTTTTCACTTTATGGTCCAAATTTTCAACTTTCTATTTCAATTAAAATTTTCTGACTTTTCTCAGATTTTTTAAGTTTCACTGTTTCAATCCTGATGTGATAAAAATCAATGAGGTGGATTTTGAACATTTAGCCAGAATATTTATCTTAGATAAAGGACAGTAAAGAACGTATGACATTATGTTAAATATACTTTACTCACAGTATTATGAGATTGTCTGGGCTCCTGGGAAGACTTTTTATCCTCCTGTGATTGTTGCTCCTGGGAGAGTTTTGCCTCTTGTGACCTAGTTCTAACTCTATTGATATAGTCTCTAATGTTCTTTTCCTGACTCAATTGTCTACTTCGCTGTTTGCTCAGAGAGGGGGCATCTGACTTACTAGATGGCACTATCTCCTCTTGAAGAGATTGCATTTTGGGAATATTGAGGCCAGGATGGTGGAGATTACGCTCCATGGCAACACGTCCACGACCTCTAGGAGTAATGGGCATGTTGGTGGAACGACGCACTATTCCTGGACTTGGCTCAACCATGGGAATATCTGCAAACCCTGGAAATTGTAAAAGTGTTAACATTGTGATACCTTCAACATGTGGGCAGGCTGAGAAAATTGTTTTGTAATCCTTGAAAATGGCTTTTGGAATTCTCCAATTTTGGTAATTATTCCAAGGCAAATGTTCAACTGAATCGTTGGATAATAACCCATGTACATCATTATAGGTTTACAGTTTGTCCTGACCTCAATTTTTAAATGGGAAATACAGTTCCATCATTACAATAAAAGCAGTTCAAAATCAGCAAAGCTTAGTAACTTACTCTTACATCCATATTAGTACAAAACAAATTACATGGCATACCTAAGCTGACAACTTCTGGTCTCCCCTGAACATCAACATCTGGGGATTCCTCTTCTACCTTACTGCGCTTTGATTGGGTGCGTGTCTTTAATGGTGTCGACGCTTCACGTTTCACTCCAACTGTATTGGAAATGTCTGTATTTGTACTAATTTCACCCTGGTTTTGGGTTTCAGTCTTGGATTTCCGCTGAGTTGAAAGTCTAGATTTATTTGAAAGTTTTGATTTCAAGTCAGTTTTATCACTGTCTTTGGAAATTGTCTGATCTGTAGCCACTATATTCACAGGGTTTGATTTCTCCAGGGCTACTGAACTTGCAGGGTTAGTTGTTGCTGCAACATCCTTACTGGGTTTCAAAGCATCTGTTGTTTCTATGGACATCCCAAGCTGTTGTAGTTTCTCACCTGAAAGTGAATCACACACAATCATGTAAATAACTTGTAATACATTAATTAATCATAAATACCACTTTATACACATGACATGATTTAATATGGACAAGATACAGGGTGAACGGAAAAAAAGGAGACCATTGAAGTAATCAATTTCTCCTAAACTAGACAAGTGCCATCAATGAAATTTTGCATACACTGGAACAGTTATATGGAAATTTGTTACTGAAGGTTTCAATACAAGCATTCAACTGGTTCAGGAGCTATGATCATTTACATAACATGCTCCAAATAGGCACAATTGAGACCAACGCAGAGTTGGATTCATATGGCAAACTACCCTTACATGTTCTGCCCTCTATGGCATTATTATTATGGCATTACATATAGCAGTGATTGCCTTCTTTAGGTCAACAATAGTCTGAGGATTGTTTTGGTATAGATTGTCTTTCAAATATCCATACAAAAAGAAATCAGCAGGATTCAAGTCTAGGCTGTAATGGCAATGAAGGGTTATCTGACATGTGGTTCATCATCCTGTTGCCAAAGTGCTGATTTACCAAATCTTAAGTCACTTTAGGTATTGGGCATAGTGCCATGTTACTAAAACCACTATATGGCACAATTAAATCCCATATGAAAACCAAGGGCTGCCCAAAACCTCCTTAGGATGATACTGTAACTGAGTGGGACCACTGAGTCAGAAGCCATAGGTCAGATAAGCTTCGTCTCCATACACCTCAAATTTGAATCCACCTGATTTCTTTTTGTGGGGCAATTTGAAAGACAATGTGTACCAAAACAATCCTGAGACAATTGCTGACCTAAAGGTGGCAATAAATGCTAAATGTAATGCCATAACAAGGTCGGAATATGTAAGTGTATTTGCCAAATGTATCCAGCTCTGCGTTGGTCTCAATTGCGCCTATTTGGAGCATGTTATGTAAATGATCATAGCTCCTGAACCAGTTGACTGCTTGTATTGACACTTTCAGGAACAAATTTCCATAGAACTGTCCTGATGTATGCAAAATTTCATTGATGTCACTAGTCTATTTTAGGAGATATTGCCTATTTCAATAGTCTCCTTTTTTTCCGGTCACCCTGTAGTATTCTGCATTGCAGTGTGAAGACTGGATGAGACTTTAGAATAAGATCAGCGATTTGGCTAACTTGGACATTTTACAAAATGTTCACTAATGTAATGCTTCATTCATAAAAACATCCAAAAGTTATCCTCCTATGACCACCTTCTAAATCTTTGACTTAATGGTCTCAAATATTTTTGTATACAAAGCAGGAATGGTTGAGATTCAAGAGTGACATTTATAAACGATTAGCTATTACTAATACACCAAGAAATACGAATAATTATATGGTTGCTCAGTCACACCAGAAGACATACATGTAGTTTAATGATACTCACTATATTTTTCTAATTTCCTCTCCAAGCTTTTGACCTGTTTATCGAGAGTTTTTACTTTTTTAATTTCATTGAAGTATTTGTTGAGATAGTCATGAGATTCCTTCTTTTTGCTGGCTAGTGTAGTCTTTAAGTATTCAATTTCTTCCTGAAATAAAAATACAATAGTGTTGATTATTTAGGACCTGTTAAAAGTGTTAATATTTTAAAGTGCTTGTATTCCCCAAAAGACTTCTCAGAAACTCAACAGTTCAAAGAATATCATAAATCACAAGACAAAAATATATTAGAACCATTTGATTTACCATTGAATCCAAGAAGCCTCTAATTTGAATAAATTCAAATCAAAATAAGTCAAAAATGTTTTTACTAATAAAGACCCAAATTATATAAATTCCACTCATAATGAGCTTATTTTTTAAAAAATGACTTGAACTGAAAACATACCTTGTCTTCCGTTCCATCTTTGAAGAGAATCTCATACTGACATTTAGACTCTTCAAGTTCCAATTCAGTTGATTTTTGCTTCGTTAAAGTTTGCTTTAACTTCTCCTTCAACAATTCTTTGTCTGTTTTCAACTGTGTGTTTTCACTTGCTAGTTTGCTGCCCTAAACCCCAAAAGAAGCAAGAATTAACTCTGTGCACAACTGATTTCTATAAATTATCAAGCAAGAGAACACATATACTTTGTGTGATCTTATTCATGTCATTTAAATCAATTTTTCTTACACATCTCAAACTCCACTATCGACATCTTGCTAAAAGGTATCATAATTTTATCTATTTTTCAATTGAATAATAATTATTTCTACTCAACGTATTGTAAGTTCTTTTACAAGAAATATTTAAAGGATATTTATATATTACCTCCTCAATAGATCCATTATCAGAGAATTTTAGTTTCTCATTGAGTTGATCAGACTTAGTTCTCTCATCAGCTAGGTCGCTGCGAAGCTTTGCATTGACAGCTTCAAGTTTCTTCAGCTCCTGTGATAAAATAAATTTCACTTATATTCTATAAATGTTACATTGAAAAATGATTCAATTTACACATTTCAGTGAATATATAAGAAAGCATCTAAGGGACCTTAAAATTTTACGTTAATGTGAAGTCGGATAAAGGAATACTAAGAGCAGGGATATCAACTAATCATGTTTATTTTTTTCAATTTATGAATTACTTATAAAATAAACAAGGCATTAACATGCAAAATATCACTACCTGCCATTTGTTACAGATGCCAACGGCCTAACACCAGACACCAACAGCCAAAGACCATCCCAAAAAATTGGAGACTATAATAATGTCACCACTTGTGGCGGCATAATATATTTAGACAAAGTTGGATGTATCTCTTATATGATCATAAACAAGGAACTTACATTTTTCTGTTTTTGGTTTGGAGAAGGCTCTTGTTCCAGTCTCTTCAATTTGAGCAATGCATCTTTCAAAGACCTCTTACCCTCCTCCACAAGCGTGCTGAGGTCTCTGTTTGCGTTTTTCAGCTCATCTAGTTTAGTCTCATACTGAAAAATAATTTATCGAGTTTTTATTGGAATTCAAGCCAAGGTTTGGTCACACCAACAAGAACAAATTAACCAGCAGCTTCTGAGTGATCAGGGTGAAAATCAGATATAGACAAGTTGTATAGGCCTATGGGTAAACACAACAAGAACGATTCATCAGAAATGTGGTTCTTATTAATCCAAAATTTTCCCACATGGTAAGCTATTGCAAATGGTAACAAGGGTGTAACAATTGTTACAGCCATTGAACAACCACCATCAGTCATAAAAATGGAGGCCATGTAATTAAACAACATGGAATGGTGACATCATAAATCAAACATAGAACTATTAGAACACAAAGTTTTATTATTTAAAAGAACACAACTCACATCTGAAGTCAGAGAGTTAATCTTTGCGTCCATCTCTTCCTGTATCTTGTCTGCCCTCTCCTCAAAGGCACCAATGTCTTTAGTGTATTTGCTGTTGTTAGCCTTAATCTCAGCATCCTTCCTCTTCAGTTCCTCAGCTAGATCAGCTTTCTCTGTTTGCAAAGCGTCAACTTCAAGCTGGAAAACCAAGTTTGCAAATTAATTCTTCAAATCACCATTCAAACCTTCTATCAAGTATATTAGTTTAGAATATAGGGCATTTGATGTATTTGTACATTCCACAACTTAACAAAGAGAGGCAAAAATATGATATTTATAACCAATGAGGTTAGAAGTTTGATAAATTTGATTCATTCTTACCTTTAAGCTCTCAGCTTGTTGTGATGTCTCATCCATCCTGCAGAGTGAAGCACTAACTTCACCATTCAACTCATTTATCTTCGTTGTCAACTGCTTCTCAGTGGCCTCAAGCTTTGCCTCAAGCTCTCTAGTTGTACCCTCTAGGTCAGATACTGATTTCTTAAGAGCATTGTTGGAGTCTTCTAGACTAGACACAGATTCTAGTAGGTCTGATTTCTCCTTGTTAAGGGCCCTTTCTCTCACTTCTACTTCATTTATTACTGTCTTAGACTGCTTTAGTTCCGCATTTAGAGTTGATATCTCATCTTTGAGCCCATTATTTTCTCCGTCTAATGTAGCTTTGGAATTTTCTAATGTCAAGAACTGGTTCAGTAGTTCACGTTTTTCATTCTGTTCAGTGTGAAGCATTTTCTCAATATTTGTTGTTGCAATCTTGTTGTTATCAACTTCATCTTTGGTTGATTTAATTTGATCTTCTAAGGAAGTCTTCTCTGCCAACAATGTGGCATTCTCATTCTCTAAGATAGTGAATTTCTCTTTCAGTTCTGTGTGTTCTTTCTCTAAACTGTATTTCACCTCGAGGTCATCAAAGAATTTATCCTGCATTTCAGACAACTCTTTGCTCAACTCATCAGCCTTGTCTTGGACATCTTGTTTCTCTCTTTCAACATTTTCAAGTTTATGCTCAAGCTCTTCAATCAATTTGATCTTCTCAGCCTCGCCTTTCCTTGTTTCTTGCTCCAGATTTGCTAAAGTTTCCCCCAATTCCTTTAGGGTCTTTGATTTCTCATTCAGTTGTGCTGTAAGTTCATTTTTCTCTGTTTCCTGTGCCAACATTTCCATCTCATATGTACTTATCTTTTCTTCTACAGCTTCAAGAACTGAGAGTTTCTCTTCTAAAGACTTCTGAGTTGTTTGCTTTTCTGCTTCAAGGGCTTTGATAATTTCTTGCTTGGAGGTGACTTCAGCTTGGAGGTCAAGACTCTCTGCTTGGATAACCTGGACCAAATCTTCTGTTTCAGTGAGTTTAGTAGCTTGGGTAACTCTATCACTCTCATATTTCTCAATTATAGTAGATAACTGAGTGATAGTCATTTTTATTTCTCCAATTTCATTCTCATATGTTGCTACCTGATTGTCGAGTTCTGTGTTCTTAACCTTAACAGATTCTAGCTCAGCAGTTGTTGATTCTTTCTCAACCTCCAAATCACTAATTTGTTTTTCTGATATTTTCAGTGCTTTGTTAAGATCATTTTCCTTGATTCTTAGCTCCTTGATTTGTACATTGAGCTCTTGTATTTCAATTTGGGTCAATTGGTTCAATTCGATCTGGTCATTGTTTTCTTCTTGGAGTTTTACCTTATCAGATTTAAGGCTTTCAACAACCTGTCCAGCATCTTCCAAATTCTGTTTCAAAGTCTCTAATTCATCATCCATGCTCTTTGCTTTCGTAGCCAATTCAACACGATCAAGCTCAGAGGCTAAAGTTTCTGAAGTATGGGTCCTTAATTTGGTTTCTAATTCATTACACTTACTGGTCCATTTATCTAACTCTTCCACAAGGAATCCTGACTCCAATCTGAGGTCAGATATTTTCTCCTTTGCTTCAGCCAACTCAGATTTGTTTGAGTCTAGAGCATTGTTGACGTCAACATTTGCCTGTTTAGCATCTGTTAACTGATCTTCGAGAGCTGCTATTTCTTTATGTGTTTGCCTTAATTCCTCTTTTGTAGACTTCAATGTGTGTTCACACTCTCTCAGCTGTTCGTAAAGTTTATTCTTTTCATCTTCTACTTCATCTAAATGGCTTACTATAATGTCCTTTCCATCTCTGCTTTTGCGTCTTTGCTTCCTGATATTGAATAACTCCGTCTCGGCTTGTTTGAGATCGTCCTTCAGTCTGGAATTCTCTAGTTCCAAGGTATCTAGTTTTTCTTGAACAGCTTTGAATTCTTGGTCTATTTTATCAAATTGACCCTCTAGGTCCTCAGCATGAGCCTGTGTTGAATGAAGTTCGCTCTGTGTACAACTCAATTTATGAGAAGTCTCATCTTGGTGGTGTTGTACTTCAGACAATTTAGCACCTACTGCTTCCAGCTTATCACTCAGTTTCAGTTTATCATTTTCAGCTCTTTGCAGTTCCTCTTCTATTGCACTTTTCACAGACTGAGTGCTTTCAAGTTCATATTGAAAGTTTGAGACCTGGCTCTGGGAGGCCTCTGCATTATATTTCATGGCTGCAAGTTCATTGGTAAGCTGTGAGATGTGGATGTTAAGCTCAGCTTTTTCTTCTTCAAGTTTATCTACTGCACTTGTGAGATCATCCTTAAAGGCCTCTGAAGCAGATATTTCAGTGTCTTTATTAGCAGCTTTCCCCTGTAACTCTTCTGCATGTAACCTCAGCCTGTCTACTTCAACATTTAGGTTTTGAATCTGACTGGTCAAAGTGTCTTTTTCTATTTCATAAGCTTTGGTTGTCTCTTCTACAGCAGCTTGAGTCATCTCAAGTTCATTGGTTGAAGATTCAGCTTTGTGTTTCAGGTCCTCAACTGTTGCTTTCAATTCAGAGATATGGGATTCCAATGTTTGGACAGTATCTTGAACTTTCTTCTTTTCTTCTTCCAGTTTTGATATCGTTGCTTCGAAGTCTTCATTGATTCTCTGCGATACTTGTACTTCCTCCTTGTAATTCAATGCAGTATGTTGAGCAGATTCTGCATTGGATTTAAAATCATAGAGTTCTCTATTTAACTTTTCAATTTGTTCTTTCAATATAACAATTTCATTTCTAAGCTGCTGTTGCTCAGTTTCTTGTACAATGCTGTTTGCTTCAATTCCATTTTCTGCTGAAATAACTTCATTCTGTACCCCCTCTAGAGTAAATTTTACCTTGGACAGTTCAGCATTCAGTTTACTGATCTCATCCTGAAAACTCTGATTCGTAACCCTGATAGATTCAATGGTACACTCAGATTCAGACAGCTTAGTTGTCAAAGCTGCAGATTTGTCCTCTTCATTTTTCAGGTTATTCTTGAATTCTTCAAAGTCCATCATGATTGCCTCCTTTTGAGTCTCGTTAACCTTAAGCTTGGTTTCAGTTTCAGTTAACTGTTCATTTAGCTTAATAATCTCTTCTTGTTTCTTTGTAACTGTGTGCTCTAGGTCATGTCTCACCTCAGTAAATTCTCTCTCCAAAACCTGAAGGCTGTCAACCTGTTCACGATTGTTTCCTTGAAGCTTTTCAATGCGATCTTGAGTAAACTGAAGTTGTTCCTGGAGTTCAGCAAGTTCTTTGAGGGCTTCCAGATGTTCTGCCTCTTTTCCTTCTAAAATATTCTCATTCTCTGCTATCTTTAATTCAAGTTCAACAATCCTCTGAGATTCACCTACTGCTTGGGCATGTGTGGAGTCTAGATGTTGTGACAACTTTTCCTTTGTTTCCTCAAGTTCAGCTTCCAACCTTTCATTATCTTCTTTGGAATTCTCCAAAGCAAATTCAAACTCCGATTTCAATGTTTCAAGTTTGGATTCCTGGATACTCTGCTCATCTGCAAGTTTATCAGTGAACGATTTTTGACTCTGTGACATTGTAGACTTAGTGCTTTCAAGCTCCATTTTAACTTCAGAAAGGTTGGTCTCTAGTGTAGCTATTTCATCTTTGAGGGAGTTTATTTCTGTATTTCTATCTTCAACTTGTGTTTCTAAAGCAGTAATATTTTGTGTCTGTTGCTCAAGGTCCTTGTTTGACGACTTCTCTTGATCAACACTTGCCTTTTCCAAGACATCAATGTTCTCTCTTAGGGAGTAGATTTCTTTCTCATGTTCAGCTATCAATGTTTCTCTCTCAGAAACTTTGTTTTCTGCATCGTTCAATAGTTTTTGGAGTTCATTATATTTATCATTTTGTGTATTACATTTCTGTTCAATCTGCTCCAGTTGTTGCTTGAAACTTTCAGTGACAGCTTCAATATCAGACTCCTTGGACTCCATTTCTGATTTAACAGTTGAGATTGACTGTTCCAACTCCACATTAGTTTGCTCTGACTTCTTAAGAGAATTTTTCAAGTCCTCAATAGTGTGCTCCATTCTTTCTTTATCTTGTTGAAGTTTTTCAATAGTGTCCTTAAGAACTGTGATCTCTTCTTCCAGTTCTATAGCATTCTGCTTGGCTTCAGCCTCCAGATCATCAACTTGGAGCAATAGGGTGTCAACCTTCTCCTGAAGAGCTCTGATTTGGAGATCTCGTTCATGTACATTGTCGAGATATGATTTCTGGCTACTTGACAGAACTTCGTCAGAGTTACTTATTTGACTATTGAGATCATCAATTTCACTTTGTCTTTGTTTCAAAACTTCCTCCAAATCACATAATTGGTTATCACGTTCAGTTAACATGATGTTGATGCTGCTGACCTTTTGCTCAGATGTGCTGAGATCCTGCTCTAGTTGAGTTTTTGTGGTTGTGAGCACTTGAACCTCATCTGTCAGACCTGAGCATGATTTGCTGGATTCATCTAGTTGCTCTTTAAGTGTGCTCATTTCAGTCTGAAAAACTTCGAATGATGTTTTAATTTCCTTCAATTGTTGATTTAAGTTATCCCTATCACTCTTGAGTTCAGTGTTTTGCTGGATGACATCATCACCTTTCATTTGAGCATCACCAAGCATGGTTAGAGCTTCAGTCTTTTCTTTCGAAACTGCTTCTAGCATTACTCGGTCACTTTCAATTTGAGCAGTTAATTTTGCATTTTGATCCAGGAGTTTCTCAAGCTTTTCGTTTGTTTCAGATAGTTGTTCAGTGATGCTTTCAAAATCTTCCTCCTTGTTCTCAAAAGCAAATGTCATCTCATTAACTTTCTTCTCGAGCTCAGATTTTTCCATTTCTCTTGAAGATTTCATTTCTACTATTTGTTGCTCTAACTGGGCTTGGCTTTCTTGAGCTGCTTTTAGAGTATTTGTAAGATCTTCTATGTTATCAGATTTGCTGACCAAAGCTGTAGATGCTTCATCAAGTTCTTTCTGTAGAGCGTCTAGCTTATCAGTAATGACCTTTATGTCACTGTGTAGTTGAGAAATTGTGTTTGATGATTTATCTTTAATGCTGGCTAACTCTGCAGTTGCATCTTCAAGTTTGGTCTCCAATATTTCTTTCTCCCCATTTAGTTTGTTATTTGTTGTCTCGAGATCAACTTTAGAAGCTTGATGAGAATCTTTCAAAGAGGTCAATTCATCTATTTGTTGTTTTTGCTGCTCTGCTTGGAGTTTAGCAGTAGTAAGTTGAGAAGTGAGGTCTTCACTTTCATTAGTTTTTGTCTGCAATAATCTGGATGTCTCTTCTATTGTTTGCTGTAATTTAGTTATTTCTGACCTAGCATGTTCAGTGGATGCTCTCATTTCCTTCAATTGTTGATTTAAGTTATCCTTTTCACTCTTAAGGTCAGTGTTTTGCTGGATGACATCTTCACCTTTCATTTGAGCATCAGCAAGCATGTTTAGAGCTTCAGACTTTTCTTTGGAAACTGCTTCTAGCATTACTTGGTCACTTTCAATTTGAGCTGTTAATTTTTCATTTTTATCCAAAAGTTTCTCAAGTTTTTCAGTTGTTTCAGTGAATTGTTCAGTGATGCTTTCAAAATCTTCTTCCTTGTTTTCCAGAACAAACGTCATTTCATTAATTTTCTTCTCTAGATCAGATGTTTCCTTTTCTCTTGAAGATTTCATTTCTGTGATTTGTTGCTCTAATTGGGCTTGGCTTTCTTGAGCTGCTTTTAGAGTATTTGTAAGATCTTCTATGTTATCAGATTTGCTGACCAAAGCTGTAGATGCTTCATCAAGTTCTTTCTGTAGAGCGTCTAGCTTATCAGTAATGACCTTTATGTCACTGTGTAGTTGAGAAATTGTGTTTGATGATTTATCTTTAATGCTGGCTAACTCTGCAGTTGCATCTTCAAGTTTGGTCTCCAATATTTCTTTCTCCCCATTTAGTTTGTTATTTGTTGTCTCGAGATCAACTTTAGAAGCTTGATGAGAATCTTTCAAAGAGGTCAACTCATCTATTTGTTGTTTTTGTTGCTCTGCTTGGAGTTTAGCAGTAGTAAGTTGAGTAGCGAGGTCTTCACTTTCATTGGTTTTTGTCTGCAACAGTTGGGACGTCTCTTCTATTGTTTGCTGTAATTTAGCAATCTCTTGAGTGAGACTCTCTACCTTCATATTGAGTTCATTCTTCAGACTGACATTGTTGTTCTTGTTTGCTTCATTCTCCCTCTCCAGAGCATCTTGCTTATCCTGCAGTAGTTCATGTTCACCAACAAGTTTATCTTTCTCATTTTCAATTGCGATCTTTTCAGCTTTTATGGTTTCAATATCCTTCTTCAAGCTATCACATTGAGCTTCAAGTTGGTCGCACTGGTTTGTGTATTGCTCAACACATTCTTCCTTGTCCTCTATGTCCATTTGTAAAAGATCAAGTTTCGATTTCAATGTGTCCAATTCCTGAGATGTTTCTGTTTTCACCTTGGTAGTTTCAGACTTGGAAATCTGAATGGCTATCTCTAATGAAGCAACAGTATCTTCTGCTTTTGTGAGTGCCTCAGACTTTGTTGTTAATTCAGTTCTGGATTCTTCCAGTGCGATTTGGAGTTTTTCGCATTCTTCATTCAGAGATTTATACTTTGTTTCACCTTTTGTTAGTTCATTTTTGAGATCAGAGATGGCACCTAAAAAACAAGAAGTAACAAGTTGTTTATATAATCAGTCTACGAGGACTATGGAAACAAATGCATTCAGTAATGTTGGAGTTGGAATTAAAATTCTTTAGCTTGGTATAATACAAACATCCATCCAAATACGAGAATCTGCACAGAACAACACTGAGATGAATAAGTTATTTAATAACTATATTACAATAACACTTTTGTTGATCTGAATTACATTATGACAATGATGTCTAATTACACTTACGATTCATATGTTGAGTCTTGGCTTCTATATCTGCTGACAGAGCTTTGATATCATCATCAGCCTTGTTAAGTGCCTCTTTATCTCTGGCCATCTGTTCTGCACTTTCAGTTTTGTAAGTATTCAGGACACTGAAGCAAATCAATGTTTGCACATAAGAAACAAGACATTTGCATGCAAAAAGTCACCATGTGCCATTTGTTACAGATGCCAAACTCTGCACGCCGTCATAAAAAGTTGGAGACCATATAACAATATGTCACCACTTGTGGTGGTGACATAACTAGGTAGGTATTTAGTTGACACAAAATATATTCAATCCATACCCCTATAAATTTTATTGAACACATACTTATCAACGAAAAGTCAGTCCCTTAGAACCAATGTACCCTAAAATAACTGTAATGATATACTGCAAGTATGTATCTGATTCTGTTTGTAATATTATTCTCTTAGTTTGCAGTCATACCTATTTGCCTCTGTCAAATCATGTAGCTCATGTTCAGCTATATCTATTCGATGTTTCAGCCTCTCTATGGCTTGGTCCTTGTCTTCAAGTTGCTCAATGAACCTTTTCAACTCACTGGATTTCTCATCAGCTAGAGTGCACACCTTCTTGTAGTCTGCACGTACCACTAAAGGCAAATGTAAGACACTTGTAAAATCATTGAAAAAATGCCTTCATAACCATACATGAACAAAATATAAACTTTTACTCTAGCTAAGGAGTAAAGTTCAATATATCAATGTCTCTGGGGGAGGTTAAATGTCCAATGTGTTTTGCTAATTCTCAATCAATCAAAAAGAATTCAATAACATTATAAAAATGAGGGGTTAATCTGAAATGTTGTTAATTACATTTTAGGACAACAAATATTGACACTGTCCCCAAAAATAGATGCGCTATTCAGGAAAACCTCCACTCTTATTAGATGAACATGTCGAAACTAGATCACTATTGACCTGGTCTTATATATCATATGTTTCCACAACTTCAATCATACCTTCAAGTTCCTTAGTTACTTTATCAAGGCTAGCTTTGATGTTGTCCACTTCCTGTTTATGTGAAGCATCAATAAGGGTGAGCTGCTCAGACTTCTCCGTGACCTCTAGATCCACAAGGCCTTTTTCCGTGCTCAACTTGTTATACTTTTGCTCCCAGTCTGTGACTTCTTGACGGGAGGAGACTAGAGATGATTCAAGGTTCTGAATCTGATTGTTCGCCTTCATCATCTCCTTTTTAGCCTACAATACAAACCCAACAAAGTTAAATTTTGTTTGAAAGGTAAAAAATGTCACAATGAATGCTTGTTGATGGTGTCTAAATGTTGAAAGTTGTGGCAAAGTGAAGATAATTTCTATTCAATTAATACCACCCCAACATCCACAGCAAATCCAGTCAATGGTTGATATAAATATAATCATTTGACAAACCTCAGAGAGTTCCTTAGTGGTAGTGTCAAGTTCTTCAGACTTCTGACAGACTAGTTCTTCATGTTCCTTGTTCTGGTTTACCCTATCAGCATCAAGCTTTTTCAGTTTCATCTCCAGATCATTAATAGTCCTCTCTAGATCTTGTTTAGCCTTGGTCAACTCCTACAAACATATGTACCAAATCGTTTGGTAAATCCATGCAAGAATTCTTTCATGTTTTACTTTTCAATATTTTTCATTGAAACCCAGAATAAGATTAGAGAGGAACTATTTATGCATTGAGTGTTGACACGCAAAAAATAAGCGACCACTTATGATTGGTCAAAAGTTAGAATAGCTATAATAAACTTTAATTTTGGATACATGGGAAAATCCCTGATTTGAAAATGCTATTTGCAATGATTGGGGATCAATTTTTTATTTACCTTTTCTTGCATCTCAATTTTGGATTCCCGATCTCGGACTGTTTTCTCAAGATTCATAATTTCTGCTTTCTGGGATTCGAGGTCTTTCTTCACAGAGTTGTGCCCATTCTTCTCCTTGTCAAGTTGCTGCTGACTGAGCCCTGATAGAATAAAAAAATTAATATAGATTTTCATTGAATTTCGAATGGTTATCAGTTTTCGATGAGTTTATAGGAATTTTAGTTTAGGATAAAGAGTTCAGAATTATAGATTTTGATAAATCACAATATAACAAGATTATAATCAAACACCTGTATTTTCCAGATTGTTAACTGAATTACTGATCATAAACTAAATATTTAAACAATTTTTTTAATATTCATAAATAATTACCTAAATCTTGTTGAAGTTTATCCATGCCATTTTGAAGCTTTTGAAATTTATTTTCAAACTGCTGTTGAGCTTTCTCTCCTTCTTGCTTCAGAGATTGGATTTCACGTTGAAGCATTCCTATTTCTCTGCAATATTTGAATGTAAAATGAAAAATGCAAGTACAACACGCCTAACCATCGACAATGTACAGTCACAAAATATACGGGTGTACACTTTAACTGTTCGAAGCAAAAATTGTGATGTAGGTTTTAAAAGATTTATCTAAGGAATATTATTAAGTATTTCATGTTTCATTTTAAGTGCAAGCTCTTGGCAAGAGTTTTAACTTTCTAATTACGTTCACAGATTCTCAAACAAAGCAAAAGTGTCTTCTAGGTAATTCCAACTACATCCATGTGAATTTAACCAACATTTTTCAGCTGGTCAATTATGTGGGTGGACTCACTTGACTTTGGCATCTGTCTGAGACTTGGCATTGTCAAGCTGGGATGCAAGATTCTGTTTCATCTCCTCAAGAGAACTGATAGCATTCTTCCTGCCCTCCAACTGCTGCTGCAGGTCATTAATAGACCTTTCAGCTTCCTGTAATGATATACACATTTGGTTATATACCGTCCAGCCTCCTCAAACAATATACACATTTAATTTTATTCCAATCTTAACATGTAATGTTACATACAATCAAATACAATTTGACGCAAAGCGTATATTGTAGATTGGTTGGTATTGTTAACACACATGTTATACAAAACAAAATGTTCAGAGACCCTTCAGCCTCCTGTAACAAGATACAATATAGACCTTACACTTGTATATTCACAGACCTTGAAGCTTCCCGTAACACTTTACACATTTGCTTGTAGACATTTAAGAGTCAAATAACACGAGGCACAATTGTTATGGCCCTTGAAACTTCCCGTAACACGATACACATGTTACTGTTTGCTATTTTTATTGCTGTTTCAAAGAAAGAAAATAACTGGTGTCAGCCTACCTGTAGCTTATTCTCCTGTGCAGCTGTGGCATTGTTAGCTTTTTGCAGTAGCTGATTTGTTTTATCATGTTGTTCCTTTAGGTGAGTGTTTTCAGTCTGGAGTCTCTTGTTCTGTTGTTCTTGCTGGTCTATTACCTTCTTGGCTGTCTCATAGTCTTTCTCCAGGTTCATCAGCTTATCTAGGGTAGCAAACATTTGTGAGTGGATGAGGGGTTAAAATTGAAAAATTCCAACCCAATCTTAAAACCCTCCTTGTAATTTCATGATTGGAAAATGAATTCTGAAATACTTCTGCAAATATTGGACTACGAATGTCGAAATACCTGTTGCATGTGCAGTTTCCCTTTCTTGCTCTTTCACCTTCATCTCTGTGGTCTGCTTCTCCCTTTGCACATTTTCCAGCTGGATTTTCAGATTTTGTAGTGTTGTGTTCAATTGTGTTGTATCACGTTCACATTTTGCCTGTAAACAATCATACCATTAATTAGAAACACATTGTACATTAGTTAACAGAAAAAAAGCAATACAACCAACTCACTTTGGTAATGAAATCCCCTGCATTTAGAACATTCTAAATTTTGAAGACTTACTCTGATGAATATTTTAATTAGAATTACATATCAAGTTTTGTAGAATTATCCATTATATGGAGCTATGTGTTGAAAATAGAGATACAAACCTGCCAGCTTTCTATATCTAGATCCTTTTCCATTAGTTTGCCTTTAAGGTCACTGTTCATCTGTTCATTACTAGCTACGTCAGCTTTGCTCTGTTTCAATTGAGACTCCATGTGACATAGTTTATTGTCTTTATCAGTAAGTTGATTGCTCAACATATCCTTAACAATAGAAAATAATTCATTTTTGAATTTGATTTGTTGTGTTATTAGTAAGATGCATTTTTCTATTTGTAATTAATAGAAACATGAAGAAGTTGTCTTAGCTTTGGTATCAAGATGTTTCACTACTTCCGTATTTATCTTTAGACATTTCATCTTTAAACTTTTCATTCCTTAGATGTTTAATAGACATTTCTGATTTCATCCCTAGATATTCAACAAAGACGCAAAGACAAATATAGGATTATTTTTCTTAAACCTCTGGAGAATACTCATTTGTCATCACCCAGGAGCAATAATATAATGTTTGTTTTGCAGATGACTAGTAAAATGCCTTGATCTATGACTATTTCTCCAAGAAGGGGGTGACATAAAAAACTTCTAATTAGAGTCATCTTATATATAAGAATCAGAGCTGTGCCCTAATAAAGATATAATTAAACAAAAGACCACAATTGTAATTCATTTGACCTATGACCTTATATAAACACAAAATAACAGACACAAACCTTCTGGGTCTTGAATTGACTGATCTGTTTCTCAAAGTCTTCAACGACTCTATCATGCGCTTTTAGAGCAGAGTCAGCCTTATTCAATCTCTCTTTAGCCTCAGTGAAATCCTTATCAAGTTTTCCTTTGCTGGTTGTTGTCTTGTCTAGTTCATCTCTTAGTTTGTTTTGTTCATTCAAAGCCTGTGGAAAAAAAGTTTGAAGTGATCTGTCCTATTTCAAAGTATTGAGGTTTGAAGTGCTGCGTGATTTTACCCAAACTCATAAAAATCCAGAAAAGCCCCCATATTCACACTTTATTTTCCAATGCAGCTGAATTTGACTTTGTATATATCTCTATGCTTATGAAATAAACATCTTTGTATTGTATCTAATAAATATCTATATTTATGAAAGGATGCATTTCCTATTAAATGTTACCTTGATGGCGAGTACAAAATAATATGATAGTATGACAGTATGGTCCACAATTAAATGCAGGCTTGTATGTTTACAACACATTATACACTGTTATATATTATATACACTTAAAAGCTACAAGTTAGAATGAATCAACACCAACCTGTTGCAGTTCTTGCTGGATTTTCTGCTTTTCATCCTTAAGTTGCTTATCCATAGATTTCATCATCTCAATCTGACTTGAGATCTCCACCTTGTGTTCCTTTTCCTTTTCTTTGAAGCGGCTCTCCAGCTGGGTGCGGGCAGCCTCGGAATTGTGGCGCTGGCAGGCAAGCTCCTCAGTCAGTTGCTTGGTCTTCTGCTCTAGTGCTACAACCTGAACACAAGAGTGATCTCAAACTACCATTTGTTGGACACCAATGCCGAAAGGCCAAACATCCACAAAAACTTTACGTCTCCACTTCTTCAAAAAACTGTACTCAGTCTACCTTTGTAAATATTATAATTATTTGTGGCCAACCCTCCCGATACTCTGCCAGATACCATAGCTTCTCAGTGTTATACGAAGCGACACACAAACCTGGTGTTACCTACTTTGAGAAAATCTTAATTGAATTTTTGGTAAATGTATCTTAGCTCCTCTCACCTTCTGACTGGTTTCTTCTAATTGGCTTTTCAGTTTACTTTGATCAGACTTCAACTGCTCAATAATTTTGTCCTTCTCCATCAGTAATTTAGTTACATCATCAAGATCTCTCTGGATTTCCTTGATCTGGCCATCTTTACTTTTAAGATCTTTATCACGTGATTGGATCCTCAACTCAAGGTTGGCATTGTCAGTCTTCAGGGCTGAAATAACATGGGCAGGTATAGTGATTTTTTCAAAAATGTTTTGTTGAACCATCATCTTTTGACAGGCCACATTTAATATATCTCTCAGTTCCTGAAAGTGCTATGCAATTACAATGTCTGCAACACCATAAGTCTGTAATGCACAACTATTTAACCAATATTATTTGCAATACTATATGCAGCTTACCTTCTGTTTCCCGTTTCATCTGATTAATCAGAGTTTCCATCTGCTTTGTCTGTGTGTCAGACATCCCTTGCTGCTCTTTCAACAGTGTCTCTAGTTCAGCAGCCTTGTTCTGTGCAGCTGAACTTAAGTTCTGGCTCTTCAGATCAAGGAGCTGTTGGTCCTTCTGTAGGGATATAAGGTTGGCCTGGGTACCTGCTTGTGTCTCATCCATCTGGAATAGAGATTATTTTTAATAACAGCTCTTTCCGTTTGGTTGACTGAAGGAAGCTGGTCAAAAAAACATTTTTTAAGATTGGGGGTGATTTCAAAAGTTTTTGTCAATCCCTAGTGAGCATCTTGATCAGTTTGTCATTTTTGGTAAAAGTAATCTTGTTTGGAATGGAGGGTTACGAACATGAATGAAATTGTATTTTAAATAAAAAGCCTAATTTTATGAAAAATAATGTATTTCATATTACATCACAAGTGATTTCTGCTCATCTACAATTGAACTCATGATTTCTTGGGCAAAATATTACAATAAGGGTTTAGCCAAAATAGAAACAGGAAATTGAAAGTATATGCCACAGAAACATAACCAGGTAATGAAAAGAAGTGAGAATCAAGAAAACCATTACCTTAATTTGTAGAGATCTCAATTCAGATTCTAATTTCTGTGATTCTTCCTTCTCTTTAGATCGTAGAGTCTCAAGGTCACTCAGCTTACGCCTCAGCTCATCAATCTCACTGTTGCCTGATGCTGTGGGAAAGAATCAACAAATGAGATGTTGAATAAATAATAATACATTAAACATTTTCACTCAGAGATCATAACACATATCATATCATAACACATCTCTTGTTTCTCCATTCCAGAGTATCACAAATATTGAATAATTTGTGCACAAATAATGAAATATGACAACTAAAAGTTAAAACCTTTAACAAATACAATAAGCATTAGTCACCTATGTCATGGAAAAAAAATCTTAAAAATAAATCAAATGTTGGGTGTAGTATGTATTGGTCTTCGATTTGACTCCCCTGGTTTTAAGCATCCTTGCTATACATACCATGTCTCCCAGTAAGTGTAGATGATGAACAGCCCTGATTAAGAGTGCCTTGCATGTGTTTCAGATCACCCTGTAGTCCCCGCACCTTGCCTAGCTGTTCATCAAGTTGCTTTTGCTGATGCCCACTATGTTGTTGCAGCTTGCTATGTTCATGAGTCAATTTCTCAAGCTGCTTAGCTGCATTATTGTATTCATATTGAGCTTTTTCATAGTCTCCTTTCAATTGTGCATTCTTAAATAAAATAAAAAAATAATAAAAACCAAATATATTTGACATTATTCAGCATAGATTGATCATATATTGAATTGATCATGTAGATGATCAAGTTACAAAATCAGATTTGAGCATTGACTTTAAAATGCCTTTCTTATAATAGCTAAATATTAACTTATCTGGAACTACAGTGCAAAGAAAATCATGAAAATGTCTTCATAACTTAAATCAACCACATGTCTTGACATAGTATAGGCCTACTGTGATTTGAAACTCAAAGTAGTTATAAATAAAAATAAAATGGAACAAATAAAATAATGGCACATCATTTTAGCAAGTTTCTGATGATATAAAAAGTCACATACTTTGTTTGTTTCAACATCAAGTCTTTCTTTGGCTCTTGATAACTGTCCCTCTAAACTGGAAATATGAGCCTCCTTTGTCTGCAAATCATGCTGTAGCTTTTGACGCTGTTTCTCCAAGTTGTCACATGATTCTATTAAAGTTTGATTCTCTCGTTTCAGCGAAGTCTGCTGGGATTTTTCTTCTTCTGTTTTTCGTTTCTGGGTAGCTAATGCCTATTGATAAACATGAAGTTTTGGAAAACATGTGAATATTTTCAAGAAATGCATGCAAGACTTTGAAATGGTTATTTTAAAATTAAGCAAATAAAACATGTACTTTTCAAGAAGTTGAGGTGACGTGTCGAGGAAATATTCCGAAATAGATTTCAAGCCGATGGTTAAAAAAATCCTCTTGTGATAAACAGCCTGCAATATAGCTTTTCAAGCACATTGTGTGCAGCTCAATACTCAAATGATATAGGTTAACTGGACTCTTAAATCTCTTTCAATTCGGGCCCCAATGCTTCAGATATGCTTGGATTGACAAATATTTACCTGCTCAATAGTTTCCAACTGGTATTGCTTCTGTGTTCGCTCTTTCTTCATACGATCTAGCTGAGTTTCAAGTTTTCCAATCTCCTGAATGGCACGATGGGGGAGTCCATCCTTCCACTCGTTTACTGCCCAACTCATATTGACAAATGTCTGTGGAGTTAATACATCTCACTGAAAATATGATAATGTCAATGTAGTCTTAATCTAGTTTTGAAAAAAGATCAATTAATGAGCCTGAGCCAACTCATATGAAAGGGCGTTTTCAAATCAATGATTTTACAATTTTTGCCCAAAACATTTTTCAGATATTTTGTACAATAAAACAAGTCCTATGTATTTTTCTGTTAACAATGGTGGATAATCTCAGGAAAATATGGCTTCAAAGAGGTACAGCAACACAAGAAGGGTAAGACTTAAAAAACAACCTTTTAAACATAGGCTAAGGGAAAAGAATGGAAAAGTAGCACAAGTAGTCAGCTCAAGTTCTTTCTATATTGAGGTTACTTCTACTTTTCCTTGCTTTTAAAATAAATAAATGGGATCATTAATAACCCCTGAAAATAAATTAACAAGATCTGGATTACATCTTCTCTCCAGAAGACATGGGTAAGCTGGTATGCCACAATGAAATTACATATATTCATAATATGAGTCAGGTAATGATGTGAAAGTATCTAGTGTAACTCTTACAACAACTTAAGGTCAGGGTGCATTTTGATGAAATTTCATGACCATCATGTGCTATTTTCAGATAAACACAACTAATTCCATACATCATCAGATCATCTACATCGTTCATTCTTGCACAAAAGATGCATTAGTGTACCCAGACTGTTAATTGAAGGTTGATAATTCTCCAGAATCTCTGAATAACTAGAATACTCAGTGGTTTACTTTTCAAAATTGCAAAAAGTGCACCCTGGCCTTAAATCAACACCTGGGCTGTAAACTAATAGCAACTTGCTATCAGCTCATCCTATCCAGGGGCTCATTTTTGGTATGATCGTAACTTACGATTCCGAGAAAACCATATGTCTCTGTTTTGATGAACAATGACTTGCGACCAAATCGTAAGTTACGACGGTTTCAAAAACGGACCCCAGGGTCATCCAACATTGTCCAATACAACCTTCTAGATCTTTCAATGAATTCTCATGATTGACAGAAATATTTGCAATTTATATAAATCTACATTCGCAATCACTGATTGAATGAATGAGGTTTAGAATTCGGAGACTATTTATGTCATCTGGGTACAATTCATGAAAATCAATTACAAATTGAATTTAGTGTGACAATAACCTCTTAAATACTAGTTTACGTATATGTTTTTGAAACAACTTTTATCGAAAGCTCTCTATTATTGTGGGTTTGTGTAAAAAACTGGGTGACCGGGTTAACGTTCCTAGCACTAGCAGGGTTAGGATTTTTTTTATTTATAACGTTGGATCTGGACGATACATGTACGTTATTTTCGACATCACGTTTTGAGGTTATTTCACATCGTAAGAACGTTTTGACAGCATTAACTTTTAACGTTAAAATAACGTTGGTAATGAACCGATTTAGTGAGAACATATTGACGTCTTTGTAACGTTTCCTTAACTCACAAATATTTTGAAGCCATTTCCACAATGTTGAAATTCAACCATCCATCGACGTTTTGCTGAATATTTAAATAACGTCAGATCAATACAGTCCATGAACGTCATTATTGACGTCAAATTTTGAGGTTATTTCAAATCGAAAAAACGTTTCGACAACGTTAAATTTTAATGTTAACAATACGTCGGAAATGAACCGACTTAGTGAGAACACAAAGTCTTTGGCATGTTTTTTTCCACCAACAAATATTTTGATATTAAAAGCCTATTTTGACAACCTTGAATTTTAACGTTTGAGTTACGTCACATATAAAACCAATGTAGTAAAAAATCAAACGTTCCTGTTTGTTATGTTTTCCACACTAACGAACTTTACGGACACGTTACAACAACATTCTTTTTATACCATCAATAGATGTCTCATGTTTACGTTACCTCAATGTGTAAAGAACGAAAATGTGCAACGTCTTCTAGGAACTTATATACTACTTATGAGCAACGTGACATGGACGTCACTGTTTGATGGATCAATAATTTTAAAAAGGGCTCTGAGTCTCGTATAGGATAAAAATATCGAACAGCAGTGCACTCGGTAGGCTAAGTCTGTCAAGTCAATTCGCTACTATATATCGGGGGAAATGTGGAACTTTGAAAGTTGGTAACCCTGCTAGGAATGTGAGGTGCCCGGTTGACCGGGTACCCAGTTACCCGTTTTTTTTACACAAACCCTATTATTGTCACATTTCCAGTCACAATAAAGAAAGTCGTATATTCACAGTTCATATTGGGACTAGGCTAGACTACCAATAGTTCAACAAGTTAAACTTAATCCGGCTTATTCATTAATCTGATCTTACTTGGGGCTGGGGCCAGAGCCATAAGACATGTCAGATAAGAAACGAGGCCCCTGACGAGGTCTAATGTTGTTGGACTAGCCTATGGCTATGAGGAGTTTTTTAGCCGATTCCATGGCCATTTTCAGATTTGATTCGTTTTTGAATAATTTGAACATCTCAATCCATAAAGGCCTGAATTGATGGCCATGTTTTTCACTTCAGCAGTTGCCAGTTCAGCATTGATTTTTATGATACACTTTTATGGCTGATTTATTCAAAGTCCTTGGAAAAATCAAACCAAAATTGACCACAAGTATGACTGGTACGTTGGTTTTAAATATGAATAACTATAACAACATATAAAGCTGTTTATACTTACAAAATCAACTGAAAATACTCGAGCTAAGTTTGTAGCAGGTTTTGAAAAATCCACCAAAACCGTTTTGAAAAATCCTGAAATCTGATTGGTCGATGCGTCCCATTTGCGCTAAGTATTTAAACTTGCAATTTGTGATAATTATTGATCAAAATTCATTTAAAAGACTTTCCAACATAAAAAATGATATATAGAAGCAGAGAATGCAAGTCAAATAATTTATAGTACCATATTTACCGATTTAATGATTTAACAAACGATGTCGTGATTTTTGCAACAACCAACAACCGATCTTTGACAGGTGGAATTTTAAATTTTTTATGCTGGTTTTATGTTATATTTAGGTCTTAATTGACAGTTCCGTGTTGATGTTGTTCATCAGTATTGTGCACTGAATGGTTCTTCAGTAATTAAATCGTTTTATATACGGAATTATACTTTTAATATCATTTTATATCCAGATGAAAATCGCAATCTATCTATTATCGCCCACCGATGGATTCAAAACGAAACTTGTCAAATGTGCATGCATAAAATAATATTCGAGACAATGTTTAGTTTTGGTTAACGAAACATGAATACATTATTCATATCAATCACACTAAATCATCATGAAAGTCAAATAAATTCTAAACGATTCCACATGCTATCAGTAGTGTTGTCACGATGTGCCATAATCGTGCATCGATGCATCGCTAATTTTCAGTAGTAAACATCGATGCACATCGCGATATACATCGAGAAAAAGTCAGAGAAAGGTGCACTGAAATACCAAACACTAATGCACTAAAATACCGAACAGAACAAATTAATAAGAGTACGCTGGTACATCCGTGAACTTCTAGTGACGGTGAAATGAAAGTAATGTTTTTAGTTTAATGATTCATTTCGACTAGCTAAAAACAGTTTTAAAGCAAAAGAATATCAGAAAACATTGGAAAATGAAATAAGACATGAGAAAGGTAAGCGATTTGCATCAAAATAAGATAAGGGTGATTTTTAGCAAGTTAAATTTTTTTAAAAACATCGATGTTTTGTTTCAGACATCAATGCATCGCCAGAATCAGCTTTGGCTATGTATATCGTGTTGTATCGATTAATCGCGACAACACTAGCTATCAGCCCTGTCAACCCTCATGCATAAGGCATGATTGTAACGCATTTGCTGGAAAAATAGAAATCACACATCATCTTAGCGTGTATGATCAAATATCACTCAAATCATGCATTATGTTGATATTTTTAGAAATTGTTTTTTATGAAATGCTGATACAGTAAAAGTCTGAGCGGTGTAAAAAAAGCGAACGCATTCTGTTCGGTCTTTGCATGCGATTGCCCTTCATGTCACGCATTTGGTCCGAAATATGTGTATATATCACACACGTCGCACCCCCTCTCTAATAATCTCTATATTAAATAATATCATGACTGTAATATAGGCTACAGAATACAAGAGGGAGGGGTGACTTACTCCCCATGATGCTATCTGCTGCAAGACTTATGCCTGGTACAACCGTCACCATGTTATTATTGTTTTAAGTTCAGCAAGGATCCTTCCATGACCTTTTTATGAAAGCCTGGCATGAACGTCGCGTTTTTTTGTCATTTATGACTTCTTTATTGTTGTTAAATAAGCGAATACGTTTTATCAAGCTTTATCCTCAATATTTTTCGATTTTAAAGAGTTCAACTTTTAAAGTATTTGTCTTATTTTCTGTTAATGATTAATGACTTTAAAACATGGGAAATTAATGTGAATTTTAATATATACATAGTCATTTTGATATGATAAAGGTATGTAGTTAAACATCATGATCGTGGTATTACACTGTTTAATTATCAATGTCATCCCAGATATACTAGCTTTTATTATTATATTTTCAGGGTTATACCAGGCATTTTCATTCACTTAAAATTACTAAGGATATGCCTGACATTCATGTCATACATTATTACAGTACTAAATGCCCTAGTACCAGTCATTGCAATATATAATCATGGTCATATCAGGCCTAAGTATATAAATTTTTACATTACCATGGTCATGCCAGGCCTTGCAATACCATATTACATTACCAAGGTCATAGCAGGCATTGTAATATATTTCAACATTACCACAGTCATGCCAGGCCTTGCAATATATTATAGCATTGTCATGGTTATAGCAGGCATTGTAATGTATTTCAACATTACCACTGTCATGTCAGGTCTTGTAATATAATATAGCATTGTCACTGTTGTATAAGGTATTGTCATAGAATATAACAGTCATGGCCATAGCAGGCCTAAGCATAAATTTCTTCATTACCACGGTCATGCCAGGCCTTGCAACAATATTATATTGTCACGGTCACAACAGGCATTGCAATATGTTTTAACATCACCACGATCATGTCAGTCCTCATTACAATACGTAATCTATTGAGATTGGTATTCAAATAGGAAATTTGCTCAGGATTCTGAATCTGAAAACAAAATTGAGATCTGACTTCCAGTTGGCTTTCTATGAACTTTTATAAATTCAAAATTTTAACATCTTTTTTTAAAAATAAATTTAAATAATTAAAAAGGACCTTTAAAAGTTAGGAAGCTCTGTGGCAGTGTTATACTGTATTATATTGACCTTCATCTTCAAATATAAGGATAACGCTTGGTATAAGGGTGACAATGCTATGATATATTGCTAGGCCTGTCATGGCCGTGGTGATGTTAAAGCCTGATATGACTGTGACAATGGTTGCAAGGCCTGTCGTGACTGTGGTAATTGTTAAAGCCTGATATGACCGTGACAATGGTTGCAAGGCTTGTCATGACCGTGGTAATGTTAAAGCACAATATGACCGTGACAAAGATAATATTAAATGACATTTAGTAGCATGAGAATACCAATATTGAAAAATTTCATCGTGTTTAACTACCTTGAATATGTAAATCAAGACTACTATACATGTACATGCTACTCACGTACTTTGATACATAACATTTTAGATTAATTTTACAATGAAACCCTCATTTTTAACTCATAAATCATTTCCACAAACGATAATTCATAAAAATACACTAATAATAGCAAGGGACAAAAAAGTAAAATAAGTCATGAATGTCATATAAAAGCTAAGGTCGCGCCAGGTTTTTACGATAACACTACCATGGTCATGGTAGGATCCTTACCCTACTTAAAACACTTAATAACATGGTGACGGTTGTGCCAGGCATTTTGGGGGTTTTTGTTTTAATTTTTTGAATACTTTTTGTTAAATGATCCAATGTTATATAAAATATATGTTAATAATTTTCGCATTAAATTGTTGTCAATCAGTGACCATTACATATTAAGGACTGTTTTTACAGAATGTTTTTACTACCATGGTCATGGTAGGATCCTTACCCTTCTTAAAAACACTTAATAACATGGTGACGGTTGCCAGGCATTTTTAATTGTTGTCAATCAGTGACAATTACATATTAAGAACTGTTTTTACAGAATGTTTTTGATAATTGGTTTTAAAAGAAAAACAATGTTGAATTCAGTTCGCCAAATCGATACCAATCCTTTAGTAAATGTTTAATAGATGTATTATCAGATTAAAAATATGAATGCTCTAATCAGGATTATAGTAATTAGGCCTAATCAAAATAAAATGAAATTTTTGTGGACTGCTTGCTGATGGTAAGAGTACACGGCACTACAATTCCTAATTCCTTTCCAAATGTCTGAATCTTGTTATGCTTAAGGATGCCCTTGAGGCCTAAAAATGAGGTTATAGTAACAAGTTTAACAGCTGTCCTTTTTGCTCTCCTGACTAGGGTAATAGACTGGAGTAACATTTGTGAGGCATGATGCAACAGATGCATTAGTTCACTTCATATGTTAGAGCATCTTTGTCTGTTGTATGTATATAGTTGTATAATAGTAAAACCTGTCTATATGGAACACCCTTGTTAAAAGTGTTCCTAATAGACAGAAGTCCTTTACAGAGAGGGATTATTAACATGTAAGTCAATGGGACTTGGTTCTCTAGAAAATTGTTTCATATATGGAGAGATGTCTCTTATGTAGAGATGTTCCATCTAACAGGTTTTGCTGTATAGTATTTTCTATATGCTATATGCATTCTCATGATGTCCCTTCAGTTCTTATTCGAAAAAAGGAATTTAATTTTTGTTGATTTATTATTACTTTCTTGCAATTATTACTTTCATGTAAAATTAAGTGCACTTGTACCTTTCATCATTATCCATTATAAATGTACAGTTTACATTCATGATGCATTTCTAAAAGAATGAAGAGTTGAAGTAATGTTCTATGCGAGAGCATATCTATAACAACATGTAAAGATAGGGTAAAATTCTGAGAATGTGAAGGTGTGCTTATATTTTTTTACTTGTTGCTATGGTTACCAGGTGGTTGGAGCCAAGTTTCAAGCACCATGACTTAGTTTTCTATTATCACACTGTTAACTTATATCTATTACGTAATGTCTTAATTCTTTACAGAGATATTATTAAGAACCACTTTGATAAATATATACTTTTGATACAAAACTTCAGAACTTTCGGATGGGAAAATAAGGGGACCATTATTTTAATTTTTGAAGGATAGCTATTTCATGTATTTTATTTTAATATATCTTTATTGATTATTTTAATCAAATAATATGATTGACATATTACTTTGTCAAATTGAATAAAATTTTAGATCAATTAATTTGTTTTTGGAAAAAAACATGTTTTACAAATCACTAAGTCTATCCTTCTATTCAGACAAAATACAAATGTAATTGTAAAAGTGACTTTATGCAATTTAAATGAAAATCAACTTGTTTACATTACAGATATCAAAAGAGAAGTATGATACAGAATATCGCTGTTCCTCTAACATAGATCATTCCATAAAGGTGATATTTAAAATTAGACGCCAAATACAGGATATAATTGGACTAGAAAAGCGGAGCATAGACAAGAACTAGAACATGCTGTCTCAACTTAGTCTGACTCAGAAGCTTGCGTTGGTTTTAGCCAGCTCCACAGTGGGGGTAGTTTGTATCTATCTACTCTTCAAGTCAAATGACGAAGGTGAGCATTTTACTTTGCAGCATGCATTTAAGTAGCATTTATTTTCAATAGATGTAATAATCTTTTTAAACATGTTTATTCACATTCACATATTTTCTAAAGTGGCATGTTGTGACCTTCACTTCAGAACATAATTTTACCAGCTTTGTAAAATATGTAGGCACTATATCTTAGGAAATACATTGATAACATTTAGAATAGCAATTATAGCATGAACCATGTATTAGAAAATAATTTTAGGTATAATTGGTATTTTCCTTGTAATTGTTCATAGATAATTGTATTGCTGACCTGTAAATGGAGAAAGGGTCAAATAGCATATTATTCAATGATTTTGTCAAACAATAGTTATGATGTACCATAATTTATCCCATAACTTCTAACATGCAGCTATACTTGTATATATTGTAGCTTGGTTGATACAGTCAATCCAGGTCTCACTTTATTTTTAACTGTCCCTTCAGAAATCTTTAGATTGTGGATGTGTATAACCATTTCCCTATTGAATTGATATTAATTTCATATAGTATACTGTAACTGCTAATGTTATAAACTGTTGAATTTTAAAAAAAACAATGAATGTTAATGACATTAAATTTTTACATTTGGGTTCAATAACATTTAATTCAAACTTAATCCTCATAATCTACTAAGTAAGTAGGATAAATCAGTTATTAAATGCTTGATACTTGATACAGGGCATATCCCTCGGTAAATATAATATATCAACCCTCGGTCGCTATGGTCCCTCGGGTAGATATATAGTATTTCCCTCAGATACACCCTGTATCAAAAACCTCCCGAAAATAACCTCTATGTATCTCATACTTGAGTGGGTTTGGGGTAGATATCACCCGGGAATATAAATCATATCTGAGGAGCGGGTAGGATATATTGTATATGTCCAGCTCTAGGCCAAATGCAGGCAGATATAATATATCCATCCCGCTCCTGGGAATTTTTCAAGAGTTTCAAAATCAAAATAAATTAAAAGTTTAAATTTTAAAGTCTCAAAAGTTTTTTTAAAAAGTTTAAAAGTTACAATTTCATTGTATTCAACTAAATGAATATTACGAAAATGTTAAATATAAATTGTGCTTAAAATTACTATAGGCCTATCTTGGTTTTGGATATAGGGTATATCCCTCGGGAAATATTCATATCTACTCTTGGTCCCTTTGGTCTCTCAGGGAGATATAAATATAGCCCTGAATATATACCCTGCATCAAAAACCTCCCAGCACATAACCATTTTTTAACTCTGCCATGTTGTAAGATGCTGTAATTGCTCATTAGTGTGTTCTGTTAGCGTGAGATAGTTTATTTCGTGGTAGGCCAATGTGTTAAATGTGAGCTGCACCCATGTTGTGGCTGAGATAAAAAGAGTCTGTACAGGATGTTTGAATGGTTTATCTCATAGAGTAGATCTATAGATTTTCTGAATTTCTAAATGAACTAGGGGAAGTATGCTCAATAGTCTGTACTTAACTATTCTAGTAGTTTGTAGATGTTTCCTACTAAAGTAACAATATCATACAGACTGAGACTAAAAAGGTAATTCATTAGTCTCGGTTACTAGTCAGGTATTTCGTAATAACATCCCCTTCCAATACAATACAATATTTTGAATATAAACCTTAATAATATAAATATACCTGAAAGTATAAATTGCATAATTTTGCCTGACAGTACAAATTATAATTACATAATTCCTGGTGTTTCCCTTATATTTCCTCATGTTAAAGATTATACTGTAGAACTAGGATATAACATACAGGTATTTTACGTAGGCTGGTTGTAATTCTACTCATCTACCTTGTTAAATCGCCTCATGGTCTTGCCATGTGCTTTCACTTAGTAGATGTAGAGAGGAAGATGCATATGAAGGGCCAATGTATCTTTTATTTCTCTTGATTTTTTGTTGAAATAAGTTTACTTATTTTATAGCATTTTAGAACATGATTAATTAATTGTGATTCCGAATATATTTTCCGATGGTGCAAAACTCTCTTGTAATCTATTCTATATGTAGCCAAAGAAGTGTGGAAAACTGCTCAAATTATCATCTTTTTCTAATCTTAACTGGTTGCAAATAGATGAATCAGGCTGCTGCAGGGTTTTTATGTCACCACTAGATGCGTTGACATATTGTTATAGTCTCCAACTTTTTTGTGGATGGTGATAGGCAGTTTGTGTTCAGGATCTGTAACAAATGTTAGGTGGTAACATTTTGTTAATGCCTTGTTAATGTTTAATTTTATCACATACCTAAATATGTTGTAAGACGTAAAAATTGTTTTGATGTTGAATGACCTTTTCACTCTGGTAAGCTTAAGTATTGCAACATAAGCTGATTTTGATATTCTTGAAAAGCTACATTTCTTTGGTACTGAGCAAAACAGGGCCTTAGAAGGGGCTTAGTTTTTTCTATGGTTAAGTTTCATGTATTTGGATTGTATTTACATTTGCAAGATATTTAGTATGATTTTACCCTCCTTGAAGTAGAACATCCAAATTATATTTCTGGAGGATATTGTGGATCATTTGTTGAAACTAAGTTAGAAACAGATCTATCGGGGTTGACAAAATTGCAAGCAACATGTGCAATTGACCTTCAAATATATTCTTTATGAATTTCTCTCAAACAATGCGCAATATTTTATAATAGGTGGAGTTATTAAAGATTCAAAGTGTAAAATTGTGGAAAGAATGTGAATGTTATAACAATATTTTTAGAAAAATAAAGCATTGATGTAAAAATCTTAAGTTTTCCTGAAATATATTATCCATATTTTGGATTTTTAGAAAAACTCTTAAACTGAAGCAATTTTTGTAAAGCAATGCTTGCTAGATCTGATTCTCCCTTTATACTCTCTTATAAGAATGCTTGGTTTTTGAATTGTGGAAGACTGGGTGGGCATTTAAACTGTTTCACTAGGTTGGATCCTTGTTTGGAATGCTGGGCTTTGTTTCTATATTTTTAATAGATTTCTACCATTTTTGCAATTGGGGTAACATATTCATGTCATAACTAAATCATTATATTTTTTCTATCTTTCCCGCTTATAATGCCAGATTGTCTACTGTTACTTACTTAAAGGCCCACTTTGCGAATTTTCAATGTTTTTGGGCAAAATAAAGACTTTTATTTGAATTCTATAGAATGTCCAATGTATTGATAAGAACCCTATATCTTTCATTTGACACCAACAACAGCTCAAACGGACCACATCAAAGCTTACAATAATTGATCAAAAAATATTTTCAATCTGTCAAGCTTTATATATCAAGTTGTGAGTAATATGTTTCAATGCTCATTTTTTCTTTCTCTTCTAAATTAAGTATTGATTCACGTTTAATAGATGCTCCTTGAGTTGGAGTTGTCAGAAGCTCCCACATTTTTTATATATTTATATAGATTTTTAGATGAAGTAAAACTCCCAAGATACAAATTAAGGCTTTTTCCCCTGTAGAAGGATTTGCTCATAGTTATTATTTGATAGGCACCATCCCAGTCATTTTTCTAGCTGTACATAGATAAGAATTGTGCAGTATTCTTAGTCTTATTCACCAAACAACATTAATATCCTTGTGATGTGAAATGTACGTCATTTGAATCTTGTACCTTGAAATATAGAATAAAATTAACAATATATGTCTTATTCACCAAACAACATTAATATCCTCACGATGTGAATTGTACATCATTTGAATCTAACCTTGATATATGGAATAAAATTAGCAATTATATATGTATTTAGATTGGAAGTAAACATGTAAGGAACATTACCCAGAAACAGACTTATCGGTTCTCAGTGAATTCTTCATCAGTATGCAGATACGCATAAAATCAATTTGAATCTTGATACATGTTGTGACTAATATGTCATTGTAATGACATCAGAGAGTCATTAAAAAGCATAAATGAGGTCAGTTTAGACATAATTATTGTAGTTAGCAAAAAATATTATTTAGTAGGATTATGCGTGGAACTTGAGATATTGATATACCTCAGCTCTATCATGTTAAAGTGACATAATATCTAAAACTGCTCTGTGTTTTGGGATATTAATACACCAGAAGAATATGAAATGCTAACTTAAGGTTGAGCTGTGAGCATATTTTGTTAGAGTACATTTCTTGAATATGTGTTCCAGATGAAGAATTAGACAAAAGGGAAAGAGAAGCTACATCACGACAGACTGTAATCAAGGTTGACATCCCAAGGAAGTTAGTGGGTTCTGTTATTGGAAGACAGGGATCAACCATAAAAGAGGTATTGGATTAAATGTTTATGTAAATAATTTATGAATCATCACAGGATTTTTTTCTAAATCTAAATTTTACCAGTTTTGATCAAAGCATCTCATTATTTCACCTTTTTGGCAGGATGTAAACCAATTTTCACAATGATGGAATTTTTGGTGAACTCATCCTATAGAATTGCCGCTCCCAACAATTTTTTGACAAAGGAAAACTGCTTTTCAATCTGACCCAGTATAAATTTTATCCCATACATGTAGCTCTTACTTTTGCCCCATTTTTACGTGGTAGTTTAGCTAAAATGCTAAGAATGTAAATTATGTAATTTTATTTGTTCTATTTTATTTCTTAATGTGTTAGCAAAATTAAAATGCTAATGCAGTTTGGATATACATGTGGGCTCTCTGCTTGTCTATATACCTCCATAGTTTGCTTCTAATAATACATAACCTTGGGCTTGTATCTGGGGATAGTATAACATAACCTCTAGATATTGATTTCTATATGCTGCTTATTTCGCAATAGACAATTTTAACTTAAAAAACTCAGCATTTCATCACCGGTTACTTAATCAATTTTGTAACATAAGTACACTTATGATAAGTAAAGTTGGGCCAATTATTGATTTATCAAATGAACAATGTAGACTCCTTGCTTCAACATCAGCATTCAGTTTTTCAAATTAATAGATTACAGGGTATCATTGTAAGAATCACTTTTTGACTCTTCTAGATCCAGAAAGTTACTGGTGCACGGGTGAACTTTGATGACAAAAATCGTTCTGAAACTCCTGAAAATGAAGATTTGCCACGAACTGTAACTATACGTGGATCAGCGGAGAATGCTCAACAGGCAGAGTTGATGATCACTGAAATTATAGCCAATCAGCCTTTGAAGAAAACAGTTGAATGCCCTGTACCTGTTAGATGTCTAGGAAGAATTATAGGTAATCTCAGAGTTCTATGTTACCATCAAGAATTCAGGTAATATTCGCATAGCCTTCATATTTCACCCAGTATTCTACATTGACAGTGATTGGTTGGGATCTGTGACATATTGTTACACTTTTGTAATATTGTGATACTAGTGTTTCTAAATGCAACAAAATATTCTAGATACTGTTATAATTTGTAGGGCCTCTCTTTCAGGTAGAAACGGGGATACAATACGCCAACTTCAGAGAATCTCATCCGCTAGAATTGTTATTCCTCGTGAAGGCGACGAGAGAGATCGTGACGCACTCAAGCAAATAGAAATTACAGGAACTGAATCAGAAATTCAAGCAGCTCTTGTGAGTTGATTAATATTATCAAGGGAAATGGATATGGCAGTTATATTCTATATATTCAACACCAAAAATATACAGAGTATCTATCGTTATCCTGCGGTGTATCCACAGAATTGGAATTGGGGGACTAGAGACATGATATTCAATGATGTTTCCACTTTCTCATTTTTAGTTGAATCCTATTGAATTTTCTTAAGAAGATCTCTTGAAGGGCCAGAGCTTTTTGAAATTTCATATCTATCCTGAAAATGTAAAATATGACAGTACCATTATGTCGTACATGAGGTGGGTTTTGGCTGCATGGGTTGAATCATGGGCTTTCAACTAGATTGAAAGCCCATGGTTGAATACACTTTCAATGATATGCTGAATACATCCTTGTTCTCTCCAGGGTCTTATTGAAGAGAAGGTGCAAGAAGATAAAGGATACAGAGCAAATCTAGCAGTGAGTCAGACTAACAGGAGACAGCGTATTCAACAGAAACCTCAATCTCAAACCACATCAGATACACCCCTACCCCCCTCCCTGGACACCTCTCTCCCCTCCCATGATACAGATCCAGACACTCAAGTAGAGGACCATACAGAAAAAGAAGTTCGTAGAATCCCACCTGGTACCCAACCAGATTTAGAATCCTCTGACGAGGAGGACAATGATCTAGATTTTTCACATGGTGACAAAGTTACCTCTAGTGAGCAAATCAGTCCACAAAAGATGGAACCACTTGAAGCCAGTCAGGCAGATGGTAAGTAAGCTTATCTTATCTACTCACAAATTTTGTTTTAAATTTATTGGGTTCATTGGTTCCTGATTTTTCAACTGCATCGTTTCTTAATACTTGATCTTTTCCAACCCTTGCTTCCCTATTTTGAACCTTTTGGTTCCTAACTTTTGATGATTTTTTCATTTCCTTTGCTTCTGATATTTTATGAGCAAAGACATGTTTTTCCATTATCAACTTAATCCAAGTCTTTCTGAATTTAACTTGCAAACCTGCAAGCAAGTGATTCTTCTAGAGTGAATATGTATGTGCACTGTGATATCATCATGTTTGGAAATTGTTTAAATTGCACTTTGTGAATAAAGGATACTGTATAGAGTACAGCCAAGTTCTGTACATCCCACCACCACCCCTAACCTAAACTACTGTATACTTTGCCTTGCATTGTATTTAGAACCACCATTATATAATGCCATAAATCTGGCAATTGAAGATAACTTGTACATGTAAGAAAAAAATTGATCAATAAATGAAAAAAAAACTTTATAAAAATTGTAACAGTCATGAGGGACAAAGTTAACATTAATCAGCCATTGAACAATCAGATATGAGGTTCAGATTATTACATGTAATTTATATTTTGTTGATGCTATTGTTTTCTTCCAGGTGCAGCTGCACTGCCCTCTTCCCTTGTGGAGAGGGACCTGACACCTTATTGGCCACCTACCCAAGAATATGTGGATGTCATGGTGTCAGCAGTAGACACAGCAGGACACTTCTGGGTACAGGTCGTCAGCCCCTTGTCTCCACATCTTGATAAACTTGTTGATGAAATGACAAACTTTTATTCCAAACCTGATTTTCACTATGTAAGTATTTTTTTCAATGGATATTGAGGGAAGTAATGTTATTCACAAATTATTATGAAAATTCTTTGTCAAAACAGTAAGAAATGATGGAGAAAGTTGCTACCCTTTTAAGATGAGTTATATACTCCCTTGTTGCATTTTTGTCAAATAAAATTGATACATTATGCATTTTTCACTATGCATTTGACCATGAGCTTTTACCAAAACATTTACAGAGGAAAGAATCAGCTTACTAAGGTAGCATTTGCTAATTCAACTGCCGGCTGTCCGCTTATGGATTAATCACTATTTCAATGGCCAACTCGTTTAAATATGAAGTACATTGTACCTGCTTCTATTCATATTCATGTTTAAATGAGTTTGTTCTGAAATACATGAAATAGCAGATAATGCGTCAGCCGACAGTTAAATCTACAAAATCATCATTTTAGATTCGTCCAGTAACTGAGGCCAAAGTAGGAGATATGGTAGCTGCCATGTTTGAAGCTGACCAATCAGATAAATCATGGTATCGTGCACGCATCACAGATGTTGACAGAGGAAAAGTGGAACTATATTACGTGGATTATGGTGATAGTGGAGAAATGCCTCTTTGTGTGTGCTATCCATTGAAGTAAGTGGACTTCTTTTTGGAACTTCTACATGTATTTTCTGATTCATGCATCAGATATGGAATTTGGTTCAGAATCTTTTTAACCTTTACCATGCTGCCTTATTTCAGCAAATATATCCCACGCAACTGGCTTATTTTTCAAAGAGTGCAAAAAATGATATACCTGAACTAAATAATTAATATCTCAATAACTACTGAATGAATCTGGATAAAATTTTCACAAAGGGAAGATACAGTGGCCTGGCTCATGAAAAAAATGTTCTCATGAATTTTTTCGTACATTAACATGACTGGGCATAAATATACCATGAATACTCCTCCGGAATCCGCCGCTCCGCCTCTTCGTCTGGTCAGAATCCAAATCTGAACTTGAAGCGATCGAATGTTCAATTTTTCAATTTAGAAAATATTCTAGTTTCTATTTTCGATGACCGTTATCGGCTTCCAAGAGCCTAAAGAGCTCGAAATCGTAATCCATTTCCTCCACATTTTCGTTGTGATCGTATTTGTCCACCATTTTGTACGATTCGTTCACTAAAAACGACTAAAACATTGTTTAAATTGTTGAATTGAGAATTATTTTTCGAAATATCGCCATTTCTAGGTCAACAGGAAGTCATGTTAGGCACTGAATAAATCGGGCAATCTAATTGGACAATACGAATGGCGCGAAAAAGTAAAGTTTTTAAAAGTTTGAAATCGGGCGTACGGGTCCGCCGGCAGTTGTGAGAGACATTTTAGTCTCGGCGGACGAGTCCGCCGGCAGCACGCTAAAGGTTAAAGAACATTTTACTCCTTGTCATTGGAATCATGCGCCTAGGGTGTCTACCAATATTAACTAAGGCTGTGTTTATTTTGCTTTTTATGACCCCAAAAAATTGTTTGAGTCCTTAGGTTAGCAACCTCACACTTAACAGTAACTTAATCATCAACATTGATTTTCCCAGTAATCCAAGCTGCACCATATTCTGATGGCTTGTTTACAGAACAATTGGGTTATTGCCCGCCATATTTTTGTGCATGGTTACGACTCTTAACCTTTGAACTTAAGTGTGGGTCAATGAAGAAATCCATTGTGAAAGTCTAAATTAATTATTTATTATGCCTATATCTCTAAAACCTTTTGCATGTTAGTATCTTGTCTAATCTTGTTGCAGGTCTGATTTTTTAAAGATTCCATTCCAAGCTGTTGAGTGCTTCCTTGCCAATGTCAAACCTGCAGGTAAGTAATGAGATTAGTAGAAATAACATGAAATTAAGTCAAAGGAAGTTCACCTGATAAATGTATATACTTCTTACACACTATCGTGAAATCATCATGTCACATGTTATTTCGAAAGAAATTTTGTATGTCGATGACTAACTGAGACATGGGTGACCTAGATTTTGTCAGAGGCTCTGGAATTAATATCTGCACTCATTATATACACTCACTCTTCCATATATTGATATCAAAACGTAGATACATGTTGTAGCTCATGTCTCCTGCATTGGGAAATACTATGAATTGTTTTATTAAGGCAAATTTGGTAAACTTGAGTTGATTGTCATACAATACACAAACCCTTGAAGCGACATGCTCTTTAGTTGGTGTTAAACATCCAGACACGAATATTTCGGAAATTAGGGCCTATAAAATTGGGTTTCTACAGTACACAATACACATGTGCATTACATTCTCTCCTCCATTTATATTTTTCACAGGAGCTGGCCAAGAGGAGTGGAGTGATGACGCCAGTGATTGTTTCGAGGCATTGACTTTCGCAGCTCAGTGGAAGGTCCTTGTAGCTAAACCAGTGGGATATAAACATCTGGGGGGCACACATTACGCCCCCTGCCTAGTACTGACCAACACAAATGATCAGCAGGTAGGCTGAAAGGAAAATAAATGCATATAATCAATTTAAATATTTAAACACAAAATAGGAATATGGGAGCTGAGAAATTCTGAATTGCACTAAACAGGAATATGGTAGCTCAGAAATTCTGAATTGCACAAAACAGGAATATGGTAGCTCAGAAATTCTGAATTGCACAAAACAGGAATATGGTAGCTCAGAAATTCTGAATTGCAACACTGTAGTTTATGCCAATACATTATATGTGCACTTATCATTGTACAATGTGTATAAATAATTATTTTCATGTACTCTATTACCAAATAAAAACTTGGAATTTATAGATTCTTTTCCAAATGTTGACAGAAATGGAGGATTTGATGAATATTTTACATTTTAGTCCTCAAATAATACGGATCCCTCTTGACATTGGTTAAAAAATTGTAAATGTTGTTTGCAATTTTCTCACCCCTAATCTGCCTGATTCTGACATTAAGGCACATTTGTCAGTTTATTAAAAATGAATATGTTTTGAATTCCCACAATATTAATCACTGGAGATTTATTGCATCATGAAACAATATCTGGATTATAAAGTATGGAAAGGATAATTTGAAAGTATCCAATACAATAAATATAAACTTTTATCAAATATTACTTTTTATTAATCAAAGACTATATTTTCTAATATTTTGCAATGTATTGCGATCATTTCTAGGATATAAACATCAATGCTGAGCTTATCAATCGTGGATTTGCCGAATCTTATGAGACAGATAACATGTTAAGTATGGATGATATTGCTGCTGCAGGTGACATGACTGTCACTGGTATGACTGGTCCAAGTGGTATGACTCTAAGTAGTGATACCAGAGAGGTAAATGGTGTTACAAGAGATGGAATGAGCCAAATTGCTACCAGTATTCCACCAAGTGAGTGCATGCTACACCCGCATTGTTATATTACAGACTCCTCATCTCTTGGCTGAGAAAATACTATACAGGGTGCCTCAAAAGTGAAGTCACACATAAACTGTTTGTTGGATTTGCTTGCACTAAAGAAGATATAATATCTCTGCATAATATAAAGAATTTTAGTTTTAACAACTGAATTGTGAACTTTAGCTGACCAGTTGCCTCCCCTGTTTCCTGTCCATAATATATGTCTAAATATAGCTTCATTTACTGAAATAGTAATTTACAAAAATTGTAAAAAAATTCTAATCATGCCATTAATAACACTTTAAATTTGAAAACCAAAATCTTTTTGAGATACCTAATATTCATCTGTATGCATTGGTTCAATAGATGACATTAATCCCTTTTCCAAGGTCTATTAGTTTCTAATTGTACTCTCTCATGATATTTCTTTTCACTTCTTCTCTCCAAATGTTAAATGATGTGTTTCAGGATCATCTTTAAGAATCCTGTCATAGCCAAGAGATTATGAGTCTGTAATATAGGCATATAAGAACAACAGGCTATTTGCACCTCAAACCTTATCTTGCAACCTTTTATACAATAACGCAAAGAATGGATAAACACATTGAACCCTTTTTTTATTATTTGTTTGCTATCAGAACATTGACTTTACGATTCAAGAATACAATAGGCCTACATGAACATCCATATTCTTTGTGAATTAGACCCATACAATCTAATACTGTAACAAGTATGCATTTTAGCCTGGTGTTCGGTTTTGCTAATTTTGTTGAGTTAATTTATGACAATGGTTAAACAATAATTGCATGTAAGTTATATTATTTGCTAAAATTGTTGCCTAACTGTGTTATTAAGTAGTTAAGAGTGGTGTTTGTTCAACTGCCACATTGAACCATGTTTCATCATATTAGTGTTTGTTCAACTGCCACATTGAACCATTTGTCATCATATTGGTGCTTGTTCAACTGCCCCATTGAACCATGTTTCATCATATTGGTGTTTGTTCAACTGCCACATTGAACCATGTTTCATCATATTAGTGTTTATTCGACTGCCACATTGAACCATCATTCATTTGTGTTTATTCAATTGTCACATTGAAATTTGTCTTAACATATTCATGTTCAGTAAACTGCCATGTTGAACCATGTTTTATCTTGATATAGCATTCTCTAGAATGAAGCCTCTATATTTCTGTAATTTATTTTGCTTTGCCTTTACTTGTACATATACAATGTAGTTCCTCATTATATTTGGGCTTAGTGGCTTTAGCAGTTTTGCATCCTAAATTGAATTTCCCTAAAAAAGCAGCAAAGAAAGGATATATTGTTTTAAAATAACATATAAAGAGACACTTCACTGAGAGACACCTCACCAACATGAACACTTTTTGGACCTTTTTTATTTTCCCCTCGAAAGAAATGTATTGGTACAATGGTTTTAATTCAGGCAAGAACCATAATTTCTATTAATTTGTGTGCTAAGGCTAGAGCAATTATTTAATACACATTGTGATATCCTGTACCTTCAGATTAAAGAGAATGCAGTTAAGAGCAGTGGTGAGCCAAATGATACTGATAAAGTGAAAGATGATGCTAGAGCAATACTTGAGTCACTCGCTGATATGGTTGGAGATGATATTGTGAACACTTGCGAATCAACTGCAATTATAACTGCAAGTATTGATAATAGAGAATTAACTGGCGAGACAGATAATGTTGTCACTATGGAGACAAATGACTCTTATGATATCATAGGTGCAAGTAATGGACCCTCCATATTGGAGTTTCATGAGGAAAGCCAACATGATACTAATGTAAGTATTGATGATACCACTGATGTTACATCTCATGATTATAGTGTACAGTATGAACCTGAAGTAGATCCTGTGAAGGATCTGATTGCATCCTCTCAAAATGATGTAATAATCAATTATGGTGCTAAAGAAAATAATGTTATTGCTGATGATGTTGAAAATTCTACATTTTCATCATGCATTACTGCTGAAAATGTTAATAGTGTACGAGTAACGGAAAACGATAAAGGTGTATGTAAATATGAAGTCATGGCATATAATGCTGGGGAAGATAGTGTAAATAGTGTAGATAGAGAACACATGGGGGTTGAGGGGGATTTGAAAGCCATATCCGAACCAATTAAAACTGGGCAGTCTGAAGATATTGATATGTGTGTTGTAAAGAAAAATGCAGTTGAACCTGCATTTGTTGGAATTGCAAGTACTAGTTGTGAATCAGGTGTTAAACTATTAAAAGTTGATGCTGAAGACACTTTTCAAGTGTTTGACAATTCTGGCAATATGAACCTTGACAACAAAGATAACAGTGAAGACATTGACCTCCCTGGATTTACACAATCAGCATCAATAGAAACCAAGAAAATAGTGAAAGATGATAGTAAGGTTGATATCAATACCGTAGAAGGACCAGCTGGTCTAATCACCAACCTTGAAATTCAGAATATGACCGACAATTTTACTTTTCCCGTTGGTGAAGGACCTTATGAAGGTAGATGTGATCATTTTATGGTGTCATCCTGTGACACAAGTATATCAGATGCAGATTTTGAACAACATAATAATCTTGATAGGTCTGTCAGTATATCACAAGAAAATGTAAAAGTTGATGTGAATGTAAGTGATAGGCATGATGTTACCTTTGATAAATCACTTCTTGAAGCAGATCTTGATAATGCTAACAATCTAATGACTGAGGTAATGATGGATCTGAACCAGATGAATCAAGAAGGGGAACAAAGTTTTAGAGAATTAGAGGAACTAGAGGCAAGTGTTGATAAGTTAGAAACACATGTCTTGGAGACAGGTGTAGAATCCATACCATCCAGGAAACCTATGATTACTGATTGTTATGCTGAAGATATTGTTCACAAACAGGAAGCATTGTTGAGAGAGATTGAAGAGGGTATACAAGATGTTGTGGGAAAAGAAGATATTGAAGAATCTGAACTGCAGACAGCAGATAGACATGTTGGACAAGACCAGTTTGATGGAGAAAATCGAATAGAATCACTTGCAACTGCAGTAGAAGAACAGCCAATTCTTGAATCACAGGAAATGTCAGTGGAAGAAGAGCAGCAAATTGTTGAATCACAGGTAACTACAGTTGAAGAACAGCCAACTGTTGAGTCACAGGAAAGTACGCAAGAGAAACAGCAACTCTTTGTATCACAGGAATGTACTGTAGAAAAACTTTCAATCAACAAAACTACAGAAGAAGAACAGTCAATTGTTGAATCACAAGGATCTTCAGAAGAACAACCAATTGTTGAATCACTAGAAACTATGACAGAAGAGGAACAGCATATTGTCAAATCACAGGAAACCAAAAGAGAAGAGGAACAGCCAATTGTTGAATCACTGGAAACTACAGTAGAAAAGGAACAGCCAATTGTTAAATCACATGAAACTCTAGTAAAAGAACAACCAATTGCTGAATCACAGGAAAGTACAGGAGAAAAGAAACAGGTGATGGTTATATCACAGGAAACTGCAGTAGAAGAGCAGTCAATTGTTCTATTGCAAGACGTTACAGTAGAAAAAGAACAGTCCATTATTAAATCAATAGAAACTACAATAGAAGAGGAACAACCGATAATAGAATCACATGAAACTTCTAAAGAAAAGGAACAGCTTATTGTTGAATCACAGGAAGTAACACTTGAAGATGAACAGCCAATTGTTGAATCACAGGAAGTAACACTTGAAGATGAGCAGCCAATTGTTGAATCACAGGAAGTAACACTTGAAGGTGAGCAGCCAATTGTTGAATCACAGGAAGTAACACTTGAAGATGAACAGCCAATTGTTGAATCACAGGAGGTAACACTTGAAGATGAGCAGCCAATTGTTGAATCACAGGAAGTAACACTTGAAGATGAGCAGCCAATTGTTGAATCACAGGAAGTAACACTTGAAGATGAGCAGCCAATTTTTGAATCACAGGAAGTAACACTTGAAGATGAACAGCCAATTGTTGAATCACAGGAAGTAACACTTGAAGATGAACAGCCAATTGTTGAATCACAGGAAGTAACACTTGAAGATGAGCAGCCAATTGTTGAATCACAGGAAGTAACACTTGAAGATGAGCAGCCAATTGTTGAATCACAGGAAGTAACACTTGAAGATGAACAGCCAATTGTTGAATCACAGGAAGTAACACTTGAAGATGAGAAGCCAATTGTTGAATCACAGGAAGTAACACTTGAAGATGAACAGCCAATTGTTGAATCACAGGAGGTAACACTTGAAGATGAGCAGCCAATTGTTGAATCACAGGAAGTAACACTTGAAGATGAGCAGCTTATTGTTGAATCACAGGAAGTAACACTTGAAGATGAACAGCCAATTGTTGAATCACAGGAAGTAACACTTGAAGATGAACAGCCAATTGTTGAATCACAGGAAGTAACACTTGAAGATGAGCAGCCAATTGTTGAATCACAGGAAGTAACACTTGAAGATGAGCAGCCAATTGTTGAATCACAGGAAGTAACACTTGAAGATGAACAGCCAATTGTTGAATCACAGGAAGAAACACTTGAAGATGAGCAGCCAATTGTTGAATCACAGGAAGTAACACTTGAAGATGAACAGCCAATTGTTGAATCACAGGAAGTAACACTTGAAGATGAGCAGCCAATTGTTGAATCACAGGAAGTAACACTTGAAGATGAGCAGCCAATTGTTGAATCACAGAATGTAACACTTGAAGATGAACAGCCAATTGTTGAATCACAGGAAACAACAGTAGAGGAGAAACAGCCAATGGTTCCATCACAAGAAATAACAACAGATGATGAACAGCCAATGGTTTCATCACAGGAAACGACAGTAGAAGAGAAACAGCAAATTATTGAACAACAGGAAACTACATTAGAAGAGAAACAGCAAATCATTGAACCACATGAAACTACAGTAGAAGAGGAAAATCAAATTATTGAACAACAGGAAACTACAGTAGAGTTGGAAGAGCCAATCATTGAATCTCAGGAAATTAAAGTAGATGAGGAACATCTAGTTGTTGAATCACTTGAAAGTACTGGAGAGAAAACTCTGCCAATTGTTGAGCCACAGGAAATTACAGTAGAAGGAGATTTGATTGTTGAATCACAAGAGGAATCATTAGGAGAACAACCAATTGTGGAATCACAGGAAACACTAGTTGAAGAAAAACTTCCAGTTGTTGAGCCACAGCAAACTGCAATAGAAGAAGGAGAGGTAATTGTTGAATCACACGACCAAAAAGAAGAACAGACAATTGTAGAACCACCAGAAATGACATTACAAGAGAAACAACCAACTATTGAATCACTGGAAACTGCAGTAGAAGAACAGTTTATTGTTAAGTCACAGGAAACTACAATAGGAAAGAGAGGGTTGATTGTTGATTCACAGGAGGAAACATTAGAAGAAAAACAACCAATTATTGAATCACAGCAAACGTTAGATGAAGAGAAACTTCGAATCTTTGAAACACAGGAAACTACAATTGAAGAGGGAGAGGCCATTGTTGAATTAAAAGAGAAAATAGAAGAAAAACAACCAGTTGTCGAATCTCAAGAGGAAATGGAAGAAAAACAACCAATTGTTCAATCACAGGAAACTTTAATTGAACAGGAAGTTCCAATTGTTCAACCACAGAAAACTACAGTCAAAGAGTCAGAGGCAATTGGGGAATCAATAGAGGAAAGAATAGAAAAAGAACAACCAATTGTTGAATCAGAAGAAGTCACAGGAGAAAAGAAACTGCCAATCTTTGAGCCACAGGAAATTACAGTAGAAGAGGGAGAACCAATTGTTGGATCACAGGAAACACTAGTTGAAGAGAAACTTCCAATTGGTGAACCACAAGAAACTGTAACCAAAGAGGGAGAGGCAATTGTTGAAACAGAAGAGGAAATACAAGAAAAACAACCAAATGTTGAATCACAGAAGGAAATATTGAAAGAGCAACAAATTGTTGGATCACAGGAAACTTTAGATGACGAGGAACTTCCAGTTGTTGAACCACAGGGTACTACAGTAGAAGGGGAAGAACCAATTGTTGAACCACAAGAGGAAAGAGTAGAAAAAGAACAACCAGTTGTTGACTCACAAGAAATTTCAGGAGATAAGGAACTGCCACCCATTGAACCATGGGAAACTACAGTAGAAGGGGAAGAACCAATTGTTGAACCACAAGAAACTACAATCAAAGAGGGAGGGGTCATTGTTGAATTACAAGAGGAACTAGAAGAAAAACAACCAATTATTTCATCACAAGAGGAAATGGAAGAAAAACAACCAATCGTAGAACCACAGGAAACTACAGTAGAAGTGGGAGAATCAATTGTTGAACCACAAGAAACCTTAATTAAAGAGGAACTTCCAATTGTTGAACCACAGGAAACTTCAATTGAAGAGAGGGAGGCAATTGTTGAACCACAAGAAACTACAATCAAAGAGGGAGAGGCTATTGAATTACAAGTTGAAATAGAAGAAAAACAACCAATTGTTAAATCAAAAGATGAAAAACAACCAATTGGTGAATCACAACAGCCTTTAGTTGAAGAAGAACTGCCAATTCTTGAACAACAGGAAACTACAATAGAAGAGGAAGAGCCAATTGTTGAATCACAGGAGGAAATAATAGAAGAAGACCTACCAATTGTTGAATCACAAGGGATTACTGTAGAAGAGGAAGGGCTAAATGTTAAAATACAAACGGTAGAACAACCAATTGTTGAATCATTGGAAACTACAGTAGAAGTAGAACAGCCAACTATTGAGTCACATGAAACTGTAGATAAAAAGGAACAGCCAATTGTTGAACCACAGGAAACAACAACAGAAGATCAGCCAGTTGTTGAATCACAACCAACAATAGAAGAAGGACCACCTATTGTTGAATCACAGGAAATTAAAGTAAAAGAACAGCCAATTGTAGTACCACAGGAACACCAAAGGCAACATGACCTTGTCACTGAACCTGACCTTAATGAAAATGATCAAAGGGAATTGGCTGAAATATTTGGAAAACTACTCCAGGCATCTGAAGGATTTGAAGAATCAGACACAGAAGATATTGGAACAGAATACAAAGTACAAGAGGCAATTGGCTCTACAATGACTTTTGACTCAGATAAATCAAAGGAAGATATTCCAGTTCCTGAAACTTATGTAAATGGTGAGGAGGAACTCCCTCTAAGAAGAAGTATTGAAAGCTACAATTTGCTTACCCTAGTTGAAAGTGATGTGAATGAGGAAAGCTCAGAAATTTTGAAAGACGATAATGTTGATGATGTTTGTGATGTGTTTGTAGAATTTGGCAAAGAGAAATTTCGATGTGATGAAATGGTTTCTGATATAGCTCATATACCCGATGATGTAGCATATAATAAGCTGGAAACATCCAAAGAACAACAATCCATTGTCCCAGTTACTGAGGACAGAGATGCTCAGTTGCAATCAGATCCCCAAGATACAACAAAGGAACATATTGATGCCAAACCATTTGATCATAAGAAAGTGACCATAGCTGAGAATAAAGAAGAGAGTGAACAGGTTCATGTTCACACACAATCCCTTTCCATACTGGATATGCTTGAAAGAGGAAATATAGATCAGAAGATTAGACATTGTTTCCCTTCATTCATAATTGAGCAAAACTGCCCAACTGATACTCATCCAATTGAAATTGTAGAAAAGGACAATTTGAATAAACATACTCAGGAAATCTCACACCGTGATGATTCTGATATAACTGAATATACAAATGTACATCCATTAGAGAATGACAGTTCTGTTACATATTCAGCTGATGCACAGAAAACTATGTTCAATTTAGACACTGGTGAAATTGGTTTAGAAGTATTTGCAGAAGAGACAAATGCATTAGTTGTTCAACCTACAAATGATAAATCAGCTTACCAACATGTAGCCAATGAAACCATTTTCCTTGAAACACATTCTACAGGCATAAATACCTTGCAAAAAATTGAGTCTGGTGGACTCAATACTGACTCAAACATCATGCCACTCATACAAATACCATCTACCCAAGACCAAAAACTGCATTTTATTAACTATGATGTAGCCCGTGAAATTGACTCACAAGTATCTGCAGACGAAATAAATGCACCACTTGTTCAATCTGCAAATGATAAATCAACAAAAGAAACTGATCAACATGTGTTAGATGACAGTATTTATCTTCAAACGCACTATGCTGGCATTAATACTTTGCAAAAGCTTGAGACTGGTGGACTCAGTACTGATTCAAACCTCATGACATTGATCCAGATAGACTCTGATCATGCTCATAAAGACTCTGGGGAAGATGACAAGAGCAGAATTGGTGAACAAAAACAGTTTATTGCTGAGGAAAAGCAAGATTTTGTTGATTCTGAGAAAAGCATTGATGAAGAACAATCAGTTGCAGAATCTGAACCAATAGTTGTTGAAAAGGACCAATTAATTGTAGAATCTGAAGAGAGACCTAATGAAGAACAGGCAGTTGAAGAATCTAAACAAAGAACTGTTGAAAAGGAGCAATCATCTGAACAAACATTTGTTGAAGAGCAGCAATTGATCGTAGAATCTGAGGAAAGATCTAATGAAGAAGAATCAGTTAAAAAATCTAAACAAAGAACTGTTAGAGAGGAGCAATTATCTGAACAAATATCTGTCGAAGAGCAGCAATTAACCGTAGAATCTGAAGAAAAATTTAGTGAAGAAGAATCAGTTGAAGAATCTAAACAAAGAACTGTTGAAGAGGAGCAGTCATCTGAACCAACTTCTGTTGAAGGGCAGCAATTGATCGTAGAATCTGAAGAAAGATCTAATGAAGAACAGGCAGTTGAAGAATCTAAACAAAGAATTTTTGAAGAGGAGCAATCATCTGAACAAACATCTGTTGAAAAGCAGCAATTAATTGTAAAATCTGAAGAAAGATCTAATGAAGAACAGGCTGTTGAAGAATCTAAACAAAGAACTTTTGAAAAGGAGCAATCGTCTGAACAAACATTCGTTGAAGAGCAGCAATTAATCATAGAATCTGAAGAAAGATCTAATGAAGAACAGTCAGTTGAAAAATCTAAACAAAGAACTGTTGAAAGGGAGCAATCATCTGAAAAATCATCTGTTGAAGACCAGTATTTGATTGTAGAATCTGAAGAAAGATCTAATGAAGAAGAATCGGTTGAAGAATCTAAACAAACATCTGTTGAAAAGCAGCAATTGATCGTAGAATCTGAGGAAAGATCTAATGAAGAAGAATCAGTTGGAGAATCTAAGCAAAGAACTGTTGAAGAGGAGCAATCATCTGAACAGACATCTGTTGAAGAGCAGCAATTAATCATAGAATATGATGAAGGATCTTATGAAGAACAGTCAGTTGAAGAACTTAAAGAGAGAACTGTTGAAGAGGCGCAATCATTTGAACAAACATCTGTTGAAGAGGAGCAATTAATCATAAAATCTGAAGAATCTGAACAAATAGCTGTGAAAGAGGAACATTCAGTCATAGAATCTGAACAAACACCCTTTGAAGAGAAGCAATTCACTATGGAATCAGATGAAACATCTCATAAAGAAGAACAGCCACTTGTAGAATATAAGCAAAAAATTGTTGAAGAGTCGACTTTCTTTGAAACACATGCAAGTAGCCTACATGTCCTTGAACAATTAGATACAGGTAATACTACTTTAAATATTGCCCCCACACAGAAACAAAGCCATTCATATCTTCCTGGGGATAACCTGTGCCCTTATATGGAGCACAAAGGTGTGATTTACCATACAGAGGATAGTGAAAGAGTTGCTGATGATTCAACACAAAATGATGACCACAGATTGCTGGTAAATGACAAAGATACAAGTTTTACTGAAACCAAGAATAATGCACCTTTACTCGACATGACAAACAATAATAGTGAAACACAACTTGATCAAAGTAAAGCATTTGATGAAATATCTGGAACTGAGAGTGACATAGATATATTCCCTGAAATAACAGACAATGATGATTGCTCAATTGGTATGCAAATTGATGAACCACTAAATAAATTTAGTGAAGACCAAGATTATAATAATATCACAAGCAGTGCTATTGAAACTGAAGTAGATCTAGAACATACACATTCACCATACAAACTCCAAGATGATATCCAAGTCGTTCAATTACAGGCACACATGGCAACTTGTACTATTCAGGATAAAGACAATGAGACCAATAAAAATAGTACACAAGTGGAAAGTAAAATAGAGATAACTGAAGCTGAGACTAAACAAGAAGAACACCAGAATGAACTGGATGTTGACAATACAAATGATAGAAAGAGAGATGTGGATGAAGAATATAAAGAAACAACCAAGGAGAATGTTGAGGAAATATCAGCAACAGAAAGTGAAACCGAGACATATCCAGAATTCAAAGACAATTTAGAGTTGCAACAACACAAAGACATCTGCATTGATCAAGATTTAACACCACCAGCTACACATGATGTGCAAGAATCTAGTTCGCCTGAGAGTGATCATCAGTTATTTCCAGAGATAACAGGCAATGAGCAACCAACAACTTGTTTACAAGAAACAGTTGAAATCAAAGATACAGACGTTTTATCTGGAGATGATGCACATGCAAAAGAGGGAAGAAATATTCTAAATGAAGCTGCGCTAATTTCACCTAGTGATGTAGAAAAGGTTAGTGCTGATTACACCACACAAGAGAGTGGTTATGAGTTATTTCCAGAAGTTACAGATACAGCTAAAGGATTGCTTTCAGAAAATGATGAAGCACTTCTTCAAGCAAATGTGAACATGAATGACATTGCAAAAAGTCCTGTACAAGAGAGTGATTTTGACTTGTTCCCAGATATCACAGATACAGATGATATTGAAGTGAATATTAGTCCACTAGAAAAGGTTGATGATGATAAAAGTGATACAGCTCCACAATTGCTTTCAGACAATGATGAAGCACCTCTTCAAGCAAATGTGAAAATGAATGACATTGCAACAAGTGCTGCATTGGAGAGTGATTTTGACTTGTTCCCAGATATCACAGATACAGATGATGTTGAAGCAAATGATAGTCCACTAGAAAAGTTTGATGATGATAAAAGTGATACAGCTCCAGTATTGCCTTCAGAAAATGAGGAAGCACCTCTTGAAGCAAATGTGAATATGAATGACAAAGAAGAAACTGCTGTATTAGACAGTGATTTTGACTTGTTCCCAGATATCACAGATACGGATGATGTTGAAGCGAATGATAGTCCACTAGAAAAGGTTGATGATGATAAAAGTGATACAGCTCCAAAATTGCCTTCAGAAAATGAGGAAACACCTCTTCAAGCAAATGTGAACATAAATGACATTGCAAAAAGTGCTGTATTAGACAGTGATTTTGACTTGTTCCCAGATATCACAGATACAGATGATGTAGAAGTGAATGATCATCCATTTGAAAAAGTTGATGATGTTAAAAGTGATACAGCTCCAAAACTGCTTTCAGAAAATGGTGAAGAGGCAAATGTGAACATGAATGACATTGCGAAAAGTCCTGCATTAGACAGTGATCTGGACTTGTTCCCAGATATCACAGATAAACATGATGTGAAAGTGAATGATCAATTACTAGCAACAGTTGATGATAAAAGTGAAACAGCAACAGGATCACTTTTAGACAATGATGAAGCACCTCTTGAAGCAAATGTGAATATGGATGACAAAGCAGAAACTGCTGTATCGGAGAGTGATTTTGACTTGTTCCCAAATATCACAGATACAGATGATGTGGAAGTAAATGACCATCCACTAGAACAGGTTGATGATGATAAAAGTGATACAGCTCCAGGATTGCCTTCAGAAAATGAGGAAGGACCTCTTGAAGCAAATGTGAATATGAATGACAAAGCGGAAACTGCTGTATTAGACAGTGATTTTGTCTTGTTCCCAAATATCACAGATACAGATGATGTGATCGTGAATGATCATTCACTAGAAAAGGTTGATGGTGATAAAAGTGATACAGCTCCAGGATTGCCTTCAGAAAATGATGAAGCACCTCTTCAAGCAAATGTGAACATGAATGATATTGCAAAAAGTGCTGTATTAGAGAGTGATTTTGACTTGTTCCCAGATATAATAGATACAGATGATGATGTAACGGTAGACCTACACATTGAAACAGATGTTGAAAAGAATAATGATAGAATTGATGTTGCAAATTTTCCTAATATTTCAGGTAGTGGACTTGAAGAATGTCCTCTGGATTTTGCTGATAGCAAATTAGATAATTTAACAGTTGAACTAATTCAAAATGTGACTGGTCATACTGAACTTGATGAACAAAAGTACCCAGGTGTTGCAGAACACTCACATACTGGACAGGAAGATGATGATCCTATTCTGAAGAAAAATATTGAAGAGTGTGTTATAATAGATAGTGATGGAGAAATTGTGGATAATGAAGATGACATAAAGGGTGTATTTGAAAAACTTCTCACTGCACCAAAAGATAAAGATGATTCAAGGACTCATAACCATTCCTCAATTAAAGATGATGATGTTTCAAAAGAAATTTCAACAGAAAACTTGACAAATCAGATAAATGTCCTGAAAGAGCATGGTGAGCATGAGGCACATCAGGCTGAAAATGAATTGTTCTGTAAGCCTACATCTGAAGTTCCACCTTCTCCAGTAAATCCTGAATTGGTTGTTAATACAAGAACATTGACTGCAGATGAAGAAGAAGCAAGGGCCATCCTTGCATTCCTCTTGGAAGAAACTGCAGATGATGTTACTGAGTCTGATGAAAACAACCCAATTCACAAATGTGTAAGTTAGAATACTAAACAAGCTGCAGAAGGGCCTTGGTCTATCATGCAATGAGCACTTTTCAAAATTGTCCCCAAAATTCAGAATTCTCTCCTATAATTCTTGCTGTTTTGCACTAACAGACCACTTGTTATTTTGGTTTTAAACACCCCACTGGTCTTGCATGACACCAAGTCATTTTGCTGCATGAAATTTAATTCAATTTGATATTTTCATTTTGTTAATGTAGTTTCTGTAATAGATCAGTGTTTACCTGTCTGTTAATCATGTATCTTTTGCATTAGTTTGATTTTATCTCCATTTACAAAGAGAATTCTGAATGAATAAAAGTATTTTAGTGATTAAATATTTAAAAATGCTCATTTTCTATTTAGGAACATCAGACACCGCCTCAAGACAGGAAACAAGCCACAATCTTACAAAATGACACCCAAAAAATAAAGAGTAGTGCCCGGATTGATGAATTTGGTATTAGCAATGAAAGCAATCAAAAGCAGTTTGAACAAAATACAAATTATAATGCTAATGAATCAATACAGAGTGATAATGAATGGTTTATCATTGATTCACCAGATCAGTCCATTGGCTCACCTGTAAGCAGTGACTTTTGTATTGTGGATAGTGCATCATCAGACTCCCAACAATCACCAGAGTACTCAAAGAAACATGAAAATGACAACTTAAGCGGCGATGAGTTTACTGATAAAATGGTTAGTGGTATTACTATGGAAGATAAGCAGCAATCCAGTTTTGTTTTAGAACAGGGTCCTGAAGAACATAGGAAGAATTGTGATACTCCTCCTGATTCACAATGTAATGGAAAGTTTGACGTGGGGAAAATCGAGAAAGATGAAGAGATTGAGAAGTTTATTGATAACACTGGAGATCTTGGAAGTGGATTGATAAATAATGGAGCTAAACAGAACAAGAAGATGATTGGCAGTGATGAGGATTCGGATGGAATGTGTACTATCAGTGATGTGATTACCAGGGTCAATTCAGAAAAGGGAGATGATACAAAGACCAAATTGACTTGCAATGATGATAGATTAGAAAGCAAAGTTACTGTCAATGATTTGAACATAGAGGCAACATTGATTGATGAAAATGTAGAAAGCACAAATGATTCAAAGACCCCAGTGACTTGCAATGATGAAGAATTAGAAATCGAAGGAAACATCAATGATTTGAACATAGAGGCAAAGTTGAATGATGAAAATGTAGAGATCACAGGTGATTCAATGACAACAGTGACTTGCAATGATGAAGAATTAGAAAGCGAAGGAGACATCAATGACTTGAACATAGAGGCAAAGTTGATTGATGAAAATGTAGAAAGCACAGGTGATTCAAAGACCCCAGTGACTTGCAATGATGAAGAATTAGAAATCGAAAGAAACATCAATGATTTGAACATAGAGGCAAAGTTGATTGATGAAAATGTAGAAAGCACAGGTGATTCAAAGCCTTCAGTGACTTGCAATGATGAAGAATTAGAAATCGAAAGAAACATCAATGATTTGAACATAGAGGCAAAGTTGAATGATGAAAATGTAGAAAGCACATGTGATTCAAAGACCCCAGTGACTTGCAATGATGAAGAATTAGAAATCGAAAGAAACATCAATGATTTGAACATAGAGGCAAAGTTGATTGATGAAAATGTAGAAAGCACAGGTGATTCAAAGCCTACAGTGACTTGCAATGATGGAGAATTAGAAATCGAAGGAAACATCAATGATTTGAACATAAAGGCAACATTGATTGATGAAAATGAAGAAAGCACTGGTGATTCAAAGCCTACAGTGACTTGCAACGATGAAGAATTAGAAAGCAAAGGAGCCAGCAATGATTTGAACATAGAAGCAAAGTTGATTGATGAAAATGTAGAAAGCACAGATGATTCAAAGCCTTCAGTGACTTGCAATGATGAAGAATTAGAAATCGACAGAAACATCAATGATTTGAACATAGAGGCAAAGTTGAATGATGAAAATGTAGAAAGCACATGTGATTCAAAGACCCCAGTGACTTGCAATGATGAAGAATTAGAAATCGAAAGAAACATCAATAATTTGAACATAGAGGCAACGTTGATTGATGAAAATGTAGAAAGCACAGGTGATTCAAAGCCTTCAGTGACTTGCAATGATGAAGAATTAGAAATCGTAAGAAACATCAATGATTTGAACATAGAGGCAAAGTTGAATGATGAAAATGTAGAAAGCACATGTGATTCAAAGACCCCAGTGACTTGCAATGATGAAGAATTAGAAATCAAAAGAAACATCAATGATTTGAACATAGAGGCAAAGTTGATTGATGAAAATGTAGAAAGCACAGGTGATTCAAAGCCTACAGTGACTTGCAATGATGGAGAATTAGAAATCGAAGGAAACATCAATGATTTGAACATAGAGGCAAAGTTGATTGATGAAAATGTAGAAAGCACAGGTGATTCAAAGCCTACAGTGACTTGCAATGATGAAGAATTAGAAATCGACAGAAACGTCAATGATTTGAACATAGAGGCAAAGTTGATTGATGAAAATGTAGAAAGCACAGGTGATTCAAAGCCCACAGTGACTTGCAATGATGAAGAATTAGAAATCGAAAGAAACATCAATGATTTGAACATAGAGGCAAAGTTGATTGATGAAAATGTAGAAAGCACAGGTGATTCAAAGCCAACAGTGACTTGCAACGATGAAGTATTAGAAATCGAAAGATACATCAATGATTTGAAAATGGAGCCAAAGTTGATTGATGAAAATGTAAAGAGCACAGATGATTCAAAGCCTACAGTGACTTTCAATGATGAAGAATTAGAAAGCGAAGGAGACATCAATGATTTGAACATAGAGCCAAAGTTGATTGATAAAAGTGTAGAAAGCACAGATGATTCAAAGACCACAGTCACTTGCAATGATGAAGAATTAGAAAGCAAAGGAGCCAGCAATTATCTGAACATAGAAGCAAATGTGATTGATGAAAATGTAAAAAGCACAGATGATTCAAACACCGTAGCAAATTGCAAAGATGAAGAATTAGATAGCAAAGTGACTGTCAGTGATGTTGATGTTAAAGATACGAAAAAAACAAATGAAATCCATCAGTTTACTTGTTTATCTGATGAAGGTGTAGAGGAAATTACAGCAGCTCCTGTTACTGATCTGGTAGATATTGCAACTGCAGTTAACATCTCACACACATCTAATGAAGAATTTAAGAATGATTATAATGGAAATGCTGACAAGGCAATGAAGCATCGAAATCCTTATAGATATTCTAGCACTGATTATCCTGAGTTTAGTGGAAAATCAGTCCAATATGAAGGTAGTTATGACACATATATCCCAGATGTTATGAACCTGGAATCATGTGAAGTGGATAGGAAATTTGAGAATATGTATGAAAATGTATCTCCTAGAAGATGTGACATTGATATTGACAAAGACGGTGTGGAAGCAAATTCACCTATTGCTGCAAAGAGCAAATCTCCAGATATTGAAACACCAAGAATGATGGAGCATAGTGAGGATTGTGTTATCCAAACAATAGAGGTATTCCCAACAGACACATTAAAATTTGGAAATGTACCAACTGAACAAATTGAAATTGGTGAAGAACTTGAAAAGATATATAATCAAATTGGCAACACATCTAATGATTTTGAAAAAATGAATGAGTCCGTTGTTCATACAGCTGAAATGCAAATGCCTACAAATACAGCTGATAATCTGTCTCATGAAATTGTGTCTGGAGGAATCAATGAAGGATTTGCTGATGTTGATATGAAAGAACCTCTAAAACAAAACAATGCGGATGATATACTTAAAATTGGCATTGGTTGTACAGGGTTTGCTGATGCTGGTAGTGAGTTAGAACAGTGTCTTGAAAACATTCAGCAAGAAATGATGGACACAGTTGTAGCTCAAACAACAGAACTTTCTTATGTCAACCCAGAGCCTCTCATTAGTGAGATACACACATATTACAAGGGCACTGAAAAGTTGCTCTGTAATGCAACTATCAATGAAAATTATAATGACTTTGATTTCATCTCAAAAGATAGCCATTTAGAAGAAGCAAAAGGCGCAGTGAAAGATTCTGAACACATATGTGACACAAAAAATGCGCTTGTGACTGCTGCTAGTCCTGTCAGTAAGACTAAAAAACAAAGGGAAGGAGTAAATGCTGGTGAATCAAATCTGATTACTTATGATGAAATGACAAACTCAGAAGATGAAGAAAAATACTATATTGATGTAGATGAGGCATCATTCTGGAGCATTCACAAAAGTGGCTTACATGTCTTAGATCAAATAGAGACTGGTATTCTGCCAATATCAATGATTTCTGTGTTAAGAATAAACCTCCAGGCATGTGAGAGTGAACAGTCTGTCCCCATTGATCCAGTGACAAAATGTGTAGTGATTAGTGGGGAGGGTCGAGACAGAGACATGGCTTCAGCAGTTAGCGATACACAACCATGTTGCCAAGAATACACACATGTGTCGTCTAACCCGAACACTTGCACAATACATCCAATATTGAGTGATATATCTAAAGTTGATTCATATGGCTGCCCATGCAGTACTGAGTCATCATGTGAAAGCATACTCAGCACCAGTAGAGCATCAATAAATGAAGATGAAACAACATTAGATACAATCACCCCCTTAATATATGCAGGTGTATTCTCTGACCAGAGCAATTCTGAAATACATTTTACAAGAAACACGATACATATAAGTGAACGTGGATCTGTAGATAAAAACAAAACAAATTGTATTAAGTTTGCTCCCTCTGAACTAACTACGATACATGTTAAGCCAACTACTCCAGATGGGAATCTTACAGGACCTGGCCAAACATCTATAGCAGCTGAACATATCACAGCCAATACACAGTCCAGTATTTCAGATATGCCAGCTGTAGCATCAGATATTTCATCTACTTTTCTGGATGTTCCATCAAATGCTTCAGATATTCCATCTAATGCATCTACCTATGATTCCACAGAGTTGGATTCTTTACGACTCAAAGATTTTGTGGATACGAATGACAACACAGACACAATTACCACGCCAAGGCTTGGAAATTTAGAAAATATAACATGCAAAGGACCAAAGTTAGAAAGTTTGGATGGATATTTGAGTGAGACTTCTAACACAGAAGAAACTATAAAGTACACAAGACCAAAGTTGGAAAGTTTGGATGGTTACATGAGTGAGACTTCTTACACAGATGACACTAGAACATACGCAAGACCAAAACTGGAAAGTTTGGATGGTCATATGAGTGAGACTTCTAACACAGAGGAGTCAATAAAATACACAAGACCAAAGTTAGAAAGTTTGGATAGTTATATGAGTGAGACTTCTAATGCAGAGGAATTGATAAAATACACAAAACCAAAGTTAGAAAGTTTGGATGGTTATATGAGTGAGACTTCTAACATAGAAGAAACTGTAGCATACACAAGACCAAAGTTAAAAATTCTTGATGGTTATATGAGTGAGACTTCTCAAACAGAAGAAACTGTAACATACACAAGACCAAAGTTGGAAAGTTTGGATGGTTACACTAGTGAGGCTTCTCACACAGAAGAAACTATAAAATACACAAGACCAAAGTTAGAAAGTCTGGATGGTTATATGAGTGAGACTTCTAACACAGAAGAAACTTTTAAATACACAAGACCTAAGCTGGAAAATTTGAATGGGAGTAGTATGAGTGGGATCTCTAACAGTTTAAAAAGAGCAAACATTGATAGTGTTAGAGTAATAAGCTCTGACAGATCTGAGGAGATCATTTCAAGCAGAAGATCTCAGGTGAAGTACCGCAGAGAAGGTATAATTCATAATAAAGCTAGTGTAAAGAAGAGTAAAGTTGTGGGTGAAAATTATGCCATAGAACAGATCAAGGATAACTCCAAATGTATGCCAAATTTGACACAATTTCCAACTGACAATTCACATCTCAAAACAGTAAGCAATTTACAAATGCAGCAGATTATGAGAGAGCCATCTGAGAGGGTTAAGAAAATCCAATGTCAAAGTTCAAACAGTCAGCTTCCGACTGTGGATAAAAAGAAGCACAGGTTAACATCTTCATCACATTTTGATATGCCTGATTACTCAAAAAATCTCGACTGCACTTCAGAGGAACATTACCTTCCAAGAACTCGCATGTCACCATTTAATCAATCGACACCTGATTCTTTAGCCAGCAGCGATATGCCATGCAGTCACACAGCTGGTTTACCTACTTTAGTATCAAAGAAGATATTCAGGATAAAACAACCAAGAAATATCAAGGATCAGCCAGAGCTCAATGAAAGGAGCAAATGTGAGGATGGCATGAAGAGTTTAGACGAGTGTGTCAGATCAGTATATGATGTTATAACTGATGTAAATGCCACTAAGCCAAGTGTTGTTCTTACATCGCAAGATGGCTCTGAAGTAATTAACAAACCAATTTTAGATCCAGAACAGCAAAATAAATACTCATTTAAGATCAGACCGAAGTCTGAGAGTGACTTTGTTAAAATTGTACTTCCAAGTCCAAAGTCTTCTCGGCGAGTGATAGAAACAGATAGAGTTTTGGCTCACCATGATGATACAAAGAACCTGATTCAATATGGGGCTAAAACTCCATCAAGATCACATGGAGGAGATATGAGGCCATTGTCATTCACAGCAATTTCTCCTACTGAAAGCACAAATATGTTGCCCCATAAAATGACATTCCCAATAAGATCCACTCCACACAGCTATTCTGTGGGCTTCCCTTATACTCCAGTTCCAATCCCTCAACCAGATTTAAACACCAATGAACATGAACCAAGTAATAAACAAAGAACACTGTTTGATGCAACAACAACACAGTATTTTGAGGATACTGAGGTGAAAAGATCTGAAGTAGTTGTTGACCTCGCTCCACCGAAAATACAAAAGAGAAAGATTCGCGTTTCGAAAGCTGGGACTGGAACAACTGAAAAAGCTAGTGATAGCACTTTTGTTAAAAAGGCAGTTTATAACAGGCGTGGTCAGACACCATACCAACTGGATACTGTATCAGATTTGGACATATCTGGAGGTGATTCCCTACTTGGACAAAATTCACTTGGAATAATTCATACTCCTGGAGTAACAGAATTGGGTGAATGTAAACTTGACATGTCTAACATAGACAAACATGATACGACTGATTTACAGCAGCATAGTTTCACCGTGGACCTAAGTAATCTGGATAAAGAAAGTCCTAATTATGATGTAGGGGATAGCCCATTGTCCCAGTACAACATATCAAAGTACATTGATAGTAGTTACGATGATCCAGGAGTCCATATTTGTGACACTCAGTCAAATGTTAGCACTTACTCCTGGTCCTCGGGATGGACATCTGACTCTGACACATCATTGGCTGAAAGTGCTCATGCATTGCACCAATTAAAACAGCGCAAGCAACATGCCTTACACCCAGCAAGAAAGTGTAAGGTGATTAAGCAGGGCACAACTGAACAGTCTAGAATGAATCCATATTTGAATCAACCAAAACCATTTGCTGGATCATATGAAGCCAAATATTGGGGAGGACATCGCAGAAAGCCTCATTCATATTCAAGAGATGTATTTGCGTCACCAATGCATGGCACACCAAGGGATATTTCTAAACATGATACACCAGAGAGATTTTCTGTCCACAACCAGGCTTTTTTAAGAAAAAATTCATCATCATCACATATTTCTGATTCTGATGTACAACTGAGTGATTTTAGCAATATTTCCACAGACAGTAGCACACAGCATGGTCAGCTGTTTCAATCTGGGACACATTGGACATCTGGCCCACCCTTGACTCCCTATTGTAAACAAAGTTCTTGGGAAAAGGCTGGAAAATTAAAATGGTCCCAAGGTAAAAGGCTTTCAAATCCCTCAAGGACCCATCAATCGAATGTAAAGTTTGAAGATTGTTGGTCTGATTTCTGATGAGTCTCAATTTATGTGGCTGTTATAGTTGGAAATGAATATAATGAATGCTTAGTAAATAGGCAAGTAAATACATAACCCTACTTTCTTTGTTCAAAGTGAAAAAATTTTCCATGACAGGAGTCTTCAATGATTTTGAACATTGTTGTGTAATAATCAGCTTTAGATTTCAAATGTCCTTGTCACTTATTCTCATTTATTTAAAATTATGTGCATAACAATTCTGTTTGTGAAATACATACATTCTAGCTTTGAAAAACATTGTACATGTATCCTCAGTATTTCGACTCCCTGAATGGGTTTCCATTGTACAGTATATAGAGTTGCATAAAAACTAGACTAGATTGTTTGATTTGAAACTTTTATCTGCAAACATGTCTTGGTCAATTTTGTGAAATGAAATCTCATTTCTTTTATACTGCTTTTACAGTGTAAATTGACACAATGAGACCCACTTTTTTAGTGCCCTGAGTCACAGGGATGAGCTCATGTTAGAAGCGGGGCCTTGAGAGATATGATAAAATTGAAATATAAAATTTTCTATGAAACTTTAGTAAGTGAAACTCAATTGCAGGGCAACAACGTTCTTCAACTATAACTATGTTTTATCAGATCTTTCAAGGCCCCGTTTCTAACATGTCAGCGGGAACTTGCTCGCAATATATGGGGCCTGGATAATCACTGTGTGAGTAATTGCTTTCTTTGAAGAGTTTTCAAGTTAATGTCTATAAACAAACACCTTACGGAGAGGTGATTTGATTTAACAACTATGATTTTAGATGAGAGAAGAAACTTATTCTCATACCTTACTTTCACCTTTTAAAAATATTATTACTCTGCTCCTTGAATTTGATCAATATGTTCAATAGACCAATCTAGTAAACCATGCCATCTATTGGTGATAATTTTACCTTATTTTCAAAAATCTCTTCATATTTTGCGACATCTTAAATCTAGCCAGTATACCATAACTTCTTTTTGAAGGGGGCTGGATTGGAATGGTCTATCGAACATTACAAATTTTGCCATGAAATTCAATAGGTTTTAAAGGGCTGAATTTGAAAATTGTGTGCAGTGGTTGCATCATTTATCCAATGTTTACACAGATCAAGTATGAGCAGAGATTAGTACTTTCATGGATTGTCATGAAATTCTTGATTGGTGAACTCATTGTAGATTAGCCAAAAAACTGTTTTATTGTTATATGTTGTAAAAATGTTACAATAAATTGCAGTGTGTACAGATTTCAAAATAAGCACATCTTTGTTCATGATATTATTGAACAATAGTGATGAGGTGTAAGAATTTTTTGTATTAGTATTTAACTTCTGCATTCCACAGCTGGATGATTCTAACTGCAGTAAGTATCATTCAAGATGGTGGCCATTTTTTAGTTGAATCTGGATTCCAAATGTTTTGCGATGCAAACTAATAAAGTTATGATTGTAAACAGTCACATGAAAACATTCAAACACCATGTCATCATCGAGTTCAGTTAAGAGTCATTCTAAGTGAGGCCGTTTTCTTTATATTTCTCCAATATCACGGGTGTTTGAACAACGTTTTGTGTACTGTTTACAATAATAACTTTATTAGTTTGCGTGGCAAAAAATTTAGAATCCAGTTTCAACGTGTATAACTGTAGCTGAAATCGTTGGTTTATCAAGAACAAAAGAACCATCTTGATGATACTAACTGCAATAAGAGGCATGCAGCTGTGGAACAGTGCAGTGATTTCCATTTATAAAATAAGGTTTTTGCCTGACCAAAACATCTCAATGCAAAAAAGAAAAGAATGACCCTATTTGTCCAATATGATTCAAATATACCATTGGAAAGGTGAGAGTGTCCTAAGATTCTGAACTCAGTTTAGAGGTTTACTTATAGCAAAGTTGAAAAATTAACCCTTTCATCACCAAGGGGTAAAATCAAGAAAAATCAATCATTTTCTATTTTCAATCTTATCTCCAACAAATTTAGTGATCTTAGAAACATCAGTATGTATTACGGATGTTTTACTCCGATGGTTAAGTTAACAATTTCTCTGGGAAGGGTTACACATTTCATGTACTAAATGAATCTACCTTGAAGAAGTCTGGTAGCAATAGAAGGGTTACACATTTCATCTTCTAAATGAATCTACTTTGGGAAATGCTGGAAGGGTTCACATGTTTCAACTTTTTCAAATATGGATGCTTGCTTTTTATTTCAGTGATTAGCCTCCAATGAAAGATGTGCTTTTGAGAATACTTTTCAGAATAATGTCAACATGAATGGTGATGTATGTAGTCTAATGTTGCAGCTATTTATGTTTGTATTAAGCAAGGGAAATGGTTTTGACTTTGTGACATGGAGCATAAAATTTGAGGTAATATCAAGCAATTATTATGGAAGATTTTAGTTTTTGGGGTCTGATCAAAACCTCTATAAATTTAATTTTCACCCCAATTACAAAATACACTACAAATAACATGACAAATTCTTTAATCATCAAAGCATACAGCATTATATTTGTAGTAATCACTATTTCAACATGCAGGTGTATAATTTACGCTCTTAGTTTTATCATCAAACTTTAATTTTCACTTAATTTACAAATACATGTACTCGTACACTACATATATTCTTTACAAATCATCAAATCATATAGTACAAAACACTATATAATTTGTAATAATCAACATGTTAATATTTTACAGGTGTATAATTTAAGCTCGTTCAGTTTTAAATCTCAGTATTATGTTATGTTATATTACACTTGTATAATTTGCGTTTATACTCAAAAAATGTTATACATCATGCAGCTATATAAATGGCTATAACAATAAGTAGTACCCTGTTTCACAAAATAGAAAATAGAAGCACCGGTACTTGTCTCACAAAAGTAGCAGCTAAATAGAAAAGCAAAAATTCTATCTTTCAATTTTAGAGAAATTCTTGTTGGAACTTCTTACCCCTGATAATCAGAAAAAATGAACGGAAGGGGAAAACAGCTGATTTCTGCTAGAAATTCAAAAAATGAATAGGTGTGTTGTATGGTAAAATTTATTAGGTATATGATCTTTTTCTTATCTGATACACTTGTAAGGTGTGAGATCTATTAAAAAAGTTGCAACCTTACCAGTGTGCAAAAGTCAAATCTTTTTGCTATAAATCAAGCAGTGGAGGTCTACATGAGCTGTTATAAATAAAAAAAATTAATAACATAATGTAACTCATTTTTAAAAACAGCAATAACTTCTATATGCATATATTACTGTCATTGTAGACTTCCACTCCTTGATTTATAACAAAAAGATTGACTTTTGCAGTCTAGTGAAAGTGTCATTTTAAATAGATCTTATACCTTAGAAGTGTATCAGTTAAGAAAAATAAATAAAAAACCTTCCAGATTTCACCATACCGTACCTGTGCACTAATTCATTTAGCGATTCATCTTCTTGTGAAAAGATAAATCTTCCAGGCCATTTTCCAGATTTGATGGAATTTTCTAGGAAACATTGCCTGCTCTCCCTCCATTTATTTTTTTGCAATTACAGGGTGTTATTTTAGTAGATTAGTTTTGTAAAATCAAGCTGTGTTCCAATTATAAAATTTGGAGCAAATCAAGATTCATTTTAAGTTTGCAAAAATTATGCCAAACTAAACTAACTGTAAGTAGATGCAATAACTTTAAATATTATGTTTAAACAATAAGTCCAAACAAAATATGCAGTCATTTTCAATACATCATTGTTACTCTAAACTTTTAAAAAATGGTCTCTATTTTGAAACAAAGCATGCTTTTCAGACCACTTTTTGGAGTCTCATTGGAACACTGAACACTTATAACACTGTGGCTAGTCGATCTATGTGGATGCAGTCATTTATATGTAATGTATCGTGGGTACCCACGTACATTATAGGGAATGGGATCATTGCAAAAATATGACAGCAAATCGAGGTAAGTGATCTCAGAGTTTCTACTTAACATTGTGACTTGAAATCTTGCATACATATTCAATATACATAGTATGACAATGTGTGAAAGTTTCAGCTACCATATTCCTGTTATAGGGAAGATATTTGAAAAACATTTCGTAGACGTCAACATATATGTATAAAATGGATGCACCTATGTATCATTTGGATTCAGAACGGTAACAAATGGATGCTTTAATAAATTATACTTTTATCATGATGATTTATTTACTGATGGACAACTGGCCAGATTTTCTTTGTATCCATTGTTTGGATAAACATTCCTCATTCAGTAAAGTAATTAGCCACCCCATTACAAGTAGTCTAAAGACACCCTCATGAAAAATTGAAAATACTATATATAAACCCATCAACTGGAAAATGCCATTACAGATGAAATAAAGGACCCACGGTCCTGTGCTCACACAGTGTAGAACCTTCAGAGGAATGTTTATCCTGATTTACAAACCAAAGTATTGGTAAATATGAGATCAATTAAAGATGAGTCCTTTGTTGTTGGTTCAGATATGATTTGTTGTAGTCAAAGAAAAAACTATGAATTTGACCTAGATTTTGACCTAGGCCTTTTAGTGTCCAAATTTTGATGGAAAGTAGATTTTGAGAACGGCTTCTATTGTAGATTCTTATTAAGTTGGCTGCATCCAAGCTGAATCTAGTGTTGTGTTGTTACAATTGATAATTTTCTCAAGCCCCACTGACTTAACATGGGATACCAAAATAGCGATTTTTGAGATTTCAAAATGCCATAACTTCTAAATCGGAAGTCGGATCAAACTCTGGTTTGCAGATTCGGATTCCTTGGACAATTCTACACATATTTCATAACTTATACATTGAATTCCAAGAACTTTTTATTGTGACCTATTTTTCGGATAAGAGTGATCAGATCAACTTGCCTGTAGGGATTAGCTTTTTTCCAAGGAACATGATTAAAAAACAGGAGCAAAAATATTGAAGGACGACTGAGAAAATTGAAAAAAATGACAAAGTACTGGATTTGACCTAGTTCTTGACCTTTGACCTGGTTTAAACCTGATTAGACCTAGATCTGGACTTGGACCTGAACTGGACCTTGACTTGGACCTGGAAATGGACTGGACTGGTATTTTTTCAATCTTTTCTTCACTTCTCTTGACTTTCTATAAGACTATCATCAGATCGATTTTTCTCCAAATTTAAAAATCAGCAATTTCTCGGAAACCGGGCGAACTTGGAAAATGGCGATGATAGGTCAAATAGACATTATGGATATGCATAAAATGAATGTGGAAATGACTCAATCCGAATAGCAGTTTTAATTTGTGCAGCCAATGTTCACAGACGGACGGACCAATGGACGGACGGACGGACCAACGGATGGACCCCTGGTCGATCCCATAGGCTCACTGTGTGAGCCAAAAACTATGGTTTTATCGCTAATACTGTTAATTTGAAAACGGGTTCATAACATGTAATGATGACAATGAAAATGTTGAAATTAAGTACGCCAATGAAGTGAATTCAGAGCAAAAGACCCATCGACCCACTGGAATACCCACAAATCAAGTTTCATAGCCTTGCCCAAGTCGGTCTCTTTTACTTATCTTGATTTCTATTATGACCGCCTTGTACCCAAGAGAAAGCCACGTGCTTTACAGACCCAATGTTTTTGTCGGTAAAATTTGACAAATCAACGACGGCCTTACATTGCCGGACTAGGTCTTCGTGCATTTCCATCGCGAATTCAGTTTTGATTTTGAATCAACATTGAATTGCATGATTTCATTTAGACGAGTATTAATGACTGCTTACATTCCAATGTACATTTAATAACATAATATATTGTAACTCTCAAGAAACACTCGATCAGATCATTGAATTTCAAGTCCTAAACGGGTAGTTTGCTTTTTTATGCAGGTCAACCTGATAACGTTTTGATTGGTCAATCAGCCTGAAGTCACACGTTGTGTCCATGTCCATATTGTCAATCAATATGGTTTTGCGATACCCTTAGGTAGCCTAGGTATTATGGGAATCTCGGAACCGCTGAATAACTTAGCATAATATCAGCGATGATACATTGGATTGTACAAGGTGGTAATAATTCAAGATCAGATAAGTAAATAAATACCGACTTGGGCAAGGCTACACGTTTCAGAGCCATTAACATTCCTTGAAAGTGACAATGAGCAGCCAACAGATGGACCATCCGTAAATCTTGATGATTTTGTCAGCTCAGCAGAACGAGCCTCCAGATTCATTGAAACAAATGACCATAATTCAAGAATAGTATTA